CCCCCCCCCCCCCCCCCCCCCCCCCCCGCATGCGGCTGCGTATTCGTATTGGCAGCCGCAGCATTTCACCGGCCTTTGTCTCCCGAGTCTTTGTGCAGCCCAAACCAAGTCATGGCTGATACGAACGTGCATCTTGGTGTGGAACAAGTCTCATCTCACTGCATGTACTACATACAGTATGGAGTTCTAAATCCAGCACTTTTTTTTTTTCGGGAATTCCTCATCTGGAATGTGGATGGACCTGCAAGCTCTGTAATGCCGTGTTACCCAAGATGGATGTACTCGTATGTAGATGCACCATCATTATGATCGATGTTGACGCCGGAATCCATCCGTCTTTCTTTAAATGCAAGTCACTCCCCAACTTGATGCCGTCGAGGCCCAAAAGGCTTCGCATCTCCGCGTCTGTGGCTGTCTGAAATCCCTCTGCCCTCCAATGCCGTAACAGAGGCTAAATAGGCTGCATCGATGGAATCCATCCAGCACATCGGGCCGTGTTCAGCGCGGCTAAGGTGGGCTTCAATGTTGATCAATAATTTGTTGATCAATAATTTGCTTGTCTGCAGCCTTTGACAACCACGATAGGCACCTTCTCATGACCCAATTAATACCTTAGGTGTGATCTCACTAATAGTACTTGGATATCTCGTAATGGGATTTAAGACGATTCGCCGAACCACTGTGCATGGGTCATAGTGACTAGGTAGTACTCAAGTCTCATGATATTTAGTCTAGCTACGGAGCAGCGTATACCAGCTCAACTCTTGTTTGCTCTTGACACCATGTCGCACATCGTTTCACTGTCTGGTATCATCATGTTGCATCAATAGCAACTTGAAATCCCACAGATGGCTCTGAGACACTTTTATGCACACAGTAAGCGATTCGATCGTACATTACCTTGCGTTGTAGCCCTCACCAGACAAATTATAGCCCATTATAAGATTAGAGAGCGTCTTCGTCTATCATCAACCTCACGTAGCAATGGATATCCATCCCACTATCCGACATATATCTTGCGTCTATCAATTCAGATACACATGGCTACGTAAATAAGCACTCTAATTACGCCTTCTTTTGTTCTTCATTCCTAAGACAAAGGCCCGTACCCAAGCTGCCACAGCACTCATATCAGCTTTTCAGTCCCAAATCAAAGCGTTCAACCCTCGAAATGTCCCAATACAACCATTATAACAACATTCAAACATTTCAACACTACACTATCGAGAACATATACATAGAGCCCCAAATCCACATCAACTTCCCGGTTTCTCTCACAAGTCCCTGCCAAGGCCGCCATCTCCAACCATTCCACTTCCATCTACGCCACAGCCAAAAAGTCCAAAACCCAAATGCAAAAACATCGAATCAAGGCTCCCCATCTAGCCGATCCAATGCCACCGCCCAGTCTGTCACTGCCCTGCTCTTCTCTGGGCCGGACCTGCGATGCGCGGGGTGATGACGACACTTCAGCTTCAAAAGATAGACCAAGATTTCGCCCAGCTGATGGGGATTTGCCGATTCTGTGCGACGCGCAATCCTCCCCCCCCCGGATCACGTTCACAAAAACATGTGGGTTGTTCGTCAATGGCTTGCTTTAGGGTGTCAATCAAGAATTGGAGGCCTTTCGTATAAGTAAAAACTACTTGTACCTGCTTCCTCCCGGAATTAGTAGCATCACGTTTTGTCTCTGACAAGGGGGCTCTAGGTAACCACCAGCACACGCAAACGACACGGGACACCGAGAACGATATACCTGCAACTCCGCGGAACAGCAATCCTTACCGCGGACAACAATCGTCACTGCAGGTCTGCCTAGTTGAGAGAATTCCAAGTGTAAAAAACATCTGCCGCTGCCTTGCTGCGTGGTTCCTAAATCCAGATAGTCAACAAATCAAGCACAAGACAAACCTACCTATATCCAATTACTTTGCCTCCCTTGTACTACCTTTACAACCGTTCACCAAAAGGCCAGCCATCATGCCTGTCACGGAGTGTGCCATCATCAAGCTGAGGCCCAATTTCGACCCCCTCGAGTTTCTCGAGACACTCATGGAGTGTCAAGAGATTCAAGACAATTGGGTTCGCCGCAATCAGCCATGCAATCTGGCACCTGGCATGAACCTGAGCAGCATGTACACGGATGCCACAGACCAATCAACGCTTCTCATCACGGCGCCGTGGGATTCGCCCGAGGCGCACGGAGAATGGATCCAAAGTCTTGAGAATAGGACGGCCAATGGCAATCTAAGCGAGTTCAGTGCCCCGGGGTGCGACTCCGTCCTGCTCTTCCACATGGACCCGGCGGGGGCGAGGTCACAGATGCGGGAAGCCTTTCAACACAAGGACACCAACGACGTGTTCGACGTCTGTCGCTTAACATTCAACGGCGATCAGCGGGAGGCAATACAAACCAAATATCAAGCACTGGAAAACGAGCTGCGAAAGGAGGGTCTGGAGAAGAGCATATGGGCGGGCTGGAGGATTGAGAAGGCAGCTGGTGAGGAAGACAAGGAAGATTTGATTGTATTCTGGACTGGCGATGTTCCGAAGAAACGACTGGAAGGATTGGCGAGCCTCGCCCTCAAGAAAGATCATCGCCGCTTCAGGCACGTCGTGTAAATAGGCATCACCGAGTAACCGGGGGCCTTCCCTTCTTCAGGTAGCCTAGCCTAGCCGGCACAGAAAGACATCGGGCTCACCAGGTTTTGGTGTGCGATTGTTGCTTTTTTTTTGTGTCTCAAATCGTTATTTTTGAGCTCTATTGCGAGCGTGCGTTCTGAGCACATGAAATGCAAGGTATCCCGAGACGCCCAGTTGTGCATGTAAACCCTTCCCACGCCCAAAGCCACCCCTATTTTACCACCAATTCATTGCCTTAGTTCTTCTTGGGGACCTCTGCGATTTGCAGGTCTGTAGCAGCAAAGTCAGCTTCCATCATTCTCGTCTCGACGCCACGGTAGCAGATTGGGGACTTGAGGATCTTGTCCAGCTAAGGGTTGGGGGGTGCATACTGGGAGGCAGGCTCTGCTTCAGCTTCTCGGCCTTGTCATTGTCCTTCAGCACCAGGGTGTAGAGGTTCTTCTGGCATCGGACCTTGAACTTGATGTTGTGGGCCTTCTTGTTCTTCTTGATCCGCGCGGCTGTAGTCCAGTTAGTCGATGCAATTCCTTCGTCTCAACTCCAAGCCTCTCTCCCAGTTCTCGTCGAGATTATCCCCTCGAAAGGGGAGGTTGGATTTCGGATAGCTGCGTTGAATACGTACAGGAAGCGTCCTTCCGACGGCAGATCTCGATGAACTGGAGACGAAAATGTCAGCACGGAAAGATTCTACTTGTCTTCTTTCTGATATGATGATTCCTTACCTTCTTGATGTCAGCGACCTCCTTGGGCATTTTGGCGGTATTTGATCGGCTCTGTGAGACGGGTTTGGGACGACAGAGAGTACGAAATTTACGATTCGAGATATGGTGGATTTTTGGCAACAAATTATTTTTGTGCGCTCCCGCTTCGCGGGGCGGGTCGCACGGACCATCATGCGCACTAGCCACATGAGAGTGTGGCTGGTGGCTGTGGCGTCGAGCGTGCGTGTTGCCATACACGTCTACTATAAGTGGCTTTGCTTTGATGGAACGAATTGATCATCGGTCCAAATGGCTAGCTTTTTGTAAAGAAACATTAACTCATTCATCATCCTAATTTTCATAGGAAATCTCATTATTACCAATCACTGCCTTTCAACGGCCTCGCAAGCGTGTCCATTCTCGGATCTCAACAGCATCCCTCGCCTTCAAGATGGCCGGTACTGCGCTAGATGGTGCGATGAAGTCCAAGGTAAGCTACGTTGCGTACTTATATATAACACTCAATTCAGCCTTGATCATCTAACATAACTATAGAATGTACTTCTCGGTAATACAAACTCCCTATCTATCAATTTAGATTGCATCAATTCTAATAGAAGCCAAAAAAAAAGCCTTTGGTGGCGTCGTGGTCGCAGCCGCAGCTTGGTCCATCTTCGGTGGCGATTTGTTTCCCGCACAAGAAGATCCCAAAGGCGACCCCGAAACATGGACCAGAGAAGAGATGCGAAGATGGCTCGCCGCGGTAAGTCTTGCATTTGCCTCTAAAGAGAAGTGTATGAACTCCGAATGCGCTCGCTGACTCGGCCGTTGCTTCATAGAGAAAGCTACATCCGCAAAGAAGAGATACCCGGGAGGAACTGCTTGCCAGAGTGCTAGCGAACATGAGGCATCCACGGACATGAAGCATAATGTTGTTCCTGATAGTGTTGTTCTTATCTGAAGTTTTTACGATATATACATTAGTATTATGATGATAGTGGTCTTTGGGTGAATTCTGTTGCCGTGAAATAAAAGCGCAAAACCATAACTTGATATTATCATGATGAGCCGAACTGCCATGCTTACACCCAAAGGCACACCCAAAGGCACATCCAAAGGCCAGTACACGACTCTTAAATAACGAGACTGACTTAACCAAACTGAATTCATAAGTTAAGAACACTTGGACTAAAAATTGTCAAATTGATCTACAGATGCCAATCTGACTTCCGGTTGCGTTTCTCGGCGTTGTAGAGCGCCAATAGTGCCACTCAAAGACTGCTCCCAATGTATATCCTCTTAACCACAACAAATGAGTTTCTCCGAAACATATGCACATAATCTTCCACTTCTAATATTGCTAGACATTGAATCATGGCCACCATGCAATAAAGCATCCCACTCCTACACCCTCTCCAACTTTGCTCATAACCATCCGTCAACTCCCATTACGCCGCCTTCAAAATGCCAAGTTATTACTGCCACTTAAACTCGCTCAGCCTGGCAAACTTTTCATCCAGCTGCCTCCTGGCCGCCGACGTGATGCCCCTCTCCGGATTCGCCATCTGTTCGCTATAGCAGAGCTCTATCAAAGTCTTGAGCTCGTCATATGAGAAGCTATTCAGATCAATCGCCAGTGTCCCCATCCCGTGCCTATCCTTGTACTCCCTTGCCTTCTCGACAATAGCCTCTGGGCCCCTCTCAAACAGCTGAAAGTAGCTTGTTGCTTTTGCCAGGTCGACTCCGTCCTCGACATTTTTGAGGTTCTGCTGAAGAACAAGAATGTTTAGTTGCATGCGATGGCATCCTTTGTCGTTCATGGGGGAGGCCAAGGAAGCATTCTGGACCAAAAAGGCGTTGATAAGAATGCCAACCCCGGTCCGTATAAAGATGACTTCCTTGTCTTTCAGGAATTCCACAATAGTCTCATCCAAAAGAACAAGCTCTTGATTGAGACTGATAATCTGAGGATCAGGCTCGTTCACATCCTGCTCCAGAATGTACGGCGCTGAGTCTGGCGAGAGAGTGTTGCGTAACGAGTAGATGACCCGACAGCGTACTTCCATGTGTAAAGTTAGCAGAGCCGTAGCAGCCAGTTCTTCAAAGGAAGACACGATGGTGTCAAATGTTCTATCGAGAGGACTTTTGTTAGCGGATACGCTAAGGAGAGCTGCCGAATCTTGGATCGCAACTTACTGAGCACTCTCTATCGTAAGAGGAAGCTGTACTGGACTTTGCCCTGAAGTCTTACTTGGGTCGTTCAATGTCCACCGTTGGCCTGACTGGCGTGGGAGGTGCTGCCGTGATGTATCCGTCTCTTGCGATGTTATGTGCTTCAAGCTCTGAATCTTCGCGGCTAGCCATCTCATGCTGGTGTATAAGAGGCACAGAGATGAAATTGTGTCTCGGTCTTGAATAACGTCGTTTGCCTCCAGCCGCTGGCCATTCGTCTTCTGTATGAGAAGCTGCATCTCTTTCCTCATCAATCCGCTATCCAACTCATCTGCAGCCCAAAGCTGCTTTGCTACGTCGTTGACCTCACTAGATTGCACCGAAAAGCGTGCCGATGCTCGCAAGTTGCTTGAATCGGCAGGCTGATCGTGCCTCTTCGTCACAAGGGATTGAAACCAGCTGAAGCATCGATCATAATATCGCATCATTTGGGTCACTATGAGAGAGCTCAAAGCTTGGTCTGGAGGAATGGTTCCAAGCATTCGGCAAAACGCCGTGACTACCTGAAAGAATGCGGTGGAGCCTTTGAATATAGGCCGTTGGGAGCATTGGTTCCAGTCAGGATCCTGTAAGAACGAGTCGGATTCTCCAAAGACGGCGTCGCACAGCTTTCCAATAGTCTCATCCAGCTGCGGCTGGAACACATTGACCAAGAAATTGTCAAGGAATGTGGTTAAAGTGCTCGTGGCAAGATCGGAACCGGGAGGAACAATGGTTTTCAGCCGTTGTAGGAAGATTAGGGTTGGTGGCAAGAGAAGACTCATGTTGAAAACGCTCGGCTCAACCAACGATTTGTAAGAGCCCGGCGCCCCCCGATTGGCACCATAGGCACTCCGCCTTGATCCAACATCATCAGCCGTTGACTTGTTCCTCTTGTTCTCGGAGCCGTGTTTTCGCGAACCACCCGTCAAGCCGGGGACAGTAGCTTGAATGATGGTCTCCAGCGCATCAAACTCTGCAGCTACTTCGATAGACTTGGTATCTGCTTCGGAAAATTTGAACAGATGCTCTCGCATGCCGTCTTTGCCGCCAACACCCGCCCCTGGCGTAGGAGAATCGAATTGGTAAACGTCGGCATCTGTCGTTACGTAGTTGTGCAAAAGAGACCGGATCTCGTTCTGGTAAAGGTGCCATAGCTCCTTGAAGCTACCGAGCAGGGCAATATTATTGCCAGAACCCTCGCGGCGAATAAGGGCCTTGATGGACTCGTGGAAGACACGCTGGCCTTCTCCGATGGCCTCGAATTTGCCATAGAGCGTCCAGAGGAGGTCATAAATGACGTCTGCACGCATCTGGATCTCCCGGGCGCTGTATATTTGCACGCCGTCCAGCTTTCCGACGGCGGCGCGGAACGAAGTTGGGTGCCGCTGCTCAACCTCGTTGATAGTTTCATTGACGACAATGAAAAGCTCAACAGGCAGTCTCTGCTTCAAAGTCTCTACAGCATTCTGCAGCCTGCCAAGCTTGTTCAACGCTTCGACCAATAGAGTCACGTAGTAGAATGTGTCCGCCTCTGGGTTCTTCATTGGATCTTCCAGCACCGGCCTCTCAAAATCAATCGAGTCTAATATTAAGTAGAATGGGGTGGTTGGGGGGTTTGCCTCGTTGTGATTGCTTTCGTTGGCCCCCCCTCGGTTCTTAGCCAAACTTGACCACCTTTGCTGGCAGTACGGCGACTTTAGATAGAGGTGTTCGTGCAGCTCTTCCACCAGAATATCCATAAGAACAGTTTCTTGGTTGGCAAGGTAGCTTCGAAGATCGCTGAGCGCCCCGATATTATCCAGCTCGGGCTTTCTCAATTTTCGCAGTGCAGTCTGCAGCACGTCGACCGCTGTCAGGAACCGTTTCTCGGATATACGGGCCTCCAGCTGGTCAGGAACGGCTCGAAGGTCGTCCAGCTCGTTCAACGTTTGCAATAATTCGTCATACTCTTTCGACTCCTCGGAGAGAATCTTCAAGGTTGGATCTGTCGCGCATAGGCTGGCCTTGGATAGCGCCAATGACTCCTTGAGAGCGCGGACTCGCTTCTGCGAGACCTGAATGCTACTCTGGATCTTGTGAAATGTACCGATGGAGCTGTTGAAGCCCTGATGATGCTCATGGACAATGTTCTTCAGCGAGTCCTGGAGATACGTATGCGTCGTCTGGAACTTGCGGTAGTCGTGCGCGCGACCGACCGAGCTGTTATCTAGGAGCTGGAGCGCGAGCTGGACAGGCACGCAATCCTCGCGGCACATGGACGGCCACTCGCTCTTGATGTGATCCAGGACCTGAGCTATCTGTCTCTCGGCGCTTGTCTCCTGGACGCGCGGTCTCGAGGGCATATTTCGGAGGCTCTGGTTTGACACCTGGGCATTGTATCTCTCGCCTCTGTAGTTATTATCGCCGTACGGATCGTAGTCATCGGTCGTCCGCCCAAAGTTGCCGTATCCGTCGCCATTGCGCATCGAGCTGCCGTAGCCGTTGGACATGATGCCGTCGAGTCGTGTCACCAGACGGGGTCACAAGTGAGCATCGTCGTCGGCGTTGGGGAGAGAGGAACTGTCGGGGCCGGGGCCTGGATCCCTACAGCTTCTTGTTGTCGAATTTCCTGCGGGAAAAGGAGGCGAAGCAAACACAATTTGATATCAAGATGTCGGTTTAGGCCATTCTCGGTGTTGGCTGGGAGTTGACCCTGAAGGTTCAAGCTGGCTTGGGGTGCAGCAGACAGCACGCACAGACCACTGCCGCAGCCCAATGGCTGTGAACCCCGCCAAACCTTGAGCTGCAGGTACGTTGAGAGCAAAAGGCTAACATGAGCGTTGACACATGTAAGCCTCACAGTGAAAAAAAAGTGTTATAGCAACGAACATCACAAAGAGCTGATTATCTGCTGCTATGTGATGATTAATTAGTTGATGGACGTTCCATGTTGAAAATATTCGTTTATATTGCGTTGTGAAAGGAAAATAGTTTATTAGCTGGTGACGTCCTACTGAAAATCGCAAAATATATATGGTATCGATCCTTGCAAACGTACAATCCAACTTCTCGGTCCTCAAGGTAGATCATGGCTAGATGATATAGAAAATATGAATCAAGATTCAAGGCAAACATGTTTACCCCAACAACTATCCAACTAAGCCGTTCTGTTCCCAGCTCCATAGAGTCTCTTGTCCACGGCGAGCAGTGCTTTGGCAAGATTGCTTACACCGTCGGCAATCACTTGTGGTCGCTCCCAAGCCAGCAGTCCCTGCTTTCCCTCAACTCGGGCAGTCGAAACTACCTCATAGTGCTGCTTGGCCCAGCTGGGGCATACGTAGGGACTGACCGATGGTGGCGAAACGCCATCCCGAGCTGAGATCGATCCGTTCTGAATCGCGACATCATCAGCCAGGAACACTGTGATGGAAGCTTTGGGCTTCCTTGCCGATTTTGGCTCTGCATCATCCCTTACTGAGAGATGATTGTCTGCCAATAGCCTCAGCGTCCCTTCCGGGCCCGGAAGCCAAGTCAGCTTGGTCATTGTGACGAGTTCTAATGAAGTAAACTCCTTCTCGGACCCTAATATCCTAACTATGGCCAGGAAAAAGACCAAAAGCCCGGTCGGAGAATCGCAAAGTGCGTATGCCAGCGTATTTGGATCGTATGCACCTATTCCAAATGACGAGGCAGTATCCGTGGTGGATATCCTGGCTCTTTCTGGATTGTTCTTCTGGAGGGCCGCAACGTCTTCCTTTGTATACCCGAGAATGGGAGTTTGCAGGGCCTTTGCCAGAGTCAATTTCAGCCATTCGACCGGCGATTTCAATGCCTTTGGAGCTTGCAATGGCGGCGATACCAAGTGGACACCAAGGCAAGAATCCAGATGATTGGCAGCCAGATGTGTGAGAATTTTCCAGTCGATTCCACCTTGGGGGGTAATGGATGACCCAGAGTTAGTCGCGAGGTAATGCCTGTATCCTAGTCGCCTCATGAGGATGTCAAGCATCTCAGAGGTTTTGGAGACGACCTGGACGTTTTTAGGCAGAGAATCGCTGAAGCCCAGCCCAGGGAGCGATGGCATAACAAGGTGGAAGGGTTGGTTGGTGTTTGCATCGGCAGGATCCGTAAAGGTATCGGTGATGTGGCGGAATGACAAATTGGAAAATGGAAACGGCGGGATTAAGAGCAAAGGCACGGCGTCTGGATGCCGCGAGCGCGCGTGAATGAAATGCATCCTCGTAGGCCCTTCTGTGGCAGATGTTTGGATGCTGATCCTGAACTGCGGGACCGAGGCATTGATTTCCTTTTCATGCTCTCTCCAAGTGAAGTGCTCAAGCCTAGAATTGGTTTTTATTAGCCACTGGAGATTTGATGAGAGATGGTGAGCGCCGACTTACCAATAGTCGATGAGCGGTTCCAGCGCTGGCTTCGGATCCCACCACGCCCTCGAGTTCGCGTCGGGAACTTCGCGAGGAAGCCGAGCTAGTTCGAGCTTCTGCCGCGTAAAATCGAGGTACTTGCTCGATGCCTTTGCACGTCAAAAAGTGATTAGCCGCGACGCCGTATTCAAGCTTGAACAATTCAGATGATGTACGCTATTCTGGGCATCATACGTGAATCTTGTACTCTTTGATGTCTTCATCCACCGAAGCGGCGGCGCCTGCTGCCTCGGCAGGCTGAGCCATGATGTGATGTAAACGGGTCCAGGTCCTGAAATACACGATGCCCTCAGCGCGCCGTAAGCTCGTCAAGACGGGTGTTAGTTGAGGGTAGCGCTCATTGCATCGGCGGCATGCGCTGGACCACAAACGCTGTGCCCAAGCCTAGAGGGTCGCGAAACGGTGGTGAAGGGGGGAAAGATAAGAAAAACAAGGCACATTCGGATTGCTGTATCAGCCACGGGTAAAAAGTACCAGACCAGTTGGGAGCAACAAGAGCTCCAAGGCTGGGCCGAGCTGGATTCATCGTGCAGTCCATCCGAAGCGGCGGCTAGTGGCTAGCGTGCCTCTTATTCGCAATTTACGGGGAGCCCAGCAGCTCCATCCCATCACTAACAGCGTCATGTCTCGCTTCCAACCGTCGTGGGGCTGGACCGTGTGAGTTGCGGCGCTTCTGCCGGGTAGAGGTACTCGTATTGTGTCAGTGTCGGTGTCAGTGTCGGTGGCGGTGCGGATGAGCTGAGCCTGAGCTTTGGCGTTGATTTGACAGCTCAACTCACTCGCGTCATCGGCCGGTGCTGTTTGAGGCGTCTGAATCGGCACCAAGTCGCTTCAGGCTGTTCCATGCCTACCTAGGTAGCATCACTGTCGCATCAGCATCAATCAATCACGGCACAGCTTCGAAGCATAAGCCAGAGCCATCAATTCATGTTCGTTAATAGTTTAGTTTCCTCAACTGCTAGCGCCTCCAAACGTTAAAATACCAGTATCAAATGTACCAACCATCGCAGCTGCTGACATTACTCGGCCGACTGATTCCGCCCGCCGCAATACCAACCCTCAGGAATGCTTGCTAATACTACAGCCATGGCGTACTGTATGCGCAGCCCAATCTCCAGTCAAGTCTTGGTCTTGGTGCCCATTGTCGGTGCCTTCTGCACAAATCACCGTCGGAAATTCACAGCTGTCCCCTTTACCCTCGGGGTCTCTGTGATCTTCCATCCTCATCGCAAGGCTTCCAGGTAGCCACGTCAATTTGTCTGATTGGCCCATCCGGCCCATCCAGGGCTTTAACAAATGAAGAGGAACAGGATTAGCCAAAGAGTTCGGTGTGCTGCTGTACAGTACTCTGCTCCTTGTCACCAATGATGGCAAGCACCGCGCAGGGATGTGTCCACCAGGCATCCAGACTTCCAGGGGGCCATGATTGGACCAATGCTGGCAGGGCAGAATCATGTTTGCTGAGCACACCAACTGGGAAGAAACTCGCAAAGTCATAGTCAAACATCTGGTCTATATCTTAGCAGGCTACTGTACAAGCACATCACGCTCTCGAGAGTTGTCGGCTCGTCTCATGCATCGTACATATTTCCGGAGAGTAGCACATGGAGTACGAGTATGTAGTATTACCATCATGATCCACCCCTGTGCGGTGCAGAATTTGAAAGTGCCGACGCGCCGCGAAGATTTATTTGGCCGATACGTGACACAATATTGCTTCCGACAGCATCCACAGCCCCTCTGGGTGAGGTCAGAGTGGGGCCTGCCGGCGCCGTCTCCTGGACTCGGAAGAGCTTGATGGCCGTGCCATTCCAGATACCCATGGTGCCCTTTGCAATCTGCATTTCGCTGGCAAAGATGACGCCCCAGAGCAGGGACTCGTACCATCCGAGTGCCAGCTGGGACCATTCAAATAAGTGGACCCGTACGGCAGACGGCTCGAGACCGACAAATTCAATCTTTTGAATTCGACGTAGCGTGTCAGCTGTAGCGTCTCGGGCCGATGCTTGTCGTGGGAGAACGCTCGATGCTTGCTGAATGATGGTCAGGATGGTATGTAGAGGTAATTCTGGCAACCAGCTATCAATCCACGAGGCTGTCGGTTCAAAACTGCCACCAAACGCCTGGTTGGTGGTCGAATATGCGCCAAGGCTTGTTGAGCTGTTCTGCCGGGAGAAGGACTGGATATTAGCCGGCATCTTTCCCCGGGCTTTCTCAGACATTCCTCGTAGCTGGACAGGCACTGCATCTTCAACGTGGGCTACTGATGATGCCTGAGACGGGTTTTCGCTAGCGGTCGACGCGGCTGGTGTGGGCTGAGGCTCCTCGTCGCTATCTTCCTCGTCATCGTCGTCTCCCACGGCAAAGGCGCTGTCCTCGGGGACTTCCTCCAACGATTGGGTCCGAGATAGAGCGTTAGATGGGCTTCGTATACTGTCGGCAGAGCTTCGTCGAGATCCATCGTCGAAAAGTCCAGTGTGAGCCCCAGCCCCAGCATCCTTCCTTCTCCGATTGATCTTCTCAATCTCCTCTTGTCCACTTTCCAATGTGAATGTCCTGAGCGCCTCAACACGCTTCTTGTTTTTGATAATGGCCAGTATCAGCTCCGGATTCTGGCGGTATTTGTTTTCAATAATGGAGTTGATCGAATCCAGCAGAGAGTGCAAGAGAACATGATTCGTTTCATTGGCAAGTAGAAATGATGGGGATGCCATCAACGAAAACAGATGCATCAGCTGGGAGCCACTGGAAGCACTTAGACCTTCAATATGCGGAGCTATGTTGTTGATGATTGCTAGAAGCGCCGGATAAACTGGCGCAAAGTTGCCCTGACTTGTAGTAATCAAGGTATAAATTGAGTGTAGAAGGAAGTCAGCGTATGTACCCCTGAATGCGTTGATTCTGATGCTCGCGGGGAGGCTTTCTTGGCCCTCGAAAATCTTGTTCAAGTGAGACCCAAAGCTCGCTTCAACGCTCAACGTCTGCAAAAGAAACGCGCACATGCGCACAACACCCTGCTTAGATGGCTCATTCCTGTATTCCAGAGCGTAGAACAGTGCTAGGACAACGAAATCGTGTGCCCGGTCGGTATCAATGATGAAGGACCGAAATCGCTTATTACATTGAATCAGTTCCCAGAATAGCATCAAAACCTCTGGAGCAAGGTTAGAAGAAGATTGAGAGCCGGGAATGTATGAGCTCTTCTCTTGAAGCGGCTGATTGAGAATCCGCGTCATTCCATCAACTATAAATTGAAAGTCTTGAGGACGATGTATTCGGCCGAGGAAGTGGCGGAAGTAATTCTTGTGGGAGCTCGAAGACGCATCCTCGGGTATAGGGTATATGAGCATAGCTAATAAGAAGTGTATGGAGCAAGTCACAAGAACCTGCTTAGTGTCTCTGAACACTAGAGTGTTGTATGGTACGCGCCAGCTCGCTGGGTTATATTTCAGCGTCTGTAGAAGATGGTAGTTAGCCAAATGGCCTCGCCCGGAAGAGGCTTTGAGTACTCACAGTGTTTAGAAGGGAACAAAGAACCGAGAGCACCACCTGCTTATCGGGAGACGTGCAGAGGTAGGTCAGAGTCCGCACTCCCCTCTGTGGCAGCACTCCCGGGGTTGTGTACATGCTTTGGCCAGCAAGAGTCATGAGGAGCCTTAGAATTTCACATCGGTTGCTTTCAAATTCTTTGGTCGTTGCCACGGCTGTATTGCATCCAACCCCGCTCTGCCATATGGCGTACGTAACCTTGGATTGCCCATTTGGCTGGCGAGGGAGAGTGAAATCTGAGAAGAATAGGAGGTCGACCAAGGTGTCTATCAGCTCCTCCGCTAGGGGTCTCAGATTCTCATGCGTCTCAGCTGAAGCCTGTACCGGCTCTTTCCCTTCCTGAGCTTCATCGAACAGCACTTCATTTTTGGCAGTTCGGCCCTTTACCTCTCGGGGGGTCCACAAGAACTTTTCTTCCCAAGATCCCAAGTTCTCTTTTTCATACAAGTATGGCAGTACTCGGGTAAGAACCCTGATACAGTTCAGAACGTCTCGTTCTGGAGCTTGGTCAGGATCTGGAAAGGATGGATGGTGTCGTAGAGTAAAGGCTCGCGTTGTCAGGGTTTGAATCAAGGTCTCGATGTTTTCTAGGGCATTGTCACGAGTTCGGCGGATATCGTTGGGCGAGAAGAGACTAAAAACATCTTCCGACGATTCAGGAAGCTCCCAAAACTAAGACCCCATCAGCATCCCGGCGGGCATGTGAGATCAAAGGCATGACGCACCGAAGTCCAGTAAGGATCATGCACCGCAATGTTGCGCTCCTCTGATAACCTGAAGATGCCTTGTTTAAATCCTATCTTGGAGTCGCTGGCCCCCATATCTGCCGCACAAGGCCTCGAGCCCTGCTGACTGTTTTAGATGACGTACCAACAGACTGGAGCTTCTGGAGATCCACGATGAAGCTGTCGCAGGGGAGTTCGTCATCAGCGCCATTCACTGCAGGGCTGATCACGTGTGGCGCATGCAAGCGGCAGTTGCTTGTCCCGCCGTATTGCCGACCGCAAACGTACCCTCGTATCGATAAGAAAAAGTTCAGTCCAATGATGAAAGGTGAGCTTCCCTTGCAGCACCTTGTACTTGTAACTCATGATGGAGTATTGAGATTCAACAAGGGTTACTTCGACTCCCTTCGCCCAACACTGCAAATACATGTCGTTCTCATAAGAGCATGTTGTCTCACAGTTGGAGATGATTCAACCATTCCTCCGTGCTAGGCCACTGGCCCGTACGACTACCCTGTGGGCCATTCGTCGACAGCTGCCTCTCACCAACCTTGGTTTAAGAAGCTTCACGGTCACTCGGGCGCTTGACGGTAAGCCAGCAGGGAAAGCGCGAGAAAAACGTAAACGGAGGATCAATGCAAAATTGCGGGAGGCTGCTACTACCAAAACGAAGAAAAAGAAGCTGCCAAAGGATAAAAAGCCCAGCCCTGCAGAGCCTGCAGAGTCCGCGTTGGATGGAGGAGAATCCCAGCATAGAGGAGAATCACAGGATACAGCGGCGCGACCAACTGCAGGACTATGGACTACCCTGAAATCTCGGCTTCAATCTTCGACTTCGAAAAGGCGAGCGAAAGCTGCCCCCAAAGACGACCAAGAAGATGTGGATGTAATGGCTCGCTATGCGGCGGCACCGATGGCTCCAGGTGACATACCTCCCGAGAAGACCTCTTTAGCCGGGAAACTTGCAAAAGGCAGGAAAGCAAAGGAATTGCCAAGACTAGATGTGAAGACGATAAGACCTCAGCATCTCAAACTATGTCCGGTCGAAGAGGATGCTTTGCTACCGGTACCGCAGCTCAAACATAACCTCGACCGGGTGCTGTTCAACCCGGGAGTCTATCATATGCAGGATGACCGGTCTCGGGTCTTCAATTTCGACCCTTATCTTGCTTCTATCATGCCAGTCAAGGAATTTGACTTTGATGCGCTCAGGAGCTATGTTACCTCATCCAAGGATGTCAAGTTGAGACAGCTCAGCGCCTCACATGTGATGAAGTATTGCGGCTCAACATCGAGCATGACTTCAATTCTCTCCCATTTTCATTTCCTGCTCTCCGCTTGGAGGAAACCTAATTTCGCATTTCTATCCCGATCAATAGAGCCCGAGTCCTATAATTTTACTGCCATTAGCCGTGGCCCTTCTGCTGCCTTTGCACACTATAATGATGGCACCTATGCGTTTGATTCGGACAAAGAATACGACACGGAGAATATTCTGAGCTTATTGGGCAAGTCAATGGAAAAGCTCCTTACATTGCCGAAAGATGAATTCGAAAAATATAGGCTATCGCGGTCTCATCAGTTGTCAGAAGAAGAGAGAAATGCACAGGACTCTTTTCATTACACGACTATGGGCGATTTTATGATGCGCTCTCAATTGGACGCCTACGATCCTCGACTCCCTGGTTCTGGCATGTTTGACTTGAAAACTAGGGCGGTAGTCGCCGTCAGGATGGATGTTCGAGGTTACGAGAAAGGTGCCGGCTATGAAATTCAGAAGCGATTTGGCCAGTGGGAATCTTTTGAGCGGGAATACTACGACATGATCAGAACTGTTTTCCTGAAATATTCTCTGCAGGTGAGAATGGGCCGTATGGATGGCATCTTCGTCGCATATCATAACACACAGCGGATATTTGGCTTTCAGTATATCAGCTTGGAGGAAATGGATGTGGCTCTTCACGGAACATCTGATCGCCGACTGGGTGATCAAGAATTCAAAACAAGTGTTGCTCTTTTGAACGAGGTTATGAACAAGGCAACACAGCGTTACCCTGGGCGAACGTTGCGATTGCATGTCGAGACGCGGGATACAAAAGTCCCTCTCACTTATTTCTTCGTGGAGCCGGTGACGGAGGAGGAAATGAAGACGACCCAGGAAGCTGGGAAATCATCAGTTGAGGAACTGGAGCGCGAGTTTCAGATTCTCAGCGAAACTGAAAGCGAAGAAGACTCAAACAGAGCCGAGAGTATTGAGCAACCCGAATCACAGCCATCCAATGAAAAGGAAGAGCAGATTTCCAACGAGCTTTCCTACCAGGACCCGCCAAACGAAGCTGCCTGGAACGTTATGATGGCAAAAGTTGACGCAACGGTAGAAGATGAATCTCTTGGCATAGGTTCTGTGAGAGAGGCTGTTCAGGAGGCTCTCGAACAGAGTGGAATTCTAAACGGCAAAACGGAACTGGAAATTGAGCAATACTTAGATGCCATGGTGGCATCTCTCACAGCACACTCTTCTAAGATTAAAGAGTTGAGGGACAGATCAGACGACCCAAGAGATGTTACAGGGTCAGTTCTCGGGCGTACCACAGATGATAACCTCGGTGCGGAGGAAGAGTTTGCAGCAGATGAAAAACAGACCACGGAGCCTGAATATGGCCAAGATGGCTCGGAGATGCGGGATGCCTCATTGACTGACTTGATCCTAAAAGCCACCGAGGGAATTGATAACAGGGCAGGCAACTTGAAGACGTTTCAACGCATGTTTGCTGATCTAGCTACAAAGTCCGAGCAAACAGATTCAGAAACTAGCGAGATGACAGAAAAGCTATCTGCCGAAGACGATGTTTTGGACGAAGATGAATTTGCCGAAGAAGATGACGAAGATGAAGACGATAGTGAGGCTGTTGAGACCCCGGAAGGAGCTGGGCAACAAGACCGTGAATTATTGGGCATGATTGTTACAGTTCGTAACCTCGTCAATGGCGAACAGGTTGACCGACCTACGAATCTCAAGAAGGACGACGATTTTGACTGGACGGTTGAATATAACATTACTGAACTGCGAGACAAAAGAGCGCGGAGAATCTACGCAGGGATGAAACAGCGGCGGAGAAGGGTATTTGCACCATCGCCCTCGGATAGGTGGGATTGGTACAAGATGTTCCGGGGCAAGTTACCGGAGCTGGCCAAAAAGGGGGAGCGGTTCAGAGAAATGCGTTCGCAGCAAGAAGCTGGCGGTCCAGTGCACGTTGCTTGGGAGCGAGAAGGTCTGTCCCACGAAACCTTTCAACCCGCCGGAGAGGATATCAAGAAAGACACATGATGGGTCACGAAATCACGACGTGGCTGTGAGACGGCGGAAAGCTGCTCTCGTGTACAATAATGGATTTTGTATAAAACTGTGAAACTGCTGACTGGTCTAATTTGGCCCGGGGACCAAGAGGACGGCTGTATTATCACTTGGATATTTACGGGAGGAGAAAAGAGGAGGGTCAATGGATCAATGTTTGTTTGTATGTACTATAGTGACGAAGACATGTACGATTTGCCGACAACTCTTGGGTATAGTTGCTCCAGTCTATTTCGTAACAAAAAGCTCTTGGAACCGATGCCTCGGACATGTCGACTGTCAACGAGCAGCGGCATTTCTCACCCGAGGCTTGGCTGCGTCAAAACCAACGCCAAAGCCATCAAACAAAGGACGCCAAGCAAAAGATCGCTCGTTACGAGAAAAGCGCGAACGCAGCGCTTACTTGTATGGGCATAACTTGGACGGCCCGGGATCGTCGGCGCTACAAACAAAGGAAGCCAGGTTTCCATTTCACATGGTAGAGCTGCTCGGCCGACGACAAACGCTGTGCAACCCCTCACCCACGAACTTCACTAATGTGCGGCTTTCTGCGTTGGGGACCGAGAGGGATGAAACAAAGCCCGAGCATTTTAGGCGGGACATTGGCCCAGCCAGGTGATTGTTGCAGGGTTTTGGGCTTGGCTTACATTGACTGCGCTGAAGTGGCATTTGTGCCTTGGCTCGTGATTCATGTGAAGACAGAGGTTGGAGTCATTGGACGTGGAGCAGCCTGTCTTACACGAGACTGGGAGCAACATGCTGCTGTTGGAATCTCTACCACGTACGAACATGCGAGTCTTCAATTTATAAGTACATGGAATTACAAGCACAATTAGCGCAATCTTGAACTAGATTAGATGCCATCTTCCAGCACATTTTAATTACCGCACCCTCTCAAAGACACGATGGCAACCGAGCTTCAAATACACATCGTATTGAATCTTCCTGTCGTCGCACCGCATAAGCTTTCCCCAAACAATCAGCCGCCGATACCCTCCCCCGCCTCCTGATCTGCCAGGCCGCACACCATTTCCTCTAATTAACTGGTCTCTGCCGATGCATGTGTAGGAGCTTGTCTCTGATTGGATCTCCATCTCGGGGCCTCGCTATTAGACAAACCTCCCCTGAGGTCGTTGAGGGATTCTTACTGGACGATGCCTCGGTCCTGCATTCATTCAGCGTGGCATTGGGGATGGAGCGAGGCAGAGTCCGGAAGGTCATCCGCCCTGGCGAGCATTCTTGACTTGGCACAGGGCCGGTTCCTTGTGAGCTGAGTTTGCCTTGTGAAGGCCCAAAGTTCGTAATAGTCGAGCGGAGAGGATTCGCAACGGCCTGGATTGCAGCTTGGAGATGGGTGGGCACTAACATCGTGTAGGCAGGTGGGCATGGCTGTCGTCGATTTATATATAGCTATGATGGAGGGCATTATTTGGTTCCTGGTTCCTGATCCTTGCGGACAACCAAGGCATCTGAAGGCAGCTCAAGCCAGCATTTGTTATCAGCTATGCGTCCCAGCTCGACGCTCTCCCTGCTGGCTCTGGGCTCTGTTGCCCAGGCCGCGGTTTCTCTTGAGAATAGCAGCCTCCCTCCTCGAGATATCGAGAACATCGAGAGGGCTATTGAGGCAAGAAGCTTGGCCGATGATATATGGAACGATATCAAGAATGCTGCGACGTGCACTGCTTGCCAGGTCAGAAAACACCATTCACAGTCAGTCATATATGTAACTGTATACATGTACTCACACGGCTCCAGGGCATTCTCGTCCTTCTCAAGGGCATCGCTGTATTTGGAGATGGAGCGTTTGTCAGCGTGGCTACGGAACTCTGCAAGCTCGCAAAGGTACATTACCCAGATGACCACGACGGTCTGATTTCCATCCAGCCGCGGCTAACGAAAGTCTTCAGGTTGAAGACAACGATGTGTGCGAGGGCACCGTGGCACTAGAGGGCCCCATCATTGCGGATGCTATCCGAAACATGGATCTCGGGTCCGATACATCAAAGCTCTTCTGCGGATCATTCCTTGGCCTTTGCCCTGAGCCCTCTGTTCCTCAGTGGAAGATCCCCTTTCCCTCTCCGAAGCCACAGACTGGTCGTCCTGCGTCGAGCGGGAAGACGCCTCTCAAGGTGGTTCAGTACTCGGATATTCACATTGACCCTCTTTATGTGTCTGGCTCAAGCTCGAATTGCACCAAGCCCATCTGCTGCAGGTGAGTCGATTTGTACAAACAAGAGTGACGATGAAGTCAAAAGATAAAGGTAATTACTGACGATATCATTACTATAAAGACCTTATACCGCAGCTGATGAGCCTGGCCACTCAACATCGCCTGCTGGGCCAAATGGAGATCACAAGTGCGATACTCCTGTCGGCTTAGAAATTAGCATGTATCAGGCCATCAAGAACATTGTTCCAGATGCTGCCCTAACACTCTTCACGGGCGATATTGTTGACCACGCAATCTGGAACACCTCACAGCCTTACAACCAGAAGCAAAGTTGGTGCTCCTTTTTCTTGGATATATTGCTTATGAGCAATGCATAGTTGACTAACATCGATACTTCCACTTGCAGTTTCTGACGCATACACTTATATGAGCCAATATCTGGGTATCGTTTACGGTACCGCTGGTAACCATGAATCCAATCCCACAAATGCTTTTCCTCCCAAGTCCATCAGCAACTCATCGCAATGGGTATATGATGCCCTATCTGACCAATGGACACGCTGGGTGGGAGCCTCAGCGGAATCCGAGATTGAAAGTATCGGCGCATACTCTACCAAGTATCCTAATGGCAACTTGAGGGTCATCTCTCTTAACACCAACTTTTACTACCGCATGAACTTTTGGTTGTATCAGGAGGGCATTGAGCAGGACCCTGACGGTCAAATCCAATGGCTGGTGAATGAGCTCGACGCTGCGGAAAAGGCAGGAGAGAGAGTTTACATCATTGGACACATGCCCCTTGGAGAAGGCGATGCTTTCCACGCAGGGTCAAACTACCTTGATCAAGTTGTGAACCGCTACTCGTCAACCATTGCCGCCATGTTCTTCGGCCACACGCACGTCGACCACTTTGAGGTCAGCTACTCCGACTACAACAGCCGAGATGCCTCGCATGCTGTCATGGCCTCTTACATCTGCCCCTCGCTGACACCTACCTCGGGCATGCCCTCGTTCCGAGTATATGATGTCGACCCGGAGACGTTTGCGGTGCTCGACACCACGACCTACATTGCTGACATGACCAATTCGGATTTCCAAACAACCGGCCCCGTGTGGACGAAGCTTTACTCCGCCAAGGAGACGTACGGCTCCAAGCTGAACCCCCCCGTCACAAAAGCAAGTGCCGAGCTGACGCCCGCGTTCTGGCACAACGTAACGGCCTTGTTCGAGTCAAACTCGGACGTGTTCAACCAGTACATCTCGCTCAAGAGCCGTGGCTGGAACGTCGCCTCGTGCACTGGGGACTGCCAGAAGCAAGAGCTCTGCCAGCTTCGAGCTGGTCGTAGCGAGAACAACTGCGTGGTTCCTTCAATCGGCCTTCACCTGAACAAGAGATCGGATGAGCTGCACGGTCACTCGCATCACCGATCCCACGACCACCAGGAATGCGGCATGTCGGCAGGCATGAAGACGCTGGGCTCTTTGGCTGTGAGGAAGGATTTGTTGGATGAGCTGGAGACCCGGGCCAATGAGTTGAAAGCCAAGGCTTGAGGCATGGGAGAAGGTTGTATTTTGCTCTTGATAGAGCGTAATGAAGACGTCTTTTATCCCAATTGCGCCGAATCATTGATATACGGACGAGATGTCATGTCATGCTGGAAGCTATGAAGGCGAGATCTGTCCGAGCAGCTGCGAATTCGGAATTGTATCGTTAAGTACCTAGACGTGAGAATGTGAAGCCGGAGTCTACTAATGGAGGCCGCCGGCGCAGGCAAGTTCCTATGGAGTGCTGGTGTTTGTGCTGCCTTTTCAAGCAAACTTCCAAGGTACCTGTACAATATACACGATTAGTAGAGATAGCGGTGAGGGCTTTTTTCAGCTTCATTTCCTGAAAGTCACAAGGATCAACAATGTATTGTACTCGTAATAGTAGTAGAAACAATGAGCTTAGACGATGGAGCAGATGCGCGTCTACTGTGCACGGCTTTGTTGATATTACGGTCATACCCCAAGTCATGCACTTGTACCTCTACTCAATGCTGCTCCTTGACACACCAATTGTTTTGCAGCTGCAATTGTACAGGTACCGTCTGTGTGTCTACATGTACCTACGGCATCCCTGACACTCGATTCACTATGGTGCTCTATTTCAACATCCCCAAACTTTCGCATCCACGTTCGTGTCTCAGCTCTCGATTGTCACTCTTCTGCCTCGCTGGAAAAGACGCTTCTGTCCGTAAATGTTTGCCCGCACGCTCGCATGCTAGGACTGCGGCCACGGCTCAAGGCGCGGCCTTCTCTGCTGGATCTGATTCGCGAGGGCAGCATCAAGGGCTCTAGCGACACCGAGTCCAGCAGCGACGAAAGCGACAGCGACAGCGCCAGCAACAAAGACAGCGCCCCATCCCCTGACCCGCGGTCCCCTGTGGGCGCTGCCAGAAGCGCTCCAGCGGCGAATACAGGCCCCGGAGGCGCTGAGCCCGCCACAGGCACCAACGCCGCTTCGGGGGCCAGTTTTGTTAGTAGTAGCAGTGCAGGTGGCCATTTCGGCCCCAGAGCTCGAGCTGGTGGGACTGGCAGCGCTACATCATTGCCTCCACCCCCGAGCCCTGTCCTTTCAGCAGCTGCTATCAAGCTTCCTCTGTTGCGAAACTCTCCACCTCCAACTCCATCTCCTTCTGCTTCATCTCCCGACTCTTCTCCTACCGCTGCCGATCGAGAGCTCGACAACGCTCCTCCTCTCCAATCGCTCACGATGCCTTCTGTATGCGTCCCCCCAAACCCTCCCCGCACGTCTCCCAGCACCGTCACTCGGGCATCGGTGCGGGAGCAGACAAACTACAGCCGAAGCCGTTGACGAGCTGGAAACGACGACGAGGCTGATGCCCCGCTACGTCAATCACTCAGGAAGCTGACTTGTATGGCGCCACAGAAAACCACAGAACAAGATGGCGATGCCATTCACTATGGTAAGGGCGTGATGATGAGAGAAGAGCCCTTGATTTGGACAAGACTGAGCAGAGTTGCTGACAATGTTGCGCAGGCAAGATCTACTCCATCTCAGGGTTGGTCACCTCGATACATCCGGATCTCCATCATACAAATGGCTTTGTTGCTAACCCAACCGCAGTCCCGTCATTGTCGCCGAAGACATGATCGGTGTTGCCATGTACGAGCTGGTGAGTAACATTACAATGATCAGCCACAGTCATGGCTGATTAGCTAATTGTTGGCGTCCAGGTCAGAGTCGGTCACGACAACCTCGTCGGTGAGGTCATTCGAATCAGCGGCGATCAGGCTACCATTCAGGTCTACGAGGAAACTGGTATGACGACACTCCCTTCCACTCTCACCTCTACACTCCGAAACCGATACGAATTACGTCAAGATTCGATGCTGACCAAGCTCCCCCAGCCGGTGTCAAGGTCGGTGACCCTGTTGCTCGAACAGGCAAGCCTTTGTCTGTCGAGCTGGGCCCCGGCCTGCTCAACAGCATCTACGACGGTATCCAGCGACCCCTAGCCAGCATCTCCAAGATCTCAAAATCCATCTATATCCCTCGAGGTGTCGCTGTTCCTGCGCTCGACCGAGAAAAGAAGTGGGAGTTTACTCCTCAGCTCAAGGTTGGCGACCACATTTCCGGCGGCGATGTCTGGGGAACTGTGTTTGAGAACTCCTTCCTGGCGGTCCACAAGATTCTGTTCTCTCCCCGAGCCCGAGGTGTCATCACCAAGATTGCCTCCAAGGGCGAGTATACCGTTGTTGATAAGATTCTTGAGGTCGAGTTTGATGGCAAGAAGACAGAGTATCCCATGATGCAGTCCTGGCCTGTCCGAGTTCCCCGCCCGACGTCTGAGCGTTTGACGGCCGATCAGCCTTTTGTTGTCGGCCAGCGAGTTCTCGATGCTCTCTTCCCCAGTGTCCAGGGCGGTACCGTTGCCATTCCCGGTGCTTTCGGCTGTGGCAAGACTGTCATTAGTCAGTCCGTCTCCAAGTTCTCCAACAGCGACATCATCGTCTATGTTGGATGCGGCGAGCGTGGAAACGAAATGGCTGAAGTCTTGAAGGACTTCCCCGAGCTCACCATTGAGGTTGACGGCCGCAAAGAGCCCATCATGAAGCGAACTTGTCTCATTGCCAACACCTCCAACATGCCCGTCGCTGCTCGTGAAGCCTCCATCTACACTGGTATCACAGTCGCCGAATACTTCCGTGACCAGGGTCTCAACGTCGCCATGATGGCTGATTCATCGTCTCGATGGGCCGAGGCCCTTCGTGAAATCTCTGGTCGTTTGGGAGAAATGCCTGCTGATCAGGGTTTCCCAGCCTACCTGGGTGCCAAGCTCGCATCCTTTTACGAGCGAGCTGGCCGAGCCCAGACTCTGGGATCGCCCGAGCGAAGCGGCAGTGTCAGCATTGTCGGTGCCGTCAGCCCCCCCGGTGGTGACTTCTCGGATCCCGTCACCACTTCCACCCTCAACATTGTCCAGGTCTTTTGGGGTTTGGACAAGAAGCTTGCTCAGCGAAAGCACTTCCCTTCAATCAACACCATCGTCTCTTACAGCAAGTACAACACCGCTTTGGACAAGTGGTACGAGCAGAACAACCCCGACTTCCCTAGACTGCGTGACCGCGTCAAGCAGTTGATTTCGGACTCCGATGAACTGGACCAGGTCGTCCAGCTGGTCGGCAAGAGTGCCTTGTCCGATACCGACAAGATCACACTTGATCTTGCCGTTTTGATCAAGGAAGATTTCCTGCAGCAGAACGGTTACTCCGATTACGACCAGTTCTGCCCGCTCTGGAAGACGGAGTGGATGATGAAGCTCATGATTGGATTCTACGACGAGGCACAAAAGGCCATTGCTCAAGGCCAGAGCTGGGCAAAGGTCCGCGAGTCAACAAGCGACCTGCAAGCCAAGCTGCGTCAATTGAAGTTTGAGGTCCCCACCGATGGTGAAGACGTGATTGTCAAGAGGGTATGTTATGATAATTTCCACATGTGGCGAGGTTGATGTCCGTGGCTAACATATATATTCTCTGCAGTACGAGGCTATTCAGCAGGAGATGCTGGACAAGTTTGCCTCGGTCGCCGACGAGTAAAAGGGCACTGTCGTTTTTTCTTTCTTCCAATTGTTTGTAGATGTGGTTGCGCGCATGTATATGTACGTTGCAGTGCTGGGACCTTGGAGCCATGTGGTAACTCAGGAACGAGGATGGTAGAAGACGGCCAAGAGACTTTGAGACGCCGCTTAATATTGTACCAGCTCAATGTCAATGTTACTTTTCGTTTAATTCAAGCACCGCTTTGTTCCATTGGCTTTGTTAAAATGTCTATCAACGTGGGGAAATGCTAGCCAGCATCCCAACTCTGTTATCCAGCATCCCAGCGATTGCATGAGGTTCAAGTGGCAGAACAGAATACAGGGGGGAGCCTTTTATTTCCTCACCTCACTGACAGGTATCAAATAAATAATAAATACCAAAAGTACCCAAGTAGCTCTTTGAGTAGCTGCTATTGTCACTATTTTTTGCTATTATTGATATTTTAGCCCAACTACTAAATAGTATCTGCTACTATGGAGCCCTGGAGGGTATATTTATTATCAAGAGGTTTAGTAAGGCTGCAACAGCTAGGTCAGAGGGAGGCTACGCCCCAGCCTTTGGCTTGAAATCCAGAATCAATCCGTACCTCAACCCGATCGGCCACAGCTGACCAAGTCAAACCTTGATTGAGGGACCCAACCTCCCAACTTCTCGCTACCCCAGCTCGACGAGCCAAGACGATTCGGGCCATGTGGTCATTATTGAAAGAGAAGCTGGAAACAGGACGACTGCGCCCATTGATGATGGCAGTTCTGGAACAACTGGAGGGCCCATCTTGGCAAGCGACAACGCCTCGCAGGCACCACGAGAAGGGTCTCAAGAACTGAGCAATAACCCCCCTGGGTCCCCTGGCTCGGAAGATTCAGGCCACAAAGTATGACCGAGTATCTGCTCATATAGCTACCTATATTTTTCTAGTATCTGCTGCTATGGCTATATTTCTCCAGTATCTGCTACTCTTGTTATATTTCGCTAGTATTTGCTACTAAAGCTATGTTTCTCTGTAGTTAGTCTCTGATATTCTTATATACCCATCTATTACTTGTGACGTGGGATGCTGGATAGCAGAGTTGAGCATATTCATCAACATATGAATCAGCTCCGTCATCTTGCTCGTCGATACAGTGCGAATAATGTGTGACGTTTTAGTAACATCACTGTGCGAAAATCATACATCAAGCCAGCAGCTAATTGGACGAAGATCAACTCATGTCATCCTGGGTGAGAGTGAACTGGCCTGGAGAATAGAGCATAAAATATCACTTAATCGTCCTCTTTTCCTTTGCTTGAAATAATGTCCGAAGACCTCCGTGATGAGGTAGAAGCTCTCAACTCCATCTACGGCGAGGGCTGTCTCGTCCCCTCCGAGGACCAAGATGAGAGCCCGACATCCTCATCTACAACATATGTATTACGGTTACCCGGCGATGAAGCTTCGTCCTTGCGGCTACAGTTTCCAGACTCATACCCAGCTGAGCCACCGGCGGTGTTAGGGACGCAGCACAGTTCCGGAGGGAGAAAGGGCGCCGGCGCAAGGGACCTGGGTGTGTTTAGGGAAGCCCTAGGGACGGTGTTCCAGCCGGGAAGCGTGTGTCTGTTCGATGCGGTGGAAGAATTCGTGAGAAGGATGGAGGAGGAGAGGGAAAAGGAGGAGCTGCCTCAGCAGCAGGAAGGCGACGACGCCGAGGATGGCGAAGGGGCGAACGCGGACCGGGGAGAGCGCGCGGTGGACGGCGGACAGACGGATTTCGCAGCCATGACGCCTCCTCCGTGGACGCTATCGGAGGTAGTGGTGGAGAACAAGTCGACGTTTGTGGCTCACGTTGCAAAAGTCGCGTCGCCGGCGGAAGCGAAGCTCTTCCTGCAGCACCTGCTGTGGTCTGATCGCCGGATTCGCTCGGCGACGCACAACATCACGGCGTGGAGGATACGCGGGCCGGGGGGCACGAGCTATTCCGACTGCGATGATGACGGCGAGGATGCTGCTGGTGGGAGGTTGCTGCATTTGCTGCAGTTGATGGAGGTTTGGGATGCGATGGTTGTGGTGACGAGGTGGTATGGGGGTGTGAAGCTTGGGCCGAGGAGGTTTGCTTTGATTAACAGCGTGGCGAGGGATGGGCTTGTGAGGGCTGGGTTTGGGGATGGGGGCGGGAAGGAGAAGGAGAAGAAGAAGGGGAAATGATGGTGATGAGAGGGGAGAAAGGGAGAAAGAGGAGGGATGTTTATATACCTTTATATAACATAATAGAAGAGCATGTTACACACTTCTGCCGCCCCCATGAGGTGCTTTTCAAGAGACAGGGCAGGCACATCATCTGATTTATTATACTTGCTCAACACACAAGAATAATACGAGCGAATGTGTTTGGGATTCTTTCTTTGTTTATTTTGCAAGTTACTCTCTCATAATGCGTCATGTTTTCATTGCCATCGTTATCCCGATAATCCTGATCCAATATAACGGATGGCCAGCTTTTGCGTAGAAGTAGTAGTAGTAGAAGTAGAAGAAAGCTAACAGCAAAAGCAAAAGCCAAAAGGCAAGTAAAACATCAAGGACAGACAGGCATGCTCCCATACAAACTCTATAAAAAAATCTTAATCTTGCGGTACCATCTCTTTGATGTTCTTTCATCCAAATCATTCCAAACTATTGTCGTGAGATGTACCAGAAATCTCTGCGGCTGCTCATGGCCGTGCTTTCATTGTTTTGTTTTTTTGAGGAACCTCCTCGTTCTGAACGTCGTGTGTCTTTTTAGTTGAGCTCGTCGTGCACTCGCTTGGTGCTGGGGGTTATAAAGATAAAAATAAAAAGGAAAATAGCCGAGGCCGCTCATGAGCCTGCTCTATGCGGTGGCAGTTTCCTTGCTGCTTCGGGACTCGGGAGCCACCAGTGACTTTTCCCATTCATCCATCAGGTTGTTGGCCGTCCTCTTGAGGTTGCTCGGGGATAGATGATGAACAACGCTAGGAAATAGGTCCTCAAGCGTCGGAGAAAGAAGTGATGCATCGGCTTTCCTCGCCCTAAAAAGATTGTAGGTCTGAGTATCAGTCACTCCATTCGTGTGCACAGCTTCATGGAACAAGGCATAAATCCTTACGGCTTGGCATCTTCTTCGTCTTCCTTCTCGGGAATGTCATCAATGCCACTGCTATTAATGGTAGAACCACTCCAGCGGGCAGACTTGGTGGAGACGGGGGAATCCCAGTTGGACCAGTCAGTATCGTCAACAGAGTCGAAACCAAGCGGTGTCCAGGAGAATTTGTTCCCTTTCCCAGTCCCGGTCTTTGGCTTCAGCTCGGGGGTTCTGTTAGCTTGGGATGTGGTCGACGCGGCCGTACTGGAACCTTCATTACTGCTGGTCCTAGTGTGGGTGGTGGCATGGTTCGGCTTACTCGTATCTTGCTCACGAGCATGGGCGATGGAGGTCGACAGTGGTCTCTGCGGCTGGCCGGTCACCGGTTCATCTCCGACGGTAATCTGGCGAATGTCCTCTACGAAGGCGCGGAATCCTAGCTTGAAGTCTTCGACAACGGATGCGACGCCGACGACAGACGCCATGGTTTGCTGGGACCGGGGTTGCCAGGATGATCGCTTTGCCAGGGTCGGGTCGGTGAGCTGGGCCATCCTCTGTTCGACCGATGGGAGGGCGATTGGATCTGCTTGTGTGACTTCGTTGAGGGAGAATACGCTCTCGGTCCGTACGGGAGAGAGAAGGGATAATGTGCGGGCGTGCCCACCACGAATAATCTTGCGGCGGGCCTGAGCAGGAGTGGTTTGGCCTTGGAGAATGTGCTTCCGACGATCCAATTCAACGCTACGCCGTGATGCCACCAAGGCATCATCGTCGATGCTGGCCTGCGAGTTGCCAAAGGGATCGTTTCTGTGGCTGTTGCTTCGTTTGCGGTAGACTTCTTCCGATGCCCATTGCTTCTTTAGCCGTGCCAATTCCGTCTCAGCCTGTGCGAGTTCCTCCTTGAGCTCCAATACTCTCCGCTCCTGCGCCGCAATTGCGATTATGAACTCGTTTGCATTCGACGGAGAGGTGGCAACGGAAGCAGGAGTCTCCAATGGCGTTTGAGGAACCGACGAGACCATGGCTGACGCGGACAGGATGGCCGGCGAGTCGGCCAGCCTCGGGCCGTCAAAGGGCACGGCAACGGGAAGGGTAAGCGAGAGGCGGTTCTTGTGCCTCGAGACGGAAGGGGATGCACGTGAACGGCCTCGAGTGAAGGAGTCGCTCCGGGGAAGAGGCGGTGGAGGCATCGCCTGCGACTCGTCAAAGGTGGACGAGGTACTAGACGCACTGTGCGATCGTGAGATTCCAGGGGAGGAGGAGGAGGAGGAAGCGAAGGTGGCGGTCCTGGCGATGCTGCTGGTATCGGTCACAGGGCTTCCCGCCGCCGACGAGCGAAGACGGATCTCGTGCTGCTGCGAGGCCATATCCAGGTACCTGGGCAGGTTGATGCGGGCTCGTAAAGACAGGACGATTACAGGCGATAGAGAGTGGCTGCCGTCAAGCGGACGGCGTTTTCCAGAGTGCAAATGAGTGGCTGGGGCCCTGAGGCGCCGGAAGTGAACGGAGACGACTGCTACTCGGACAAGGAGTGCTCTGTGGTGGTCCTGGCTTAGCAGCTGGTAGTCATCGAGGAGAGGGCGAGCACTGCTGTCGACGATGCAAATTCCAAAGGGCAGGCCGCTCATGGGACAGCCGATGCTGATAAGGAGACAGGAAGGAAAATCGGACGCTCCCGCTCTCATAATAGCACCGGCTGCGGAGCCCTGGCCAGGTTTGTGCAGTCCTTGGGGCAGATGCGACGACTCCGTTTCGTTTCAGCGCAGGGCAGTTATTGGACAGACCAGACCGCGGCCGGGGTCGCCTTACCCAGAAGTTGCCCGGGGACACGACAGGGGGTGTCGAGCCGTTTGTCAACAGAGGCGGATGCTCTGGAGCTAGGCCGGCGTGCTTGTGGTTCTAGTCCCGGTACCAAGCAAATACTAGGCAGTAGATAGAGGAGGCGGTGGGCGGGCGGATGCTATGGATGTTATATGCAGATGCAGATGCTGCAGCCCGACGAGAACTGCTGGGCACAAGCGACAACAACGACAACAGCAGCCCGGCAAAAAAAGAGGTTCAAGTTTGGATGGAGGCCCGAAAGAGGGGGCGGCTTCGTTTTCGTTTTGCCTTGCTGTTTTGTTGACGCTGAGATCCGCTTGTCCCCCTCCTCGCTTCAAGAGGGGGAACAGAGAATGTCAATTTTGTCTCAAACCCAGACCGACCACTCAGTGTACGGCAACTCGTGGACAAGTGGGCGCAAGTGAGTGGTGTGTGTGTGTGGTGTGCTGGCAGCGAGTGAGTGGTGCCTGAAGCTTCTCAAATTATTGTTGATGTTGCTGAGCTTCGTCGTACCGGTGATGATGATGCCGATACCAACACCAGGCGAGGTTGTACAATACAGGCGGGAAAAGTTGCAGAATGGAATAGCTCAGCACCAGGCAGTCAGATGTATATGTATCAACCGTGACCTCCGTTTCAACGACCATGACGCAGTTATAACCACTTGTTGCTCGTACGAGGTCAGACATGCGTTTGGCTCTTGGGCTCCCTTGCGGAGGCGTCAACTGACTTGCACGCTGGAACCCGAAGCCGCCAAACCCGCCCAAACAGCTGCGCATCTCCAGTGGATCGCTTGTCGCTCTTCAGGGGCTCGGCGGAGAGGGCGAGTGGGGGGGCAGCTACATCCATCCGCTGAGTGCTTGTACCACTACGTGCTAGCGGGCAATATCTTACAATTACCTATGCTCACTGAGCTTGTTGGGGGGGCTGGCGGCTCACAGCTTCAATGCCTCAACTTCGAATGCTTCCATGCTTTCAATGACAGCAGCTGATGGCTGGGGGCACAACAAACACCCATGGAATTGCTACTAGTGCCCGCAAGTAGCGGTACCAGCGATGGCGTACCAGTTCTTCGGCTAGCGCTGATCGATACCGCCTGACGCTGCAGATGCGGTACGTGCTGCTGGCGCCGTGCTCAGTACAAGTACAGGTGCGAGTCCATAATTGGCCTCTTACGAGTACATCATGCCTGGGCCGCCCAGTGGCCGCATATACTGGTTGGTACTTTGGCCTTGTACCTACTGTGCTCGCCCGAAGCGACCTCAAATTTCCGCGCAATATCTCGACGCCTGGACAAGCGGCGCGGCCGTGTTTCGCATGCCTTTCCTTGCGCGTCCTGCAATAATTATGCCCTTCTGCCAGTTGACTTTGTGACTTGTATCTTTCCCGGTCGACAAACTTTCGGCCTTCTCCACAATCCGCCTCTCCGGAGGGCTGCAGCCCGTTGCACGTGCAGCCCGTTCATGTGACTTCCCGTTCATCTCGCGTCGCGTGCCCAGAGATCCATGTCAAGCTTTTGGCTGTGTTTTAGATGTGAGTGGAGATTTCACACCCATTCCGCCAGCCCGGCTGCTCGTGTCCTATCGCGCTGCCACAAGCCGCTTCTTGCTATCTGCAGGGCATGATCACGGGCATCTTCCTTGACTGAGCTGGGACGTCTAAGCTCCAGAGCCGATGAATCTGTCTCACAGCCTTGCCGATCCAGCCTCGCGATCCGGTAAGAACGTCGAACGAGGAACTACCAGGTACTGAACTGCTGCTCAGATAGTAGCTGATATCTGAGTAGTTGGGTGACTCTCTTACGTTGAGTTGCCTGTCTATATATCCGTGCCCCAGAAAAGCAAAGCATGTTGTGAAATGTCGTGCGGGCATATCAAGCCGAAATGCCCTTTCCTTTTTCTCACGTCTGCGATTTGTTGGAGGCATCTTACGCACTAGCAAAAGCTCGAAAGTCCAGCAACTCGGCACTGATTACATGGTGTTCTCAACATCGCAGTCTTATTGATGCGCCAGACGCCAACCTTGCAGCCTTATTGTCCACATTACTCCCTGAAAAGAGGACGGATAGGGTGTATTGCATACAAGCAAACAGCCTTGAGCGCGTCATCGGACGTGGCTTGATGCTTGGCTCATCTCGTCTCAAGGAACTCTCAATTTATAAGCAGCCGGGTCTTGGGTTGGATCTTGCCGATTGTGTAGAGCGTATTTTGACTGTCACTGTAAGCTATACTCCCATCGCCGAAAGGGTAGTGGCATCTAACCGTCTCTAGCCGAACCCAAGTCTTCCAGAGAGACTTCAAGTCACTGTTGAAGAAATTGACGAAGCCTTGCATTCCATTGCAGCCCAGGTAAGATGGAGCTCGCCATCTATACGAGTTCCAGAGGCAACCATTGCCAAACCGCCCGCTCGGAGTGGCTTGGAAGCTGCCTACAGACGACTGACTGCGAGAGAAGCGAAATGGTTTACACGACTGGTTCTCAAAGACTTTCAACCACTGGTATTTGATGCACATGAAGTTTATCGCTTGTGCGATCCTCTGCTGCCATCAATTTTGAAAATCCGTGAAGATTTTACAATTGCCATCAAAACCATGCAGCAGTTGAGGAGAGATATGCGCTCTCTACACCCTGATGAATTATACATTGAGCGGAAGCGACTGTCATCAATCAAACCACAACTGTCAGTCAAAGTTGGGAGGCAACAATGGTTTAAAGCTCGAAGTATGAAACATTGCATCAGTATGTGCAAGGGTGGTGTAATGAGCGTCGAAGCAAAGGTGGATGGAGAGTACTGCCAGATCCACGTTGATGTTAGCAAGGGTAGACGCGGTATCCAAATCTTTTCCAAGAGTGGAAAAGACAGCACCGAAGACAGAGAGCGATTAATCGGGTAAGTACTCTTGAAAAAAATGTGTTTTTAAATCGGAAAAGCTAACGACTGGAAAAGGATCATCATTGATTCATTGGGAATAGGAAAGGCTGGATGCGATATCAAAACCGAATGCATATTGGAAGGAGAATTGGCTGTTTACAGCGAATCGGTAGGCCGCCATCTACAGTGAGAGTGTGACTCTGCATTGGCTAACTCCTATATATAGCAAAAGAAAATCCTACCCTTTCATCATATTCGAAAACACGTTGCCCGTCGCGGTCGATTCATGAATACAGGCCAGGACTCACCGTAAGTAAGCCCCTACTTGCGCTTGCGATGATTGGATATAGCATCCTAACTTGACCAGCCCGAGGCCTCACGAACACTTGATGATAGTGTATTACGATATCTTGCTTCTCGATGGCCAATCTTTGTTACATGTTCGGCACTCGGAAAGATTCAAGCTGCTCGAGAAACTAGTTCGTTGTGATAGGGGACAAGCTGAACTCATACAAAGGCAAATTATCAACACTAGCCATCCCATGGCAGTTTCAGCGCTGCGAAATGCTTTCGCCAAAGTTATTACAGACAGGGGCGAGGGGTTGGTATTAAAATCAGACCAGCCTTATTTCAACTTTGAGAGTGATGGAACACCGTTTACAAATCACTGTATTAAGCTCAAGAAGGACTACATCGGCCGCTTTGGAGAGGTTGGCGATCTCGCTGTGGTTGGTGCTGGATTCAACGCCGCCAAAGCGAGGTCGTACAATATTGAGAACCTCAAGTGGACTCATTTCTATGTGGGCTGCATTGACAACAGAGAGGAAGTAAAGCGATGGAATGCCAAGCCAGAGTTTACTGTCGTCAACGTTGTTGAGCTTAGTGAGGCCATGCTCAAGACATTTGCATTGTACACGAACCCAAAGCCGGTACCAGTTAGAGAAAACGTTGAAACTAAACTGAAGGCTGCCGCTGGGGCTCAGCCCACGCCGATGACTGTGGCATTTACGAATCCTCCCGTTTTTGACATGAGATGCTTCAGCTTTGACAAAGCAGGCGACACAAATTGGTGGAGTTTACGGTTCCCGTCCGTTGCAAAAATTCATTTCGATCGAGATTTCTCTGATGTGCTCTCATTTACTGAGCTACAAGAAATCGCAGAGCGCGCCACATCAGCACCTGACTTGGAAGATAGTCAGGATAATCTTGCATGGATAGCAAAACTAGAGCAAGCCGATCCAAGAGGAGTGGCTGTTGACGCCGCTACGCAGTTGACAGCAACAACGATGCCAACCCCATCGCCGAGACGAGCCTCTCATAATTCCTCAGAATCTCTGCCTCTGGTCAGACACGTTACTAGAAACTCTCTAGAACGATCCCTTGAATTGCTGGGTGCCCCGGTATCCGAGTCCCACAGACTTGCCGCATCACAGCCATCCCCCACAGCACATCTATCGAAAACAATCCCCAGCCTTGGTCATGAAAGGAAACGCATTACCTTTGCATCAGCCTTGTTTTCTCCACCAAAGAAACGCTGCCAGCTCTCTAGAGATGAGGAGTTTGAATCAACATTTCTAGATCGCAAACCCGTATCCGAATCCCCAATACGACGTCCATTGGGAGAGATAGATGGCAACTCTACGCAGAAGCCCCAGAAATCAGAGTGCCCTTCGGCTGCTTGCCAACCTGACAATGAAGATTTGAACGCCTCCCCTCACCCCAAGCAGCCTCAGGTGAAAGAGACGGATACTAGCATGCAGAAAGATGCTGCATTTCAACCGGCGGGGCTGTCATCTTCTCTTTTGCCATTAAATGATAGTGCCATCGTCATACCAGATAGCGAAGATGAGGATGAGACTGACAGTGATGCCGCTACCCAACCACTAAACCCAGTCCGAAGTAACGATGAGCAACACAGTCGCGATGTTGGACTGGAACGGAGACTTTCGGGGGCAAGGCCTGAAGAAACCGAAGCCATTTGTCAATATGCCGGTCTTGATTGCCAGCTAGTTAATCGACTTGTTCTGCTACCGTCCTACTTTCACAACCCCGATGGGGCCGAACCGTTGCTCCGAAAACACGGACTATCAAACATCATCCGAGATGTCGAAGCCTGGATCAGAAACGATACAACCGATACTTCTCAGCTGCCAGACAGCCAGACAGGTCGTAACAAGATTCTGTTTGTTGATACGGTAGAGAGGGAGCAAGAGACAAAGGCCCTGCTGTCTAAACTGGAGAGCATCCGTGAAAATATCCCAGAGGAGAGACGCGAATGGATAAGCGTCTTTGATTGGAGGGTGCTGAACCATCTCGCCATTTATGAAGACGCGAAGACTACGAAGAAATATTACGATGGATTTCATGATCCGTGGCGGCGTTGGTATTCAGGGTTGATTTGAGGTCAACTTTTTTAAAGCGTACATGTGAACACGAAGGGCATATTATCTATATAATTCTTAATTAGATAACAGGCCTCACGGCTTCTTTTCATCATCGTACAAAGTACCGTAGCTCGCCTTTAATCTCATAAAGAGATGCTCATTCGCCGTCATTACCTTCCTCTCAGCATATGGGTTCTCATTCGGCGCGCTCTCATCCGGAATGAAGTTCTTGACTCTTTCACTAGGCACAGGCTCCAACGCCACCGATCCCGCCGGATGACAGAAGAAGGCAATCGAGTAACGCGGTCCCGCGCTAGTCTCGCCCTCTACCTTGCTTGCTACATTATCAGATGGGAAGACCACTCTGTGGACGGTGCTTCTGAACAGCCCGTTGGTCCAGTAAGAAAGCAGGTCTCCAATGTTGATCAGAATAGGGGGGCTGGGATCGTTCTCTGAGCCTGGAGGGCAGACGGGGACAGGGGCCCAAGAGCCGTCTTTCTTTTGCAATTCCAGTCCTGCCTGACCTTTCAGCCGGAAGAGTAGCGTAACGGAGCCGTAGTCAGAGTGTGCGCCGGCACGGATATCATCGCTGGAGCGAGAGGTCTGGTCAGGTGGCGGGTAGCGGAGGAGCCGCAAGATGGAGCTGGATTCGCCGTTGGTGCTGTGTGCTGAGGAGAAGAAATCGCCCACCTAACAGACGGCCGTGCCGGTGTTAGACATTCAATGAGTTTTAATGAAAGGACTATCAAGGCTGAAGAGTGAGTGAGAGTGACGCACATCGAGGCCTATTCCGAGTAGGTGGAGGAGCTTCCGGCAGAGTTTGTGGCATGAGTCTGCAAATGCGCTGACCTGTGGCTCGTCGGCGGCGATGGTGGGCGGGAGGGGCTGCTGGGCTTTCCCATCGATGAATTCGCCAAAGTTGAAGGCCCTTTACATGGTGAGTTTGTGTTGTTTACATGGATAGGTATGAATAATGCTTACTCTTTGAAGTCCCCGACCTGATAAGCAACGACAAGATATCGTTAGCCAGTCACCGATAACATGTGTAGGATTTATGAAGAGATTACCTTTTGGTGTTTGGGGTCTAGAGTCTCCGAGTGCATGCCAGACCAACCGCGGTTATTCGTCTGAATAGTGCACGCCTGCTTCTCTGCGAGGGGAGCATCAAACAGCTTCCGAGACTAAACACGGCACCCAATGTCAGATTATGAATGAAGGTAAGAAATGCCTGCTTCAGAAGACTATTACTAGTGCAAAGGCCCCGTCAATGCTGCTGGCAGATATATCGGCTCCGAGATTTCTTATGTAAATGAAGCCGTGCTCGTGAGCGGCGTCAACCAGCTGCTTAGCGACGACATCCCGGTCACCAGAGATGTCGATGATGGGGATGTTAGCAGTAGCAGCAGCCATGGCTTTTCCCTTGGAATGTGAAATCAAGTGTGGGAGTTGCAGTAGAAGGCAACTGAGGGAGAAGAGTCAGTCAGCGATATCGTCTTACGATCTACTCAAGTGCCCTTATCTTGGACGGCACATAGCGTCAAAGTATTACGGCTAGCAGTTCGGCGTCGCTTGAATGTTCCGGGATCGCTGCGATGGCTGGATTGGGACACCCCGCTATGCGCTTGGAACAGGGTGAATTTGTTGTGGCGGGGTCGAGGGAAGCTTGGAGCTTTGCCGCTAGTTGGGGGGGAGCTTGTAATTGATGGTAATAGCTCCTGTGTGGTAGGCGGGAGGCGGGAAGTGTGCTGTAAATAAGAGGGATAGTGGCCCTTGATTGTAGTGCCTAGTCGAGGTTGATCTTTACGAACAGGCGAAGTAAACATCAAATACATCCAGCATGGTGGCTGTGTTGGAGGTTTAGATGTGAGTAGCCGAGGTAGCCCCAGATAGATCATGAGATTTGATGAGAGACTGTGCTTTTGCTGTGCTGTGCTGTGCTGTGTTGTGCCCACCAGCCACCCGCACACATGTACTATGGGTACTCGCACGTACACAACGAACCAAGCCACACTTCTGGCCCTGTGCGCGCCACACCGCTGGATCCAGACCAGACGTCAAGAGGGATCGACCTACCTTAGGGGAACTGTGTAGAAGCGAAACCCCAAACAGCAGAGCAAACCAAAGCCGCCAAACCTCCCTCTGCCGTGTGCGCTTGCTTACCTTTGCATCTCCACCGTGCAGCGACCGCACTGTACCTGTACCTGTCCTTGTCCTATCCTGTCCTGTCCTGTCCGCTACTACTACCTGTCGGGTACCTTATTGACTCGCCTCGCTTCACATCCCTCGCCCAGCTCTGCTTACCTGCGCAGGGCTGAACTGAACCTCTCCATCGACTTCCTCGGGTGCGGCTGCTGGGGACGTTTGTCTATTTTCATCTTCAACTTTGTTTGTCTCGCCACGGGAAAGCGAGCCTTGCCCAAGCCTTGCCGCAGCCTTTCGTACACGGCGTCTGCGTGCTGCTGTCTTGTCTTCCAACGAGCCTGTCTTGTTTTCTTTCCTTTTCTCTCTCTCTCTCTCTCTTTTTTTTCTTCCCAACTTTCCAACTTCTCGGTGCGCACTGGCAAAGACGAGCTTTCTTTCCTTCGATTTCGTATCCCGGCCAACCCAGAAGCCCTTGCACGTCGACCACGCCGATCCATCCTCCCAATTCCGCCCGCATCGTCGACTTCTCGCCCTCTTCCTTGTCTCTCTTCGTCTGACAGCCGCGGGTTTTCAGCCTCGTCTTGAAAACACCCCATCCCACCCCCCGCCGTTCCGAGTCGCATAGCGAAGCCGATAGTCATATACCTGTTTGGTTCGAGGAGGCTTGCTCGAGATGCCTTGTGAGTCCTTTCTTCGTCTCTACACAGCCGCCTCTGAGCTCGGCGAAGCAAGTGTGTCGTCTGCGCGTGACTCTTGTTGCGCTACATTGTCATGGGCCTTGGGCCTTGGTCCGGCCACTCTTCGGGTCGTCGCCATGGGCCCATATGAGATGCCATAGCTGCAGATGATGCCTATTTTGCTCTTTGATGCTGCCTGCCGCCCAATTGGCAAATTGGTGGCCGTTTTCAAGGATAGTGCTTCAACGCTTCTTTCGGGACGTTGTTGCATTGGGAGCCTCATGTCCATGCCCATGCATTTTCGCTGCTGATAAACATGTGGCATAATCACACAAGCTAATTCTTGCCATAGTCCTTGTGGAGGATTCCTGGATCAATGCCCAGGCTAAGTACGCTCGCTTTCCCTATACAAACTCGAACTGAGTGTGCTAACTGCCCGCTGATCAGCACCTATGACATTACCGAGCTCGAAGATTGCGCCATTGCCGTCGATGCTTCTTATTACCTGAGTCTTCTCCTGGACACCCAACCTTCCCACGAGCCCCTGCTCACTGCGCTCGGCGGGTTGACCGGTATTCAGTTTAATATTCGGCAAAATCTAGACCTTTGGGACAAGCATCGAATTATCCCCTTCTTCATCTTCGACGGCCAATCCATCGTTGGGCAGGATGAAATTGCTCTTAAGCGAGGCAGAGCCGCGAACCAGAAGACGGATCAAGCATGGGAGTTGTACTCGCAGACCGAGGCCGAGCAAGCTGTCACTGCATTTGGAGCCAACCCAGGTATGTCCATCCTACCCCGGACAAGGTTCTCTTGTTTGTCTGCACCGGGGATAGATTCGCTAATCACACTGAGAAAAGGTGCCTATCAGCTTCAGAATCTTTACCCTGTTTTGCAAGGCATCTTGAAAGAGAGGGGATTGCATTTTTTGGTGCCTCCTTTCAACGCCTGTGCTCAGGTTCGCTTCCCTTCGTCCCCCTTGAACTGCATGACCATGTCTGACGATAGGAAAGCTGGCCTACTTTGAGATGATCGACACGGATCAATGCGCTGGTGTCATGGGTCCCCAAGAACTGCTTCTCTACCCTGTTCAGGACTCTGTCATTCGAAACATGGACTGGGACGCTGGAACAGTGACCGCCATCTCAAAGAAGAGGGTCATGCGTGCCCTCGGAGTTGGCGAACCCATGTTTGTCGACGCCATGCTCATGACGGGAACTTCGTTCCTCCCCCCATTTCCCCCACTGCAAGACACGGCCATGTATCCGAATCCGTATACCATCATGGACGCTGTTAACATCTTGCGGACGTCAGAGAAGACGGTGGCCAATGCCTGCGCGTCGTTCAACGATATTTTGCAGGCGCATGATCCCAACTGGTTGGACAAGTACCGCAAAGCCAGAATGGCGGCCCAACATTTCATCTACATCGCCGACAATGGCGAAATTAAAGTCAACGACTTTGAGCGCCTCACGAAAGATAGCCACGAATATCTTGGCCTTCGGATGCCCTCGGAATTGCTTCACTACCTCAATACTGGACTGATTGGGCCTCGTATCCTGAACGCTATAGCACACGGACAGATTATCATTCTGCCAACTTTGGACGGAACTGCTTCGGAGGAATACAAGCAGCTTGTTACCAATCAAATCCTCCCAATCAAGGAACAGGCGCTCGGTCTCGTTATACCCCGAGTCCATAGAGCGGTTGCGCACAAGGACATCACCATGAAGGTTTGGTTTGACCCGAAATATAGGCCTACCATGAATCACAACTCTATGCGACCGCTGCCTTCGACATTGGTAGACACCTGGGACGTCAAAGAGCAAGATCTCCGCCGTTTCTTCCCTGCAGACTTTGCTGGCCCGGTGTATCTGGAAGTGCTTGCACTCGCCAACGAGGAGTTCGTGAAAAAGACCTTTGCTAGAGAGAAGGCTATCAAAGGCATCGACAGCACTAACATGGTGGCATCCGTCGTCATCTGGCGCTTCCTCCATCTCAGGGGATACGTCGACGATTCGCACAAGCTGACCAAGTGGGGAAATGCTTTGGCGACCACTCTTATTGCTATCAGAGACACTATGGAGGATAGGGTGCCCTTTGTAGAAGAGGCTGCTCTGTTGGCGTTTGAATTGTTGCGATTCGGACTGTTGAGCGGCAAGTACCGCGAAGGTGCGCCCGGCATGCCTCGAAAAGGAACAAACGAGGACAAGTCATGCATCATCCTCATTAGCCAATGTGCCTCATTGCTTAAGCTACGGCATCAAGCGTTTGGATACACCGGAGCATTGAATAAGAGCCTATTGGGATTCCGGGCACTATCCACGACCGTACGCGAGGCCGATCGCGACTTGGTCGAAGCGATTGTTGCATCCATGTTCTTGTATGGACAGTGTAACAGGGACAGGACCGATCAGCTAGAAATCAGCCAAAAGTACGAGCGATCCCCCCTTTTCATATCTCATTCCCAGTAACTAACATGACACAGGTTACCCTTCTGGCAAGAACCAGATATCGGGCTTGGCATCGCGGCTTTGACCTTCTTTGACGATGAGGAAGCCGGAGACGACAAGGAGGCACGAGCCGCTCGGCTGGAAGCATTCCAGCAGACTTTCATCCCCCTAGCAGAGGCATTCCCAGAAGATTTGCGAATTGCCATTGACTTTGTCAGTGCCCTCAACCAGGGCGTGCAGACGCTAAATGATGCCTCTCTCCCCGCAAACGAGAAGTCTGCCTGGACAACAGCTCAAGACTACATCAACGCACGGCCATTTTAATACGACAGACACGTTAGATGCTTTGATATCACAGAAGCAGCCAACAAACTTGGCTAGAAAAAAAATTAGAAAAAAAAAGGGAGTCCGCACTATTATGGATAGCTTCTTTAGATACCACCCTGCACTGCGTTAACATTTCCATGGCATTCCACAAACAGTTACACCATAGAGTTAAAAGGTATTCTCTGGAGGACTCGGTGGGACAGGGAACCGATTCATGCTTTTTGAGTCTCGCAGTTCACTCAGGTCTCGATTTGGGGGGGTTTGTGTAAAAGAATTTTTGGGGAGGGCCGGCAATCAAAAGTTATTTTACTCATGGTCGATTGGTATGGTATTGTTCTATGTGGGTTGGAGCAGAGGGAAAGACGCGGCTGTCGGGGGAAACCGGGACGTCTCTAGCAGGCGAAGGCCTTGGGAAGCGAGAATGTGCAAACAGGCTTAAATAGCAAGTTGAAGGTGTTTGCGTGTTCAGGTGGCTTCTCGCGGTATATCTATGTGACCCAGAGGTGTGTTGGTGAGAAAGAGGGTGGGAGGGGAGGACTCGATATACCTTCTTTTTTTCTTCTTTTTTCCAGGGGCGGAAGTGTGCCATGTTGAATTGCGTCTTTTGACAGCCCTGGACATTTGACTTGAGGTAGAGCTGCCCCCCGGACTTTGGTCCCAAGATGACGGAAGCGTCGATTCCAAATCAGCGTTTTGGCAGTCTGGACTGGGCAAAGGGGTCAATTTGGTGACGGGGTGTGCCACGGATGTTTCAGCTTTGGTCTTCCGAGAGGGACCCTGGATGAGATGAGATCTGGATTTTCAGGGCTGGGGCCAGCCGAAGAGGGTTGACGTGGGTTTGATGAAAGATGGAGAGAGCGAGCACATTGGTCAAAGGGGGTTTTGATGAGATGGGCAGAGTTGTATGTTGAATAATGTAAATGTAAAATACACCAACCATGGCATCTTTAATGGCGGAGCCTTGTTCTAATACGAAGATGATAATACCGAATGCTTCATCTAAGCTCACGAGTAATTCAAGTGTAAGTAGACAAATGAATGGAATCAGTTTTATATAGAGAAAGGTAAAAAAGGTGTATGTATTAAATAAAAAGTTTGACTCGAATCCTCCCCCTTCTTTTCATCTTTTTTCTACTTTGTGAATTTCATAATCTCTTTCCCAACATGAATTACTCCCTTATGACACCGTAATGGCAATGGGGCCGGCAACAGTAATGTCGTCGGTGAGAGCACCAGTCAGAGGGCCGGCGCTGGAGAGCGACAGGTAGGTGATGCCGGCAACTCCCTCGGGGATCTTGCAGCCATCGGTCTGAGAAAAGGGAGTAAACATGGTGCCGCCGGGAGTGACACCACCAGACGTGAAGGCACAGAACTTGGCGCCGCTAGCAGCGTCAGACTGAAGCTTCAGGACAGAGTTGGTGGTGGTAGGGTCGCTGGGGTTGGCCAGCTTGAGAGTAGGGAAGGCGGTAAGCTTGAGGTTGGAGCCCTCGGGGCAAGACTGGATGAAGGGAGCGGCGAGAGAGAAGACAGCCTTGGGGCCGAGAGGCGCATCAAAGGCCTGGGGAACAGCCGTCTGGCCGCCAAAGACACGGATGGAGCTCTGGTGGCGGGCCTCGATGGTGAGGATGGAGCCGGCAACACCGAGGATGGCGGGAGATGCCAGCAGGGGAGCGGCACCGAGGTAGGCTGAGATGCCGACGTTCTCGAGAATGGCTGCAGTCTGGACCATGGCCGCGGCACTGGTGAAGCCAAAGTTGTAAGTGCAACGCTGGACGGGCTGGATACCGTTCTGTGCGAGCGAAGACTGAAGGATGATGACGTGCTCGGACTCGGTGAAGCCAATGCCCTGGAGGTCCTTGATCTGCTCATCGCTGAGGCCGAGGGCTTTGAAGTCGGACGCGGGGAACTTGGCGAAGCCTTCACGATAGAAGGACTCCTCGAGGTTCTCAAGGGTCAGAGCACTGAGAGGGATTGTGTTAGTCAACTTGTTCGATTTTAATCACGTCGCCAAGTACAAGAGGAGCTTACAATTGAAGAATGTCAAAGTCATTGAGACCCAGAGCTTGAGCAGCAGCATTCTGCCTCTTGGCGACAGTGTGATACTCCAGTTGCCGCTCAGTCAACTTGGGCATTGAGGGGAGTGCGGCAGCAGTAGCAGCCAGGAAGGAAATAACAGCAGCTTTGAAGGAAGGCATCTTGAATATTCTCTTTTGCTCGTCTCTTTCAGCGATTTCTTTCGTTTTGTTTTCGTCAGGTGTTTAATCAAAGTGGTCCAGCCGGGCGGTTGTGCGTCAGAAAAACGAAAATGGTCAAGCCAAATGTAGAAAAGATGTAAATGAACGGAAAGTTGTAAAGTCAAGGATCGAGTCAAATGAATAGAATAGAATAAACGAAGGGTATACCAGCAAAAGCAGGCCAGCGGCTTTTTGACAACCCACGGATAAAAGAAAGTGAATGAGAGACGGATCGGAGCGAAACGATGAAGACCAAGAGAGGAAAGAAAAGAGGTATCCAAAGAGCGCGTCGACAATCTTATATCCCAGAGCCAGCTGGGTAAAATGAGGTTTGGTGGTCAGCCAAGGGACTGCCTAGTCGGTATAAGTCACGATAATAAACCCCAAGGGGCCACCGCAACGTGGGACAAACAGCCATGGCGGCTCCATGAGGATCCGTTTCCTCGCTTGGGTCTGTCCAGAAACCCCAATGGACGGATCCGAGCCTCAAGCGCTTCACCCCCCTGGACACCCAGGTCGCAGAAAAACCGGCCGGAAGCTGCCAGATGCGAAGCTCGTCCCAGCTCCCCCCAGCTTATCCGGGCAGGGTTCCCAGCTCTTTTAGCTCGCCCCCGTCCGTAGTCCGAAACGAATCTGATACACGCGCAAACGCAGCGCCCCGGAGCCAATCTCTTCCGCCTGAAGGGGGACCATTGCAGCCAGGACGTTTTAACTTTAATTATTTCCTTCTTTTGCTGCCCTGCAAGCTAAAAGAGACGGGTTGCATCTGGCCCTTGTTAGCGCATGCGTCATGACCACGGGAGGGATGCTCATGTCGCACGATGCAGAAGCGCCTACTCGTGCTGGAGGCCGTGCGCGCGTCTTTGCTATCGTGAGTTGATGCTAGTCAAGGCCTCCGTGTGCTGGAAGGTATACTCGTATGGCAACTGAAATTGATGTGTCCGTGGTTTGCATTTGCAGAAGCTTTGATGATGATTTAGTCAAGTTGAGGAGCAGTAGCTTAGCAGTACCTTGGTACTAGGTTTAGTAGTACCTGTAGAGTAAGGACACGTGCTTCCAAGTGAAGCAGGGGAAGGTACGGGGAACGGAGCATCTCATCGGAGTTGCTCGCAGTTGATCAGATAATGACCTAGTACTGCTTACATCCATATTCTTCATTTTGCGATTAATCAGATAACTTAGTACCCTACACACGCAGTATCAAAGGTGAGGCATGGGTCCCTAATCAAATACTTCCAGACTCGCCTCTTGCAGCAGCATGACTAGGTCACCCAGCACGAGGCCCCTGCTTCTGCCTCTGCTTCTGCCTCTGCCTCTGCCTCTGCCTCTGTCTCACGGAGGCTCAGGTAGCCTTGACGACACTAACCGTTTCCTCCCATTATACCAGGTTTCCCAAGAAAATGTTTCAACTGTCTCGGAAACCCCCCCAGCCGGACAATCCCTCAACATCCGTCACAGGCCACACGTGCGCCCGTCACACATCAATTCTTTACTCATCAGACGGAGAAACCAGTGCCAGCTCGAGCCGCCAATCGGGTGACAGGCAGGCTTTGTTGTTCTAAGAGGCATCCCCAATGCGGAAAGCCAGCGACAAGAGCTGGAGATTCAAACCATATCCATGTCAGAAGCCAAAAGTACGATAAATGCAGATTCAAATACACAAGAGAGCAGCTATCTGGTATCTAGTAGCCCGACCCAGTGATTCAGCACCCCTGCGAACGATGATGGTATATTTTGTCATGGCGAGGTGCAGAGTATCCGCATTGCATCTCTATCCTTGCTACTAAACCCTCTTTCAGTATTTGCTAATATCGAAACGTATCCCTCCCTAGTACCCAAGAGAAGTTCAACATGTTGCTTCTCATATGGTATGTACCATTGATGTATGAGAATCGGTATGTTGAATACTACCTGTCCAACTTAAGGGCCAGATACGTGTACTCGCTCCCTTGATCTACCCAGTACTTTTAGTATCCGCTTCTAACTGGCTTCTTTAAGTATGGTATCAAGTAGCTAACGGGCACCTAATAGATGGCTTTCTATATTTCATGTACCATGGGTCTTAGTTTGGCACATGGGATGCTGGATACTACCTACTAGGTAGATACCTATCGCAAGAAATAAGGTTCGTCCTCGTTCAAACCCATATACTGCGCCAAAAGCCATGGAAAACAATAGAGTTCCAAGCACGTCACAACTTCAAGCCCAGGACAAAAAAGCTTGATATGCAAATTTTGATCCCTCAGCAAGGAGTATAAATTCACCTTCCAGCCCCTTGTAGCAACATTTTTGGACTCTGCCGCTTTTGTTCCTCTTCTGAGCCCGACGAAGAAAATCGATATACCACAGAATGAAGCTACGCAGCTGGAGACGCTCATGGGAATATCTCCCCCCGGAGATTCGCATCATGATCCTCGAGATAGTCGCAAACCAGAAACATCCCGGCTGGGCTTCACTTGCGTCTGTGTGCAGAGAATGGCAGGACGTTCTGGAAAAGTTCAACTTCCACAAGATATCACTGCAAGTGACCTGTCTCGACGATTTCGCTCTCTTTTCTCCACAGGCGAGAAAGCTTGTCCGCCACATCTATTTCTGTATAGAGTTACCACGATATACGTACAGATGTTGCTGCAAACACCGCTCGCGTCTGGTTGACGTCAACCGTATTGTCACTAATGGGGTACGGAAACTGTTCTCTATCCTCAGTTTTTGGGAGCCGACGGGCAACTTGGCACTAGAGCTCAATGTATATTCTCCTAGCGACTGCGAACATTGGTTCAAGGACATTCATTTGTCCTCGAACAACGTTGAGCGTGAAGGGGACGCAACACCAACAGCTTTGATTGATAGTATGTATTTTGACCTGAAACACGGCTGGGCCAATGGCCAACAACTCGAACCCCCTCCGGATTACGCAGTTCAACGACTCTTTAAGCCTATCCGTCTAGACTTACGAGAATCATCGCCTCAAGTCAAGGCAGTCACTCGCCTCATTATCCGCCGACAACTACGGCGTTGCATTTGCGTAACGTCACTCGCCCGTATGTTCCGCAAACTTATCCATCTAAAGCAAATATCTTATGAGCCATGGTCTTCATATCATGATCCAACCAGAGATATCGATAATAGCGGTATGCACCCACCTTTGTAACAACAATTGCAAAGTTTCAACATCCCGGCCATACCACTAATGCCGAGAGACAGGCTGCGCTTTTGGAATGAGCGGTCTTCCAGATACCGTCAGCAGCTTGATAATCTTCCAGGATTCCTATAGATTCTATACTTCCTTTCCCAGGCGGACAATTGCGGCACCATGGTTCAATCCCGATGATCCTGATGATCCTGATGAACAAACTGTCCCAGTTTTCACATCCAACAGTCTCAAACTGCAACACCTCTCCATCTCCTTCATGATCCCGGCCGAAGCTTTTTTCCGGCAATGTGAATCAACGTGGACCTGGTCGCATTTGCAATCTCTGGCGCTTACATCAAAGCTCATGCGGCACGAAGCAGAGCACCGGCGCGCAGTTAAGGTTTTTCTGCGCCGAGCTGGCGAGGTTGCGCAGCAGATGCCCAAGATGCACACGTTTGTCCTTTGGAACTGCGAAAATTCACACGCCTGTGCATTCATATACCGCGTAGAAAGAGGCACCGCCTCACTCACCTGGCGTGGAACGTGGAACCTCAAGCTGTCATCTCTTGTGGTAGAGCCATGGCAGGTCGTTGCCTCAAAGCGGCAGATGTACTGTTCTAAACTTCAACTAAAGAAAGAACAGGTCAAAGCGGCGATAAAATGTCCCGGTGACGCAATCTATCATCTCAAGCTGCCCTGTCAGGTCATTGAGCCCGCGTCTCTTTGGCAGATTAGGAGGGAAGGACACACCAGATGGTGGTAGTTCAACATACCCTCATCAGCAGCAGCAGCAGTAGTAATCTGCCTCACCATGGAATGGCTCTACTCTCTTCTAGACTCTCCTCAAATCTGCCACTGCCACTACTTTCGCCTACTATCTGTCGTCAAGTTGGAAACCTATAGCGGAATGAAACAGACATCTCCCCATATTAGTAGGCATCATAGAGCATAGAATACACTACATCAACTTCTTACTTGCTTCAGCAAGAAAAAAAAAAGACTCAATTTCTTCTCCTACCTAGTCATAAATGCTGCATCACGTTGCCAAGCCCAGAGGGAAACATACAGCTCAACGTAGTAGTAATATATTACATCGCAACTTAGTAATGCTCATTTCTTCATCTCATGCTTTCCACTCGCGACACATATCAATCATATCTCATTCTGCTCCACCTCCTGCTCAATGCGCTTCCATTACATCAATGCCTTTTTTTTCCCTTTTTTTGCCATTACATGAGATGCATCGCCTTTGTGACCATTAAGTGGCTGCCGCGTAAGTGTTCCTGACTGGTTCACTTTTACCGTGTGCCAGATAATAAATAAGTATATACCACACATCACTGCTATAGCAAATACCTCTCCTCAGCAGCGGCGAGACATCTCCAGCTATCAATCTGCCAATCGCATCGCCACCTCCACTCCCCTTTTCAGCTTCGTCCAATTTACAACGCGTAAGGGTTGAGGGACCGGATGGTTAGGCAACTATTAGACCCCGTCATGTTAGCAAAACTGATACTCTCAAGGCTTCCCTCGTGTAGGGTAACTTACGGTGGGCTCTTGGTGAGGTCCGTCTTCAGGATGATTGGCACCCGGGTCATCTCAGTCACATCCTGGATGTAATCTCCACCCTCTTCGCGTAGAGAAAACAGTTTGAGATACTTCTCCTTGTTCGTCAGTCGAGTCTCGACAGCCTCCGCGACAGGAACCTTGGAGTCGGATCGAGTGCGGTGCAGAGCGCCGGCGTTGGATGCAGATCGTGCTGGTGATCCTGGCACACTCTGCGTAGGTCGCTCAGCCAGCGATGCTCCTGCCATGGCTTCAGTCACATCTGAAGTATCGTCCTCGTCATCATCAAACAGTGCATCGACGTCATCCGTAGAGATTGTGCCGGTGACGGTCTGCTTACGAGCAGCCTCTTCGCGCTCCTTCTTCACACGCTCTGCTTCTTCCGCCTGTCGAGCAGCGGCCAGAGCGTTTGACATTCTCATCGAGGCCGCAGCCTTGGGCCGTTCATCCTCGGGCACGTATGCGGAGCTGGGGACGCCCTTCTCCCAGTAGAGTTCCAGAACACGCTTTTCTTTTCTGAACTCTGCCTTCTTAAGGGGCAGCTGATCGCAGTGCACGCGCTTCTCGAAGCCCCACTCGGGAATCAGCACGTCAAAAGCCGATTCATACACGCAGAGGACGATGCCCTCTGCAATGAGATCGCCGTTGACTTCCTGTCGCTTCTTATCCATGGTGCGGCATGACTCAATGTGAACGCTCTGCTCTTGTGCGTTCTGTGCCGAATCCTTCTTGGTGTTGCAAGCTTCAACAGTCTTCACAAGGTTCTCCATATCGTCAGAAAACTCAACCTTACCCTCAGAAAGGACCGCCTCCAGCTGTCGATGGACGATGAGGTCGGCGTAGCGGCGAGTGGGGTTGGTAAAGTGGGTGTAGAGCGGCAGATTGAGGGTGTAGTGAGGCCACACGATCTTGGCAGTCTTGCCAGCAATGAAATACTTGGCACGCTGCATCGACTTGAGAAGCACCGTCTCCATACCCTTGCGCAGATCGGCATCATCAACCTTGAAGAGGCTGTTCTGGAGCGCCCCGCTTCCAGAGGCGTCGATGTCGTATCCCAGAGCTGTCATGCGCTCGACAAACGTCTGCAGACGTCGTGGGTTGGGGGCGGCCTGGCGACGCAGCAGAGCTTTGTCAGGCAAGCCCTCTGCCAGGCGCTGAGCTACATAACTGTTTGCCTTGTGCATGAGCTCTTCGACAAGCTCCAGAGCCTCGGTAGAGTCAAAGATGTTGTGTTGCACCTGAGGGTTCTCATCATCGAGCTGCTGCAACAATCGGAGAGGGGCGATGGGCTCGCTACCAGCACCCAAGCGGGCTTCCCGGAACTTTTGGGCTACAGCGTGCAAAATCTGAATGGTGTTGATCGGAACGGCAGTGTTATCGAATGTAGAGGCGTCAGTCAGGGCCTTGTCAATATCACTCAGCGACACCTTGCCGGTAGATTTGATGATACTCTTGCCGACCCAGCTGTCACCCTCGGCAACGGCGCCGTTGACGGGGTTCACGGTGAATACAACACTGAAGGCAAGACGTTCCTCGCCTGGCACTAGAGAGCAAAGCTCTCCAGACAGCTTAGGGGGGAGCATTGCGCAGAAACGGTTGATGAGGTGGACCGCGGTACCACGTTTCTTGGCCTCTCGGTCCACGAGAGAGTTGGGCTTGACAAAATGTGTGACATCGGGAACGTGGATACCAATATCAATCTTGCCATCGGGGCGAGAAGTGACGTGCACCGCATTTCCGAGCTCAGCGGTGCCGTTGAAATCAATGGTAAAGACCTTTTCATCTCTGTAGTCGCGGCGCGAGGCAATGGCCGCTTCATCCTCTTGAGCGAGCGACCAATCCTGGAGGCCGACACTGCGCAAAACAGCGTCAGAGAACTCGTCGGATGAGAAGTTGTTGTCACGAAGCAGTGCATCGGTCTCCACCTTAAGGTCACCCATACGGCCCAGCTGCTCCACAAGCGTGCCAAAGGGATGAAGAGACGTAATGGGCCATCTCTTGATGCATGCAACGAAAATGCGATCAGCATAATCCTGGTGTTTCTCAACAAAATCTCGAGGAGCCTGCTCAGTGGGGATAGCAATCAAGGGGACACGCTTGTCAGTAGGCTTGAACCAAACAATCTTGGGCTTGTCCTGCTGGCGGCCATCGTTTGAACGAGAGTTGCCACCTTCTCGGGCCGCCCTCTCGGCTTCCTGCTTCTCCTTGGTAGCTTGGCTGCTGGGTCGAAGAAGACCCAAAGTACCCGAGAACATCTGGCCGGCAACACGCTCAATGACGGCGACGACATGGCCGGCATACAGTGGCTTCTGTTCATCATTGATCTCTTCCTCCTCAACAAGGAGAAGGCTCTGTCCCTCGACTTCGACGTCGTCATTCTTCTTTTGAGTGGGTCGCTGGCGAAGACTGCCACGACGGCGGATTGCTCCGTCAGGAGGGTTGCTATCATCATTTTGTCCGGAAGCTTGGCTGCCTTGGTTGGTGGAGCCGGAGCGGGTATCAGTAATGTCTTTGCGCTTCTTCTTCTCTTCCTTCTCACGCTTTTGGCCCCAAACTTCGTCGACATCCAAGAGCTCAATGGCAACCAAGTCACCCTCAAGGGCACGGTTGCGATCCTTGCTGCCACAGATGAAAATGTCGGCGTCCAAGAGGCCATCCAGGGTAGTGACGTAAGCATCACTGCGATTCTTTTTGTTGACTCGGAGAATACCAGAAACAAGCTGACCATCTCCAAGCAAGGCAGGAAGGGTAGCTTGAGGCAGATAGGGGGTAAAGAGAGTCTTTCGCTGCTGCTGCTGTTGCTGACCAGCAAGCTGCCCGGCGTGCTGCGAGCCCTGAAGACCCTGGAATTGCTGTGTGTTCATCTGGGCAGCTTGCAAAGCCTGAAGCTGGCTGATCTGCATAGGGTTGAGCTGTTGGCCGTACATTTGAGGCATCATCATCTGACCAGCAAGCGGAAGGACCGGAGCTTGGCCGGGATTGAACTGAAAGCCTCCCATAGCTGAGATGGACTGGTTGACTGAGCCGCGGGGTCGGTGGCCGGGCTGGAAGCCCTGGTTCTGGGCAGCGTTGGTGGGCTGATCCTGGCCTTGGCCTTGGTTGCGCCAGTTGCCTTCATAATTTCTGGAACCCGTACGAGCGTGGCCAGGGCCGCGGCGCTGGAATTCACCGCCACTATCAGTGCCAGTATTGAAGGAGCTGCTGCGCAGACCGCCGCGTCCATTGACGGCCATGCTCTGGCTGCGGCCGTGTCCGCCGCGGCCTCCACGTGTAGCTCCCTGGGCTGCGGGGACATCGAGGCTGGACTGAGCGACGGGTTGGTTCTCCTCCTCCGGCTTGTCAGATGTTGGAGCGCCGGCAGCGGGGAACTGGAATCCGGATGTAGTTCGCTTCTGCTGTGCGAGCTCAGCAGCCTTCTTGGCATCGGCCAGGGCCAGGGAGTGTCGTCGTTGATGGCCGCCACCGGCACCGCCTCCACGGCCACCTCTGGAACCAGCGTTCTCACGACCGTGGCTCCCTGGTGCCTCGAAGTTTCCAAAAGTAGACCCGGAAGCTCCTGAGGATGGCGCAGGCGGCGGACCCATGCCCATATTGGGTAGAGCCGACTGATTACGGCGATGTGAGAGTGGCTGGGTCGGGGGACCCAGCGAAACATTTTGTTGTGGGATCTGGTTAGGGAACTGGAAAGCATTGCCCATGGGTTGCAAAGGATTGAATGGAGCGCCGGGGCCGATGGTTTGGCCCGGGGGCATCATGCCCATGTTGACATATTGCTGATGGGTGGCTTGGATCTGCTGCTGCTGTTGTTGCAGGAGCTCAATCTGCTGCTGGATTGCAAGTTGTTCCACTGCAGCACGAACGCATTAGCACTCAATTTCCCATATTCGACGCCTTGGATATTTGCGTTGTGGATGCAGGGGTTTGTGGATTGGCAACGCGGTTGCCCCGCGCCTAGAGCTGGCGGGAGACAAGGGCAGCCACAGAGGGAAAAAAAAAAAAGTTGTCCTCAAGACCAGATAAAGAGAGAGGATGAGAAAAAGTAAAAGATGGATGGCTCACTTCCTGGGTTGGCAAACATGCTCATAAGCGGCGTGAGCTCAGACGGGCTCCTGCGGTGCGCAATGTGCAGTCTGCGTCCAGCCGGCCCATGAACGCCGCCAGTGGCATGCTGGGCAGCTTGTTGCTGCGACGGCTGCTGCTGCTGGTCCATGGCGCAGACAAAGGGCAGCGGAAAGGTGCACGTCGGGTGCGGGCTGGTGGTGAGCGATGCTGGAGGAGGGGGTTGGCGATGGAATTGCCGTGGGCGAAAGCTTTGGGGAGTTTGTTGTTTTGGTCGGGATCGTGGAAGCTCGGCTCTAAGAGACAGTGGCAGGCCCCCGTGGACAGGACAGATTTTGCCAAAGGAGGGTCGATGCAGTGGATTCAAGCGAGCTCGGCAGAGCCAAGGAGCGTTGGAAAGGAAGGAGTCGGGCTGACGGTGCAATGCAGATGGGAAAATGAGAAGAGAAGGTGAGGATGGATGCGGATGGGAAGTCCAGCTCCTTGCGAGAGGCTGTGAGGGAGGAAGATGGAGAGAGGATGGACGGCTCTGGGGAGATTCAGGTAGAGCTACCGCCGGGGGCGAAAATATGGGGGGTGCAGTGACGCTCTTGATTCCCACTCGCTAGCAGCTCTTTGGCGCACGCCACCTCTGGCGAAACAGCTTCAATCGGGCCCCCTTGGGAGGATTCGAGGTCGCTGTATCAATCAAATGCTAGAGACATCATTCAGCACGTGCTGCGAGCATTCCACGGGCATCCACCGCAAGAACCTAAACTGATCCATGACATGGACCTTTCGGGGCTGGGCTCAATTATACCACCTGTACTATAGGTAGACAATGGATTCAATTCAGTTGGGCGAGGTTATGTATACATGTAGTATGCTGGCCGCACTGGTTCTGCCTACGAGTATGTACATGTACGGATACAGTGCCGTACGTACGTGCACCGGATGATGGACGTGAGGATTCGACAGCGCCGGTGCGATAGGGAAGAGCAATTAGCGGCGGGAGCGCGGTTCGCGTCTATTCAATGCCAATTGCCTTGCTGCCTGGATCATCATGGCTGTTCTACCTAAGTATTCTGTAGAAAGTAGATTACATACCTGTACTTACCATCCATCTATAGCTACAGTACTTATATGCATGTACGAGTCTTGACAGCTTCAGACCAGATGGATATCGCAGGGTTGGGAGTCAGTCCCTGTGCACGGATACGAGACCGCTACCAGGTTGCCAGGCACAACAGCCATCGGCGTCAACAAGCCGGATGTTGACCAGGACAGGCACAGGCACATACGAGTCCTGGCTGATATCTACGAGTATGTATCAAGAACCGCTTCCGCCTTCGTTTCGCGCTCATCACAACTCAACCTCGAACCCCTGCCTGGGGCTGCTGGCGCCGCAGCCGTAGCGCTTCTGTCCCGCTATTCTAACCCATCACGTCGTCACACGACACCGCGGAAAACCTGCGATATCACGATCAACGGCAGTGCCGGGCCATCTTTGGCTGTTGCATTCTTTGCAGCGCCAGACAGCTCGCCTGCACATGTATCGCATGCTCTAGGCTGGGACAGCAGCATTAGCCGTGCCTTTTTCGCTTCTCTGCAGCTGCTGAGGAGCTACAGGCACAGCTACGAGTCTGCGCCGCACAAGACACGTACAAGCATCGGATGGAGCAGCGAGCTCTGATACCCGCCCCTGAAGTTAACTAAACCACTCTTGCCCACCCTCATCAATACGAGCCCCAAATACTAATGACATCGTGTCCACCCGGTCAAGCCCTACTAGCGAACAGCAATAGTGCTACCGTAGTAGTCTAGGATGCGTAAAAGAGGCATGTACAAGATTGATGCTCAATTGAACCCATTCACCGGCGTCTTAGAGCGGGCAATCATAGACGGGGTCCATATACGACTCAGGCTGAAGCTTCTCACTCATCGTGCTGACAGCCAAGCCATTTGCCGTGCCACAATTCTCTTCAAGGTGGCCATACGTTAGTAACAACTGCTCTGTAGAAGCGATAAAATATCATCTCAGCAGAGACCCAGAGTATGGGGTAGCATGGATCAAAAAAGCACAGAGTTCAGATACCCTGGCGCCACCATACCAGGGTCAGTTGCATGACCAAATCGAGTGGTATACAGATAGCCCAGACATGGGCTCTACAGTACGGCGCTTTGCACCAACGCACAGAACAATTGGCCACATGCAACTTTTTATCAAGAAGCAGCGCGCAACGTGTTAGCAGCCAGGCTCCTTTATTTGTCTTCCTGACATGTACGAAGAGGCCAAATCGTGTCTGGCGCGCCCTTGTTCTGTTGCTGGGGCAAAAGGAGCAGGCCGTCTTTTCTCCCACCGGAAACTAAGACAAGCTTCCCCCGTAAGAGTTGCAACCTACTTCGCAGGTACCGTTTACGCTTTGTCAAAAAAGATAGACCAAGAAAAGGGAGTCGAATGGGACAGGGCCACGTCAGCGGTGACATGAACCGACAACTGTAAAAGTGCCTGAATCAAGGAACAAGACGAGAGAGGGAGAGAGAGATAGGACCCTTTGCCGACTATACCTGTACCTATGTAAGGTACCTCAGCAGCCAATGTCAGGCACCTGCCCGGTACTAATGATATCACCGAATTGCGTTGAATGTCTGGAGAAAGCCAACCGAAGCATCCATGCCTCGCGAATGCGTCCTAGTTACATAGACGAAATGAGACGAAGCGTCAATCGTAGATCCCGGCCCTTGCTTAGCCTGAAGGCCTCTCTACTAACCTTTAGTACCTGTTCCCACGCTTTCTCTGCAGTCACTTGGTACATAATACACTTTGTCGACGTGTGCCTGGCTTACTGAGGCAGTACCTATAGCCTTCGGGGTTTTGTTTTGGCGATTCCGGCGCGTCATCAACTCTGGCTCCAGCCAACCAGGGCAGGCAGTACGTACCTACCTACTTTTGGCCCTTGACGCCTTTCCAACTTTCTGAGTAAAAGATGCAAGGTTCACTTTTTGATAACAAACATTTCTGTCGGACATCACCTTTTTACATACACTCGTCGGGCGATTTTCTCTTTGGCATTTGCCAAAATTCCCCCACGGAGAGCGATTGAGCCATTCCTCCCCGTTTCCCTCACTCTTTTGTCCATTTGTGTCATCGATATTTCCCCAAGCCAGCAATTGCAAATGCCACCGCGATAACGATTGATTATCTCACCACCCACCCGCCTCGAGAATATGACCAATTCCCCCCCTTCGAGGAAGAGCCAATTGCTGTCGAGTCCTGAGGGCGGCCTTATCTCGAGATTTCTCTTTGACGGCCGAAATAATGAGCTGAACCACCAAAATGCGCTGGCCGCCGCTCAGGCAGAGCACAAACGCGTGCGAGAAGCCGCTATTCGGGTTTTTGAGCTCCATGAGCTTCGAGAAGAGCATCAACGACTTCTAGCGTTGGAGCGCAAGGAGCAAGAAAGATTAAGGGCGGAGGCGGCTATAGTCGAGGAAGAGAGAAGGCTTCGAGAGCTCAAGGCTAAGACGGTGCCTAAACTTCCTCCCGAACCAGTGCCAGAACCGCCCAAGAAGGTAGAGCCGTTGCCAGTTCAACAACCGGTTGCTGCGAAGCCTCAGGAACCTATCAAGCAGAACCTTTTCCAGACGAAGCAACAGCCGGCACCAAATGGCACCGCCCCCCAGGTAAATGGCTTTCTGGGAGCGCAAACCAAACCGGCCACGGGCAATCTTTTTGCACCCACCACCGCGTCAAAAGTTGAGAATCGCTTAGCACCAACAAAACTGACGACTCCTGCCGCCCAACCACCCGCCGCGCAGATTCCGGTGGCCCGCCCTCCTCCGGCGCAGAAAAATGCCCTAGCAGACCGATATGTCGAAATTCACAAAGAGCTAAAGAAGCTGCGACAGGTGCTGCAGGCCGAAGCAAAGGTGCCCGGGTCCCCTCTGAAGGGCAAGATGGGAACCTATCGAAGAGAAATTCGAGTCTCCATCGGACAGCTTACAGCGGGCAAAGGAGCCAACGCACAACCTGTAAGTCGAGATTTCCCGAGCTCAGGAATTCGCCCGGGATACTAACACGAAATATAGATAGCCAAAATCACAATGGCACTCACAGATGCACTCACTGGTAAAGTACCTAGCGCTCCCATTGAAGTGGGCCGCTTTACCGTGAGACAGAGAGAGCCAGCTGCAGGCGCTGCAAACAACGACGCGACCTTGCCTTCTCTCTTCATCTACTTATTGAACATTTGCGCCAAGGGCATCATTAGTCAGTTCATCAATGAGTGCAGTGCGAATCCTAAAGCTGCAGATCCAATCGGCGTCTTCACAGCCCAGATATTTTCTCAGAAGGAATTTCAATGGCGCGGTGAATCTCTGATTGACATCCTCATGGCCAAGTTCCGAGTCGTGTGCCCGGTCTTGTTCGGCTTGAGAGGAAGCGATAAAACCGAAAGGGGGAGACAGACCATAGGATGGAAAAAGGATGGCCCTGGGTACATTACAGAGCAGACTCACAACGATAGGATGACTGGTCTGGGTACCGGTTTCGCATCGATTTCCCTCCGCGACTTCAGCAAGACGTCCAAAGCGAATCCGTATACACCAGTCAACTACTGGACGGCGCTGGCCGGCATTGTCAACTCTGCTCCGAATGAGACTTCGAACACACAATATGTGGTCTTGAGAGCCATGATTGAAGGCCACGAGCAGCGGTTTCTGAATTTCTACGGCAACGCTGCCATTGCTGCGTTGCGCCTCGCGTTGATCGAGTTCCCCAAGAGAGCACCAACGAACGCTGCCGCAGCGCAATCACTACGTGCCATGGTAGAACTTCTTCGCACTGAAGGACTTGTCTTGAACTGACGCCTTGATTCTCATTTCTTTTGTTTTCCCGCTCATTTTCTATTCCTTAACTATAGCCGTCTCTTTACTACACTCAAAGGTCCAGGAGAAGGAAGATATAATGTATTCAGTTGATACATTGAAGCAAAGGCGTTTGGGAGGCAAATTGGCATGCCGGTGCATGTTATATATACACATATATATGATAGACCCCTGAGGTCCCTTTTTTTACGCTGTATAGGAGGCACAATTGGGACGTTGGAAATGTCCTTTTTCAAGCCATGGGCATTATAGAAGAAACCCATGCCCTTTATTCTCACTCTATCTTGCATCGTCTTGCGACGTAGACATTGAACCCACGCTGTATACCTCGCAGGCATGCATGACTGCATAAGCCGATACGTCGGCATAAACCATTCCGCCAAAACTCCGAGTCCCAATATTCATTCGCCCAGTAGACCTCTTCCTTTTATCTCCCCCATAAAGACCATTCATTTCCCAAGCATGAAACATAGAAAGATAAAGAAGGCAAAGACTCCTTCTACTACAAGATCAACAGAAGAACCAGCAATAGAATCAAGACAAAAATCAACACAGCGATACAACAGCTGCTTAGCCGGTCCTCGTTCTTGCGCATCACATACCCCAGCTTAGCCATGCCAATCTGTAGCCGGTTACCTACTCTGTCCGCCAAATCATCCACCACCTCGAGCATCTCGTTCTGCTCTTCTAATTCTCTCCCCATGTCGTCTGCCTGGCGGCGCAAGTTGCCCACCGTGTGAAACACCCCATCAAGATGTCTATCCTGCTCTTGCATCATCTCCACCTGCTGCTGCTGCTCAAACTGATTGTACGCATCGCCGCCATCGCCCTCGCCTATCTGAAAGGAGCTCGGGTCAGGCAAATCGCCATTGCCGCCTTTGCCACCGGCAATGTTCTTGTTGAGCTCCTCGCGCATGTCCTGGATCTCGGCGCCGACCTCCTGGACAAGGCGCTTCCGGCGTGAGGCTTCATGGTCGGAGACGCCGAACTGGGAGGGATTAGACTCGATGGCTTGGACGGAGGCGACGAGGTCTGCTAGGTCCTCGGCCAGAGAGGAGAGTGCGGATTCGAGTTCGGTGCGGGCGGATATGAGCTCGGGGGAGGTGGAGGATGAGGCGAGGGAGCGGATGCGAAGGTATGACGCGAAGAGGGGCCTGATGGATGAGATTTGACTGAGGACATCTCTATAAAGGCGCCAGGTCAGAAAAGCAATTGGTATACGCGTTTGGAGGAGGATGCGTACTGCTGGACCTGGAGGAAAGGGTCCTCCTCGTTCGTTGAGGACATCATCCTGATAGCGGTTCAAGATGCATGAGCTCGAGATTGGGCGCGCCGGACAGGAACAGAGCAGCGGGCAAGACGGTGTATTAAAAGCTCAATAGAAAGCAGAAGCGCAAGAAGAAAACTCGCAGCACGGATCGCCCTGATTAACTCCACCTGATTGCTGGATCATGCAGAGCTCGGGATTTGAAGGATGACGTTGCATCCAGTCTTGCGACAGCGAAACGAGGTGTGGCTAAGGTGAGCCGAGGGTGGCGGTACGTACCTTTTCGGTGAGACGCCAGTGGCCCGGCACCAATGAGAAGGGCCTGAAAATCCAATGGATGTCTTTTACACCAACCAGACAACGATTGAGTCTAACGCAGCATTTCACGACTTTATGACTGTTTGAGGATTTATTTGAGGAAAAAATCAAAGTGCTTTTCGCCCTGAGATTTGCTTGGGAGCCTGCTGGTTGGACGATTTGTCAATCTCTCTGACAAAAAAAAACCAACGTCTTCAGTTGATTTTTTCTTCCTTTCTAATTCATTTTCAACCCAACGCCTCAACGTCAACACGCTCCTTTCGCATACCAGTGACAAGTGTCATATTATAAGAAGGGAGAGCAAACTCTTAGAGCATTTACTATCACCTCAGATTTTACTTATTCTCCATCTACCTCCAACACCATACAGGGTAAGGCCAGCGCGGTTCATTGACAGCAACCGCCATGATACCAACTCGGCCGCTGCCATGCAGCGAAGAATTTTCGACGCCAGAGGAGTATATCGAGGCTCTGTTGGAGTTTGCCCGGAATACAGAAGTGTTCCAGATTCTCTGCGGAGGCGTTCATATTCTCGACTTCTTTACCTCGGATCCGGGCATCTTTCACTCTGCACTGCCAGACGAATGGAAAGGATTTCTACTGTCATATGATATCATGAAGACACTGGATCTCTTTTTAAGAGATGACTTGGATGCCCTCAGTTTTGAACCGGGCCAGGAGCCTCCAGAAAGCTTGATTGAGTATGTCAAAGCACTGAGGAGATTCTCTCTAAGGAGAGGTTTTACACCACGACAGCAGAAACTGCCGGTTTTACCAAAATCAGTCTCTGTAGGCATGAAGCCCAAGAAAATTCATGAGGTTGTCAATTTTGCAGACTACGTCGATGCCCTCTCGGAGGATATTTCGCAACAGACGGGTAGCGAGATATCCCATTTTGTGGACTTTGGTAGTGGTCAGAATTATCTTGGTCGGGCTCTCGCCTGCAAGCCTTATAACCACCACGTTGTAGCTGTGGAAGGCAGAGATCACAATGTCACAGCAGCCAAGGTCTACGATCTGACATCCAAGCTGGCGATTCGGCCCAAGATGAAGAGGAATAAGAAGATGTGGAACAAAGCATTGGAAAAGCTCAGCCCAGAGGAGCAAAAGAACCAAGAAGCAGTGCAAGCAGCCATCAAGCAGGTTGAAGGGACTGAGGAATTTGAGTTCCAGCCAATGAACATTCACGAAGCGGAATATGTAGCTGAAGAAGGGAAAGGCGGTGTTCAGTACATCTCGGGGAGACTGGATAGTGGTGACCTCTCAGAGGTCATAGAGGGTATCGAACATAGAAAGCTCAAGGATGGATCTGAGGAAGACCTCAATCTCATGGCCGTCTCTATCCATTCCTGCGGCAATCTATCCCACTACGGCATTCGATCTCTCGTCATGAATCCCGATATACGAGCTGTGGCGATTGTCGGCTGCTGCTACAACCTCCTGACGGAGAAACTGGGTCCTCCGAGTTACAAACAGCCCTACCTACGACCTAGTCTTCAGGCTCTCAACGGCCGGATTGTGCGCGAATCTGAAAAGAGAGATCCGCAGGGCTTCCCCATGAGCCAGAGGTTCTCGTCTTACCAAGGTGACGGCATCCGTCTCAACATCACGGCTCGTATGATGGCCTGCCAAGCGCCACAGAACTGGACACGAGCAGAAAGCGAGGGCTTCTTCACCAGACACTTCTTCCGGGCTGTTCTGCAGCGGATATTCCTAGACCGTGGCGTGGTCAGCCGCGTGTGGCACGACGACTCCGTCAAAGAGGCCCAAAACGAAGAGCAAGCAAGCCCCTTCAACATGAGCACGAACCCAGTGGTGATTGGATCGCTCCGCAAAAGCTGCTACGGATCGTTCAAGGCCTACGTGCGGGGAGCCGTGGAGAAGCTGACGACGAGCACGGAATACAAGCAGTACGCGGGCGTGATGAATGACAAGATGGCGGACATGTCCGATGCCGAAATCGACAAGTACGAGGCCATGTACGAGCCGCGGAAAAAGGAGCTGTGCGTGATTTGGTCGCTGATGGCCCTGAGCGCGGCGGTGGTGGAATCGCTCATCGTGGCAGACCGGTGGACGTTCCTAAAGGAGCACGACGACGTCGTCAAGCATGCCTGGGTGGAGACGGTGTTTGACTACGGCGAGAGCCCACGGAATCTGGTGGTCGTTGGAGTGAAGAAGGATGGTGTTTAATCAGGGTTGAGGGACGGACCGGGCGGTTCGCTCATGTGTTGCGGTGGGAACGGGAGACGGCTCGGGCTGCGATGGCATCATGAACTGATGGGAATATATCGAGTGGCGTGTTTGTCTTGGTGTTTGTCAGATTGGGGGAGTTGCATTGCATCTGCTGAGGAAAAGCAAGAAATGCCCTCTCGGTACATGTAGTTTATGCCGCTATAGTTGCGCCCTTGAAACAGGGGGCTTTGAAATCTGTCGTCAATTATCGATTCCGAGGCATTTAATAGTAGAGAGTTGTAGCGTTCCCCTCTGCTGCTGATTACCTTTAGTAGACTACTATAGGTGTCATGAGTAATTCTTCTTGCCTCCATACCAGAGGCCATAGAGGGAGCTGTGCTACATGATGAGGACAAGCCATTGTTATTTGAACTAAACGACAACTCAAACAATTCAAATTAAAACCGATTTAGAGAAAATAATGCAATACGGCTCTCATAATGAGATTGCGATATGTTCCGAAGGGCTGGGTTACCGCTTTCGTACAGTTGATATGATGTGTGGAGTGGACAAAGAGTCTGGGCCAATGAAGTGAGACAAGGATGGGCGAGACCCCGAAAATCATCTCATCTACCTCACGATTACAGCAGAGCAGAATACCGCCTACATACACGAGCAAACAAGAATACAGCAGCGCCGAAGCGGGGGGGAGAATTGGCTGGATTCCACCAGAAGTGGCGCCTCATCACTAATACACTGCCCATGAATTGACGTGATGTTTGTAAAAACGGCCGTTGAACAAGGGGAGAAATAAGAAGAAGAAAAATCGACAGGTCAGCCTACCACGCAGGGCTGACATCAGCCCCTCTGCCACAACAAGAGGCAGACACAAGAAAAATTAGGAGGCAACGAGCAACTAATGGTCCTTTTGATGGAAAAAAAAACCTTGCTGGTTTGCTTCAGCCCCAAGGTGACGCTGGTGGCGCGCCCCCGTGGACCGTCCTGGAAGTGGCCAAGGTCGAATGAAAGCCGCGAGCCTGGCTGGCGGAGCTCGAGGTGGACAGATATGATGGCTTGAAAATATATATCACCACACCAACTCGTCAGCCTTAACGCGGAGGAGCAGGATCAAACAATTAGCGACTACAACCTCGCCGTCGGTGATTGGGCGACGAGGCCAAGCATTGGATCGTGGGAAAGGCTGAAGACGCCGGACCCGTGGTCACGATGGCCTTCTGACGGCGTAGGCTAAAGCGGTCTTAAAGTTGTTCATGACACGGGGCTTCTGCGTTGGCGGGAAATCTTGGCCGCCCAGTTAGCCATCGAGCCGATGGCTTCCTTGGACCTGAACCGTGCCACCCATCATCCGCATAGCCATCACATCACCATACTCCAATCACCGCCGGCCGTCACCTGCGTCATGGCAGCGACTGACAAACGGGCCCTGTCACGCAGCTAGACGCCTTCGCCTCTCTCGTTCTGTCTCTCCCTGCTTTTTGCCAAACTTGTTGTGTCCCTCTTGAAACTTGACTTGGAGGGGGGGGGGGTTCCTTTGCGGCCGCTGCTTGGTGCCAAAATACCTCCGCACACTGGGATTGGAGGCTTGACCCGTTCTTCCGCTTGCAGGTTAGAGGCAAAGAGAAAGAGGAGAAGCGAGAGACAGAGAGAGACAGAGAGACAGAATGTTGGAGAAGGACGGCTGCCAGCGCATTGTACATACATACATACATACATACAGGGCTTGCCAGTTACTGGAAGAGGTGCAGTGGTTTGCCAAGTTGGTGCTTCGCCCACGCCATGGTATGTCATTCATCTACCTGGGTACCTAGTAGTGCAGCCCAACCGCAGCGCCAGGCAAGCAGCCGCCGTAGTACAGCTCATGTAACGGGCATCGCCAGAGCCTCGGGAAACCCCAGGTTTTTGTCCCAAGCACCTTGCCGGGCTTCAACGGCTCCCCGCTCCGCTCCCCTGCAAGAATGCTCGAATGGGCTGTCGCGATCAAGGGCGTTCCAGGGTCCTCCCTATTCTGAGTGTGGGGGGACCTTGCCTGTTCCCTGCTCGAGTGGCGTCTAACCCCCCGAGGATTCGAACGTGGTGTGTGTTTTCCTGTCTACAGTCAGTCAGTGTCGTCTGCTCTGGTCTGGACAACGAGTTACCATCCCGCTGTGCTTTGTGGCGTGATTCCCAGTTGATTATACCTCGACTGTTACTGAATGCCAAGGTTCAATTAGTACCGCTTTGGCACCGAGTACGAGTACTCGTCCTGTGCTAAACTAAACTCAACTGGCAGCGTCTCGACCATGTCCGTCCACAAAGGGCCGAGCACTGCACTGTCGATGCCAATTACGCCATTGCAATTAACACCCCCGACGTTCTCGATTCCAACCGAATCCATTGAATGCTTCCAATCGCTCGGGACGGGGTCCCTTGCCGCAGCCTACGCCTCGCACACCGTCGGTTCCATTGCTACCTACTAAGGTATTTTACCACCCAATCCCCAATCCCCAATCCCTACGGCTCCAGGTTCACTTGGGCACGTTCTTCTTCATACCTACCTATAATACGGTATATATAGACGCAGCAGGTCCCTCGTTTCTTTGACCGACGTCTTGTCTTGTCTTGTCTTCATGTTCCTATCGTACCTTACCTACCTCTCTATATGCAACATAGGCCTACCCACTCAGTAAGACTGCCCCGGCCCAGCGTTATCAGTGCAAGCTCCATTGTCCCTCCGCCAAACGTAAACCCGCCTTATCACTTATCAGCGCCTTCCCCCCCGATTTACGGCGCTCCGACTGACTCGCCTCGACTTTATTTCCTTTATCGCGACAGACTTTATCTTCGTTTCTTGTTGTGTTTTCTTTACCCTCGGCTACTTGATCTTCTCCTCTCTGTCTCTGCCTTGTTCTCGGTACCGCCAAACATCTTGTGTGCTCTTGCGCAACCGCATCTCGTTCGCTCTCTGGGACTTGCACCAGCAGGGAACCCCCCCTGCTGTCTTGTCCCAGGATTACGTCGGCCGTGACTTGCTGCATATCGGAACCGGAGAGCCAAACGTCGATAACGACAGTTATTGCGCCATCTCGACAATTGCAGCGCCCACGAGACACACGACGGCTATATTTCTTCATACAGCTTCTCTCGGGACCTCGTTCCCCTACTATATATCGGTGACTGTCTACTTTTTCGTTGTTGGCGGAGGAGCTCAAAATCACAATGAACGCTCAAGTCTCGTTCCTTGTAAGTCGGCACTAGCCTGTCATGCTGACCCCCTCTTGCACAACATCCCTTGACTGCTTCTTCTTCTTCTTCTTCTTTTTTTCTCTTGCTTCCCACGACATATGCGATTGTTGATTCTTTCCACGTTACAATTACAAGGCCCAATTGATACTAACCATGCTTCGCTTTGTAGGAAGGCACTTACACCCTCATCCACATACCCCTCGACCTCTACCCGACTCTCCTGCAGCCTCTCCTGCGCATTCTCCTACCACAAACCCAGAGCCTCAACTTTTCTCGCGATTCAAGAGAATACGAGCTCGAAGGCCTTACCACAGATTACCAGCATGGCTTCCTCAATATTAGCATCACTCCAATCGAGTGCTCCGTCGTCTGTCACAGCTCATGGGCCAAGAACGTCTTCGAGCCTGCTCTCAATGCTCTACCGAAACCCCTAAAAAACACCGTCAAACTCTACAAGGACACATACATGATCCTCGCCGTAACGAGTGCTGGCTTGGATCCCGGCGGCCGGGTCATGGAGCTCAGCTCGCCGCTGGCCTTTGCGGGCATTCCCATCTTCTTCATCACCACGTATTACTCCGACTTCATCCTTGTCCCCACCAAGGAGAAGCAAAAGGTTGTGCAGGCCCTGTTAGCCAAGGGATTCGAGCTCTCCGAGAACCAGTCCAACTTTGTCAACCCGTCCATGTACGCCCCCAACAGCTCAGACACCGACCTGTCTCAGAAACCACCCAGCACCCCACCCCCTTCCAACGATGACGAGCTTCAAGCACGGACCTTTAAGCTCCTCTTGAAGCACGACGTAAAAGCCCGCGTTGAGCCGGACCTGGAGCTCGTCCAGTGCTCCGGTCGCGAAATATCACCTCTCACCAACGCTTACGGCCATCGGCCGTCCATGAGTCGCAAGAGCTCAACCGACTACCGTCGCTCTTGGATAAGCCATGTTGACACAAAACTCTATACGTGCATCGTATCTGCGCTCGTCTCGCAGCCTAGATTCTTGTCTCTCACCCTTGCCCAAGATGATCCGCCGTCTCTCCTGCTTGACAAGGCCCTGCTGCCAAATTTTGATGACTCATTGGTGGGTGACACCGAGGGCGTCTTGATCCCCATCTTCCTCGATCTGGGCGGCCTGTCATCCGAGTCCACCGGTATTGTTTGCGGTGTTGCAGGGCGACTAGTCAAGGGCACAGACATGGCCGAGAGTTCAGAGCTGTCCTATCTCTCCACTTCTCGTGCCGGCACTGTCATCTTATCGAGAGTGCAATCGATACGAGCATTGGAGATTTTGAATCCATTGCTCACCAAAGGGTCATGAGACCATACACTCTTGCATCTGTATTCCTAAGTATCTGTCATATTTGACCATTTCCTTGGTTCCCATCTTGTCGTCTCCTCGTGAAGCGGGACAATGAGAAATCTAAAACGGTTGACACGATAAGTTTTCTTTTGTTTGATTAGACGTACGTTAATATGAGAGCATGAGAGGGAATGGGGGGAAATGGGAGGTTCTGGCTAAAATCTCAAAGAGTGTGAGTGGCTCAGGCTGTCGTTTGGTCGGCTGGTGTCTTTGGGCGTTGAATTTGTACAGAGCTGCGTGTGCCATTGTGAGATACCAACTTGATTTTTGCTCCTTTGCTCTATAGGGTTGATACGGGATGTACATTCACTTCTCTCGCGAGCTGATGGAATTCAAATACATAATTTCAATGTTGTAGCTATGATTTTTCCTCATCCAAGCCGATTTTCCAATATTACCCACCCTCAGGTGTTTCGACTTTTGCAACCACCTCTTCTTTAAACTCATACTATGATGCTACGTAATAACAAATCCTTGCGGCTTCAGCCTTCTTAGTTGCTTTCGATATTCGTAATGAACATCTCAATTTGTCGGCCTTTTTGTGCCATCAAATTCCTCGGCCGTTTGATCTAGTCCACCAAACTCCGGCGTCTATGTCTACATGGCACATACCTGCACTTACAACACAAGAACGCGACAAGAAGCCCGGCCAAAGCCCCTCCCATGCCTACCACAGGAATCACCCACTTGGGACGTCCGTGATGCTTTATCTTCTCCGGCGGGGCGTTTTCGTCTACCGCTACCGGGACCCTACTCGTAGGGGAGAGCTTGGGAGGGTCTGGAAGAACCGCGAAGTGATCCTTTGGCTCTGTTGTGTTGAGACACGGGACCTGATATGGGACGTCGGAGGGGCTGACGTAGACGACGTCGGCACAGGCGTAGAAGGTCATGTTTCTACCGGAAGGCGAGCCATAGTCGGACACGTATGTGAGCTGCAGCGTGGCTGGATGGCCGGCTTTGACGGCCAGTGGAGCGTTGGGGACGTTGATGCAGGTGATGCCGGCGTCGACCTCGGCGATGTATACGTTTTCCATTATGGGATGGAAGTCGGCCATCTTTTGGGGACCTGTTGATCATTTAACGTTAATCGAAGAAAAAGATGCATATATTTTTTTGTAAATGGTTACATACGTGAAGCATACGAAGCACCTAGTTGAAGGTTCCAAACCTTGGCTTGGGTGAAAAGAAGCACATGTCCTTTAACTATCATGAGTTAGGACACATCATGACTGTAAATCTCTCTCATTGTATGATGGAGTCAAAGGGAACATACAGTAACTAAAGGCTGTTCTATCACTTGGATCATCGAGAGATCCACAAGGAGAGATACTCTCAGCGGTATCGTCCCATGCTCTTGGCGGTGGCCATCCAAAGGTTGCCGCGCCCATTAGCATGTCTGCGGACGCTATACCGACAAAGGCCAATATGGCCATCGACAGCAAGGTAAAATAAGACATTTTGATTATTAGAACGACTGTGTTAAAGGCTTTGAGCTGGTTTTGGATACCTAGAAGATAGATGAAGAGGGGAAACGCCCTCCTCGAGAGCGAGGATATCCTCCTCCCTTATAGTCATCAAATTCAGGCGAATGCATTACCACATTGTACCTATCTTTTTACAACGATGACTTGATGGTGCCGTGGATAAGGCCGGTATATCTCAACTCTATTTCTAAGCCCCAACTCTCGTCTCCATCGTCATATGCCTCGCCGTTCCGAACCTGATCTAGACTAAGGTACACAAACTCTCTTCTCAGGGGCGTCTTTTCGGAGGGAAAATATACGAACGTACCACAACACGTGCCGGGTGTGACTTTAAAGAGCGACTAGGCAGTACTACCAGGTACTTTATCAAAATATTAAGTGTAAAAGATGTATTTGTAGCATGTGAGCAATTCTTTTTATACTAGGTAGCTCCCCTCTCCTTCTATGCTCTTGGGCTGAGTCCAAACCAAGGGTCATATCGACCAGCCACCAACGATACAGCAAAAGCATATACGCAAGAGTACGCGTCTTCGGCGTAATATCCTCCTTATCGTGAGTTGATACGATAGAGTTTTGGTATTGTGGAAAGACGTGGACGAAGCCAGTTGGCTCGTACGGCGCATCGTACTACTCCTTTAGTTTGATCCATGTAATTGCCGATGATATTAGATCTAGTAGGTGGGAATAGATCAGGTAGATGGATGTTCTTAATGACGTAGTTGTAAACTCTTGTCAACAGTCCAAGGGCACCATCGAATGGTCATCACCGCTGAAAAAAAAGGCAGCATTATTTCTACGTTCGATGTTCCGGAATACTGAAAACATCGTACAGATTACTAATGTTCCTCTAGACTGCTCGAGTTAACGAGAGTTTCATCCTCGCCGTTGTATGAGCAAAGTGATGTTGCATGCGAAAATGTGATATAAACCTCATTGGCAAACATTGAAAAGATATCCAGTTATTGTCCATGTATCGTAAGTAAACATTACAAACCCCCCAAAAAGGAGAGGAAAGGAAAAAAAATCGCCAGCCGTAAAAAAACAGAGCCACATCTATCTCAACGCCATGTCACCAAAAGCTCGATCCAGCTGAGCGCCTTCATCGCTGGATATATCCCCACTGCCGCCTTGGTCGCTTTGTCCCAGGGAAGTCGGCGGACTCGGCTCCAAATGAGCAGCTGGTCCGGTTCTTTCGGGCTCCAGCAGGCGTGCGTCGCTATCCAACCATCCCGGCGCCAGCCGTCTCTTCTCGGCAAGCTCTCGCTCTCTTATACGCTCCTCCAGGTCCCTTAGGTCCCTTTCCGCGTCCTCCTGCATCTTCGAAATGTGTGCCTGCAGCGCCCGGCAGGACGCAATGATGTCGTCGGGATGGGCGGCATGGCCGGAATTTGATACCACGTATTTTGGCTTTGGCTGTGAGGAAGGGTCGTCTGACGCATTGGGGATGCCCAATGGTGAAGGGGGGATGTTGGAAGGCATCGTCTTGTAGTTGTACGAGAGTGTGGTGGCAGTGGGAAGAGAGACGAAGGGCGATACGGTTAGAGGGACCTGTTCAAGCAGGTGATGTGCCCCTGTGGCTTTTCTATCAGAAATCGTATTGCAGCGATTTAGGCAGCACTGGACTGACTCACGGTTGCTATGCATATTCCGTCGCTAGCAGGAAAGGAAGCGGACGTAGGAAAGGCGAGATGCTGCCTGTCAAGCTGAGGGGTGGCGAAGGTTCCGATATCGTTAGCGGTAGTGGTGAAGCTGCAGAGAACCAAAGAGTTTTCCGGCAATAAAAAGACAGGGCAAGCAATTCAGAAGACGCTGGGCTCTGGGTGTTGATGATTGGTATGGGCGGGTTGGGTATCTCAGCTGGAACGAAGCATTGCAAGTCCAAAGTCTCAAGTCTAAAGTCGGTGCAGCGCTGAGCGGGCGTGTCATCACTGGGCGGTATCGATAAGGCAGCAAGATGCAGCTACCCCACGATCTCGACTCTTTTTCCGCCTTGCACATCCCCAAGCTCAGCTCAGCTCAAAAGCTAACCACGAGTCCAAGTCCATCATGCTGCCGACAACAATCCGATCGCCGCCCGCAGAGGCAGACTACACGCCCCTGGCAGAGTATCAGTCACAGACGCCGGAATCTTTCACCGATGGAAAGCCAATTCTACACTACCATCTCGCCGGCGCAAAGGCGACAATCCCGCGGTCACAATGCGGCAGCCTGGCCGTCTTTCCCCAGGATACTGCTGCGGCGCCAAACGACTCAAGTGAGGGAGAAGCTTCCGAGGAGCTAGCAGAGCAAACTGTTGATGTTTTTGCGACTTCAGAGTGCGTGCTTCATCCTTGTTTATCCGAATTTGCTTCGTGTGGTTGTTGACCTTGCAGCCAGAAACTTCATCATCTTCAGCCACCAAGCCGAAGCCGGCGTCTCGATCCCCTACCCTTCCATCTCTATTCACGCTCTCAAAACGGTCGAGAGCTCGCAAGCCGTCTGGATGCAGCTGGACCTCGCCGACGGCGGCATTGACGACTCCGACTTCCAGACTGTCGAGCTCACCATCATCCCACCAACCTCCTCCGAAGCCAATTTGGCGCAACAGCTGTACGACGCCATGGCCAATTGCTCCGATCTACATCCTGACCCCGAAAATGAGGAAGACGACGACAATGAGTATGACCGCATCGTCTTCGAGGGAAACGCAGGTCACGAGGCCATTGAGGGCTTCACTGGCGTTTTACGCGGTGTCGCGGATGGTGGGCTGCCACCTCCTATGCCTGGTAGCGGCGGTTGGATCACGGCGGATAACGTACACGAGTACTTCGACGCGGATGGCAACTGGATAGGTGGAGAGCAGGAGGGAGAGGAAGAGCCTGAGGAGCTCGGAGAAGGAGCTGGTAGAACCCGCCCACGAGACGAGCTTGAGAAGGAAGATGCCGTCAACGGACACGATTCAGCTGAGGATCCGGAGAGCAAGCGGCCAAGGGTAGATAATGGAGACAGCGCGTAGGCTGCGATCATTGCAAGTTGACTGGATGCTGGAGAAAGATGGCATGGCGTTTAGGTCAGAAATAAGGGGTAGTGTAGGTCCCCTATTCATTTTTTTTCTCAGTACCTATATGGAGGATGAAAAGCTAGTGAGTATCACACTTCAAATTGTTGAATTTTAACAAAGGAAAACTCAGAATTAGATTTAAAGGCGCCATAGGCCGCTACCGACTAATATACATATTATATCTACCCAAAACTCCATCGTTGACGTGTCTCTCATTAGGTATTCAACATGGGCCTAGAACCAAAAAAAAATAAAAAGATGTGTTGCGCACAATTACATTAGTATCCCTCACCGTCGTGTCTTCTGAACAGAGGTAAAGAAAAGCCAAATATTACATCTTCACCATCACTCGTTCACGCTCTTATGCGTTTTTTCTTCGCGTCTCTTTCCGGCGAGCTGAGCAAAAACCCGTCCTTGTCATAGAGCCCCAAGCTCTCTATACTCAGTCGACGCAGATTCAGTTGCTCCTCCGCCTCAATAAGCTCCTCCACGGGACCGAATTTCTGCTTCAGCACCTTTGGTGAGATGCCTTCGATGATCTCGACGCCGGGCTTATTATAACCGAGGTTGAGGCTCTGCGTCTGCCGCTGCTGCTGCTGCGGATCGGAATCAAGCGCTTCGTCCAAGATGCAGGACAACCGCAGCCCCAGCCCTTGGAAATCTTTGCCGTAATAGCAAGTTTCCGAGCGGCGGTGCCGTGTTCCTCGCGTGCTGTATCGGGAGGTGACCATGGACTTTGTGTTTCCGACGTTGAGATAGTGTTTGCTGCCGATGTTTGCGGAGCTGAAGCGGACCGACCGCGATTTCGCCAACGCACCGCTACCGCTGCTACTGAGCGAGGCTGGTAGAGTAGGTGAGTCGCCGTCTCCAGCAACTGTCGAAGCCAAAGACGCCACGCTGTACGTGCTCAGCACGCTGTTCATGCGACGCAGTTCAGCAATGGTGCTGCTGAGTCGAGGGCCGTGGATGGATCGCCGAGACGGCGAGGCCGACAACGCACCCGCTTGGTGATCGGCAATGAACGACTCCAACGTGTAAGTAGAGCTCGCGGTGGACGTCTGTCGCATCAAACCTCCTCGCGGCGCTGGCGAAAGAATCGTGACGATGCTGCCGTCTGGGTTTGTCATGGTAGGCGGAGGCAGCGGCAAGGCTCGCTGAGACGGTGCCGTGGCCATCAAGAGGGACATGATCTCTCGCTCGTCGTAGGGCGACGACGACGACGACATTTCGACGAACCTTGTCCTTCCCGTTGGCGTCGAGGGACTAGATGACGCCGAGTCGCTGCTGTCAATCCAGTCGACTCTGGCCGTCTCGTTCGCGGGCACCTCGGTCACATCAGAATCGACTGACATGGAGACGAAGCTGATTTCCGATGGAGCCTGAGGAAGATACGGAATCTGCGAATAGTCTAATCCGTTGGCGCCGGCATTTGTTTCATATTCCGTTGGTCGCGGTTCGAGTATCAGGGGAGACATCAAGCCCCTGTAGCCCATATCGGGCGGTGACATCGCCGAGAGAGGCCGCAATGGCGGCGGGCACGAAGGCTCGCCCGCCATGAAACTCGTCAATAATGGTGAGCTGAGCGTCTTTACCCGCCTCTGTAATTCGACATTTGCAGGCCGCTGCCGTGCCTGCCAGCTTGGCCACCTCCTTGGTCCCCCCTTTTCCACAAAGGGATCATCCACCTGCCGTTGCCTGGGTCTCTCTTCTTCCGGCTCGTTTGTGCTATAAAGAGTGGAAAGCGAGCTTGATTTGTCGCTATCAAAGGACATACGATGCTCAGGGTTTCTCTGTGGGGGGCGTTGCTGTGGTGGTGGCATCGAGTGATGTTGTACTTGCGGATATTGCATATGGGAAAATTGCATTTGGGGAGGCATCTGAGGAATCATCATCATCGCTATATGGGTATTTTGTCTCTGTAGGTTGTTTCGTGGAGGGCTGTGCCTCTGCAGACTTTGCGACTGGACAGTTGTGTTTCGAGCTCTGTCAGGGCCTCCAGTCGACACTATCCGCCGATCCTGCTGCTGCTGCTGCTGCTGCTGCTCTCGTCGAGCTCCTCTGGCCTTGCTGGGGCTCGAACACCCTCCTGGAAGTTTGAGTTCTTGGGTCGCCGCCGCAATCAGACTATTCGCAGCACTGCCAACGGTGCTCGTAGAGTTATTCCCGCTTAATGTGTGAGATGGGCCTCTCTTGGGCGGACTTCCCGACACGCGTAGGCCGCCGCTCGATCTGCCAGATGATGTGGTGTGATGGCTGCTGTGGCTGTCCTGGCTGCGAATCGTCTTTGTGGGAGATCCATTTACAGCAGATGATCTGGGTGCCTTGATGGAAGACTGTGATTTCCTCTCAGAGAGCCTCCGCTCTGTTGATCGCAAGATACCCTTGAGATCCGAGTCCGTTACCGAAGGCCGAACGTGTGCTGGCTGAGGAACAGCTATTCTCGTTGGCCCAGCCGACACAACCCCCGTTGGTACGCCATTATGATGCATTGTTGGGTTTGACACTGGAGCCATTCTCGGCTCCGTCTGGCTGCGTGGCAACCATCTCGGCTGAGGATGTTGCAGAGTCACTCCAACTTGCACTTCCACCTCCTCTGGAACCGCATCGACGTTGGGAAGTGTTGGCGCCATGCCAAGTCGGCCATCTCCCCCAAACCACGACTCTCGCGCGTTCCTCTTGCTCCTCGCCATCCTGGGTCCGTGCATATCGTCCTCGTCCACCCAACTCCTCGATCTCTTCCTGCCTCTCGAAACGGTTCTTCGCCTCTCGGGCAGTGGTAAGCTCTCATGTGTCGGTAATGGAGGCGGTTCATCGTGTGGCCCAACGAACGAAAACCGGCTGGAAATTCGACTAGATAGCTTGCAGAATGATTCAGACCCCAGAAGCCGTCGCTTGGTCAATCGCGAAGACGACGGTGGTAAACCATAGTTTTGAGCCGCGAACGAATAAACCATCTGCGGTCCTGGACTGCGACTCTTCTTCACCCACCAGACAAGGAGCAAGCCCACCGTTGTGAATAGCAAAATGCCACCGCAAAGAGCAATGGCAAGCAGCCAACCCAATCCTATGGGATGATCAACATGCTCGGGATCCCGCCGGACCAGGCGCGTCGCGTAGCTCATGTTTGCTGTTCAGTTAGTTAGTTTCATTCGACTTCCTCGTTCATTACACGGCAGTTTCGGAGGCGAACTGGGGATCTTGACCAGAAGCGCACGCGTGTAAGAGAGCCAAGAAGCAGAAAGATTCAAAAGAACAGGAGCAATTGCGTTTCGGGCCCTCCGCCTTTTGTCGGTGCTTCTGGGAGAATAACATAGTTTGCATTGCAGAGGGCCATTGCTTGAAGTTTGATTGTTGCTGCATCTCAGGAATGCGTTGCCTGGCCTGATCCATTCCACTCAGACCACCATACGCCTGACCCTCCGCTGAAAAACCGGGAATTTGAGACTTGACAACATGTCAAGTATGCAGGTACTGCGTGTATAAATAAACACCCGATGGAGCAAAAAATATGATAAAAAAAACGGCTTTGCCATTATCTATGGTTGTGCCTATCGTGATACTCATTTTGACTTACAAGGGAGGATTGTCCCTTTATTCTCTATCATATCGTGCCAGTCACGCGCAATGTGGGAGCATCAAGGCCTAAGAAAAGAAGAGAACATCAAAGCCTCACATAAATTGAATAAATAAAATTAAATCTCACTTATTGATTGTCACGTAATACATCTGCCTGCGCAGCTCTCTCGTTAAATCTTTTGATGCCAAAGACTGGATAAACATCTTTTTTTACCCTATGAACAAAGCCAGCAGCCAAATGTTGATTCAATCGAGCCACACTAAGCCCATAACTATCTGGATCCTGTCCAGATTCACAAGAAAATCTTTCAAAAATGACGAAAAAGGAGGACATCAGCCTTGTCTATCTTCTCTCACAGATTTAGAGCTGTCCCTGGCCGTAGACGTGGCCGTGGTTGTGACCGTGGCCGTGAGCGCTACGTCGGTGCTTGGCAGGACGAGCACCAGTGGCTGTAACAGTCACGGTGGTCGAGGGCTGGGGCTCCTGGGTGACGGTAACGTAGGCCTGCTTCCAGAGGATTTCGCTAACAACGTTGCCAACAGTGATGAACTGAGTGCTGACGACGGCACCCTCAGCGGCTGGGACACCCGTGGCTAAGGGCTTGCTGGACTCAACAGCAGCAATCTGGAAGCCATATGAACTATCCGTGGCCGCCTCCTTGAAGACCTGGCCGGGAAGAGGAGAGCCCTTCACAGGCGCGGTCACACCAGGCTGGTAGGGCAGAGTGAGAGCAGCACCGCCCTTGGTGGGAGTAGCACTGGGCTTGCCGTGACCGCCGTGACCAGAGCTAGGGCCAGTTCCACCAACTACATCACCTCCGGGGAGCTGGTTGAAAGGACCGTTACCGGCTTCTCTCCGCAGGTTCTCGGGCAAGTCCTCCAGGTGGCACTGCTCAGCTACACTCTGGTCAACGATGTTGAAAAGGGGGCAATCCTGAATAAGGCCAGAGAGGTTCGTGCAGGTGTTGACGGCCTCCTGCAAGAAGTCTTCCTCCCAGCCCATGATGAAGTCACCGTGAAGTCCGTAACCTAGCAGCATGTCAGATAATTTCATTTCACTAAATGGTTCGCTTGTTAAACTTACCAGTCACATCTCCGTTGGACATGACGAATTGGCCATCGCGACCAACATAGGCATTGGTGTTCCAGATAATCTCAAACAGCATGCTAGGAAGACGCTCAGGGTAGCCCTCAGGGCAGACACCAGCCATGACAAGGTCAGGGAAAGCAACGTGGTCCTTGTGGTTGGCGCTATCAGTAGCATCACCTCCCTTCCAGCAAGATGGGAACATGATCTCAAAACGGATGCCATCTGCGCAGTTGGCATCGAGGTACGCCTTATCGGGCATGAAGTGGCGGTACAGGGTGCCTTCAGGAGCCTTGGCATAGTTGAGGCAGTTAAAGCCAATGGCACGCTCAGCCAAGATTTCTTGGGTAGTTTGGCCCAGAGAAGCCCAGAGAGATTTTGCGGGATCTGGCTGAGTTGGGTCGCCAGCAGAGTAGGTGCGGCGGTTGGTGTCGCCAGCGACCATGCGGAAATTGGTAGGGAAAGCCTTGATGTTGTCTCCATAGAGAAGATAGTATCTAGTACCTCTTATTAGCTGGGCTGTCCAAAAGATGGCGGCTTTTGGATATGCAATGAGGCCACTTACGCAAGCATACCACCAACTTGGGGGACCAGCTCGAATTGCTTAGTCTTGGCATCTTGGAAGTACAAGGCTGGGTGCCAGTAGGCAGATTTATCTTGTGTCACACGACATGATGTGCAGTTACCGTTGAGGAGTTCGGGGGTACCAGAGGTTTCGGAAAAGCCTAGGAGAGTGTGTCAGCGGCAACGTCTTATAGATGAAGTTGGATCGGAATCAAGAGTTGGAGACTGGGTAAGCCGAGGCCCATTGACCGAAGGAGATAGTGACATCTCTCACAGCAATCGGTCCCCTTGAAGGCATAACAAATCCAATAGCCCTGAAAGAAAACAGTACTGACCTGACGATCCGTGAATAGCGTGCATGTGAGGCGAATCCACACCCGGGTAAACGACCGGGTCCATTCGTGCGAGACCAACACGTCCCTGGCACTCCATGCGCCAGAAGGCGTCGGCAACGGCGACCAGCCCCGCGGTGACGGCGACTACAGACTTGAGCATTGTGATAGATGGTTATCCAATCTCAAGGCGTTGCTCCAGGCAAGACTGATATCAAGAGTTGGTAAGGAGTGGACGACGCAACGAGGCTATCTAAACAGAGCGTTAGCGGGCTTGCGGGCCGCAGTCAATTGTAATGAAAGACAAGAATTGAAATGAGAGAAATGCCGAGGATGAGAGAAGTGAAGAGTGAGAGATGAGAGAGCGGAAACAGATATGATGAAGAGGAGAGGCATGGCAGAATGCGGTGAGAGCCTGCAATAAGAAAAGGGAAGGCGGTCCAAAAGCCCGCCGCTCAGGGAGAAGGCGCGACGGCATCACCAGTCGAATAATCAGTTGGCAGGAAGCAGATCAGATGTAGCCTCAACCGCAAGGCCCGTCACTAACGGAGATTTTTCTTCGTACATCTGCAACTTCACAGAATGACGCAAAAGACACTTGGTGTAATCGGCCAATTTCCCTCGTCAAGTAGCAGCTGCGCCGAAGAGCCAATCGCTTCGTTGTGGTCCGTTGCGTTTGCGGGTTCCCTGCAGGTCGAGGTAGGCCAGATCTGTATGCGCTGCTGGGTATGTCCTCTCGGAAGGGCTGTACATGATGCAAAACGAAACTGTCAAACTGCAAAAATAGGCTTACCAAAGTATCGTCGTTGTCGTCAAACCTCCCCGAAAGAGAAAACGGGTCGAGGGCGATTCACAAACTTGTGATAGACTTTATCTCTTCCGTTGTTTTCCCAACCTCGCGAAACTGCTCCTAAACTAAGGATTCCAGAGAAGAGTCTTAAGTCGTTTGATGCACACGTGTTCAACCACCAGAAAGAATTCCTCGCAGCACGTCAGTCGCGGTATACCAAGTACCCAAGTTTCCGCTTTGCGACACAGTCGAAACGGTCCGATGGAAATCGATACAGTCGGTTCTCCGAGTTGAAATCACAGCTTATTGATGCGCAAGGGTTATCGCCTCCGTCAATTCAAAGCGTGCAAGAGAAAGACCGGATGACAGCGATGTCCAAAGAAAGTCAGAATAATCGAGTCCCAGAGTATGGGAGGAATGTGTATAGACAATAGAAAGAAGGAATGTACGTCGGTCGGCCGAAAGGAATGGTAAAGAATGTGGGAATGCTGAGCAAAACACACGACAATGCGTAAAGAGAAAGGAGCAGCGCGAAATGAGGGATGAGAGTGGTAGTAGTAGTATACGGGTTATTAAGGGAGATCTTGCTATCGACAAGGGATGGGGGACTCCAGGTCCTCGCGCCAATGCCGATGTTCGGGTAGTTTGGTAGGGAAAGAGAGTCAAGGACAGGCAGGCCCTGGGGATCGATGAAGAGAATGGGAGAGTATGGTGGATGAGACCAACAACAGGCGGCACGGTGCACCGACTGCCTCTGCCGCTATACTACGACTCCGACTACCATCGCGACCAAGGTTTTGAGAAGTGCAATAGCCGGCTATCAGGCATCTCTCGTTGGCCATCCACCGGGGGGAACACTAAAAGCAGATTACGGAGGATCAAGGGTCGACAGTGTACCCCAACAATGGACCAGTCAGGCCTCGTTCTGGGTAGCCCGACTTTCCAAACGCGGCAAATTCGAATGGCCACGGTCACTAGCAGGGGTTTCGATGAGGAGCATCTTTGCGATGAGAGGGGCGTTGAAACTTCGCTTGCCGCGAGGTATTTGCCTAGGTTTGCTCTGGATGAGATGATGTAATGACTCTCTCAGCGACTGATTGGCCACAGAGTCTACGAAATTTAGAGACATGGAGTTGAACAGGGATACTCATGTGCCCCTGGGGAGGTTTTTTTGTCCGACCCGCGTGATGATACCACTTCAGGGACCATTACTCCGTCGACTGGGATATCATGGACAAAGCATTCAGCCGACATCAATGCAATGCCTAAGCCCCCTACTGCTCGCCGGGGAGAGTTGGGTTGCGATGGAGAAGATGGACTCAAGCTCTGCCTCCTGAATCCAACTTATGCACATGACCATTGAGGTGAGTTTGGACCCTCCGTACCTGCATCAGGAACAAGGCTTGCGGCTGAGAAACAGACGACACTAGATTTCAGCCAGCCGAACGCCATCCGCTGCTCATCATCTATAGCGCCCCTGTGGTGCGGCCGCCTGCGCCTGTAGTTAATTGCACATCTTATTCCAACCACGAAACAGCTTGGAACTTTGCACAGCTTCTGGCGCCCTATGACGATGCCGGTGGAGCCTCAGGCCATGCGATATGTAAATAGGCTGGGGGTGGCCAAGCATGTCGCTTCCCGTTCATCTCAATTTTGCATCGCAGAACCAGGAGAGCACAGCAGTCGGTCAAGCCGTAGATTCGTGGGACCGCAGAGGACCAGGCATGCCCGTACTCCGTACTCGACAGCAAACGAAATGCTGTGGTTCATGAGTTATTCGCACGACATGGGCCATCGAAAGAGCGAGCACCGTGCAGCAGCAGGACAGTCTTCCTTTATCCAAGGCTGTCGTAGCGCTTGTTTGCTACGCTTTCTTGCCACGGGATGGCGGCGCACTCGCACATGGCCATGGATTTTCAGGGGCGCCAAGATGGAGGGGCCGCTGCAAATATGCATTGCATTGCATTAGGGAGACCCTGCGGTCATTTGAAACGGTTTCATCAGCAATGTCGACCAATCAGAAATCAGAATCTGCCCCAAAGCAGCAGCCCCTGGCTCTTGTGCCTGGCGGGAGGACGAGGCCAACGCAGAAATGAAGAGAGAAGCGACGTTGGCTCCCAATCTGTGCAAGTCTGTTTGCTGCTCCATATTGGCAAATAAGATGCAAGGTTCGCGCTGAGGCGTAATCCTCTGTGCTCGCCTGCGGAAATCAGCTAGGCTCGGTGCAGCTGCCTCCTGGCTTGTCTGTTTGAGCCTCCCTCCCATCAAGGATTCAGAATGAGGGGTTATGTCTTTGTTTGTTCTAGAAGGTCATGCCTCTACAACGGCCCCGTGGAGTACGGCATATTGCACATTCTCGTACGAGTACCTTTTCTACTCGCTTGTTATACAGCAAGCGAGGCGAGTCCGAATGCTCCATGGTCGTCTGCCCGTATTGCTAGAATCATCTCATCTCGCCGGCTTCCGGCACGAGCATCCATATGTGATGTCAAGCTATCGCCGAGACTTGGCACCATTCAGCAGCCGGAAAAGCTATGCCTTTGGATTGCGCGAAAGACCGTGCACGAGTTCTTCCGGAGAGAGCGAGGCTATTAACAAGTACTCGCATGAGCATGCTCTCTCAGGAGAGCCGAAATATGAACCAGCGACCTTCGTGATGTTGATCCAAGGGGTCCGTAGCCCGCTAAGATCACTAGCATCCAGCCAGATCGTTTGGTTTTGACAGCTTCTGATCCGATGACGAAACCGATAAGAGCCCAATGTTTTGGTTTGCCAGGAATCCATATCCGTATTCCGATGTGATTTACTAGCCAAACGAAGAAAACGATCGGCAAGTGATTCACAATCCCAGACACGTTATTCGCTAGGGGCATTTATGGTGTTCAGTACGGATACTGCTCCATGGATTACTACTAGGTACATACCACTTGTGCGTGAGAGTAATTGCGTTCTGCATACTGTACCTATGTAGATTGGCTCACGTGGAAGTCGTAAGGCTTGATATCTTATGTTCAACAGACAGTAACACTTTGAGAGATGCACACTGAAATTCTAGGTAAACGCACAATCGCATGAGAAGGGATCATTTAACAAACAGCCGTGTCGAATGTCGGTGGCTATCGTAAAGTACTAGAGCTATATAAGATGAATTAAGTCAAACATGTAGCATCAAACATATCCGACGTGGTGTAGTGGCTAGCATACCGCGCTTTCACTTGAAAGTCCCGCGGCGATCCGGGTTCGACTCCCGGCGCCGGAATTCATTTTTGGTCTTTTTGTCGTACTCGCCTACCCTACATCTCTCTGTCTTGGTCGAATTTTTTTGATAATGCATGCAAGTCAAGCCTTCGCAAGTGTTTGATTGATTTGTATTTGATTGTTCACATCCTTTTTGTTTCTTTTTAGCTGTATCACGATATATTATGGTTTGCGATATGAGCTCTTGGTGGGGATAAGTAACAAGAAGTAGCCGTGGTAAAAACAACACCGCAAGACTGTTACAAAGTACAGACAGCACATCAAGTGCAGGCAACCAATCAACGTTCTGTCTTAGTTTTGAGAAGCCTTGGGAAAGTTACTTGACACATGGATCAGAGCGCAGAATATGAAATTCTCAAACAAAACAGCTTACTCACTTGAAGCGAAACGCAGAGAGCAATTGCTGTCATGAACGAGGTCATGTGACCCGGAGCTGCAGACAGATTCGCGCAGCTGCCAATGATACTAACCAGAACCCGAACCCCTGCCTTTTGTCGCTGGCGGTTCGCGCAATCTAAGGATCCCCTCTATGGGGCCAAGCGAGCGATAGCCTCAGCCTTCATCGCGACAACGGTCCGGCTATGATTGACATCTCGCGATAGCCAGCAACGCCTTTTTCAACCATGGATGACCTTTCAGGGCTCGATTGGTCTTCGGACGCATCGGCCAACAAACCGAAACCGATGGCCGTCAACCCTTCATATCCTCCGTTTCGATCGTCGCCATCTCCCTTTGGCACGGGGCAGAGCACACCTTTGTCCGTTCAGAAGCCAAACAGCCCGGCGCCCAAGGCGGCTCCTGCGAAGGCTGTGCAAGACAGCTTCAGCAACCTGAGCTTTGGTCTGCCAAAGGCCACCCAAAACCTGTCACTGGCCGAGAGACAGGCGCAGCTTGAAATCGAGAAGCGGAAGAAAGAAGAAGAGAGACGGAAGCTGGCAGAGGCGCAATTTGGAAATGGCCAGCAATGGGATTCCCTAGGGTCTCGAGGCTTCACGCCCAGCCCGGCACCCAAACAACAACCTGCACCTGTTAAGAGCGCAGCAAATGACGACGACGATCTATTCGCAGCATTCAACAGAGACACCAAGGTAGACAATGCGAGCCATTACCCCCCACCTCCGCCGGACAAAAGCAAGCTCGACCTGGCCGACCCCTCAGCATGGGGGTCAACGACGGCCTCCAGCAGCGGCGGCGCTGCTTTTGAGGCAGAAGACGATGATCCCTTTGGACTGCACGAGGTGAAGCCTGCTGCCTCGGCTGGAGCTGGCCGGGGCACCGCCACCGGCGCAGACGATTTCGATTTCTTGGGAGATCTCGGACGACCAGTGGACGAGGTTCGAAAGGAGCAACAGGCCAAACAAGAAGTCCTGCGGAGCGAACCAGGAAAGCCGATTGAAGATGACTCGAGCTCCTCCGACGATGACGAACCTATAGAGCGAAATATTGAGCGGGTACCAAGGGTGAACAAGGACCCCTTTGACAAAGCTGTTGCGCAGCTTGTCGACTATGGATTTACACCTGAACAGGCCAGGAGGGGACTTGTGGAGAGCGGAACGGGTTTCAATGCCCAGGCCGCTGCCAACTGGCTCCTGGACGAAGCTCATAGGAAGTCCAAGGAGGCATCGCAAGGTCGGAGTTCCCAGGGAAGAAGTTCTGCTGCCACAGGAAGCCAAAATCAGCGCAGCGATAGCCGGTCTCCCGCTAGAGGAGAAACCGACTTTGCAAAGACAGCTGCTGCCATGGGAAACACCCTGTTCAAGTCTGCAAACACACTGTGGAAGACGGGGCAGAAGAAGGTGCAGCAGGCAGTCGCAGAATTTCAGCAAGAAGGAGGAGGAGACCCAAGTCAGCCAAAATGGATGCGAGATGCTCAGCAGGCGCGGGCCCAGCCGAGGCCTCCAAGAGCTGACGCCGATGTCACAGACGAAGCCCTCATGCTCGAGTCTGGCGGTAGGCCGCAGCCTGCCAGGAGCAGCAGCAGCAGCAGCAGCCGCCATGCGGTAGACCCAAGAGCTGGTCCCCCAGGCCCCCAAATTTCGCGAACATCATCACCCGCCCTGTCCTCAGGAACACAGAGTCGGAATAGTCCTGCACCACGATGGCAGCAGCAGACAGCGCCGCCGCCAATGATTCCCGATGCAAGATCCAGGCTCAACAGGCTAACGGCAGATGATGATGACAGCTTCTCCAGCTACGTAAGTGCCAGCAGGAGAAAGAAGGCGAGCCCGGCACCGGAACCACCAAGGAAGACTGAACCTGAGCCCGATCTGTTGTTTGGTTCGCAAGCATCAAAATCATCACAGCGAACTCCCTCTCCGGCAGCCCAGAGACCAACACCAGCTGCTCCAAGCCGGCCTCAGCCTGCACAGGTGCCCGCACCTCCGCGCAAAGTTACACCTAGACCTACCAGACAGATTCCTCCCATCAGCCCCGATGCACTGCAGGCATCAACATCGCATAGACTACAGGGAACCGCGCATTTCAAGCGTGGCGATTATGCCGCGGCCCATTCATCTTACGCATCGTCTCTATCCTCTGTTCCTTCTACGCATCCCCTGATGATCGTCTTGCTTACGAACCGTGCTCTGACGGCTCTAAAAACTGGAGAACCTAAGCAAGCAGTGACTGATGCAGACGAGGCACTGAAGATTATTGGGCCTGGGAATGGCCAGGGAGAGAGTGTGGCTGTGAGAAACGAATCTGGACAGGACGAGAGCCGTGACATGAAAGAACTCTACGGAAAAGCGCTGAGCAGGAAAGCAGAGGCCTTGGAGCAGATGGAGAAGTGGGCAGAGGCCGGCGTTGTATGGAAGCAATGCGTCGAAGGTGGCGTTGGCGGTCCTACCGCTGTCAAGGGCCGCCAGCGATGTCAAGACGCACTCACTCCTAAGCCCAAAGCTGCGCCGAGACCTGTGGTCAAGCCTCGACCCCAGCCAGCCGCCAGTCGTGCACCGCAGAAAGACTCGGAAGCGGTTACCAGGCTACGTGAGGCTAACCAAGCCGCCGCTAAGGAAGACGATGAGAAATTTGCCCTTGCGGACAAGGTCGATGCTAAAGTATCCGCCTGGAGAGATGGCAAAAGAGAGAATCTGCGGGCATTGCTGGCCAGTATGGACCAAGTGCTTTGGGAAAGTAGTGGATGGAAGAAGGTTGGGCTGCACGAGCTGGTAATGGCGAACAAGGTCAAGATTACGTACATGAAGGCCATTGCAAAGACTCACCCTGACAAGGTAAGAAGAAATCACTTGAGCTTTAACCCCGTGAATCTGAGAAACATGCTTACTGGAGTGTTAGCTTCCACAAGACGCGAGTACCGAGGTTAGACTTATTGCTGGGTTGGTGTTTAGCACTCTGAACGAGAGCTGGGACAAGTTTAAAGCGGACAATGGGCTATGAGGTGACTTATTTGACAGCGTTTCTTTGGTAAAGAGGAGAGCAGCAGTAAAGATGGGCCAAGTGGCAGTTTCCTACTGGCTGGTTGACGACGGCAACGATGTTGATGATGGATACAGATACACAGTGATTTTCAGTGTTTTACCCAGTGATTTTCTCTTCTCCTTGGATTTATCTTCGCCATACGCCATGCTAGCCCCCAATCATACATACACACGTTTATATAACAAATACATTAGAAGTCGCAACCCTATCCCGTTGAGATGAAGACCTTCCAGACCACCTTGCGTAATACCCATCTCTGCTTCTATCTTGGCGGCCTTGTTCTCTTTGTATTCCACCCCCCCTCTTTCGATAAAGGAAAATACTCTTGATAAGTAAAAAACAAGACCGCTCTCACAAACCCAACATGCGCCGAACACCGTCGCGGACCGTCTTTTCGTACTCGTCACGACGCTCGCGCCACATCTTGGCGGCCTCGACGTTGGCGGGGCTCTCGTCGTTGGGCTCAGCTAGCATGCTCATAACAGAGATGAGGATCTTTTCGACGGATTGGATGGGGGACCAGCGCTCGGAGGCGTGCTCGTAGTGGTTGGGGTCGTCGCCGGGAGGGTGGAGGATGGAGATGCAGACGAGGCCGCTGGGGTAGACTGGTTTTTTTTTGCACATTTTCGTTTTAGCCTCTTGTTCAAACATGTCTCTTGAAACATGTTCGTTTTCATTTGCTCCCCTTCAGCGTTGTGGAAAAAAACCTGTTGTGGGAATATTTTATATGCCTTGGATGGGGGCCATACCGTTTGGATGCCACATGTCGGCGAGAAACTTCATCGTCGGCGGCGCAAGCGGGTAGTCCTTGGGGAACTTGAGCTCGGCGGGGAAGACGCCGCCCTCAAAGGGGGTCCCCTCGGGGCCCTGAATGAGGCATTCCCAGTGCAGCAGGTCGTCCTCGGAGACGGGGCCGGCGGTGATGCCTTCGGGCGGGTTGTTTGTGAGGGCGCGGTATTCTTGGAGGAGGCGGCGGTGGGCGGTGGATTGGGCCATGGTGGGCGGAATGACCCCCGCGATTGTGTGGAGAGAGAGAGAGGGGGAGAGGATGGAGAAAAGAGGAAGAGGGAGGAGGGAATGTCGTTGTTTTCGTCGGGTTGGGATTTGTTTGGATGCTTGATGAGAGAGTTGGAGGTTTTGGGTTCGAGGCGGCGGACGGAATCGGAGCCGCGGGCCAGGTGGAACTTTGGGGCGGGCGTGGCTTGTGGCGTGGCGGGGTTTCGGGGCGTTTTGAAACTTGGAGTACTAGGTACCTAGGTACCTAAGAGAAGTTGTGGCGTTATTGTATCGTCTGCGCCACAGTCGGGTTTGAGTACTCCGAGAATGTACGTACATCGACAGCATTCCTTTAGTAGTACCTATGGCTAAAATGAAGTGGTGGGCTCGTACAGGGAAAATAAATTACTTGCAGCTTGTGTTCTATATGATGCAATGACATTCTGGCCTAGAGGTGTCGGCTAAATGTTTGCTGGCAATGAGGCTAAGAAGCTGAACCCCGATTTCTTTCAGGCATTTATACGGAGCAGGTAGTACTCGATATGAAAGACACTACCTGCTGCTCTTTGATGCAGTGAGCGGAATATTTCCTAAACGACTCGTCCTTTATGGCATGGACAAGGGAGTGATGGGTCAGAAACCGAGTGCTGTCCCTTGAAAACGGCATCTCGCGTATGCAATACATAGTATACAGTATGGGAAAAGTAATACTACCTTCCAGCTGCCTCCTATATGCGAGCTGCATGTCTCAATGCTGTCTCATGCGGCGATACGAAGCGGCTGAGAGGAGTATGACATGTACGCCTTTTCAGCTGAAGCCATGCGTACACTCGTGCTATAAGAGACCTCATCTCCCCCCCCCCCCTGAATCCTTTGGAGGGCATCTCCCATCTTCAATTTTTACAGTGATAATCCGAGTGAAGAAATCACACTTGAGAATATGAGATTCTTTGCGCCTCTCTTCATACTCCTTGTGGGAGCTGCTGTTGCTTCCCCCTTACAGGATCGCCAGGGTGACCCAGATTGCTACGACATCTGCTTCAGTGGACCTCTGCCATGTCCTTCTAATAGAGTATGTACAAGGGGAATAGAACTCATGCTGCTCAACTCAGCTGCTAATGAGATTTTGTATAGGTTTCCAAGGAAATAGTGAGCCTCCTCCTAATCTCACCTTCCATTCCACGATTTAGTGCTAATCGTTCTGGTTATCAAAGGATGGCTGCTGGACTTGCTGCCTTGTGTGAAACAAAGTCACTTCAATCGAAGTCGGCATCTCTAATACTCTCAAAACTTCTTCAGTATAGCCACTCAGTGCATAAAGCCATAACGTTCATCCTAATTACGTCTCGTCTCAAAGCAAATTGTTTCCGAAATGAAAAGCTCAGTGAATCATGACCAATTCCATATTAGCACGGTCCAATTCCACTCAATCCATATGCGACCCCCATCCCTACATCACACAACAATCAGGCTTTTCAGTCTTCACCACTGGTCCTTCAAAAGCCAAGGCCATACCATCCTCCTCAGGCCAGTACGTGAAATCAGCTAGACTTCCTCCACACTTCTCAAACGCCTTTGCCATCGTCTTCAGGAGTTCGTCGTCCTTGCCGTCGAGCGCACGCAGCGAAACGAGCAGTCTTTTATCTCCTTTGAAGGAACCCGACTTTTCGCCGTTCTCTATGCCATTATATAGACCTCTGATCATGGCGCTGCCGCTGTCTTTGGCCTCTTTCTCGAGCTGTTCGAAATACTGAAGAATTCGTACCGTAATGCATAGATAGTTGAGGCTCGACATGGGTCGGATTTCACCGCAAATGTCGTCGTGGATGTCGTTCCAAATCATACTCAGAATCGTTTCAGCCATGAACTCGCCCTCTCTACCTTCTTCGTTACCGCGTGGCTTGACTGGAGCCTTGCAGGTCTTCCGGAGCCAGGACAGCTTCGTAGAAGCGCAATCTGGTATGCAGACCGTCATCCGAGACAGCAATGCCTGCCTGGTATTCTTTAGCTCTTCAAAAACTGGATCAAGAGACGTTATGAACGGCTCATTCATGCCCGTCGAATAAGCACGCTTGACCAATTCAGTTTCCTCAATCTGCCAATCACAAGTCTCTGAGTTGCGAAGGCGCCTCGTCTGGTTAAGCCGAATCATGCCCAGAGCCGACCACGGCTCGACCTCGCTGTCTGGGATTCGCGATGGGTCCCAATCTGCCTCAGCATAGAGAACCAGAGTCGATTTCTGCTTGAAGAGGCGTAGAATGACGAGCTTTAGAAAGTCACGGGTGCGAGTGACTGTGGATGCTGCTCGCCGATTTGTTCGCTCCTGAAGGAATTCCTTGCGAGTCGCCATCTTGTGAACGTGGCTTTGAAAAGCGTCGACAAATTTCTCCTCGGGGCGAAGTCCTCCCGTGTAGAAGCTTTCGGCAAACAGGGCATCCAAACGAGCGTACATGGTTATCGGTTGTTTAAGATACCCCTTTTGCACCAGCATGTTGTGTAGGTGAAGGACCAGCATGGGCTCTCGCATTCTATCCCATAGAACCATGATGCTTCGATAAGTGAGCTCAAGTCCTTCTGCCAAGCCGGCGCCGCAGAAAAAAGGAGAGTAATCCCACACGCCGTTGGGGTTTGTCGCCGCGAATCGAGAGGGCAGAAAGGGTGATAGTTGATGGAAGAGTTTGCATTTTCCCAACGCCTGGGCGAATTCAACACCGAGCTTCTCAAGAACGCCGATGCAATCCAGCGTGTGCTCGAACGACTTGCCACTGTTTTGGAAGCGCAGGTACATCAATTTGAGCCGATACGTGGCTTGGAAGAAACCCTGGCCCGACGATGCCCAGTTCCCTTGACCGAGAAATTTGCTCAAATCACGCCGCGGTTGAAAATCTTGTGGAGGCTCGATGATGACATGGCCTTCTACGCCGCTGATTGACCATCCACGAGAGATGGTCCAGGCATCCATAATGCACTGGAGATAGAAGACGAGGTAAGACGGGATCTTGTGACTAAACGCAGTGCCGGGTTTCTGCATTGCAAGCGTCGTAACCTCTGCGGCAAAGTCGATCAGGCCAAACATCCTGTGAAAGGATTTCAATGGCCCAGAGTTGGACCAGTCGACCTCCTCCAACACAAAGCCTTCTCCCTTGGGATCTTCACCGAATAGAGCAGCACACGCGGTGACGTTGACAAGGTCGTACAGCCAGTTGATTGTATAGCAGCGCCTCCACTTGATTCTCGCCTCCTTGGTTGCGTCTTGTATGTTGAATGTAGGATCCCAGTTGTCGAGCTGGGCAAGCATCCGCTTCGTCGGCTTGCCGCTTCTTGTCTTCTGATAATCCGTGATGAAATCGACGAGGTCTTCGAAGGCGTGGATAAGGAAAAGCTCCTTGACATCCAGCGACACTTCAGTGGTTTTGGCCGAGCCCTCTCCCTTATAGGGATGGATGGTAAGGCGAAACTCCTTTTCTGCTTTCTTGACGTCTCCGCGCGTGAGGGTGTGCATGATCATCTCAAACGATTCGTAACCTGGAAAGTCAACAAAAATCGTAGCCTCGGATTGTTTGACCATTGCCACAGCGATTTTGGCTGCAGTAGCTGCTACTGCACTATTTAGGTTCTTGTAGGCTACCTTTGCCCAAAAATCCTGAAGGAATGATCGAAACTGAATCCAGTCTCTCGCCAGCGCAAGGACTGCCATGACATACTCCGTCATGTCATTGTCTTCGATTATGCGGTAGCTTTCCAGCGGCACCTCATCAAGGAGGTTGTCAGCTGCTCTTGAAGACTTTCGCCCTCGCTGTGCCTTCTTCCCCTTTCCTTTCTTTCGTTTGCCTTTGCCGGTCCGCCTTCGTCGTTTCTGCTGAGGACTTGCGGCACTGCTGGACTCTTTGTCGGACTCTTCGTGAGATTCATGACTCTCTGGATCGCTCTCTAGATCTAAGACTGAAAACTTGTTCATAGTGGCGAAGATGTTGGAGCTAGCTTCCTCCTCGCCGGTCTTCGCCTGATTCTCTTGATCTTGGGCCAGCCACTCTTCACCGCCCAAGATGTTGAACGCTTTGGTCAGAGTATCGATGAAATGCTTGTGCGTCGAGTTATTTCTTTCAAGCTCTTCGCTGGGTTGTACGGATGCAAGCTGCTGAAACTGAGAGTAGTAGATGGAGCGTAACTCGATCACGGACTGAAACAAACCAAATATCGCAGATGGTATTTTGATATCGTGTTTCGCAATGAGCTCCGACATGGAGACGAGTTCCGAGACAGTAACCTGGCCTGTGAAATTTTGCTCCAGTGGTGGCTCATCCTCAGTGGCATCCAGGGACTGGAGGATGCCGTTTGAAGTCTTGACTAGCCAGTACAACAAGAGTCGGGTGTCTTGCTTGTACAAGACATAGAAGTTGTCGAACTTCATAGTCGATGACGGATAGTTAGAATCTGCAAAACAGCCGATTCAAAAGCCCATGTGCCTGAAATCTCGATGCGTGGAGATGAAAACTGATGCTGGGGCGCGTTTGCGAGTTGCAGCTGGCAAAAGCCGACGGTTCACGATCAAAACAAACGGCCGTACTTCAACTTCAACCCCCTATCACGTGCGGGCAAATGTTGCCACAGCTGCCAGCTGGCGCAGCTGTCAAGATGAACCTGTCGCTGTCAGTCAAGAGAAACAGGACAGTGTAGTGTCAAGTTGGGTGCGGCTAGGGGGGGACCGGCCACTGATGAAATGTCATGAAACCGTTTCCAACACTCCAATGATCGAAACATCTTAGTAGAAGAGCTACAAATGTCTGCTAAAGCTGATCTAGCTGCTATCTAGCATCCAAAAACAAAACGAAAATAGATAAAAGTGATCACAGGCCTCCCTTGGCCTTCAAATCCTCATGAATCTTCTTTTGTCTATCCCATGCCTTCTTGAGCGTCTTGAGCTGGCTCTTGGGTACCTCGTTGCCGTCCTTTAGCTTGGTGGGAAGTCCCTGCTCATCCCAGGCGCTGTAACGCTCATCTTTTTTGAATAGCTCCTCTGGAGGGACCTTTGCCTTTTCTCGGGCCTCTTGGTCAGCCTTTTCCTTGGCAAGTCTTGCCTCTTCCTTCTTCCTTGCCTTCTCGGCTTCTCGTGCAATCTTCTCCTCGCGAGCAGCGATAAGTTCCGAAGCGGGCACGAATTTGATAAGCGATGGCTGGTTATCAGGCCGGTCATCAAGATAAACGCCGAGGTTGGTAAGGTCCTGGTCGCGAATTCGGTCTGTGATTTGCAAAATCGCCTTCTTGGTTTGCGGATCGTAAGAAGAGACAGTGCGACGGAGCTCGTCACGGATCTGAGATACTACCCTCAAGTAAGGCAGCGATAATCTCTCTATATCACGAGAGCCTCCTTGAGCAATGGCTTGGAATTCCGTGGTAGGATCTCTTGAGAGAAGCGTACTGACGGCCTCGTTGGACAGCGAGAGGGCGCCAATATCTGACTTGACCTTCTCGAGCACTTCAGCATAGGGCTTGACAGCAGTTTCGGGATCTGTGTTCTCAGAAATCACAGAGGCCCAGCCAAGGCCTTCGTAGGGAGGCTGAGCATTGGCATCAAGGCCAAAGATGCCCACCAACTTGGTAATATAGCGAGCAATAGCCTCGACTTCAGTGAGATCCGTGTCCTTGTTGTCCTTGAGATAACTGTTGGTGGTGTTAACCAACTTCAAGATGACCAGCATTGCTCGCGGGGTATCAATTGAGTTTGCGAGCGCCGCCTCGACATCCTTCTTGGCCTGTTCGAGCTCAGCAAGGAGACCGGTGGCAGACTTGTCGGAGCCAATGCTGAGTGACTTTACGCCGCTCTCGATGCCCGCCTCAGCCAGCCATGACTTTGTGTTTGTGAAGAAATTCTATGTCAAGTATGGTTAGTTAGGGGATAAATTCGACTACCGTTGGGCGATGATCTGTACTTACGCTGATGGTCGATTCCCAGTTATCAGCTTGAGCTCTCATGTCTGGTGAGATTTCGACGCCGTCATTCCATTTGCCCATCAAAAAGACGATGCGCATGCTTCGTGGTGTGTAGCTGGTTGCCAATGCGTCTTGGATGGTCTGGAAGTTCTTCAAGGACTTGGACATTTTGGACCCCGAAATGGAGAGATGTCCCATGTGAAGGAAGTACTTGACCCAGGTATGCTCGCCTTTGCCATGTTCGCAGAAGTAAGCTTCACTCTGGGCCAGCTCGTTATCGTGATGAGGGAAGGCAAGGTCGATGCCACCAGAATGAATATCCATTTGGGAGCCTAGGATATCAGACGCCATGACTGAGCACTCAATATGCCAGCCAGGTCTACCGTCACCCCATGGGCTGGGCCAAAAGGGCTCTCCAGCCTTTGATTTTTTCCAGAGGGCAAAATCACCAGCACCCTTCTTGCCTCCCAAGTTCTTTGACAGAGATCCCTCGCCCTCTTCTTGGAGAGCTTTGTCGTTTTTGCTTTCAGGACGTAGACGGGCATAAGAATTGCCTGCCTTTTCAAAAGCGCCAATGTCGAAGTAGACAGACCCTTCGGACTCATATGCGAACCCCTTGTTCACAATCTGGTCCACAAACTTGACAATCTGGGGAACATACTCGGTCACCCTTGTGATGTGATCCGGCCTGAGAACGTTCAGCGCATCCATATCGGCCATGAACAGATCTTCCATCTTCTTGGTTAAGTCTGTAAACATGGTCTGGTCGCGTGTATCGACGGATTCCTTATAGAGAGAGTCGAGATAAGGGAGGAAGATTTCGTCGGCTCCGGGGAATATCGAACCGTTCTTGAGAGCTTCTGCCGCAGCATCCATGTTGCTGATGTGCATCTTGACTTTGGCCTCGGCATCTCCCGGCTTTCCCTCTCCAGCCAAGGTGCCACCGGTGAGGATCTTGCCATACGAAGCGTCTCGTTGAGCAATATAAGTCGTCTCGTCCAAATCGCTTCCATTTTCCACCAGCAATGGCAGGCTGCTGGCCGCATACGCTTTAAAGGCCGCACGTGTCAGCTTTGCGAGCTCTTCTTTGGAGTAGTTTTTGCTCTTTTCGATTTCGAGTAATCGCTGTCTTCTCGCCTTGATGATGATCTAACAGAGTGTTAAGCTTTGAGTCAATGCGATATTGGCCCGAACGGCTCTCCATACCTTGTCGTCAATGTCCGTGATGTTCATGACAAAGTTGAGCTTGAAGCCAAAGAAGTGGTGTAGAATGCGCCGGATAATATCAGTCGAGACATAGTTGCGCGCATGTCCCAGATGACTCAAGTCGTAGACGGTCGGACCGCAGGCGTACCAGGACACCTCTCCAGACCTGATGGGAACAAAGGGCACCGGCGCACCGGGCTTCAATGAGTTATGGAGCTTCAGAGACTCCATGGCAGCGAGCGAGAATCTTCGACAGAGGGAGACGTGGTTCTTTGCAGCGTCGCAGAAACGGAGGCGGGGTCCAAGTCGAGGTCGAGGTCGGGCGACGAGACGCAGGAGATTCATATATAGACGGTGCCCAGATCTAGGGTAGAAGAGGAAGAGGACGAGGACACAAAGGACAAGAGGGCATCACCGAGGTGATCAGGTGAGTCAGAGCACGAATGCGACACGAAGCTTTGAACACAATAGTGACTCTTGCAGTCTCACCACACCCTTGCAGAAATGCCCCTCCTTAGCGTCGCGGAGTGGAAGCATGAGATCTGCCGCTAATTTTTTTTTTTTAGCGTGCTCGATGCCCTGAGCCCATGGCGGCACCTCCAGGGCTTCTAGACTCAGTGTTGGACAGAAGAATAATGCAAAAGCCTTCCATGCCTTATTGTTTCAAAATCTTTGAGGGAAAAACCATATGTAAAGCCATCAAAAATGTCCTTGGCCATATTGATCAAGCTTCTCTGAATTCACCAGGTGTCTCTAGGTGGATTAGTCCATACATCCTTTTCTCGACTTGGCATGACCCAAGGAGCTGCTATAATGCTGCATAGAGTTTAATAGCGTTGCAAACTAATAAATGCAGTAAACATCCAGCCCCTGTCTGTTTATTATCAAACATCTAATCCATATAACCGGGCTTTTACAGAGGCTGCCTGTATTCAAGCAAGGACAATAAGCTGTGACAGCCGGTTCAATACAAGGCTATTCCCGGCCCAACTGCCTGAATCAAACTTCGGTTGAATCTTTGAACCCTACATTGCTCTGCTACCGGCAGAAGCACATAGAGTCGCTCGACCTATATAAATGCTCCAGAACAAAATCACGCAAAACGCCCATGCAAATTTCCAATTCACAGCATCGGAGCCATTGCACCTTTCCAATGGAATCCCAATCAATCATGATCGCCAGGGTATTGAGCCGGCGTGCCCCTCCCCATAATAGCCCAGAATCAAGGCCCCCTACCGGCAGTTTGCATCTGGAAGAAAGGGCGGGGCACGGCGCCGTTCCGCCGCGGAAATCAGCGCCAGCCATCACCGTAGCAGTAGCTTGTGACTGCCTGGGGAAATATTTTTTTTTCTTTGCGATACGGATAACAAGTCTGGGTAGACTTCGTTTCTGCCACCACACTCTGCCATCTTCCCGACGACATTCAATCGAGTTGCAAAGCAGTCAATTCGACAATGGCTAAGCCGTCAACATTTCTGGTGCCCGGCGACAAGACGTCTGCCGGGACACTCGCCATTATCAGCTTATCGCGCGACAACTTCCTGCCGCTGACGCTGGAGAAGTCAACAGGTGCAGTCGACGGTTACCTCGAGGGTGCAACATTAAATACCCGCTTCGGCTCCTATCCTCACTCAACATTGCTCGATGTGCCGTGGGGCTCCCAAGTCCGCGCGTCGAATGTCGATACGGGCTCGCGGGGCAAGAAGCGGAGACGAGATGCTCCCGACGAAGATACACCGATAGCCAGCCAGGACGATGACGATGATTCCACGGCTGCCAACGCGCCAGTAAAGAAGGCTGTTACAGCCCCGAGCGGCTTTATCTATGTCTTGCGGCCAACCCCCGAGCTCTGGACTACTAGTCTACCCCACAGAACACAAGTTGTATATACACCAGACTACAGCTATATCCTCCATAGGATACGAGCCAGACCCGGAACCAGAATTATCGAGGCTGGAGCTGGTAGCGGAAGCTTTACTCATGCATCCGTGAGAGCGGTTTACAACGGATACCCACGAGACGCGGACGATGTAAAGGGGAAAGTTTTTAGCTTTGAATTCAACGAATCGCGATATGAGAAGATGCAGGTGGAAATTGGACATCACGGGCTAGACGACCTTGTCAAGCTCACACATCGTGATGTTTACAACGACGGATTCAACGTCAACGGCGAGTCGCCCAATGCGACGGCTGTCTTTTTGGATCTGCCTGCTCCCTGGGAGGCTTTACATCACCTTTCCAGGCGAAAACTCCAGAAGGGGGGCGAAGAAGCTGAGGCGGACAGCAATTGGGTATCGCCACTAGATCCCAAGCAGAGCGTCCACATTTGCACATTTTCGCCCTGCATAGAACAGGTTACCCGAACAGTCACGGAGCTGAGAACCTTGGGCTGGGTAGATGTGGACATGGTGGAGATTTCAAATCAGAAGATCAACATATCAAGAGAAAAGGTTGGAGTAAACTACCCAACCGAGAAAGGATACAATTCCTCTCCCGCGGATGTTTTGGAGGCTGTAACAAAGCTCAAAAGCCTTGCCGACAGGAATAAGGAGACCCAGAGAGTCCAGGCGCTACAGACAGGGGTCGAGGGGCCTGACAGCGAAATGGACCTTGACTCCACTCCTAACCGCGAAAACCAGCCTTCGAATTCCAATGGAGCTGTTGACGATATGGAGAAGCCTTGGATGCAGGGACGGCTTGTTCACAGACCGGAGAGCGAACTCAAAACCCACACTTCTTACCTAGTGTTTGCTATCCTGCCGTGTGAATGGGACGAGGAAGCAGAGGCTGCGGCCATGGCTAAATGGCCATGTGGAAACGAGAAGAAGACGATTGGAAACCTGGACAAGCAGGCCCGCAAGGAGGAGAAGAGAAAGATGCTGGAAGGGAAATCCAAGAAGCAGAAGAAGGGGAGTGATACCCAGACAGCGCAAGTTGTGGTGTCAGCTGTGGCGACACCAACGACGGATACGGCGTAATTTCTTGACAAATTCATTGAACCAGTAGAATAAATAGAACTGCAGCATTGCGCAGTGTCTTAACATGTCCATTTAAGTTGTATTGATATCTCATGCTTGTAATTCCATCTCATGCACGGAATTTCTTCGGTAATGGCTTGCCAGGCACCAGATTTCACCGAGAGCAGCTCCGGAGGGCGGATAAACAATTGGCCACCTCAGGCAGACCTCCGACCTAAACACCAGCCAACCCGCCATCATAAGCCAGGGTCTTGTAAAGGTCAAATTTCAAGCTATCCATCCATAGCTCCAGAATTGCGACATTCCTTTACTCCCCAGCAAACCGCCGCAATGACTTCCACCATTGGCATCCCGATCAAGCTCCTCAATGAGGCACAGGTTCGTAATTTCCACGCTGCCAAAGATTGCTTTTTGCCTTTGGTCCTCGAAATGGATGGGAGCGCTCACATAGTAGTCTAGGGTCACATCATCACCCTCGAAATCACGTCGGGCCAGACATACCGCGGAAAGCTCCTCGAAGGTACACTCACTCCCCCTCCCAATGGCTCGATGTGCGGGCCCCTCGCGCGCAAATTAATAATAATCGAAAACTAACACATTTCATTTCACTAGCCGAGGACAACATGAACGTCCAGCTCAAGGACATCACCGTGACCGCTCGCGACGGCCGCGTCTCCCACCTCGACCAGGTCTACATTCGAGGATCTCACGTCCGCTTCTTCATCGTGCCCGACATGCTTCGCAACGCGCCCATGTTCCGCAGCCGCAACGTACGGGGTAGGGGTGTTGGTCTGGCGAGAGGTCGTGCGACGGTCAGCCGTGCCCGTGCCAGCGGTGGTCGTGGCCGGTAAAGAGCGTCGTCTCTCTATTCTGCGAGACAGAGTGCAAAGGGAGGGAAATTATTGTGTGTCGTGATGAGGGGGAAGCATGGGCTTGGCGTTTAAGGATCTATGGGTTTCCGTGCTTTTCTATACGAGAGAAAGAGAGAGAGAAAAAAATATTGTGGCAATACAAGGTAATGTTGTGCTGAGAGCGACGAAAGATACCATGGCAAAGTGGGTAGTCGGAATGGCAGTCTGAAGTTACGCAGGATAGGCGCGGCTGAGCGAGGCTCAAACTATTTTGAGCTTCGTTTCCAGAGCTAATCATCTAGATATACATGTGTCACATACTCGTACAAAGTCTATTCCTGCTCATATTCGTACACAATGTCAATGCCTATTTTAGCCGTGCCAGCGCGTCTTCCGCCTTGGCCACCAATTCACTGGCTTGCTCCAACTCCTTGATTCTCTGAGCCGACAGCTTATCTTGTTGAACCCCGTCGAGGACCTCTCCGGCACTCTCTTCCGCAGCTCTGATGGCTTTGCGGCCTTCTTCCCGAACCTCGCCCTCCCAAAACTCACGAGCAGTCTCCCATTTTTTCTGCATTCGACCGAGGCTGTACACAACGCCGAGAGCTGCCACGGCACCGGCCTCGAATATCGTGGATGAAAATGACGATACATATAGTAGTGCTGCTAGACACGATGTGACAGACGACGTGGCTAAGGATTGGACAACCAATTGTTGAGCCAGTGACTGAAGGGCAGGAACAGTCTCGTTCTGAATGTAGCGTCGCGTAAACGCAATGTGTCCTGGCCACTTGGGAAGATGTGATCGAGGGACAACGGGAATCACCTGCTCGTTTTTGGCAGAGGCAACTGACGGCCCCTCAGGAAGAGCCTCGCGAGAGGAAGTAGGCTGCGAATACTGTCCAGCTCCGCCTTGAAGTTGGGCAATCCGTCCAGCGAGATACACCAGCTCTTGTTCCGAGGTAGGCAAGAAGCGTTGGCTCAAGATCTCGTTTGTCAGCATCGCAACATCATCCACGCGCCAAAACAGCTTCCACCATCCCAACTTCCTCCAACGGCGTCCCGAGAAGGCCAAGTCAAGCTGCTCTTGCAGCTCGGCGTGTGCGCTCTGCGCCCATTTCGAAAGACCCTCGTTCATGACACGCATTTCGGGGCTGATCATTGAGTGAGACAACTCGCGCGACAACTTTCTGCTCGTGGACTCGGTCTCAATCGCCGAGAGGGCGCTTTGTAAAACTGATGCAATGAGCTTTCGAACGGCTGGTTTAGTCGCTTCATCGTCAGCGGCTTTGAGGCCGGCTTTGAGCCATGCGACTAACAGGCCTAGATTGCTCGCAGACCAGCGCTGCTCGTACGACATGGCATTTTGAGGACCCTGGCGGAATAACTTGATGGCCTCCTCCGCCAACGAGGTATCGATTACTGTGAAGTTGGCCCCCAGCTGTTCCTTCGAGAACCCCCTCAGATTGACAGCGGCAGTGATTGTATCCGCGCAATCAAGTATCGGTAACCCAGAAATTGCAACAGCTCCAGTTAGTCCATCGGCCACCAAGAGTGTTTGGTGAACAGGCGCTATCATAGGAGTAGCATGCTCATCGGCATAATCCAAATCAATAGCTGGGACGAGGACGGCCTCCTCAAGCGATTGAACGGTAGCCAGGCCTGATCCGTTAACAGGCACAGCTGCATCCACTAGAAGGAGCTCGAGATTGAGTCCATTTAGTTCTGCGGAAGAAACCTCCAACACATCCGGTAAGTTGCGCTTGGATGATTCCAAGCGAGTAGTCTGTCCTTGACTGGGCCCGACTCGAATGATCAATGGCTTGCTGGTGTCATGCTCGTCAAGCCTCTTCTCCCACTCCTGCTCATCAACCAATGGATCCACGATGAGTGCTTTCAAAACCTTTCGCGCGGCGTCTTTTCCCTCCGAACCGTTGGTAATGCCTAGAATCGCAACTCTTATCGCTTCCCGGCCAGGCGCCTGGCGCAATCCTTGAAGAGCCAATTGCAGCCTCAAGATGTTGAGCAGCTCCGGAATTTTCCTTTGGAGCTCTATAAGAGTCTTCTCAAGTTCACTGCGAGCATTTGATGAGGCGAGAACCGCAGCTGACGGCGTCGATTGCCATCTTTGAGACTTGAGACCTGGCCTTGATCGAGACTTGACTGCTCGAGATGCCGGAGAGAGCGAGCAGAATGGACACACTGATGAAACGACGGGGGGCTTCGGCGCCGTCAGCAGACGGAGATGCCCGTTTCGCGACACTAGAGATCGTTTGGATGCCATCGCCGCAGCGATGTTCCAGAAGGGTTTGGGAGACTGAAGCTCATGAGCTCAGTGAAGCAATCTGAGCTTGATTCGGAAAAGTTGCGGCAAAATTCGGAATCAGCTACTCGACCAGAAGCGGGGCCCCGAGCGTTCAAGCAGCTCAAATTGTTCCAATTACAAAATGCCAGCATGTGAACTCTTACGGTGTCTGACTTGGGTAACGTGTGAATAACTCGATCTCTGCTAAAGTTGACAATTCTATGACAGTGAATCGATCAGGGGTGATGGTGGCATCAATGGAAATATTCTATATGAATCGGATAATCCGCATTCTCATGCCACATGGTACTAACCTCTGCCTTCACCGTCTGGCGCTCGACTTGCAGCGCCTTTAGAAGCCGCCATGACGAATTGAACGCTCTCCTATTACAACGCCTTCAGCCCTGAGGCTTAGCCAAAACCCCAAAGGACAGCCCAGCATTGCTCCAAGCGGAAATTGATTCAGCGCCGCGGCTGCTTTTGAAGCAGATACGGGACACCAATCGGCGATGTGGACCACCGACGACCGACGGAGATGCTCCACTGAGAGCGGCACGTTGTCAGATGATTGCCGATATGGTTGACGGTGGAATTATAAGAAGTGATGCTCACCGATTGTAGTGTTGGATGTTTATCTGCATTACAATATACGATATTTACTAATCAACTCTCTGCAATGTTCGATTTGAGGAATTGAACTGTATCCGCAGAGAGGCTAGTTGTCGCTAACTAATGGCCGCAAGAGCGGTGTTCAGGAACGCGGAAGATGCCAAAGACCGCGATTCTGACCATGCAGAACTAGAAGCACGATCGCGGCACTTATGGCCAGCCCCGTGCGGGTTCATCTGCCTAATTCGTTTCGTACGCGTAATTCTAGAACTATGCTTACGAGGGCGCAGCTGGAAACATAGATTGTCGATGAGTTTAGATCTCTGGTCCTTGTTTGTGGCTGGGCAAGCGGAAAATGCCACCTTGAACTGCTCCTACACTTGGAGGATATAAGATGGACATGCTCTCCCAAAAGACAAGATCGGAAGACAGAAGATGAACAACTTTATTTAACTTTTCTTCCAATTCTTAATTTGACAATTTTTCAATTCTTACATCTGCTATTACATTATAAAACTTCTTTTGATTACCATGAGCGCAAACGCAGCAACTTGTAAGTTCCTGAATCTCCCCTACTCAAATCGAGTAGACTAACACAGCGACACCAGCCCACGGTTATGTCGATCCAAACTTCCCAAATCCCAACGGCAAACACGATGTACCAGTCATCATCTATGGCTACACACCGTCCTTCTCCCTCGCCGCATTCGCCGCAGTCTGGTTCTCACTCATGCTGGTAATCCATCTGGCCCAGACAACCCGTTACAGGAGCTGGTGGTTCTTCCCCTTTTCCGTCGGCCTTTTCTTCGAAATCGTTGGCTACGTCGCACGCTCTCTCTCGGCGAAGAAGGACCCCTACAACTTGATCTTCTTCATCCTCAACTATTTCTTCATCGTCACCGCGCCCGTCTTCCTCGCCGCGGGGATATACACGATTCTGTCAGCCCTCATCTCTCGAGTGGGATCCAAGTACTCCTCTCTCTCGCCCAAGGTCATCATGTGGTTCTTTGTTCTGTCCGACGTCATATCAACAATTACCCAGGTGGCTGGAGCCGCTCTCATCGGCAGCCAAGAGTCAAAGCACAAAGACCCGACATTTGCCAACAACATTCTCTTGGGCGGTCTGGCTTACCAAGTCTTCTCCATCGGTGTGTTCATTGTAGTGGCGGGACGTTTCTTGTGGCGTGCCAGACGCGCTCTTCGTCGGCGCGATCTCGATACCTTTGCTTTCGTCTTCGCTGCCGTGACGATTTTGGTGTATCTGCGAACGGTGTTCAGGCTTGCAGAGACGGCTCAGGGACTGAACGAATCCATACAGTCGAATGAGACTTACTTTGCTTGCTTGGAATTTGCGCCAGTGGCGGCGGCAGTGCTCCTCTTTGCTGGATGGCACCCTGGACGATGCCTGGGCAGTACAGTCAGGGGAAATAAGGTGACTGACGGAGCGGCACGCAAGAGCTGGGATAAAGCTTGAATTTGGGGAATAGGTTCAAGAATGCTGACTTGATCATTTTCTTTTCGAACTTGTGACGCTGGGGTTGAAGAAGTATCATGGCTTATATACCCGTGTCATTGCTGGCGATGTACATGTATTAGTTGGTGAAGCCTTGGATATATCAAGGTAGATTGAACTGGATTATAAATAAAATCGCAGGGCTTATTAGACTGCATCATCATCTTCTTCAATATCTGTACGTACTTGTCAGCCGCGTGCATGTGATATGATGTTGCCCAATAGATTCCCATCAAGCTCACCAGGCTGTGCATTCTCTCGATAGCGGGGTCCTGCCACCCCCCACCAGAGCTCGCACCGGCTGGACAACCCGCCATCTCAACTCCATCCCTTTGCATACTCACTGCTATTCCAACATCTCGCTCCGCTTCATCCACATCTCCATCTTCAAATGCCTCCAATACCGCAAGGCGCGAAACCTCTCCCCAGGATCATCACCTACTACCAAACCCACCATGACTCCGCCGGCAAACCCATCTCTCCCCTCCCGCTCCTCACCCAGCCCGGCATCTCATTAACGCACCTCATCCTCGCCGCCATCCACCTCAACGAGGACCCAAACCACATCACCCTCAACGACCACCCCCCTCACCACCCCCGCTTCGAAACCCTCTGGGCCGAGCTCCGCATCCTCCAAGCCTCCGGCGTCAAAGTCCTGGGCATGCTCGGCGGAGCCGCCAAAGGCTCATACACGCGCCTCGACGGCTCTGACGCGCAATTCGAAAGATACTATCTTCCCTTGCGAGACATGATTCGCGCGCGTGGCCTCGACGGCCTGGACCTCGACGTCGAAGAGGAAATGTCTTTGGGCGGCGTCGTTAAGCTCATTGACCGTCTAAGAAGCGACTTTGGCAAGGGCTTCCTCATCACGCTCGCACCCGTCGCCGCCGCTCTCCTGGACCACAGGAGTAACCTTAGCGGCTTCGACTACGAGGCCTTGGAAGTCATGCGCGGCCATGAAATCTCGTGGTACAATGCTCAGTTCTACTGTGGCTGGGGTGATATGAACAACCCCATCATGTACGAAATGATCATACGAAAAGGCTGGCCCATCGAAAAGGTCGTTATTGGGCTTGTTACAAATCCAGCCAATGGCAGCGGGTTTGTCATGTGGGAGTTTCTCTCTGCCGTCCTGACTTTGCTCCGAGGTCGTCATGAGCGGTTCGGAGGTGTCATGGGGTGGGAGTACTTCAATAGTCTTCCGGGTGGGCATGAGAGGCCATGGGAATGGGCGAGGCAGATGACTTCTGTTCTGAGGCAGGAGGATTCTTTACCAAGCATCCAACCTCCACCGATTAACGTGGCAACTAAACCTGTGCTGGAGGTAGAGGCTGATCCTGACGCCTCTAACGGCAAGCCTGTTCAAGTTCCTAAGGCATTCGACTACTATTCAGACGGCTCAGATGCGTGAGGGAAATGGAGCAGAAGCGATCAACGTCACATATTTCAAATAGGGCATACAGACATGCGTACATAAATCCATGCATGTATATGATGGAACATACAGACAAGTGGTAAGCGCTTGTTTACAACTACAATGCGACCAAATAGGTGGATGCTCAGATGAACAGAGTAGGTGAACAAAATGAGTTTGTATTAGAGCAACATACATACATCTATAGCATTGAGCAAGTAGCGTAAAGATGTCCTTTCGTCCTCCTCGACCAATTCGATAGATAATGACAACAGGTTAAGTCATAGAACTTGGTTGATACATACAGATGCTGAAAGCTACCAATAGACCACAACAAGCGCGAGGTGCTTTTAGGCGCAGGCCATCCAAGGGCTGCACTGAGCCTCAATGGTAAAGTTGTTGTACACCGGATAGCTGCCCTGGACGGCGGAAATGATGGGGTTGAAGAAGTCCGGGTTGAAGCGGGCGGTTTCGCATGCCGAGCATGGGCCACTGAGGAAGCCATCGTACTTGGTGTCATATGACAGATAGCCGACAACCTTGCGGGTGGACAAGTCTGTGGCTCTGATGGTGAAAGCTTCTGGCATGACGACCCAGCTGGGTGCGGTAACATTGGTTCCGTTGATCCCAGGGATGACGGGATTCTGGTTAAACCACAAGCTCTTGAGGCCGACGTCACGGAGGGCTTTGATGAGAAGGAGCGTCATGTGAGTATCATCGTCGACCTTGACTCCCGCACACTCAACATTGATGGTGTAGCCTTGTCCCTTGATGGGACCGCCAACACAGTTGCCAGTGGTTTGGTCCCAGACAAAATTGTTGATGAATGCTCCCCAAGTGTTTTGCCAGTTAATGAAGCGAGGACTGAGAGTGGAATAGATAGCAAGCTGGCCGGTGTGAGGAGTGGAAGTTGGCACGGGCTGGCCACCATGGCTCGGAGTAGGGACAACTGTTTGGGGTGGCTGAGAAAAGAAGGTGGTAGAAGGGGCTGCAGAAGACGTGGTCAGCGTCGAAGTCTGGGAGCCCATATCCGCAGGGCGAGGAGGCGGATGGTTGTCGCGATTGCAAACAAAGGCACTCCAGCAGATGGCGTCGTGGTTGACGGTTTTGTTGAGGGCAGCACTGACGGGACGACCACGGTAAGCCCAGCAGTTGAGGATTTGACCACCCTCTTTGGTGGTGACTGCACTTCCAGCTTTGAAGCCGTCCGGAGTGCCATCTTCAATATACGCCGTCCAGACATCACCATTAGGCATGGTGGCAGTTGCACCCGCGGGAACCCAGGGATACCAACCCTCTTTGAAGGGGATTTCAACGGCCATGTCGGGAGCGTCAGGATACTTGTACGCAGAACTTGGCCAGTTGATGTCCTGGTACCAGTTCAGCTGGCGAGAGGTGGACCATTCCGGCTCGTTAGGGTTGTCTCCAATTCCACAATCACAAAGGATGAGATCCTCATTGCGGAATTGCTGGGCCTGGACAGCTTTGAAGAGGCTGATGGTACCGACAAGGCCGGCAGCGAGCTTGAAGATGGCCATTATCAAGCAGATTGTCAAGACGAGTGAATAGCTGTGAGAACAAAGAACGAATGATGAGAATCAAGCTGGAGTGGCTAGAACAGTTGAAGCTTTGCTGGATCTGTCAGACAAATGAGTGGAGGGTTTGGAAAGAAAGTAGAAGTTTGGAACAAGCGAGAAGTGTTGAAGAAGAGACAACATGGTCATAGACCAGCAGCAATCTGTTTCACCGCCATAATTCGTCATGTTGGGATTGTGTTGAGGAAGCATCACCGGCCATTGGGGCAAGAGATGTGCTGGGAGAGGGAAGAAAGAGTGTCTCGAGGCCGCAAAGTGTGCAGGTGACATCGGATGTGAGCGTGCCGGCGTAGTTTCGAGCAGGCGGAGGCGTCTTGATGCTTTCCAAACTCGGAATCTCTTGTGCTGGAGGCGGTCAAAGATGTTGCTTCACGAGGAAGGCGGCAACCAAGAGGCAAGCTCACCGCCCATGGGAGGATCTCAACAGCATCACAAAGGAGCAACTTGGACGTGTAGCGGCCGCATCAGGTGATTGTCTCTTAATGGTTTCGATCATGATATCATCGCCAGTGTGTGGCTGTGAGCCCGAGTCTGGTGAGGTGGACGAGCAAAAGAGACTGAGACACTGATGGAAAACGCCATCACTCTATATTTGCAGCGAAATTGGCTCCTGAGTATCACCAAAATTCGGCGATTGGTTTAGATGACGCGTTTCTAAACGACAGGGATAGTTACTGCTAATGCACATTAAGAACGTGTATCGCAGAGGTGTTTGATTTACAGCAGACATTATGTAGGAGTTAGCTTGCTTCGAATCATCTGATGGTCGCCAACTTGTGCAATCAATTTCACCAGCAAAAAATCGAAATGGTGGAGGCACAATGAGCAGTTTGGTGATTATAATGAAAATGCTCTCAACTCAAACGTTCATTCCTATCAACCGCCGTCTTCGATCTACATGTGTATGTGTCTAGGCGCTTTAGCGGACGGCGTTATGACATCCGTTATGCGGCGTGGCTATTGATAGACGCATGAATAATTGAGGGCGGCCTCCTGGAAGGAAAATGTTTGGACAGCAAGTTTCAATCCCATAACATGAGGCAACACAGAAGCGAGCCGGCCGAGTACGAGTACGAAAACACAAACATCGTCTCGTCTCTATTTTTACGGCCCTGTGGCTGCCATAATCAGCTGTTTCGATGCCGCGCGCCTATCACCACCAGCCGCGATATCCCTTTGCCGCTGTGAAGTTTGCGACATTGGGTAACAATACCAAGATCTTACCCGCTGCAGCAAAATACGAACAGTGTGTCTTACCGACTCTTCACCGCAACGTCGAGAGAGGCTTCGCTGTCTATTTGTACGGCCTTCATGGAGGCTTAGCTTGGAGCGGTTGCGCGATAGCGTTTCATTATCTCGAGGTGTGCTCATGATTATCGAACGGATTTGCCCCGGTCTGCACCGTCAGCAGCATTGATTGGCCAAAAGCCTCCGTCAGGGTCCCCGGCACTTTGGGGCGAATCAGTCCAGAAGCGCCAGGAGCCCCGGCATGTTTCTCGTTTCAGATTCGGATGGCGAGCCAAAGTGAAGCTCTCCATGTATGATGGCCTGGGCAAACATTGGGGCAAACTCCAGAGCCCAACCAAACTGTTCAGGGGCTGTGCAGGAAACCGAGGGGGTACCCTTTTTTATGCGTCGACATAGTCCTTGCGTGATGTGATGGCAAGCATCTATATATAAGCTGTCCTATCTGTGAAGTGCCTTGATATTTCATCATACAGTACCTAGACACCATCGACAGGCAATTATTCAAAGAAAATAAGTGACTGGTATCGCGGCCATCATCCCTGCAAAATTCCTCATCTTTTGCCGAATCCAAAATATCACCACCACCACCACACACAAACAGTCATGGCGCAAAGACTTGTTGCTTGCTACCAATGGATCAAAGCTGCTGGAGGACGAAGCAGCCTGTACAATAAAATCAGCAACAGGGGAACGCCATATAAGAAGATTGCGGGAGAGCCATCTTTGGCCCAAAACCAAGACCTGTTCAACGACAATGTCCCGCTGCTGGACTGATGCCTGAAGCACGCCTTGGATGGTAAGTCACCCATAACATGCAGCAATTTGGTTGAAGGTAAATTAATCATCCAAAATGCAGATGAAATGTCGATAGGCTACTACAAGATTACGAGAACTACGATTTATACACGGATTGGCACAGATACTTTGGCTCGGGCGTTCTTTGCTATACGAATACAGGGATAGGGGCATCATGGGTGGGCTAGGCTAAAGGGACTACAGTTGACACTGCTGGACGGAGACACCTCAACTTGGAGAATTAAATGGCGTTTTTTTTTTGTTTTTCGGGCATCATGAGAGAATATAACGTTTGAGATTCACGTTATGGGTTAAAACGGAGCCTTGTATTTTATTTTTCTCTCTCAAATTGCATACCTACTAAGATATTTACGGAATACAGCCTTCGGCGTTCAGAAGGGAGATCCATGGATATGATTCATGTCACAAAACGCTGGGGCTTTTAGGCTCTTCGACGCACTCAAACCCCACTACAGCGACCTATTCCCACAAGGTACCTCCTTAGCTCACGATTCGAGCTTCAGTGCTTATCGCAGTCCAAAAACTTGCCTCCAACAACCTGCTTCCGTCACAAAACCCGCCTCTGTCTGCCATGTCTCGCGCTCGCATTCCCTTCAATTGGCGTCCGCCATTCCGGTCACGCCCTCCTGCGCTCCACCTGCGCTCCTCCATCCGGCCCCAGTCCACCGAAGCGAGCGGCATATCGCGTCTGGATCGCCTGACGTCCAGGCTCCCAAGGCGCCTGCAAAAATACACAAACGGCCTCCGCAACGCCCCTGTTTCGCATGTCGTTTCGTTCATGATTCTACACGAGTTGACGGCGATTGTGCCTCTGTTTGGGCTCTTCGCCCTGTTTCACTACACCACGTACGTGCCCATCTCGTACATGACGGAGCACTTTGGCGAGTACGTGCAAGGAGGGGTATACAGGTTTGAGAAGTATTTTAAGCGAAAGGGCTGGTTTGGCTTTGGGCAGGAGGACAGCAGCACATCTCCACAGCTTACGACTGGGACCGCGAGCCAAGACGCACACGTGGAGGACGCTATACAGCGATGGGAAAAGGGAGAGCAAAAGTACAAGATCCTTGTCGAGGTCGCCTTAGCCTACGCAATAACGAAGGCCCTCCTGCCTGTCCGAATCGTCGGCAGCGTTTGGGCTACGCCATGGTTCGCAAACATACTGGTTAGAATCAAGTCCTCGCTGGCGCGAAGGCCGTAAACGAACGCGAAGAAACAAGAGTTCAGCATTTCTTTTTTTATTTTCTACCCTGTTGCAACCTATTCAACGGTACAGTGACTGTAAAGCTTTACAGCTGCTTCAGAGCTTTTGTCATAAAAGAACACTTTACTCCTTTTCGTAGATCCAGCCGAACTGGGAAGCCTTGTAGGAGACGACCTCACCGTCCTTGAACCAGAGGGCAATCTCCTTCTTGGCGTTCTCGACGGAGTCGGAGCCGTGGCAGACGTTGCGGCCGATATCGATGGCGAAGTCGCCACGGATGGTGCCAGGGGCAGAGTCAAGAGGGTTGGTGGCACCGAGGATGGCTGAATGAATGGATTAGTGAATTGTCACAGGGTAAGAAGTCGGGATAACATACTGCGGCCGGTCCTGACAGCATCACGGCCCTCCCAGACCATGGCGCAGATGGGGCCAGAGTTCATGTCTATTGAGGAAAAGTCAGCTCGGGGCCTGATTTACTCGATATTGGTTGGATCCTTACAGCTGACGAGGCCATCGAAGAAGCCCTTGCCCTTGAGGTCGGCGTCTAGGTGACAGTCAGTCAATAACAGTGCTCCTAAGCGGCATTCGGTTGGGAAGACGAACAGTGGGCCTCGAGGTGCTCCTTTCCGGGCTGGGTGAGCTTGATGGCAACCAGCTTGAAGCTATCATCTTGTCAATTTCTGTCGATCGCATGGAGGGGTCGATTGAAATTTCTTACCCTCGGCTCTCGAAGCGGCTGATGATGGGGCCGATCAGGCCACGCTGTAGTAAAAAAGGTTAGAAGAGAAGGCATCGACAACGAGAGGAGCAGTATCAAGTGCAGCTTACCTGAACACCATCAGGCTTGATGGCAATGAAGCTATCGAGTGGGTTAGATTCCCGCACAAACTTTGTCGATGGAGGGGTAGATGGCGGGGTGATTCTCACGTCTGCTCGGTGGAAGCCATGGCGACTGTTTTTGGAGCGGAAGGAGGGGTATAGGATGCTGGTTGGAGTGGCGGGATGTGCTGAAGTGAACAAGATTGTTGGACTTGAGGAGGAGAGGAAGAAAAGAGAAGATAAAAGGCGGCGAGAAGCAGTAGCGGGACGAAGAAAATTGGTGGGGGGAGGGTTACCGTTGTCCACCTCAGTAGCGGGTTGTGTCGCTGTTGTTCCCTTGGCTGCGGGATCTCCTGAGTGGACTTTGGGCCTGAAGCGGGGTCCTCGTGGTGGGGTTCAGGCATGGTGATTTGCTGGTGTTGGTTCGGGGGGGAAAACCTTGAAAGCCAAAAAAAAAGAGAACAGTTGGCAGTTGTACAGTGCGTTAGGTTTGGACTGAATTCTTCTCGACTATGTATACGAGGGCTTTCAGAACAACCGTGTCAGAGAGGGGCTTGTGACGTTTGATGCCGAAAATAAATCCATGGTAGTACTCGTATGGGGTGAGGGGTCCCAAGTACGTACAGTTCAACAGGAAATACCTGGACTATTAGGTTGCTCGTGAGGTCGAGACAATCGACACTGGTGGCCAACACAATTCATCAAACCACCAAAGAAAGCAGAAGCCTCACTCATCCCCAGATACTGGGTGTACAGTGTCAATCCAGCCCTTGGCTTGTGCTGGATAAAAGGGTACGATATGAGCATAACCCGTCTGCTATATCGCATTGTTGAATATAGTGCATCTAAAGAGGCAGACCCCTCCAACAATGGCGGTCGGGCCTGGGAGCGGAACGTGTCTAATCTTAGCCTATGCCCGATTGAGAGCTGTCGAGGAGGTCAAAACGGACAGCTTAACCTCGACTCCACGTTTCCCAATCCTAACGGTGTCAGATACTCCTCTGGAAGGGATTCTATCACCAGCATCATCGCATAGCCTCAGCTGACTGTCTGGATGAGGCTGTGTATTACTGATCTGCCCGAGAACTAATGTGGCTTGCCATTGCCTGCATTTGAACGACACTTTTTGTACCACGCCCTTGATTTGTTTACCTACCCAACCTCGCCCTCGTCATGAGGTCGACGATGGGGCTGTCCTGGAAGTGGACGGCACTCCTCAGCCTTTTGAGTGCATTAGTATGCCTAATTGGGCCAGCCTGTACGATGAAAGATGAATTTCCATCTAGATTCTTTTGCTGATGATGAAGTGTCCAGTGGCTGTCAAGGAACACGACTTCAAAAAGTGCGCCCAGGCTGGGTTCTGCAAACGAAACCGTGACTATGCGGATAAAGCGGCTTCCCAGAGCTCGACGTGGACCTCTCCCTATCAGGTCACCCTCGGCTCGCCTTCTCTGAAAGACGGCCAGATCCAGGCTGTCATCCTCAAATCGATCAATGCCGCGGGCGAAAAGGTCCGACTGCCGGTTACAATCTCGTTCCTCCAATCGGGTGTTGCTCGTGTCACCATTGACGAGGAGAGACGCCAGAACAAGGATATTGAGCTGAGGCACGGCAGCGTCGCAAGAAAAGAGCGCTACAATGAGGCCGCTAAATGGTCCATTGTTGGCGGCCTGGAACCGGATCTGAAGGCCGAAATTGTCCACCAGGATGACTCCCAGATCAATGTCCAGTACGGCCCTGAGGGCAAATTTGAGGCCGTCATCAAGTTGTCGCCCTTTGCCATCGATTTCAGGAGAGACGGTGCTTCTCACATCAAATTCAACGAGCGTGGCCTGTTCAACTTCGAGCACTGGAGACCAAAGATCGAAAGGCCCGAGGGAGAGGAGAACCCTGAAGAAGATGAAGGCACTTGGTGGGATGAAACCTTCGGTGGAAGTACAGATACCAAGCCTCGTGGCCCTGAAAGTGTCGCCCTGGATATTTCGTTCCATGGATACGAGCATGTCTACGGTATCCCTGAGCACACTGGACCTCTCTCTTTGAAGCAGACCCGAGGCGGCGAGGGCAACTACGATGAGCCGTATCGCATGTATAATGCCGACGTCTTTGAGTACATTCTCGATAGCCCTATGACTCTTTACGGATCAATCCCCTTCATGCAAGCTCACCGCAAAGATTCCTCAGTTGGTCTCTTGTGGCTCAATGCTGCTGATACTTGGGTTGATATCATCAAGACCAAGGGTAGCAGCAACCCTCTCAGTCTGAATGCCGAAGCCCCAGGCAGTACTCAAACTCACTGGATCTCTGAGGCTGGTATTCTTGACACCTTTGTCTTCTTGGGCCCTACTCCTCAAGACATCTCCAAGAAGTATGGCGAGCTGACCGGAACTACCGCTATGCCTCAAGAATTTGCCCTCGGATATCACCAGTGCCGATGGAACTATATTTCCGAAGATGACGTCAAGGACGTGGACCGCCGATTTGACAAGTGGCAGATCCCCTACGATGTCATCTGGCTGGATATCGAGTACACTGATGAGATCAAGTACTTTACCTTTGATCCTCATTCGTTCACTGACCCCATTAGCATTGGCAAGCAGCTGGACAGCCATGGCAGAAAACTTGTGGTCATTATCGATCCCCACATCAAGAGAGTCGACAACTACCCGATTAATGAGCAACTCCAATCTTTGGATCTTGCCGTTCACGACAAGGACGGCAAAATCTATGAGGGCGACTGCTGGCCCGGCCTCTCAAACTGGATTGACTGCTTCAACCCCAAGGCTCGCGAATGGTGGAAGACTCTACACAAGTACGAGAACTTCAATGGTACGATGGAGAATACTTTCATCTGGAACGATATGAATGAGCCCTCAGTCTTCCATGGCCCTGAGACTACCATGCCCAAGGACAACCTTCACTTTGATGATTGGGAGCACCGAGATGTTCACAACCTGAACGGAATGACCTACCACCACTCTACCTTTGAAGCTCTCAAGAGCCGTAAGAAGGGCGAGTTCAGACGCCCCTTTGTGCTTACTCGCGCTTTCTTCTCTGGCTCTCAGCGCTTCGGCGCCATGTGGACGGGCGATAATCTGGCGGACTGGGGCCACCTCCAGACCTCTATTACCATGCTTATAAACCAGGGCATTTCTGGATTTCCATTTTCCGGTGCTGATGTCGCTGGCTTCTTTGGAGATCCCGAAAGCGAATTGATTACTCGTTGGTACCAGACGGCTGCGTTCTACCCATTCTTCCGAGCCCACGCTCACATCGACACTCGTCGCCGTGAGCCATACCTGCTGGGTGATCCATACACTGCCATTGCGACTGCAGCGTTGCGACTCCGATACTCACTCCTTCCCTCATGGTATACTACTTTCTTCTACGCAAATCGCGATGGCAGTCCTATTCTCCGCCCAATGTTTTGGACGCATCCTTCTTCGGAGGGAGGCCTGGCAATTGATGACCAATTCTTCCTGGGATCTACTGGTCTGCTCGTCAAGCCGATTGCAGAGAAAGACAAGTACTCCGCCGACATCTGGATCCCCGACGATGAGGTTTACTATGATTACTTTACGTACAAGACGGTGAAGACGCAAGAGGGCAAGCACGTCACTCTTGACGCTCCAATTGATCGCATACCAATGTTGATCCGAGGAGGTCACGTCATCACGCGCCGTGATATTCCCCGTCGCTCAAGCGCTCTCATGCGTTTCGACGACTACACTCTAGTAATCTCCGTTTCCAAGAATGGCGAGGCTGAGGGAGAGCTGTACGTCGATGATGGTGATAGCTACGATTATCTGGACGGACAATACATCTACCGGAAGTTCACCCTGACGCCCAATGTCCTCTCTTCGACCGATGCTGAGGGACGCGACACAAGGAAGATCAAGCCCGGCAAGTGGCTCAAGGCTATGCGAGATGTCCATGTGCAAAAGATCATCATTGTCGGTGGCACTCCTGATGTGTGGAATCGACAGGAGGTGCAAGTCCAATCAGAAGGACGCACCTGGTCTGCCAACGTGGACTACCACGCTGCCGACGGAGCTTATTACGCAGTCATCAACCGCGTGGGAGTTCGCGTTGGAGAAAACTGGAGCATCAAGCTCGATTAAACGACGGGAGGTTCGGAGGACCAAGATAGAAACGGATGTTTATCGGGGACACAATGTGAAGGTGATTTTGTTGGTGGGAGGATATCTAGATGTTTAAGCCAGCTATTGCGTGTTGTATGTAGATGAAATGAATAAGAGAGAGCGTTGAGCGCCGTCATATGAAAAATTGTTCACAACGACTTCGTGATAGTTTTGTTGTGTTGATGATGAGGTGCCTGGACCTTGGATCTGGCATCTTAGGGCCCGGTTAATGAACTCGGGCTTTACAGAGATCATACTCAGTCATTGGCAGCTGTCTCACAGACTATTGCAACGGCCGGATAAGCTTAATTGTTGAGCTCGCGGGGATTAATATACTGCAGCCTGACGCACCACAATTGCAATGGGCTCGTCATAGAAGCCAGAGCCCTGCATATGGGCAGTCATCAAGGTGTCGAGAGTACATGTCGGATGTACCGGCCACCTTTCGGAACTTGCGATAGTCCGCGACCGCATGGACTTTCCACCATTCATTCACCGGCCTGCCACAGAATTACTTCCACTCCCACTCCCAGAGAACAAGATTCCCGTTGCAAATCCTCACTCCATGGTACGTTCCAGCATCTTCTCGCTGATAGCTTCAGGCCGAGTCACTGAATGGCAATAGCTTCAAAGAGGGATCCTTTGCCCAACTCCTATTCCCATTAGCGCAAGCCCGGCCTCAGATGGCAAGCCACGTTCGCTGCGGCGCGCGGCGCGTCTTTAGCTCAAAAGGGCCAGAACAGCAAAGCTCGAGAGAACGGTGAAGCCTCCGCAGCGCTCCTCCGGATACACGGCAAGCTCCCAGACCTGATTCGATCCACCAGCTGTGGCTCTGGTCGATGAGCCCCGCTAAAGATCCCTGGAGCGACCCTTTCGCTGCTGAAGATGCTTTGGTCGTTTCACCCAGAAGCTGGTCCAAGCCAAGCTTTCTCCAGCGAGCAAGCCGTCCCCAGCCACTATACATGCAGCAACCGACATGGGCTTGGAGCTAATCGGCAATCGTTTCCCGGCTGGCCAACCACTATCGTCACCCAGACCCAGGGGCGGATTATATTGGTTTACAGTGAAACTTGGATCACAATTCACGCAGAGCTGGAAGCACCCTGCCCACGCCGGCTACATGCAGCACTGCGGCTTGATCACGCTTACGAGCCCCCTAGCTCGCCAGTCGCGAGACAGATGCAGCAGATAACATCATCTCACCGACTATGGGACACACCAAAGCTGATGAGAGAGCTTCATGGAGGGGTTCTCACAACCCCGCATCAAGACACGCGTCTTAGACGAAACGATTGGCTTCAATGATACTGTCGATTTTTTTTTCTCTTATTCTATCTGACTGTATTTACCATCGGTCTCCGTACTGGTTGTTGAGCTGCTCCTCGGCCTGCTCCTGGGCGTGGCGCTTAGCACGCTCACTGTCGATGAAGTCGAGGCCCTTGGTCTCAACCTCGCGGTCGACGAAGAAGCCGATGGCACCGGCGAGGATCTCCTTGGCCTTGGCGTGCTCGTCAGGGTGGCCTAGGTAGTTGGGATCAGAACATGAAATGCGATAGGAAAAGTCAACAGAGGACAATGCTGCTCACCGTTCTCGGCAACGTGGTCCTCGTAGGCCTTGGCAGCCTCATAAGCGGCAGCACCGCCGATGAGCTCGTGAGACCACTTGGCTTCGTGGGGTCGCTGGGTGACCTCCTCGTAGGCCTGAGCCTGATCAGAGTTATCTGCAAAAGGAGTTAGACAAACGTCGTCACACAGGTGGCAGCGGGACTCATCATACCGTCGAACCAAGCCATTGTGAATAAGAAGAAGATGTGTGATTGTGGATTTTGTCAAGAGAGTGCTTGATTCAAGGAGAGAGGAAGAAATCAGATTCAATGGAGAGGGACGGGACTATTTATAAGCTTACAGCTGCCACATTGCGCAAGATGGGGTCAGTCAGAGGCCTCACGCTTCTCTGGACACACTCCATGATCTACGCGATGACCCCTTGCCCCTTAGCCACACAGACAATTATGCACCCGAGGCTACTGCGTTGTTATTTTGGCAAGTTTCAATGGCGTAGCAGCGTGGATCAAGGGGTGTTGGTGTCCTCCATACGTGGACACACCGTCCGGCTTCCGCTCAACTGATGATCTGGACTCACAACAGCTCCAGAGCTACGATAACGCGATTGGTGGCCCTCATCACATACGTAGTGTGGCAAACGGGGGTCCCAGGGTCTCCACGCCCAGGAGGACAACCGGAGGGACACCCTGGGCCAGCTGGACAAATGCTAGCATCCCGACTTGAATCGTGGAGAGGAGCTCGGCACCTTTTTGGCTCAGCCCATTGTTCGCGGGCCACCCGTCTGTTCCCCTGATTTCAGCGCTGCAAACGTCATATGCTATCAACGTGGCGCATGGGAGGACGGAGTTGAGGGGCAGAGGCGCCATCGTTTCTCACCCTACGGATTCCTTACGAGTCTTGGTTCCATTGGCATCCATTGGCATAGCCTCCCCTGTTGGGAATGTGTGTTGGAATCCCTGAACGGCTGAGAGTCAAATGACTTCTCGCATACGACCAGCGGGCATACACGACATTGATGATGCCGGAATGGCTTCTCGTTGAGTGGTCGGAGCTATATCTACATGCCTGCTCAAGCTTCCTGACAGGCCTTCCCGGAACCCCGCCATTCCGCCTACCCGCCGACATCCTGTTCCGCGGGAACCTGGTCGATGAAGGACTGCCCCTCCAAAACGCGAGAAATATCCGCCCAAATGGCAAGCGACAAGTCAAATCCGGGCTCAAGCAATGCTGGATGTCGTTATTGGGCAATAAGCACAGCAAATTCAATGTCTAGTTGTATCTCATTGTTCTATTCTTTGGGGAGACACAGCTATTTCTCTAAAAGTCTCCCACACTTCACTGCGTTTGCATCTAAGTCCGACATCTAAACCGTATGATGACACATTTCCATCCCGCCTTTTCGAATAGTTACCATGTGTCTCAGCCCATGAATACTTACGGACCAGTAGACTGCTGAGTCGCCAGTCCAATACTACTAATATGCAACCCCCACCAGCATCGCCCCGTACTCGTACAGGCACTCTACTGTTTGCATTATAGAAGAAAAAAAGTTCATCTATTTGGTTCTTCTTGGGTAAGTATCTGGATCTGGATTGAGACAAGCCTTGGCGCTAGGATGCTCCCAACTTGCTAGCATTGCTGAACTATCAATCTGAATCCTAGGCAGTAGTATAAAATCAATCAATAGACACGAAGCGGTGAGGGCATTGCCTACCTCTTTTGGGCAATGATTCGCTTGATAACGCGGTTATTTGAGACTGGTAGTGCATCACACACATATCGTTTGTTGTATTGCTCGATTTGAACATTTCATGCGATTATCCCAGCAACGAGGGGGTTTTCTTGTATGCAGGTACGTACCTCCGAGATTCTCCGGCGCCGGTTAAAGCCGGCCGGAGTCCTGCCGAAACCATCCACATAGAAGAAGAAGAAGTGGAAGAAAAATATGGATATTGGACAAAAAGAGTAGGAGAAAAATTATTCTCCAAAAAACAAAAAAAAAACCAACTGGACGAACGGGGAATCGAACCCCGGACCTTTCCCATGCGGTTAAGCAGCTCGAAGGTTGCTTGATGCTAAGGGAAAATTATACCACTAAACCATCCGCCCATTTGCGTTGTTGAAGATAATTGCCTTAGGATACTACATACACTGTCAACACAAAGGTTGACTGGATGACTTCTACTAGATAGATGTTGCAGGAGTTGAAATATTTCTAAAACTGATTATACGCATAATAATGTTACACTCTATGTGAGGTGGGATTGCTCCAAGTTTACGTTCTTTACTGTGCCTTTATCGGACACTTTCACTAAACATCCAAGTCATGGGTTCTGACATGCCCGCGTTGTACGCAAACATGGCGTCTGATACCTGTGAAGCAGGAAGGTAAAGGTCCATTAGTTAGCAATATGTCGCAACAGAGGGGCAGAGGCATCAATGTTTTCAAAAGAGACTTACCAAGAAATCCCAATCTGGGCTCTGTGGACGTATTCCAACATCCAATTCATCTCTGGGATCCGCTGCTTCGCCCTGGCTTTGGCCGGCTTTTTCTTCTAATATCGCGAGGCACTCTTCTACTGAATCTTCGGCGGCTTTGAGGAACAACGGAGGAATCTCTTTGGGGTCAAGGCCCTTCATGTGGCCCTCTATGTGGGCGACTATGATGCAGTTGACCATGTAGCCCTTGACATTCGTCTCGCCCACTTTGATGGAGCGGAGGCACCACTCTCTGGATTCTTGGATGACGGAGAGCAGGTCTGCTCGGAAGGGCGAAGGGACGAGGCCCCGCTCCTCTCTGAGTTGGTTATCGAGTTCGGCGGCGACGAGAAGGCTTGCTTGCAGCGAGGCGATTCTGTAGAAACCCGGCCCGGAGCAGGCGAGCCGCGAGAGGAGGTCTTCCTGGGGTAAGCTGGGGCCGTTTTGGCGCAGTTGGGGAGCCATGATTGCCGAGGTAGGGTAGACTGCGGACCATGTCTTGAGAACGGCTTCGACGGCGAGTTTGCGGGACAGGGCGTATTTCGCCTGGCGCAGGGCCGGGATGAGATAGGGCGTGTGGAGAGCCGATATGTGCCGTTGCATGATGAAGTCCACGAAGCGCAAGTCCAACGGAGAAGGACCGCACGGTCTCCCAGATTGGGGGTTGAATCCTCCAAGCGTCCGGCAGAGAGTCTTGTAAGCTGACCGTAATTCGGCATCCAGTTCCAGTGTTTTCTCGTATGTCCCACACGAGGAGAGGTCGTTGACGAACCCGACCACCATAAGCCGGACGGCAAATGTCTTTCGAAGAGCTACCGCAATGGACATGGCTGTGTATTCATTTTCGGGCTTTTCGACTGAGCCCTCGATCATGAGTTGCTCGTCGTCAAAGTTGCCGGGGGGCTCTGTGTCAAAGTCTTCAAGGCGAATGAGCGGAGGGCCGCCTGACGTCAGGCTCATTCTCAGAAGCATCTCAAGAATAGTGTTCCACAGCCTTCTGTGCATCTCGTTTGCAAAGAGCGATCGCTTTGGCAGGTGGCGCGGATCTCGATGCAAGCCCATGTGTATAGCTCTCCTGACTACGTCCCCTGCTGACACCCAGACCGAGTCGCCAGAGACACCAACGGCTTCCCGAGCTAGCAGCAGCAGTATCTGAGTTTGTATAAACTGAATGCCTAGCCGGGCTTTGAACTCGGGTTCTGCTGCCCATGTCATGGCTTCGTACACCCAGCGGATGGCCGAGGTGCGCATGGACAGTTCATCATCATAAGACATTACGCCAATGGCCAATATGAGCTTGAGATGAACAATGAACGCTATGTCGGGATGGGCTCCAGGCTCCCATAATTCTTCGTAGTCCCTCTTGAAGGATGACAGATGCAAAATCCTGAATATGTTCTCGGTTGTCTTCAGATAGCAATCAATGAGCTTGTCGCAAACTTGCCTTTCAGGCAGCTCCCTTGTTGGTATGGCCGGCCAGGCAGGGGTCCTCTTGGCCTTGATGACCCTCGCCAGGGACTTACACTTGAGCAACAAGGGGTAGACATTGGACCTGCTCTCTAAAAGATGTATCTCATTCATGACGAACATGCCTTTGAACTGAAACTGAGGTGAGTGATGTTCGCGGTCTAAACAAGGCCAGATGAAATGTTCTACCTACCGTTTGAAAGATGTTAATCCAATGGCTCTGACCAAAGAACCGCGTCTTATGCGTGACGCTCCGTATGAGTCCAGCATTGGTCGAATCTGACGGGTTGTTGTCACGGTGAAAATGAATGGCTCCTCCAGTAATGTGAGATGCGTTGGCAAGAAAATCCGAGTCGGGAACTGCATCCACAGACTGATTCAGAGGCCCTGACGCACCTTCAGATCGATCCAGACCGAAAAACCCAGGCCTGGTCTCATCAGAAGCGCTCAAGCTGAGTGTCAAGTCATCTTGGCTTCCAGAGGCCAGAGGGCTGATGGTGTTTCTCGATGCTACATTTGAGCCGTGATTTCGTATTGCCAACGCCTCATTAGGATTGGAATCCAGATGAGACTGTGCTTGAGGGCGAGATGCGAGAGAGAAGACGCCGATTTGGCTGCGTCCAGGCGACTGTCCGGCTGCCAGAGGTTGCTCCACCAGGTGGTGATTCTCATAGACGCACGTCTCCGTTTTTGACCGGATACAGTTGCTACAAGGCCGTTGCCTGTTACACCTGAGCTTGCGCTTTCTGCAGAGCGCACATGATCTGTAGTTTTATTTCATCCCCCTAGTTAGATGAAGATGTCGTGAGATTGAAGCTGAGGTGCACACTTGCATTGCAGGTCTCCGTCGTCGTCGCTCTACTTCGACGACCACAGTCTTCGGTCCATGATCCATTGGCTGGCCGTCTTCTCGGAGTAACTCTAGATTTGGTAATCGGTATTTTCGATAAGACGCGAGTTGCAGGTAAAGGAAGTTGAGGGATTGAGGGACGGCTCATTACCTCACGGACTCGGGAAATTCCTAGATGGGGATTGAAGTCCGAGTCGGACCGGATTTTGGTTTTTGCCCGCCGCGAAATTGTTCGGACATATGACTCAGCTATTTCCTGATTTGGCAGAACCCCGACTTACACGCAATCCTACGACAAAAGCTGTTGGATAGACGGAAAGTTTTCAGCTCAATGGCAGAATTCCATCTCCGAGATGTGGATTAAGGAGTCTTGATAGTATGGTGTTACTCGGGGACCGAGTCATTCCTTCGGCCTTGGGTCGTTATTTCTTTCATTATAAGAGACGAGCGTTTCCTGGTTATCAATCGCATCTCCCTCCACTATGATCAAGCCGCGTTCACTGTTCCCAAGCAAGTTTTAATCAGATCCAAATAAGGATACCTTAAATTGCAGCATATTTCAACATGTCATCCACTTTGTCAGACGAGAAATCGACACCTTTCCCGGAGGAGCAAGCGGGCCTTGGTCAGCAAGACTTGCCTTTGTCCAAGGACGAACTAGAGCCCGCGCCTGATGGTGGTCTCAGAGCATGGCTCGTCGCTCTTGGAGCCGCTTCCATCTTTTTCTGCTGTCTGGGATTTTCCAATTCTTTCGGAACGTTTACCGAGTACTATTTGACTCACCAACTGAGCCACCGGTCTCCCGATGATGTGGCCTGGATTGGTTCCCTATCTGCATTTCTGCAGTTCTTTGTAGGAATGATTGGAGGTCCCATGTTTGATCGTTATGGTTCAAAGGTATGTATAACATCATGATAAAAAGAGAAGTCATTATAGCCTTGGAAATTTTCGTAACTAATCGTGTATCAGGTTATCCACCCGGCGGCTGTCATTTATATCTTCGCCGTCATGATGTTGAGTCTATGCAAGACGTACTGGCAAATTATGCTCGTGCAAGGTGTCCTTATGGGCGTTACCATGGGATTCCTGCAGTTTCCAGCCATGGGCAGCTTGTCGCAGTACTTTGACAAAAAGAGAGCTGCTGCTTTCGGTCTGGCGATATCTGGATCCTCCATTGGTGGCATCATCATGCCTATCGCCGTGTCCAAGATGCTCAACAGTACGTCTCTGGGTTTTGGATGGACAGTGAGGATCATAGGATTTCTCATGATACCATTCATGGCATTTTCTGTCGCAGTCCTCAGAGCTCGTCTGCCACCGAGCGCCGCGTCATTCCTGATTCCTTCAGCGTTCCTCGAAGCAAGGTACAACTTCATCGTCATCTCCATCTTTTTCGTCTTCCTCGGCATGTTTATGCCCATCATCTTTCTTCCAACATATGCCGTGTCACAAGGCATGGGCGCAACGCTTGCTGGCTACTTACCCGCCATTCTCAACGCCGCATCCACGTTTGGCCGTATTATCCCGGGAGTGCTGGCGGACAAGTACGGGAGGCTGAATGTGTATGCCTTTGGATCTTTCATCACCAGCATCGTCATTTTCTGTATGACAGCGACAAAGAACAATGCAGGAATCATTGCATACGCTGCCGTTTTTGGCTTTACTTCTGGGACAATCATATCCGGAGCAACGGTGTCCATCACAGGATGTGCCAAGGACCCGCGCAGTATCGGTACTTATACCGGCATGGGGTTGGCATTGGGTGCCATTGGCGCATTGATCGGGCCTCCCATAGACGGTGCCTTTGTGAAACACTATGTTGGATTCTTTGAAGCAGCCATGTTTAGCGGCGCCATGTGCCTCTTTGGTGGCATTGTCATTCTTATGGCTAAACTTGCGTCTCCTGAAGGGATTTTCAGCAGATCGTGAGCTCGTTGTATGACATTTGCTAAATATATAATGTTTTAGAAAGGAAATTGGAATGATAATAGGGTTGGAAGGTAGATCTCAGCTCACTGGTATTTGGGAAATAGAAATAATGATAGAGGCTCGGCGTTTATTTAGGAAGGCAGATATAATAGTTGCTTCAACTTTCCCCTTTTCAGTAAATATACACAAATTCGTCATTCTCGCGGTCTGTGAGGTCCAAGAAGGCGTTTTGCCCAATGTGATCCTCTCTCCCACCGGATCGCTCATCATGCTGAAGCAACCCATTCTCGTGATGCCGGGCTGTCCGGTAGTGGTTTTGCATAGATCGATCAATGATGACTGCCTCCTTTCCGTTGCGCACGCGTGCCTTGGCTTGCAACTTATTGAGAAGAATGAGATTGGCCCACTGAATTAATATCACTCCAACCAAGGCTGAGAACACACCAAGGCACGAACGCAAACCGGGTTTATATGCAGGCGCGTCTCTGTCGTTGAACAGGATGGGGCCGATAATATTACCGACAGAGCTAGCCGCGTTGTACACACTCATGATGATTGACTTTTTCGTCGTTCCAGCAGTATTGCCTACGATCCAGGAGACGATGAGAGGGTTACCCGAAAAGATGAAGGCCAGAAGATAGTATCCAGCAAGTAGTGCCCCCTGGCTTGAATCTCCTCGTGGAACACAGTAGAGAATAACCAGTCCGGCCACAACCGGCAACATGAAGACAGCTAATATGGCCCCCTTTATCTTTGCTTTTTGAGCCAAAAAGCTTGCGAGAAGGATAAGAATGGTTTGAAGAGCTCCAAACGGCATGTTGAGTAAGCTGGCCTTGTATTTGTCAAAGCCGAGTCCATTGATGATCAGAGGGCCAAAGGTGTTGGTAACGCTTGCTCCTATATTGAGCAATAACGTGATTCCGAACCATAGATAAGTCTTGGGCTCCAGAGCAGCCTCGATGACGTGTTTCCATTTGAACTCTCGGTTACCAGTACCTGTCTGGTTGGCGCGAAGCCGCTCGATTGCCTTTGGTTTCTCCTCTTCGGTCAAGAATCTTGCAGAGAGAATGTCGTTGTCCAGTTTCCAGTAAACAAAAGGCACAGAGACAACCGTGAGAAGGCCAACGAAGAGAAAGATTCTAAGTTGATATTGTGTTAACCATGTCCCCCGAGCTCTATTCCAGACGACGAATACTTACATTTGCCACTCCCTCAAGACTTTGGATTCAACCCGTCCTAGACCATACGAAACGGCGGCGGCAAAAATCGTAGCGGCGCCGTTGGTTCCATACCAGGCGGCAACACGGATCGGCTGCTCAGCCCGCCGATACCAATGGCTCGTGATGACGCTGAATAAAGGCAAACAACCGCCTTCGAACAAGCCGAGGAAGAAACGAGCTGCCATTAATCCCGAAAAGGTGTTGCATGCCGCCATCGATGTTTGGGCGATGCCCCATCCGAGACAAAGGACAGGCATCAAGATGCGGTGAGGCACCTTGACGATGAGGAAAGACGAGAATGGCTGGCATATCAGCTGGGCGATTGGGCCGATGGACCCAATGAGAGAGTATTGTCCGCCACTGAGGTGCGTGTCTTCTTTGAGCCCATATGTCGCGCCAAATCCCAGCACTGATTTGTCCTTTGCTCGTCAGATTTGAATCCATACATCCAGTCGAAACGATCTCATGAGGTTAATCTTACAAGAATCTGCAGGAAATAAACCCAAACCAAGATGACCAAGATGACTCGGTCAGTCTTTCGCAGAATCCGACGGTTCTCTTCCTCGGAGACTTCAATCTTTTGGTCGCCGATGATGGCCAGGGCGCGATCGGCTCCTTTCTTACTGGACTGGCCATCTCGTCGAGAAGAGCCCGGGAGTTGGCTGTGTTCTGCGTGCTGCACTTCTGTTGGCCGCTTATCGTCGGGGGAATCCATCACGGTCGTCGTCGATAATTGATGATGGTAAGTCTATTCAACGCAGTAAAAGGCAAAAGACGCGCATTAGAACAGGGTTCAAAAGGAAACAAGGCACCAGAACCAGCTCGCACGCAGTAAACAAAACAAAAACCACCAAAAGTCTATGATGGTCTTGTCCAACCAGCGTTGGTCAAGGGAGGTTCACGCGGAACCCTTTATATGGTTATCGGTTTATGTCTGGTGCCTCTGCCGTCGGTAGTTCAGGCACTTTTAGGCCAGCCATCCGCTAAAGATTGCCCAAACGGTTCAGCGCTGGGGGGCATTTTGCTGCACCCCGCATTCTAGACTCTTAACGAGGGGTCCGCTAGAGGCACGGGACTTATAGTAGTTTAACATTGATGACATTTGAGTGCTGAGATTAACGACAATATCAGATCAAACGTAGTTCTTGGTGTGAATTGTCTACAAGTTCAGATGCATACGGGCATGCCTAGTAACGAGATTTCTCCTCTATCGTTGATAATTTCTTCTTCCATTGAAGCAGCGGTAATGTTACTGCGTGCATGTAAGGGTTATTCATCATTATCCCGACGGCGAGACAGTCCATCGCACCTAATCTAGAGATGAGCCGGATTTATGCGCCCGTTTGGAAATGATAAACTACGAAATGTTACAATGCTACGCTAGATGCCTCGCTTATGACGTGTGCAGTGTCCGTTTGAATTGCCGAGAGCCTAAATCAACGTGACAAGGGCTATGACTCGTCAGGAATGCGGAGGAGGCATCCCCAACCCCAATGTCAAAGAGGGGGATTAGGAAGAAGCAATTGATTGGATGCCTACATGTAGGCAAGACAACAAAATAGATGTGTACAATAATAATTCACTCTGACTAGGTCGATATGTATATTCATTTGTATGAGAAACTAGACTATGAAAATGACTTGTAGTAAATGTATCCAAGGTACATGTACTTGGTATTATTTGCATCCAGTGCTGAAATATACTGCAATGATAACAGATCATCCACCGGATAGACTTGAGTTGTATCTTCATACTGATAGGATTCCAATGCTGAGCACCTGTCTTAAAACACGAGGGGATGTAGAGATAAGATGTATTTCCCGAAGATTGGCTGAAGATGTCAGTCCTAATACTGACATGCCGGTGTCTTTACGCACGTAGATGGACACCTTTCAAAATGCTTATCATAGGTAGTTTGTGTGTCATTACTAACACCTGTATGTAGAACAAGAATCTCCTCGGTGAAGAAGCTCATTACATGGACGTTTACATGCTGAAAAGATGTAGGCGCTTCTCTACTCGCGACTATTAGTTGATGTATGTTGGCGCGTTGCCAAGCATAATCGTTGCTACAAACCTGAACACACATATTCAATGAAGTATCGTTCAAATAAAACATGAACACTCTTAACAAATGTAATTGAGCGTGGCTATAAAAACCGCCGCGAACAACTCGACCCATGATCCTAGCAGCATGACATCAAAGATCGGCTTTCATCAGACCCTTGTTGTTGATGTTGGAGGATGATACTAGGATGTCTACTCCGTAAAGGGCGTCATGATGTCTGGGCCTGAATACTAGAGGAACAGCCTTTATTGGAGCACAAGCCTCATTTTGTATCCTTCATTGCCGTGGAGGTTAACGCAGCTTTTCGAGCCTCGGTAGCTCTCGAGGCCTTAACCTGGCTCGTCGAAGCCATGCTTAAAACTAAACTTTCCAAGGATGTACACTAATTACTGGGCCTATTCGGTCACTGTTATTAAGACGTTCCATGCTCCATTCTAGTCTGGTTTCTCTTAATAGAAAAGCCACGACGACCGCTACCATGATTGCATGAGTTAAAATTCTAATCCACGCTTAGGTCCGTTTTTTCTGAAGCAAGGATCTGCTGAGTTGGTGGACGCGCACTCACCACTGACTCAATTGCGGTAACGAAAAAGGGGTGGGAAAGTCTAACAAGGCCCCGACGCTGCCGAGCCATTCAAAATCCACCTAATGGATTTTGTACACAAGATATTATAGAGTAAAACGATGAATAAAAGTTCCGTCCGATTCAGTCATTGCCGGGTAAAGGGGAGGAAGCTCAAAGGACAGCAGAATAGCAGTTATAGACGGTGTACATAAGCTTTACGTACCCAGCATGTATGCAAGTGCTCAGTTTAATTGGGGAATTAGAGATCGCTATGTTCCATTCTCTTGGCCGTGCGGGCGTGTTGGACGCATGCAATCAATGGTAAGCAATCTCGATTTGTAGCGGGCCTTTGCGGGCTGTGGAGCGCAAACCGCCGAAGCTTGTCTTTGCCACCTCGTATCAAAAGGGAGATCGGGTCATCAGCTGTCATAAGAGAAAAACCAACAGATGATATTTCCGAGACGGGTGTTTGCTCCTTTGGGCTGAATAGAAGAGCTGTAAAAGCATTGATAAGCTGATCGCCTTCGACATCATCATCTTATTTGCCAGCTAGATATTGTCCGCGGAAGCGCCATGAGAATGATACGGATTGCTAGCGTGCGAGCTTATCTATGTGCGGCCAGCCGTCATGGCCCCTGCAGACAATTCACTCACAACGGACAACAACTCGTGGGAATCGCGCCGATGCTGTGCCTGCGTACGTATGTGTGTTCTCCCACAGTCTGCGGGCCCGGACCGGGACTGGGTAGCGGTGGGACGCGCGGGGCCGGCAGCACAGTGAGAAGACGGCGCTGGACCGGACAGTGACAAGGCCCGAGCTGAGGTTTGCAAAGGCAGAGCCAAGCCGGGGAGGCTGAACATTGACGCAGCGCATGCAAGGTATCCCCGTACGGAGCTGCAGCTTAACCAAGGCGGAAGCGGCGGGTAACGTGTGCGGCCCTGGCTCGCGGTATGTCGTCTACTGCGGTGACGGTGACGGAGGCCATGCACGATGCCGATCATTCGCAGAGAGGGTCATAGCTCCGTACGCCCAGGTATGAGGCCATCGCCGTTATCAGCCAATTGTTTGTTGCGAGGCGGACACCTGCAGGACTCTGGCACGATTCCCCCCCCTGATCGTGTCGCTATCGAAGCATTAGCCCTCGCACCTCCTCGCCGAGCACAAGCAGATTCGAGTCAGCCAAGGGGCCAAGCTCTGGGAATCGGTGAATGCGACTCGCCGCCTCGGCACGCTGAGACGTGCTCCAAGTGTCCCGCATGCTGGCTCCACCGCGATCGTCACAACCCTGTCAGACTCGAAGGTTATAAAAAGCTTGAGAGGGAAAATCAAGGAAATCGCAGAGCAGCTGGTGGGCCTATGGATCCACGTAGACCTCGGCGGTGCTGGGGAGCTCCAGCAGGGCCAGCAGGGCCAACAGGGCTGCGTCTTGCAACAACTTGTTCTCGTCTGACGAGGTTGGAAAAACGAGCTTCTGGTCGGATGTTGAGAGGATGGAGCAGCTTCCAGCGTCTTCTGTGCCTTTCAGTGACATGTGGCAGAGGGGCGGCTAAGCTGGAAGAGGCACTCCGGAGGCTCCCTGTGCCTAGTGGTGTGGCGCTAACCGAGGCGCTATCACCTGTGGTGTTTGCCGCCATGCGGGAAGAAGAGATTTGCAGTGGTGAGCAAAGAGTGCAGAAGCAGAAATTGTGGCTGTAGAAATGCCCTGAAAGGCGCTGCATTGGCCGGCGAAAAGCGCACCGGTGGGCGCCACAGAGGGTTAGCCGTGGACAAAACGGGCATCATGGCGCTGTCTGTCCCTGGCAGCCTTTCCCGGAATATGCTCGCCTCGCCGGGCAGATTTTTTCTAGCCACATTAGTGGTTCCGTGCTATCAATATCAGTCACTACTATAGTAGTTTGAGGCTATACTGGACTTGACTCCGTAATGCTAACACAACCTGGAATAGCCAGCAACCAGTTTTGCCATCAAATCATGAAGAGAGCCAAAGAAAAAAAAAACTCACTCAAGGAATGGAACGTCGTCTGTCTCCTCTTTTCCTCCCTTGCGTCCATCTGTTTTTAAAGCCTGGATCCCCGCCCTGAGCTGGACAGAACCTTGTCTCTCGTTAAAATTCTTGGCTGTCCAATCTTTGCTTCTTCTAAACAAACGGCATCGTTTCGTCACTCGCTCCACAGCGCCGTCACTTACGCCAGCAAACACCACGCCGATCACCTCGGACCCTGTGCTTCTGACATCGACTTTATTGTATTAGGGCCAGCATTGGCTTGCGGAGAGCCTCCCGTTGGATCCGATGTCTGGGTGCCATTGATCCTTAGTAGATCTGTTTCCCCCTCTCTGCGTCTTGTGTCTCTGGTTGTCTTATATACTATCCCACGGCCAACGGTTTCCTGGTTTCCCCATTTTATCCACCGTCTTTTTTTTCTTTTTGAGCTTGAGCCAACTACATACATACGCTTCCGACTGCGGGACAGTTCGATAAATCAAAGTCACCATGGCTGGAGAGCCATTTCCTCCCGTCCCTCCCCCTCCTGCTGCCCCTGCCTCCTCCCATCAGTACCGCGCTTCTTCAGAGATGAACCGGATTGAAGAACACGACGGCGAGGCGTACGACGGCAAGTTTGACGACCAGTACGACGAAAAGTACGATGAAAAGTACGAGGCTCCGACACTCGACACCTTCAACACCCTGAATACGCTGGCCCCTACTCATGATGAGAATGGTGCTGTGACACCAACAAGCCAGCGTGCTGAGGCGAATCGCCTTAACGATGATCTTGAGCTGCTCCGCGCCGAGCGCATGGTCTCAAATCAGGAACACGACCAAGCCTCCAAATCACGGACAAGAAATCGGCATCACAACCCCGAACCTGAGGATGCTTTCAACCAGACCCCCACAGAAGCCGCGCCGGACAAGAAGAAAAACAGGGACGCTGCCCTCTATAAACTATGGCTCTTCATCAGCAAATTTCCTCGTTTCTTCCGGTACATCATTTACCTGATCCCTGGTGCTGCCTTGCTACTGGCCCCTGTCCTGCTCGGCACGTTCAAGTTCAATGGGACTGAGCACGCCGTGGGCGGCACAGGCGGCGTGTACATCATGTGGTTTGGTATTTGGCTTGAAATTGTGTGGTGCTCACTTTGGGTGACGCGGATGCTTACGAATCTTATTCCGTCTCTATTCCATGGTGTTGCTCGAATGGTCGGATCGACCAATGCCCCCAAGTGGCGGGATATTGGACAGCGTCTCGAGCTGCACACTGCCATGTTTCTATGGTGGCTAACCATTCTCATCTCCTTCAAGCCCACCATGGACGGACATCGCGCACCCGTCCCGGATGGCGATTCGGGAAACGTTCACATGCACTGGATCAGCGTCGTCAACAAAGTCATCATTGCTCTCTTCGTCCTAGCCGCGCTGAACTTTGTGGAAAAGATTCTTATCCAGTGGATTGCCCAGAGCTTTCACCAGCGGACGTACGCCACTAGAATCGAGAACAACAAGGCTGATATCCGCCAGCTCGTGTGCCTTTTCGAGTTCGCAAAGTCCAAGCTCGAAAGCACCGATGCCTTTTGGAAGGGCAGCGTCGGCAATCCCTCTAGCAGCGGCTTGCAGACGCCCATGAAAGCTTTCCACAACAATGCCCGTCATGTGCTGGGCAAAGTTGGACACGCTGCCGGCAGAGTCGGCAATGATCTTCTGGGTCGAAAAGGAGCTGACAATAATCACCCTCGCAAGATAGTAGCCGAGCTGCTACGAAACACTGGCTCGGCGCACACTCTAGCCCGTCTTATCTATCGAAGTGTAGTTCGTGAGGGCCGCGAGACTGTCCATCTGGAAGACCTACAGACTGGCTTTGAAACAGTAGAGGAAGCAGAGGCGGCTTTCAGCATGTTCGACAAGGATCTCAACGGTGATATTTCCATGGATGAGTTTGAGGCTGTCTGCAACGAAATCCACCTCGAAAAGAAAGCCATCGCGGCATCACTCAAAGATCTCGACTCTGTCATCCAGAAGCTTGATAAAGTTTTTCTGTTCGTCATCGTCATCATTGCCGTCATCGTCTTCGTCGCCATCCTATCAGACTCGACAGCCGCCGGTCTTGCGTCTGCGGGCTCCTCGGTTCTCGGTCTGGCATGGATGCTCCAGGCGACAGCCCAAGAATTCCTCCAGTCCATCATCTTCGTCTTCATCAAACATCCATTTGACGTGGGTGACCGAGTCACCATCTACGGCAACACCGGAGCCACATTGACAGGCGATGACTACTACGTCACTGAAATCTCACTGCTTTATACCGAGTTCAAAAAGATGCAGGGTCACATTGTCCAAGCCCCGAACTCGCTGCTCAACAACGTCTTCATCCTCAACCAGCGACGATCCAACGGACTTTCAGACGTCATCCCACTCGAGATGCGATTTGGGACGCCGGCTCACTTGATCGACGACCTCAAAGCCAGGATGTTAGACTTCGTCAAGAACAACAAGCGGGATTACCAACCGAGCATCATCACCGAAATGACTGGCTTCAAGGAAGTACGATCGTGCACTATGAACATGGTTTTCTTCCACAAGAGCAGCTTCCAAAACGAACTTCTTCGACTGAACCGCCACAACAAATTTGTCACGGAACTCATGTACCAGATGGTCCAGGTGGGCATCGAGGCACCCCTTCGAGTCGACCCTGGTGGAAGCCGAGAGCATCCCATGTACTGGGCAAATATGCCTGCGCCGCCTGCATACGGTAGTAGCAACAGCGACACCCCGATCCAGGGCCGACCTCGGGCTACCTCGAGCATTCGCAGTGTGCCGAATCAAGAACCCATCACCGGAGGGTTCCAAGATGTATTCGAGAAACGACGAGAACATGTTCACATGCAGAGGATGGCTTCTATCCGAGAGAAGGAGAGGGGACTGCAGGAGGAATCTGAAGCAGCAGTTCGTTCTACTACATCGGCACTGGCCCCAGCCATGTCAGTCGATTCTCAAAACCAATCGCGGTCTCGCATCTTTGGACGCGCACGGAGCGGAACTAGGAGCATCAACAGTCATAAGGACATGGTCTAACCCTTTGGTGCACTCCATTTATTTATGATATTGACGGCCGGCCTCCATTTTCTGCCTTATCCTTTTTTTCTTCTTCCTTTTTTTTTTATGAATCTAGAGCAAAGATTGAATGGTTTGCTGGGGCCAAACCTTGCACGATGCCATTGGGTTTATTCTGGTTGAAGCGATTTAGTCTCCTTTATCACTCTAGCAAGCTTTGCATTGCAATTTTCTTTTACGGACAACCGGCCGGGATGGTCAGGTTGTTGTTGGACAACCATTACTGATGGCGCAAAATGATGATTTAACTGAATGGATAACATGGTGCTCACTGGCTGAGACAGGTGAATGGAAGCAGCGAAATAAATATGTTGCATCCGTATAATGGCTAATATGATATGGATTAGAGAGAACAAATTGTAGAAACTACATATGTAGATTAGATGTATAAAGCAGCCACGAGCACTTATAAACCAATTAAGTAACCAGACATGATATCCTCTTTCTGACAGTGATAAATTCTCTTTGAAATCTGAGTGGCATTTAAATCTCGTGAATCGGCGTAAGGGAATCGTCAACTTCTAGATGAGTGTAACCGTCTTTTCCGGCGTCAAGATCGCCGGCCAGACGCTCTTGAACCACTCCTCCCTCTTCGCCTGCGCATTGTGTGTAATCGTTAACAGCCCTATTCTCTCAAAAGTACCAGGCTGGCCCTTCACTTTCGTCAACACCAGAAAAGCATCTGCATCAATTCCCCTTTCACCAGTTTTCGCCTTTCGCACTCCGCCACCTCGCCCTTCAAAACGATGGACATGTAGCAAATAGCACGGGGCGAGCTTGCACGATCCTTTGCCAATGCACGAGAAGAATCCGTATCGAGTCGCGTCGTCAATAAGAGCATCAGCAAAGAAGCCTAGGCTTGCGCCCATCACATCCAGCCGGGGCTCCGTGAACTCGCACGGCACCCAACCTTCCGCTGGCAATGGAAACGTCTCATTCGTATAAAGAGTATAATCTGCGCGGGGGAAGCCGGCCTTGCCTTTCCTACCGGCTGGCGTGGTGCATCCTCGACAGCGAATGCGCCAGAACGTGCGTCCCAGAGATGCCTTGAGACGGATGAAGCCAGAGGTCACTTGGCCAAAGTCATCTTGCCCGGCGATGACACATTCTGCGGCTTCGATTTTGCCCTCGAATGATTTCGAGAATCTTGTTGCTGGAGCGAGGAAGCCCAGCCCGGATGGCGAATCAATGCTTGCCCATGACCAAGATGGCGCTCTCCAGTCTTGACCTCTTGGTCGATGCTTAGAGAGCGGTGATCTTACATACCAGAGTAAGCCCTCCATCAAGGTACTGCGCCAGATGCCCGCCAAATACCCATCTCCCATGTTTTCAGCAAGGATTCTGGCCGTCGCGGAGAGCGCGGGAAGCTTGTCGGATCCCTTGGTCAGATTGAGCTTTGCATATGTTTCCACGACTTCCATCCAGTTTCGGTACAAAAGACTGGTAAAGTCCTGGCCGACAAGACCGCCGCCATGCTCGTCTGGCTTCAGACTCGCCGGCCCCTTGAGGCTCGCAACATTCAAACCTCTCGGGGTGGGCGAGAAATGGGGAGCTATCTGGCCGGAGCCGCATTCGCACTGGAGCGTCTCCTGGCATCCGACTTGGAACTCGGATTTATTGCAGTAGAGGAGGCGTCGAGAGAGCATTCGTTCTTGGTACACCCATGCGCGACTGAAGAGCGGGAAGTGCTTGAAGAAGGATGCTTCCATATTTTTGATGCTCTTTCCGGCACCGTTGCAATCTCTGATGCCGACATAGACATCTGGTTGTCCTAGCTCTTTTATGGCGATGCAGTGATCCGGCCTCGTCTTGGAGAAACAGCCGCCAAATGAGCCGGGGGATGCGGATGCGGCTATGGTGATGTAGCTATCCCGGTATATGTTGCCCATCTTGGTAGATTCTACTTCCCAGTCACTGCGAGAATCCTGAATGATGCAAAGGGAATCGATCCATAGATATTCAATGCAGAGCTTTCGGCATAGGAGAACGGCATCTTGAAATGTCTTGGGCAGTTTTGTCCATGGAATAAAGTTGTGATACTCGTTGATGGTTGATGACAGTGTTTTTGTATGGATCAGCGTTGGATCGCCCCAGCAGTGAGAGAGGCAGGCATATGTTCCCGTCTCGCCCTCAGTCGTCACTAGTTTAATCCCAACATCAGCGCTGGAGTTGCTGATTTCGGTTACATGAAGGAGTCTTTTGGGAAGCGCGACGTTTCGCCCAGAGTTACAGCTCGAGTGGCCGTCTTCACATTGTTTTATCAGTTTGGATGCTCTATCGAAAGACGTGGAAGAAGATGTGTCTCCGGTCAGCAGGCCCGATGGAGGCATGCCGAAGACTCTCATCTTTGCGCCTGTTCAGAGGTTAGCTGCAAATAGAATCCAGTTGTAAATCCCACAAAACCATGAAACATAGGGGTTGTTCATCTGAATCAACGTTTAAGCTAACTAACCTCTGGGATAAAAGAATTGAATATGTCGAGGACTTTGATTCTTGGGCGTGACCTCTAGTGTAAACTGCGCCCCAGTCCATCTAAGTTGCGTATTGTCCGGGCTGAACTCCGGGTAGGCTTCGAACATTCCCGATAAGAGGAGGCAAAGAAACTTGCATCCTCTGCACCCATGGCTTGCCGAAAGAGTGACATGATCGAACTTGAATGGAGTCGTGTTGAATGACGGTGCTTTGCGATGCCTATACGGAAGGTTAGTAGAAAGAAGTCACTGATTGTGGGCCACTTGCTTGTCGTCTGAAATTTTTGGGCAATTTAAGGTGCAGTAGGACGTGTCTGATGCAAAATAATCTGCATCTATTTGATCAGTTCTTGTATGATGTGCCGTTTTAATAACATTTTGAATGGAGACTGCGACGGATTCCATTTTGACAAAGAAATAGATGAAAAAAGCATCAAGATGTGGATGCCAATCTGGAAGGGGGGAAGAGGAGATTCGAGTACCCCGCGGATTGCATCAAATGCCTCCCGTGTTGATGCTGACAAGAGTTTCAAGTTGGAAGTGACACCTTGTTCGTTTACATGGGAGTGGCCATCTAGAGTCTTGGTTCGTAGTAAGAGTTATTAAAAAAAAAATCATCACTACTACAAGCAAGTACCTATTGAGATATACACAAGGTTCTATCTAAAGTGCAGTGCATGCATTGCATCTTTTGTCTGTAGCATCAATCAATCTTTCTCTGTGGAGCAACATCGCATTGATGTTACCGACTCTGGAAAGCGCCGATACACTGAAAATCTTTATCACCTGTTTACCTGTAAATAGGTATTTACAACTACTACCTACCTACCTAGAGTAATGAAGGAAGAGATGCGGCATAAATGTTATTAAAGCTCCGCCAAACCAGAGGATTTCCAAATGATGACTTGGGGCTGTGATGGTTACAACGACAAGGGCCAAGCAAGGAGTTGCTGCCCCATGCGAAAAGGCTTCCAGGTTGTACTCTTATACGAAGCATTGCTGATACATGACCAATGGCAGAGACAGACAGACAGACGAATCATGGAAGCTTCCCATGGAACAAAGCCCTGGTGAAAGAAGCTGTCCAGGAAGGGACTAGAGGCCGAAGAGTGCCTAACAAGGCGTCCATTGGATGGATGCAGTTGCAATTCCAATAGCGATCCTTGGGAGACCCCCGCCTGGACCCTTCTCGAGCCCCAGCCGCAGTGGCTTGGATGTTAGTAGAGCGGGATCAACTTCAGCTCATTTGCTGCACATTTGCAAGCTGTCAGCTCTTTGTTTATTTTTAACTTTTTTTTGGAATCCATCGCCAGCGAACTGCTCGGCCATTCTCGTTCTGGTCCCTGCTGCTTGGATCCTTTGTCCGGACGTTTCTCATCTTGCGAGAGACATTGAATGCCGGTCCGCTCGGGCGATTCCTGCCATCAAATACAGCGCTTCCCCATGCATGGTGTCGACGATTCTTGCTCTTCCGCGGCGATGCGACAAAGGAGCGGCTGAACGAGAAGATCCGATTCGACACGACGCTTTTAGACGCACATCCAGGCCGACACGATCTGCATTATAATTTATGATACGACTGGCCGAGGAAGCTCCTGCGTTTGCCGCTTGTTTGGACTTGGACTGAGGATCAGAGCAGCGGCTTATCATGGCCACTCTCCCAACTGGCTGGGAGTGGGACTATGACGGCAGTCGATGGCTCTACCGATACAAGCCTACCGGCCATGTCCAGTACCATTTCCCTAATGCAGGCGACGAGTTTCCCGACTATATCGACGCCAGGTCTCCGGCGCCAGACCTCGCGCCTGAGGAGCGGCTCGAGTCGCAGCAACAAGTCAAACGACATGCGAGCGTCAGCGGGACCCCCGTCCGCGCTGGGGAAGACAGAGATAGATGGAGATCGCGCATGTCCGCAACGGCGCAGCCCGTCAGCGCAGTCTGGGAAGACGATTTTGTCAGAGAGGACCATCATGTGGAGGAGGCGGAGGCGGAGGACGAGGGGGGAGTGTTTCAGCCCGAGAACTTCATGTTCCTGGGCCCGGGCGCATATACGGATGTAAGTCCGCTGAATGAAGAGGAGGAAGAGGCCGCGAGGAGGACAGTGGTGGGAGAGCTAAGGAGTGGACAATCGACGGAGAATAGACGTGTCAGCCCCATGGTGAGCCAGAATACGACGCCAATGGTACGGCCGACCGAGACTGTGGCCAGTGGATCTACGACTGTCGTGGACCAACGAGCTGTTGAGCCACCACCTGTAATGCGTCGTGAGGAGCAAACAACACTGGTATCCCCGCAGGAGTATATCATGGGGGGTGATATCGTGGGAGAGGCGAGTGCACCAGTTGACGATGGAGGCTACCACTATGAGATGTACGAGCTTCCGGTTGAAACCGCCATCCCTATGCATCTCCAGTTTGATCCCGTGGGTTTCGTGGCCGAGATGCCGACGGAACACACAGCATCCGCCCGTGTTGAGACACACCCCGAACCCATTGAACTGGCAGACAACTACGTTATGGCGCCGATTGAGACGGAACCGCGGCCTGGCTACGTGGAGCTACCGGTCGAGTTCAATCCCACGGAGGAGGGAGCTGTGCGACAGGAAAAATTATCAGAGGAACAACAGTTGGAGCTGCGGCGACAGGAGGTGAGGCGACAGCAAGAGGAGAGGCAGCGTGGAGTGCAACAGAGACAGGAGGAGAGGAAGAGACGGGAAGAAGAAGAGTTACAAAGGGAGCTGCAGCAACAACAGCAACAACAGCAGGGCGAGGCTCAAAGCCCATCTCAAGAACAAGGCAACGACGTCCCAAACCCGTTCAAGATTGCCAGGAAACCGACACTTCGAGAATCCAGCGCCGCTTACAATGCCTATGCCGGCAGAGGTCAGACGCAGGAGGACTTTCAGGCTTATGCGCCAGGCCAAGCCTTTCAGCAAACTGTACAGCTCGCGAATGCACTTCCGGCGCGGATAATGAGCCCGGCTCTGCAACGGGAGGCATCACTAAACTTGAGCATGAGGCCCCAAGATGGCTCTGCTCCCGGAGTGGTCAAATATCCTTCTGTTCTTCGGCCTGCTCGAGGGAAGCCTGGACAGGCGCCAGAGGGACAGGACGCCATGAAAGGCCCAGAGCAAGGTTCTAGTATCGACCCTACCAATAAAGATGCTCGATCATCGGGATACGAATTCGTTGCACATGGACAACACCCTCCGTCTATGACACCTGCCCCCGTCCCGGCTCCGGCACCAGCTCCAGTTGTCGCACAGCAAATTTCATCACAGAACCCTCCAGCTCCTGTCCAGCAACCTTTTGGCATCGCAACTGCTCAACCTCCGGCTCCCATACAAAGACCATACACGACGGAACCAGATCTCTCAAAATCCAATTTACAAATTGCTCAACAATATGCTGTACCCCCCGTCCCACTCAAAGTCGCAGCTCAGCTTCCTTATCCAACGGAACCGGTTACGATGCCGCGGCCACCAATTGCTCATACATCCACAGCACCATATCCGCTCGACGACGCTCCGCCGGTCGTGGCCCCGTATGGGCCACTGCAGAACCAACAACCTATGAGACCTGCAAGCGCAATGCCTGTCCTTCAGCACCAGTCAGCGGGGTCGGCTCCAGGTCGGCCGCAACAGATGCCCATCAGAACAGGCCCTCCGCCTCCCGGGTCTGTGATAGTGCCCGCTGGAATGGCGCCGCGCTCGGCCACGGCTGGCCCGGCACAGCATCTTCAACAGCAACGTCGGCCATCTTACCAGCCAGCAGGGGATCCGCGACAGAATGCCGTTCCAGCACAAAACTTCCAGCCTCCCAGACCGCAGAGTGTCGCTCACCCGGGGGTTTATGCTAATTTTGCGAGCCACCAATCACCACCGCCCCAAATGCGGCCTGTCCAGCGCCGGGCAACTCAAGATGAGATTCTACCAGTATCGCCCATACGGTCTCGATCAGAGAGTTCCTCATCCGGCCTTCCTATGGAAACACCATCTCCGCTAGAGTCTCGAAGAGGATCTTCGAATTCCAATATCAACAACTCCTACTTCGCCTCCACACCTAGCTCTCAGAGCTCAGCCTCAGTACCCCCTTTAAATACAGCATTGGGGAGACCCCCTTCTCAAGAGCCGCTCCAATCTCCAATTCATGGCGGTGCTCCGAACCCCAATGGGAAACAGCCGTCCACATCTCCTGTTGGCGCTGGGAACGATAGGTCAAAGAGGCACTCGATGCCACAACAGCAACTGGCAAATGTGATGCAGGGGAGTTCACAGGGCATGGCATTTCCTCAGCCTCAGATGCAACCAAGCCTAGATCAAAGACAAGCCGGGGTGCAACGGTCCCAATCTTTACGCCAATCTAGATCGGCAGGCGATGTGACCAACCAAAACGTGCCACAATCTCCCACGAACATTGGGCCCTCCTCTTCTAGTCACCTCCTGACTAGTATTCAGGAGCGTGACGAGACTCAGCATGCCGCAGCTGTAGCCCCGTTAAAGGTTAACCAGAGAAAGGTTCTTACCAAGCCACCTCCTTTTGCGACGCCTACGTCTCCGTTGGATAAACGTGGGCCTCAGCAGCAGTTTGCCCAAGGGGCTCCGGCTCCGGTTCCTCTACAGACTCAGGCACCGCAGAATAACCAGCAGCCACAAATGGTGTCGCAGATACCGCCAAGCAATGTGGCGCCGCTTCGCCAGAACGTTATTCAAGGTCAAGGAATACCAGTACAGCAAAATGCTATCCAAGGCCAAGGAATACCTCTGCAACAGAATATCCATGGCCAAGGAATGCCATTGCAGCAGAATGCCATCCAGGGTCAGAGAATACCTTTACAGCAGAATGTGATCCAAGGCCAGGGAATGCCACCGCCTCAGGCAGTGGCTCCTCCAGGGCATCAGATGGCATATGGCCAACCCCCTCAAATGCATATTGCGCCACTGTCCGCTGCTCCTCTGAACCAAGGGGGTCCGATCTTTCAGCCAGGCCAAATCCAGACTCAGGCAATGCCCATGCAGGGATTACCATTTGGTCAGCACGCACAGCCGCTTCCGCAGCAGTATCACCAGCAACAGATGCTTCCCCAGACTCTTGCCAACTCGCCTTCAGTGGCTCAGCCTGGTCCTCTTCCACCCTTGCAGACGCAACAACAGACATCTCCTACTAGTGGCAAGGAGAACAGAAAATCATGGGGAAAGTGGTTCAAGAGCAGTGGATCCAAATCCGCTGCCCAAAGCCCGGTGGTTCAGAAGCCGCAGCATACTTTTCCACCTGTACCCATCCCACAGCCAATGCCTGGTGCAAACCAGTCATTCCACATGCAAGCGGGAGGTCAGCAATATCCCATGGGCTTTCAAGGCGGACAACCAGCTCCAATGGCTCAGCAGCAGATGCAGTTTCAACAAGCTGTGCCAGGGGGCTCTACAATGCATAGTCGTGATGCATCAGATGCGGCATCGGTCTCTACGATATCGTCTAACCTGAAGTTTTTGCCATCGAAGAACCAAGCCATTGGCCAAGACGCCTCGACGCAGCAATTCTCCAATGGCATGGCCCCTGCTCCGCTGTTCTCTGGACCGTCTACGCCGGTAAGACCGGCCGCGGCTTCACAAAATAAGTGGGCGGGCAAGTCTCCCATTGACTATTCCGGAGGTGGCTGGGGGGATGATGATGACGACGAGTATTCATGATATAGAGAGTATGAGATGTAGAGATTTGAGAGGAGAGGAGATCTATACCCAATTTCTTTTGTGGCATGGTGTTTTGCATGGGATTGCTCAAAGTATAGTGTTGATACTGGGAATGATGGGTTTCTGGATAAGTCTAATAAACGACGTTGATTGATTGAATGAAGATACTATAGATTGGAGTTGAGGTGTCACCATCTGCATGTCCATATCATCCATGGCTCATACCATCTATCTAATCAGCTCTAACTACAATGCCTTTCTGAGGAAATACTGGCACTCATCTTCTACTACTCTCGCTATTTTCTTCTAATACTTGTTACTACCTATTATATCCCTCTAGCATCTGGTATCATCACTTCTCAGACGGCTATAAATACAAGGCACTGGATGCTGGGTAGCAAACTTGAGGTGCTGGATTGGCCACTATCGTCTCTAATCATTACTAAGGCAGCTGTGCTATAGAGCTGTCCATAGCATTAAGTTCAGGCAACCACAAATAAGGTACTAACTCACTGAACTGCTCATGCACGTGATAGCGCGTTGTAGTGGCGTACTGGAGAGACTCTCCCCAAAGTTAGTACTCCCTTCTGTCCCAAATGCCCCGCCAGATCGTTTTCTTCACAGCACTCGAGCTTTGTTACTCAATCTTCGATATCAAGAGACAATGCCATCATCATGACCCGACCGCGGCCGCTCACGCGGGCTGAGCAACTGGTACTCGAGGAAAACCCCGAATCGCAAGACAGCCAAGCCATCCTTGATGCTCTCAATGCAGAGTTCCGAGCCGCAACGGTACGTACCTCAGCTTGCCGGGGTCATTTCGCGGGCTGACCAGCATGTTGACCAATTATGTAGTATCGCGACCCCCTTGCATTGCAGCCACAGCCCGGGATAGAGAGCGGCAGGTTTGCAGATGACGATGCTGAGGCTGGAGACTTGGTCATTTCAAGCTCAAGGCAAGCCGTTCATCGGCAAGATAGTTCCAAGGTTTGTCGCAAGCCCCGTAGCACGTATTCATCCAATGCTTTATGCAGCGACCCTATCGTATGACTTGCTGCGTTTGATGGAGACGAAAACAAATCCACACAGCGAGAGGGAGACACGTGAAAGCTGACAAAACCCCGTTGGGAAAAAAAAATAAAGAAACAGCGGCAAGTTATTACGCCACATGGATCTGCTGCCACTCCCCACGGTGATGTGAATAATCTCACAGGCACAGGCACAGGCGCAGGCGCAATTCACGGAGTGGGACGCGAGGACCCCCGGCCTCACCAACCAACGTCGCGACCAGGGTTCCGCGAACAAGATTTGGACGATGCTGTCATAGCCGCGAGCAGCCCGTTCGGCCGAAATGCACATTCTCCATCCCCTCCGCACAACCACGATACCTCCAACCAGGGCGACGAACCCCCTGCCGTGCCAATTGGCGCCGGTAGGCCACAAGCAAAAAGGATGGACTCGTCACAGCAAACGCCTACGCAGCTCAATGTAGAACGGGACTATGGCCAATTCTACCAACCTCCGCGGTCCAGCCCACCGCCTGATACGCTGCGCTCGCATGACGAGCGTGAACGGACGCTGCAAGCTGACGACACCGGCGCTGTCAACTTTGGCAACTTGAGTCCTGGCGTGCGGCCGTCGTCTCAAGTTTCGGAAGATGCAGGCTTCGAAAACACTCGTGGCGAATGGAGGGTGCCAGACGTGACTTCGCAGCAGCGGTCAAGCCATGGCTACACTCCGTTGAAGCCCGGTGGTCTCCTGCCAGAGACGCCGATGCCACCGAAGAATCCCTTTGCTGTTCAGCACAACGCAGACGCCGGCGTCCCTTTTGCAGGGACACAGCTCTTTGAGCAGACTCCCGTGGTGACCTCGGCTATAAAACTCCACAGCCCTACGTCCTCCCGACCTTCGCCAAACATACTGCCCGATGCCATTTCTTTGAACATTATCGAGACGTCTCCCCTAAGGAACCGCGACAATGTATCCTCACCAACCGTTGTGCATACATCGAGCCCTAGTCGAGCGAATAATATCACTGCAACTACCAAAAAATTCAGGGTGTCTCCAATCCAGGAAGAAGCCTTGGACGATGATAAAGATGCTCAAGATGACATGATTCCGGAATCACCGACTGCGCAGCCGCTGAGGCCATACGGAAATCGACAACCCCAAGCTCATTATGAGACAATGAAAAAGTCACAAGAACGCAAAGCAGTGGCGGAGGTCCCACAGGCCATTGACAGTGACTCAGACGATGCCGCTCTGAGGCGTAAGAAGAAGATGGACAAGATAAGGCTCCAGACTGCAAAAGAGATGGAGAGAGTGAGGGTGCAGATACCTTCACGGAGAGATTTAAGCGAAAGTCGGAATCGAAAGAGAAGAAGGCTGTCCTCGGGTGGTGAGGAAGAGACGCTTTCTACTAAAAACGCAAGCTCGGGTCAAACGGAGCTTGCTAATACTGGCAACGAACCGCACACTTCTCATAAAGCATCAAGTTTGCCTGAGCAGAGTCTGTCAGCCGGATCCACCAAAGCCACTCCAAGAGATGCAATAGTGGGCGATGGCGGCAAAAGAGTTGCAGCTATTCGACCAGGCAAGAGCAAAGAGGCACCCTCTGAGGAGATGATCCCTGCTACTAGCCCTGTGAGATCTCTATCAGCAGGAGCTCAGCATGGTTCTCTACCAGCCTCTGAACCCGAGCTGCCTCCGTTAATCGAGAATGAGACGAGAGAAAAGGAGCGTCAGAGTGAATTACATACTTCGTCCTTGCCTCCGCCCCGTCGACATGCGCAAAGAATCTATGGTAGGCAAGCACAGGGCCGTCGTCGGCAAAGAATCATTACTTCTTCAGAACCCAACGAGAGAGCATCAGCTGAGCCAGATCCTGAAGCTCAGAAAAGGGTTGAGATTCATAGCGATGCACCTGCTATACCTACCAGATCAGCCGTGGCTCGCAGGTTGGCTAAACATGGTGAGCCATTGCAGACAAGCAATACAGAATCGGAGCTATCGAAATCATCCCCTCCACGCTTGCGTTCCGCAGCGACAGGAGCAACATCACGTCGGACTCAAATGCGCGAGAAATCGCCCCTTACACCCGTGCACCGTCGTGCGGTAGATCGAGGAACTCATACGTCGTCGAGCTTGGCAGCCTTGTCAACGCCAGTGGTCTCTGAGAAAAATACGCCGGATACACAGGCCTCCTTGATATTTGATCAACCAAAGTCCACCGCCAGCGTACCTTCTCCGGCCCAGAGCCGAAAGACGCGGACTCGAAAGCCGGGACGGGAGTCAAGTGAGAAGACTCCGCAGCAAGCTGCTAAGCCGACGAAAACGAGTGTGCAATCTGCGCGTGCAGAGCCTAGTTCTACCGATGAACTGCAACAATCACCGTCAAGCAGTGCTTTTGAAGTAGGTGTTTCCTCGCTGCGATCCAGTAGAATATTTAAACAGAGCATTGGATCTACGTTTCGCGGACGAAGACTGTTTGAGGGCATGGTATTTGCGATATCAATGTCGCTTGACAAGGGGAATCAAAAGACGCGTGCAAATCTGGAGACAAAGATCAAGCAGGCCGGTGGTCTCATCTTGGAAACTGGCTTTGAAGAGTTATTTGAGCCTTCCACTGTCATGAGCGCCTACGATGTGCCAGTCGCTGGCGATGGAGAAGCTCTCAGCTTATCTAAACCAAGTCTAAGCTACGGCTTTACCGCACTGATAGCAGACAGCCACTCGCGAAAAGTCAAGTACATGCAGGCATTAGCTTTGGGATTGCCTTGTCTGGCATATCAGTGGGTCATGACTTGCCTCAGCAAGGGAGCTCTGATTGATTGGGAGCCGTATCTCCTTGCAGCTGGATCATCGGCCGTCTTAGGGAATGCTGTGAGATCCAGATGCTTACGCCGATACGATGCAGGAGACGCCAGGCTCGCAGAGATGGTTGAGCAACGGCCGCAGCTACTTGCAGGTGAAAAACTCCTTGCAATTGTGGATGAATCAAAGACACGGAATGAGGGAAAGAAGAAGAAGAGTGACGTGGAGAAGAAGCCGTACATGTTTCTCGCCCAGGCACTAGGACCATCTATCTCATGGGTTTCAACGATACAGCAAGCTCGCGAACTGCTAGAGGCACATGATAAGGCAGGCAAGCCGTACACCTGGTTATACATGGATAGATCTATCGGCACCGTCGAATCGGTGCTCACGATATCCGAGCCCACAGGGAAGAAACGGCGGAGATCTCAAGGACCTTTAGCGACGAGGAATGTCCGTGTTTTATGCGATGAGCTTATGATTCAGAGCCTCATTCTTGGCAGGATGGCAGAGGAGGATGAGATGGATTACGCAGGAGAGAAGAGCTGAGAATCATCGAATGGTTTGGCGTCTTGGAATATGTTTATTGGAGAGGATTTCTGATTAATGGGCAGAGCCTCAAGTCTAGCACGGAGAGTGCATTTCACGGTGGCATTAGAAGCCATGCCTGGTTCAAAAGGTATGGCTAATTGGATTTATGGCGTTGGATTGCTGAAAGGGCTGGATTTGAGCTCGAGAGTTTATCTGGAGATTGTCTACTACTGTACTTGTTGGATGAATCAACTTGCTCATGAAGTAAATGGAGGCTCAAGATGTTGGTTACGAATACCTAATATTGCTCATATCCGAGTTATTACTTATTGGTTCATACAACACTGCTGTATGTTGTATGCCAGCCATTCACAACTGAAGCGATGAGTCATTTCATGAAATGCCCTGTCACATATACCCTCCGCAAACCCTCTTCGAATATCCTATAATTAGCCAGTCGTTTACTGATTATGGAGTACGAGGCTCAACTATGCATATTTTTAGCTTAGCACCTTGGAACTTCAATCCCCGTCTTGTGGCAGAATTTGACGATCGGCGACCATTCGACGCAAGTCAGATTTCGTCTAAACTCCGCCCCCTGCGGCTCAAAGCTGCGGCGTTTTCATGCAGCCAGCAAGGCAGCAGTGGCCTTGGTTGAAGCAGTTACGTGTTTCTTTTGATTGTATAAGTGTATAGCTGGAGACTATACCGCATAGAATAGCTCGTTTGTTTGTGTTTCCTGTATTGTAGAAGCTCTTTTCAGCAGTTGTCAACACAAATCGTTCCTCCAAGGAAGCAAAAGAAAAGCCATCATGGCAGACTCAATCCCGACATCCACTCTCTGCAATGTCTGCACCGGCATCTTCGCCGGAAAGTGGCAGCCTCAGCTGCAAGGCTGGAAGAGGGCCATCAAGAGGCCTGGCGCTCCACCCGATCCGTTCAACCCCGAGCCAGCATTCGGAACGGCGTACGACCACGGCATGGAGCCGTACATACACCGCAGCGGCGCTCCACCGACGCTCTCGTATCCGCACCGCTCGGTCGAAGATCTGCGCACGTCGGGAGCGTCGTGTGCGCTGTGCCGGACGGTGGTGTTGTCGTTTGACGCTCTTCATCCGCGGAACAACATCAGCATGGACTATATGGAGGGGCGGAAGCCGTATGGTGTGGCTGCCTGGGCAAAGGAGGAGATTGCAAAGGCCAAGGGTTATGTCTTTATATACACTGAGAAGGACAAGACGAGCAAGCTCATCTTCCGATATCAAGTTGATGCGGATTGGGCGGCGAATAGGAACATGGATGTGAATCCGAGAATAGGAGAGCGCGAGGGCAACGTGAAGGATGTTTCCCTAGACATTCATGGTAAGTTGAAATCAAATTGCGAAGAAGATACAATGAGAGAGCAGAATGGGTTTCATCTCTCTGGTAGTAGTAGTGGCCTTGAGCTGACGAGAATTCCAGATCTGTCCAAGGAGGATAACAAGCACTTGATTGATTGGACGGAGCAAGGAAGCACCATTGAACGAGTTCACCGGTTTCTTGATGAGACGAGTGACTTTGCCAAGTATCTGCCAAAGAGTCTTGTTAGAGAACTCCCGACACGCCTTCTCCATCTGACTGCCGGAACGCCTGAGCCGACGGTGCGACTAATCGATGGAGCCAACGCTTCGCTCGACATCAACACTCCCTATATCGCCCTTTCTCACAGCTGGGGCAATACTATGCCCATTCAGCTGATCGCATCGAGGCTTGCCGAGTTTACCAGTGGGATTGCGTTTAGTGACCTACCCGCGACGTTTCGTGATGCCGCGGCTTTGACTCTTGAGCTTGGTGTCTCATATCTCTGGATCGACTCCCTTTGCATCATCCAGGATTCTGCTTCCGACTGGCTCCACGAAGCACAGCGTATGGCTTCCGTATACGCCTTCTCCCACCTCACTATTGCTGCATCAGCCTCCAAAAACCCTACCACTGGTCTGTCACCAAGCCCTCGCCCTCGAACCGTCATCGTCCGCCCGACATGGACCGGATTTATCCAGGAATGGGGGCTGCAGCCCGGACAGACGCTCCGAATTACCAACCCTTGGTACGAAGAATTTGACAACACCATTGTTTCTTCCCCCCTGAACCGTCGTGGGTGGACCTATCAAGAATATGCGCTATCCCCACGCGTGCTGCATTGCACGGATGGTGAATGGTGGTGGAACACTATCAGCGATGGAATCTACCGCGAGACGTCTACCAAACCAACAAGGTTCTTCACCGGCCCTGGCAGTATCACCTGGCCGGATAAACTCTCCTTTTTTAACATTGACAGGCGTCGCCAAACACATACGCCGGATATTTGGTTCTGGGATTATCTGACTTCTCAGTACAACCAACGAGCCCTGACGAAAAGAAAAGACAAGCTGGTAGCATTTGGAGCAGTGGCTCAGCTCTTCGGTCAGATCAACGGCCTGCCCGTGGACAAGCCTGGTGAATATGTCGCCGGCGCGTGGCGAAGTTATCTGCCTTTCGGCCTGCATTGGAGCACAGGGGAGAACGCAGAGCGTCATGTGAGCCAGCCGGGCTCCGAAGACGAGCAGTACGTGATTCCGTCATGGTCATGGGGCTCCATAGATGGACTGGTGCGTTTCCACGATGGCAACTCGCTGAAGGAGACGCGAGACGAGCAAACCAAAGGCATGCCGCGACTGGTGGACGTAAACGTAGTAACAGAAGGAGGGCAATTCGGCCCAGTCAAAAGCGGCTACATCATACTCCACGGCCCAATCTTTCGAATCCGCGTGGCCAAAAAGCCAAGGGACCACAAGGAGAACGCATTTTATCGCGGGTTCAAGGTCCTGCGGAGTGACGGTACGGAAGCGTGGCAGCATGATGGGCAAGCTTTCTCTCTCGACACGTGGAAAGGCAGGTTGGACGAATGGGTAGATGACCGGGAGATGTATTTCATGATAGGGTATTTTGAAAAGGACGATGGATACGGTTCAGGATTCGCCATTTTGTTGGATCTTGTCGGGAATGCAACAAACGAGAAAGGTGTGTTCCGACGGATTGGATCGACTCGGTTTTCTTTCGATGGTCTCACGAAGCTTATAAGTGATGTAAGGCAAGATGGCAACGAACCTCTGAGAGACGGGGAATACATTGACTTTGACCCCAAGACTGGATTTTATACTTATAAAATCGTCTGAGCATAGATAGCTTGAGGATTGAAATCGTTCATCGTGCCTAAGAGCTCAAGTGTAAGCAAACATGGAGTGCGGAGCGTGCGATAGAACTGGTACTAGATCTATCTATTTCTACAGAGGTATGCCAGAGCTGAATAGGAGTAACCTCCTGGTTCCCGACGCATCTCGATCTGATTAGATCAACCAAGCACAGCCACGATGGCGGCGCCAGTGCTCTGGAAACGATTCTCGAGACTAGGATAGTGACATCGTGCATGGGAGTCGTTGGTGGAGAAGGCTCTAGTATAGCGTGCCTGTCAGCCGCAGCATTAATTTGGCATGGAGAAAGCCTCCGGCAACGGCTGTTTGTTCCAATTCGCAGATAATGTCTGAAATGGAAATGGAAAAGAAACAGAGCACGGCCCGGCAACTGTCTAACAGGGGTCTAACAGCGACTCGGTATTAGCGTGGGATTTGCCCAGCTTTGTAAACAGTTACAACGATCCACGCTGGTTGCTCGAAGGATTCGAACGGACGCTATCTCGGCAATCGAGATGCTGAGGAGAGCAGATCGGCGCAGGGTCTCAGACTTGCAGCGCAAATCGTAAGCAGGAAATCGACGATAAGCAGCTAATCGGCTTGATTCATTGCTGCAGCGTTGGATAAACCAATTGAATCAGTTTGTTTCGACCGCTAATGCTGTTACTGTTAGTTGCATCAAAGCCAAGTAAGGGGCAGCAAAGTTGATGACCGATCCGTCCAAGACCAGCTTCCAAAGCTCCTTAATAAATAGGGGCCTGTACCTGATAAACGTCAATCGTGGCCATTGTAGAATGTTGGAAATCAATCCAACGAACAGCTTCTCATCTAGAAGTACGGATTTGCCGCGGAAAACCGCAACGCCACACCCGTTTGTCCATGCTTCATGTGATCCCCACGATAATATCAATGTACTCCTGCCGTTTGGTTTGGGCTTGTCTTGGCCTGTCAAAGGAAAAAACATGGCACCAAATTTAAACACTGCTTTGACATCTCTTACAATGTGCTCACAATTGCAGTCACGAGCATCGTCACGCCGTTAACATGCCTTGGGCTTATTCAGTAATCAAAGATTCGGATGAATAGTAATCGTTCTGATCGTCGCCCGCTCCCAACTCAAGTAACTTCAACGTCATCAGGGATGAAACGGCACCCAGCCTTCCGCCGCTAACATGCTTCGCCGGACTTCGAGACAAACATTACCGTACGGTAACAAGAGCACGTGCTCATTCGATTCGACGGTCCACGGATCGCAAACCTCGTGTGGGAGCTAGGCGGACTTCGGACGTCAACAGGAGCCGACAAACGGACAAAGTTGATGTGAACGACTAATGGTATCAATTTCCGGACAGTCCGGGAGAGCTGAGAATTTTGAGTTGTGGAAGCTTAGTGAGACCCATTGCTGCCCACAATATTATAATTTTATGCGTAAGGGGTTCTTCATGTCGAAACTCCAGGCAACTGCAGTCATTGATTCGACTTTGAGGTCTCTTCTGTCGCCTGAGATACCCAGTGATTGATGTTCCGTGGTCGTGGTTCCCCTCGATGGCCATGCGGTGCCCAGAACGCCTTGCGCGCTTTCCACGAGGGAACCCCCCCCCGGTTTCCAATTAATTGACTTCGCCAGACTGCACTCACCGAATAAGACGGCACGACTTTTGGTCTTGGCAAAAGCTTTTGTGGCGCTACAAAGTCAGAATCCACCTCTTTCTTAACTCGGCTGCCACAGACGCGCGGAACCATCAAGAAGACAAAACAAATCGGCCGTTAAGCTTCGACACAGTGCGTTGGCGAGCAAAGGCTCTTTGCTCTGTTAGTATAAATCCTGTAAGCCACTTGCAACATCGTTCGTGGAGGCTGTCGGCGATCCTTTTGCCTCTTCTTGAGTGAGATCCGGAATTGAAAAGCCGATTATAGCCCAGTCGTGGAGGGAAGCTTTTATGATGTGAGCACCGGTCTCTCTCGTTCTCGTTTCCTGGCACAAGTCACGCGACACCAGTTACAACAGCAAAGTAGACGATCCATATTGATACTGTGCCACCCACCCTTACCGAATGTGACGGACCAGTCAAGACCAAGGTGTGGAGCAGAGGCACGCGACAGCTGCTGAATGATGGGACAAGACCGGGTTCGAGCTGGAACCTCCGTGGGATGAGATAACAACCATTGGCCCATTGTGGCCTAGCAATGTCTGGCTGCAGACTTCAACTCGCCAGACCGGCATGAAGTTGCCGTTGTTTCTCGACATGATCCGCAGGAGAACCTTGAATGGTGGTTGATACGAGTTACCGACGTGACGGGTACTGTTGCCGAGTACCTAGGCAAAGGATGTTTGTGTGTAAGTCCGCTGCTGAAAAAAGACCGCCCCTTGCCCTCCATCACTCTATACTATGGGTCCCGGATATCAGGCAGGTGTTGGAAGCATGGAGAAGAGGGTCTCGGCGTCTTCCCAATGGGCGCCATTCTGAAAGATTAGGACGTTTTTTTTCCTATCCGGGTTTCGGATGGGCGCTAAGGCCGCGAGCCTTTTGCCATCAAGGAAGTATTGCTCTTATTGCTTCCGGTATCCTATAAGTCCTGGGCGTAAACGGGTACATCGGGAAGGAGAATTTTGTCTTTCCAGGGGTTAGATGCTGACAGCATGACCAGAGAATTGACAAGGTGAAGATGCTCTCGGGAACCTTTTGCCAAGTTAGGTGAAGGCAGCAAGCAAGATACGAGCAGCAAGGGTGGTGTGGCCAAAAACCCAATACCCATCACACCTAGATGATACCATTAGCCCAACATCCATGACGCTGCATCACCTCGGCGGCTTCGTTGGTAGCCTGAATAGGGCCCTCCCTTCAACACAGGCCCTCCCTCCGTGCTTATCCCAGTGTGGCTTCGGGGCCGAGGTTTGTTTGTCTCCGTATGGGATCCGTATGGGAATTGGTCCAGGTACTTGCGAAGAATGTGTGCCCATTGTACGCCACGCTCCGCTCGTGATTACGAGACACTCGAACCAAGGGCATGGAAGAGTGGACGATGCTGGTACCCAAAAGAGCCCGTTCCCCGTGGCGCTGTTTCGTGATGTCCTGCTGCTCGTGTACCTGTACTGTACGTGCCTGCATTGCTCCATAGGTAATCCGCTGGTCTCGCATTCCATCATAGCTCGAGTGCCTGGTTCATATTTATCGCCTCCGGTCATCTGCTTAGCAAGCCTGCTCGATCTCTTTGCTTCTTCCCTCCTTATCCCTCTTAAAATCCTTTCCCCTTGTGTCCATTGATTGTTGATTCTCGTCGTCGTCATCATCTGGCGTTTGTCTTTGATCTTCGAAGCCGCCGTTGAAGAGCCTGTAACTCTTTCAATGATCCTTTCCTGCCAGTTAAATGTATTTGCCACAAGTCGACAATAATTATAACATCTGTGCTCTTTTCACCATGGCTGTCGGCGCGTTCCTGGAGCCCTTCGTGGTCGTCTCGCTTCTGTTTGGCGGTGCCTGGTTCAACAGGAACAAAGATTATGACTTTTGGAAGGGGGCACAAGGCTGGGCTGGCGGCAGTACCAGCCACAAACGACGAGATGACTTTGGAAAAAGGCGAACGTCGACAGATAGCGGCAGCCCTACTTGGAGCTCTGGGTCGTCGTCACCCACTCTCTCATCTGAGGACGAGTCGTCTTGGTCTCCCACATCTCGGCGGCGAAACATTCGGGTTTTCGGATTCAAGAAGACCGTTACAACCCCGAACACTCTCATCTTCAAGGATCGATTCCTGAGCCGAGTACTCCAAAAGTTTCCTTTCCTCGTTGAAGCGTGGTATTGGGCTCTCATCTATTGGGTAAGTCGAGCCGCTGATGCCTGTTGCCGCATTGCACTTTTCCGCAATCTGCCATCCGTAAGACTAATCTCTCTTCGCCTTTTCAATAGGTATACCAACTGGGCCGAGCGTTTACTGCGGTCACCATTGTCGAGGGAACCGTCCATGTCGCGCGAAAGCATGCCCTTAGGCTAGTTCATCTAGAGCAACGCCTCGGGATCTTCTGGGAAGTGGCCTTTCAACAATGGTTTTTGGAGCGCCCTGTTCTGCTGCATTGGATAAATCGGGTATACTCCTTTATCCATATTCCTGGAACAATCTTCTTCCTGGTAGCCTTATTCTATCTCACTACCTCTCAGAAGCGTCGAGGAACGAGCGGTAGAGCCCGAAGCGATATCATATCCGCTGGACCTGCTTTGTATGAAGCTAGGCGTCGAACAATGGCCATGTGCAACCTCATTGCATTTGTCGTCTTCACTTTGTGGCCTTGCATGCCCCCTCGGCTGTTGAGTGATCCTAACTATAACGGACCCGACGCTGCGGAGGCGAAGAGCTTCGGATTTGTTGACAGTGTTCACAGCAACGCGGGGGAGAGCAGCGTTTGGACAACGAACCGATTCTGCAATCAATATGGTAAGCGTCTGGCCATGTCCCCATTTGTCTCATGTCAGTGACCGTGGACTAACCCCGTTACTCTGATAGCTGCCATGCCCTCTTTGCACTTTGGCTACTCTCTCCTCGTTGGCTTGACAGTTGCCACTCTCCCCGTCAATGGAGTTCGACCCAACTCCTGGAAGCGCGTGGCCATCGGTGTTCTGGGCATGTCTTACCCGGCGCTCATCTTCACGGCCATTGTTGCAACCGCCAACCACTTCATCTTGGACGCTGTTGCCGGCGCGATGGTTTGCGGCATTGCTTGGAACGCGAATGGCCTGCTGTTGAACCTGTGTGTTCTCGAGGACTATTTCCTGTGGGTTGTGCGGATTCACAAGCCCGTCAACTACACCGATCCCGAGACTGCAGTCGAGCCGGAGTATCACTCGATGCTGCTATCAGAAGATGTTTAAGCAGCGTAATGATGTTTCTTGGAAGGGATTTTTGGATTCAACGTTGGCTATCGGTGAAGTTGGCCAAGATACACGTGATTTTCTCGGCTATGTAACGCATCATGATTGATTTTTTTTTGTTGATAAAGCGGGTAAACGAATCTCGGCGTACGGTGTACCTATGAGGAAGGATGGAATGGCATGTTATGAAAAGGGTCCATATCAAGGCATCAACGGTAGCCGGTTTGGCGGTGGTTGAGGTTGAGGTTGGGGTTATGGAGGCATGAGATACATATGTTTGTATCCGTTTCAGGGGGTTGAAGAATTAATAATGTTCAATATTAATTGCCAACGAAGTACTAAGCACGGCGTTTCAAGGACTCCGCCACAAGACAAATGGCCGCATATGGGCAGCAGTTGATGCTCATGCTGCCCTGGTGAGCGGCTCCGTTTCTTCGGGTAGACGTCCCGTTGTCCTCAGATATGAAGAAAATGCGGATTGGACGGGAATGCGCGGGAATGCGCGGGCTGTCTGCTGCTGTATAGAGTACGCTGATCATGTCCGGATTCTCTCTATTTCTTGCATGGCCTTGTTGCCTTGGCTGATGTTGCGCCACATGGACCTTGTATGTAATAAGAATATGAATGAATAGTATTAGAAAAGAAGAAGAAACAGAGAAACAAGGACAAAGGGGATGCTGATGATGTGGTTCCGCGTATGACAAGTACGTAGGCATCTGTCTCCATTAGTACTTATAGTACCTAGGGTCAAGAGTTGTCCGGGTTTGAGGTTAGTCTGGGAGCACAATGCCGCCTCACCTGGCCACTCTGCTGTGTAAACGCCACAGCGAGTACCGCTACCCAAACCCTCCACCAACAGCCGCTGCGGCCTCCGGTAGCTGTACGGTAACCGTACCCAGGCATCAGCCCCTCTGCGGGTGACCTGCGGTGGCGGGGCACATGCGCTGCGCGTCTCTCGGGATCGTCATTCAGCTGCTCACATGCAACTCAATTCCGCAAACGACTTTTTCAGTTCTTGGAGATGCATCTTTTAACTTGACGGTGCTGCACCTGTCCGTTTGCTAGACACTTCTCCAGAGCATCCCATCGTATATTCTGCCTGTTTTTTCTTTTCTTTTCTTTTCTTTTCTCTTCTCCTCCTTTCATCCTCCCTACGGCCTTGTACCGACGGCGAGCGAATAGCCCGCTCGAGGTTCCGCTGTCGCAAAGCTAGCGGTTACGTCAACGACGATCACGATATCTCGACCAAGAGACCACTCGCTACATCATGACGTCTGGCCAGGCTTCTCAGGGTGGCTCTGCCCGAACAACCTCACCGACCGGGTCTCTCTACGCCATGAGCGACGATGAAGAGGGTGGCTACGAGACCATCACTCACACGGAATCCGGGAGAGGAGTGAAGCTGCTGTTTTCCAAGAGCAAGGTGTGTTGATGCGCTCTGTCACGATGCTTGCCCACAACAACTGACATTCGGCCAGGTCTACGTCCATCCCACACCATCTGCAAAAGACAACATCTGTGGCTATATAGCTCTGCTACAGCAGAAGGGACCAAGGCGTGATCGTCCCTCTACGTCATCTTCGACAAACAGTATCGCCTCGTCGGATCTTCTTCTTGCTTGGGTTCCCGAAGCATCGCTCGGTGACTCGGCGAGCGTCTATGTCAAAGTCGACCTCTCCGATGCCGACTCCCCCCCAAAGCAGTCATACCTTGTCCCTCCGCCTCCCACCGTGACCTCCCACGGCAGCTCCGTTGGCGGCTACGCATTTGCCATCCCCGTCAGCGCCATATATTCTCTCATGGTCCGGCCACCGAGCCTGGGCTGGTGGTATGGCTCCATCATTATCAACTCTCGAGGAGGCGACAGCTTTCCTGCTCTGTTCTTCCATGATGACGAGTGCCAAAGCACCATTCTTCAGAAGAAGAAGCTGGCCCGGGACAACTTCGATCCGTTTGGCGAGAGCGGCCAGATGTTTTGGGGTGCGGATGAAGTCCTGCGATGGCTGAGGAGATATATCAAGATTGAGAGGTCCGGAGCAGAGCCTAACATTTATCTCATTGAGCCGAGTAAAGAAGACCTGGAAAGCTTTGGCGCCAAAATGACAACGACAAAAGCACAAGGAAAGGCCAAGGCTGGGAGCTCGAGCAATAAAGATGCCCAGATGGATCCCTTTATCAAATTTGTCAAGGAGACCGGCTGGAGCCTCATGGAGCAGTTTAGCAAGGTGACCACATTGACCAGGAGAGCGGCGCAAGATTTGTCAGAGAATCCTAACCTGCCTCCTCAAATGCGACGGCTACTCAGAAATCCTGAAGTGCAAACACTCCAAGACGAGTTTGACAGCGCAAGGATCTACCTTGCCAGGTGGGCGATGGGCATGGCGGAGCAGAGTGAGCGTGATCATCGACAGAGAATCTGGACTGTTCGAGATGTTATGGAGCTTGAAGATACCGATGTTGGAGAATTTGAGCTTCTTGATGGATCAAACTCTATGTCGTTTGAAGACAGGAAACAGCCTCTATCGATAGAGGAGTGGGATGCGTTCTTCGACCCCGAGACTGGACGACTCTCCATCTCTGTTGATGAAGTCAAGGAGCGCATCTTTCACGGTGGCCTAGACGCTGATGACGGAGTTAGGAAGGAAGCCTGGCTCTTTTTGTTGGGCGTGTACGAGTGGTACAGCACACTTGATGAAAGAAAGGCGACCATCGCCTCCCTTAGAGACCAGTACTACAAGCTCAAGCAGTCTTGGTGGATTCGACTAGAGGGCGAGGGAGGAGAAGGAGAGGACGGCGAATGGTGGCGTGAACAACGCGGGCGCATCGGTAAGCAACACCTTTGAACAACAGTATCTTCACCATCATGCTAACTATTGCATTACAGAGAAGGATGTCCATCGAACTGATCGAAACGTCGCCATCTTCCATGGAGAAGATACTCCTCATCCGGATCCAAACTCACCCTTTGCTGAAGTTGGCACCAATGTTCACCTAGAGCAGATGAAGGAGATGCTTCTGACATACAACGAGTACAACAAGGAGCTCGGGTATGTCCAAGGCATGTCGGATCTCTTGGCACCAATCTATGCCGTGGTTCAAGATGATGCCGTGGCCTTTTGGGCGTTTCAGATGTTCATGGACCGCATGGAACGTAATTTCTTGCGAGACCAGTCAGGCATGAGAGGCCAGCTGCTGGCCCTGGACCAACTTGTTCACTTCATGGACCCTAAGCTCTGGGATCACCTGCAAAAGACCGACAGCACCAACTTCTTCTTCTTCTTCCGCATGATACTGGTGTGGTACAAGCGAGAGTTTGAGTGGCTGGATGTGCTTAAGCTTTGGGAGTGCCTGTGGACGGATTATTACACCTCAAGCTTCCACCTCTTCATTGCCTTGGCTATCCTCGAAAAGCACAGGGATGTTATCATGACCCATCTACAGGCGTTTGATGAAGTTCTTAAATATGGTGAGCTGCTAAAATCTCGACCGTCGTTGAATGGCAAATTTACTGACATCTGACAAAGTGAACGAGCTGTCCGGTACTATTGACCTTGAGTCGACCCTGATTCGCGCAGAGGTTCTTTTCCGCCGGTTCCAGCGACTGGTTGAGGCAGTCGACAAGAAACACAACTTTCCGCCTCCTAGAACAGAAAGCCCAGGTCAATCAAGCGCCAACACAGCTAAACAGCCTCCCTCAAAGGGCAAGGCTAATATAGCGCCGTCAAAGCAGGATAAGGTGATCACTCCCGAGCTGCGGAAGCTGCTTAGCCGAAAAATCGATTTCTTGGAGAAAAAGCCCAAGGCGGCTGTGCAGGCTGATGGATCGGCCGATTCGAAATGAGAGGACGACGTTATTTCTACGAAGATGGCCATGTTTGTTTGCCCATTCGTTTCCTTTTTAATCTTTTATCATTGGATATGCATTTTTCCATCTGCCGTCTGTTTTTCATCCTTGAGGCCATGAAGAATCCTCAGAGTAGGGCGTTATTGTTTTGTTTTGCCGGTATTCGGCGTATACGCAGCGATGAATTGAAATGTTTTATTGACATGAAGCCGGAGACCCTCCATTTCCCTTGACACAGTGATTTGCAACTCACTCTCTTTAGGCACTCTCTGTCTACTCTCTATACTTACTCAAGTCTCGCTCAGTAACAGTTTCGAGGACCGCACCCAGATTACGTTCAACCTCTTCATCACTCTGCAGGCCTTTGTCGAAAAGGGCCTTCATACGAGCAGCAGAGGGCCATTTGGTGGATTCTCCAAAAAGGGCCATTCCAGCAGCAAAGTCGACTTGGCTCGGCATCCCCCAGCGAGAATCCACGACGCGCTTCGTCTCAATCAGGAGCTGGGCGTCAAAGCTTGCAATTCGACGAGCAAACTTGTCAACAAAGTCGTCAAACTCGGCGTCCAGAACGGCGCGGTCGATCCATCCATACAACTCAGCCGTCGTAGCGTCATAGTCGTCCGAGCTGAGGAGAATCTCCAACGCTCTTGCGCGGCCAACCCTCCGAGGAAGCAACTCGAAGGCTCCGCCGCCAGGGATGATGCCAGCCCCGACCTCTGGCTGGCAAAAGACTGCGCGCTCGCGGCTGGCAAAGCGCAAGTCGCAGGCGGAGGAGAAGTCGGGGCTGGAGGAGTCGAAGACGATGACGCGGACGGACTTGTCGGATTCGAGGTCTTTGATGAGCTTCTTGAGGGCGATGTGGCCTTCGGGACCGAAGAGGTTGAGGGTGCCGTTGTTGAAGGTTGCACACCAGTAGGCGGGCGTGATTTTGTTGACGATGATGGCTTCGGTGGAGGACATGGCTGGGATTGCCTTTTGGATGTCTTTTCTAGTTTGCTAGTTTTAGTTATACACTGATGAGTCTATGAGGATGGGTAACAGCCAATGTTATCTCGTTCCTTTTATAAGAGCTTCAAAGAGGCTTGTTTCCGTCATATCGACACTGATTATTCTAACAAGAGCATCTCTTTTCCCACCGTCTCCGCTCAACGTTGAACTCGTTTGCTCAAGACGACTATACATCTAAACCTGAATCAAACTCCCTCAAAAATATCAAAATGTGGGAGTTGTTCTTCTCTACCAATACGTCAACGCCGAGGCTGGAATCTGGCTCAATTAGGAAAGTGCATGGATTGGGCACGATAAAAACCACGAACAAAGTTACCCACTATCAATACCCGTCGACAAAGGGTTCACGCTTGATAAATCACATCGATTCACAGAGTAAAAGCTCTTCTGAATTACAAATTCGGGTCAGAAATCTGTCCGCGGCGTTACGTACAACACCCGATACACCACATGTAGCGAGAAGAAAAGACTCGGGAATATTCTCAAGGAAATAGGCATTAATAGGCATTATACATTGCGAGCTTTGGCTGAAATCGACAAAAAGCACGCAACTCATGACTAGCTACACGAAAGAAAAGAATATACACCACACACTCCCAGACCGAGACGTTATACATAATTAAGGAAAAGAGACAGGGCACATCTTTCCCCCTTCATCTATATCCCCGTGGACCGCTGGGCAGTCCTTTTCTTCGTACTCCATTTGCAGCTCCTCCTCCTCCTCCTCCTCCTCCTGCATAGGGGCCACCGTCACTCGACCAAGGAGCGTTTGCTCCAACAAACGGCTGACCACCACCACCACCTCCTCCTCCTCCCCTGGAGTTATCGTAAGATCCCCCTGGCGCAAACCTGTCCTCATAACTGCCCTGAGATTGGTGGCCCGATGAGCCTCCTCCCGGCGGTGGTTGAAACGGCCCATTACCGTTGCTAGAGGACGGGCTCGTGGTTCGGGTTCCCCAAAGTCGCTGTTTCAAACGATCCTGCGCCGATCCAGCGGGAGCCGGGCCAGGCCCGGAATAGCTCCCTGCACGAGGTGCCTGCCCCCCCCTCCCGAGCAGCTCATCTCTCGTAGACGTCCCGGGCTGTGTCGTCGCCGGCCGTCCAGCCCGTAAGCTCTGCGGAATCTGCGGCTGCGGAGGCTGCGCAGGGCCGCTGTCCCATAGACTGCTGAGCCCCCCAGCGCCGGGCTGCTGAGGCCCTCCAAGCCCACCGTAGCGCGAGCCGACCTGCGACTGGGCGTATACGGCCTGGGTCATCTGCGGCGGGGGTGCCTTTGGGTCAGGGGGCAGCCAGTTGGGAAACGGGCGGCCCTTTTCGGTGTAGTAGTTGCGCAGGACGCGGCAGACGTGGGTGTCGTCTTCGGTGTCGCCGTCGGCCTCGCTGGAAAGGAGGGTGGACCGGAGGTTGGAGATTTGGGACGAGGTTTTGGTGACGAGGTTGGAGTACCAGGAACTCATGGCGACGGTGGCATGTAGCTCGCGTGATGCTGTGGGAACAAAGAGGCGAGGTATCGTGTCGTATCGGCAGCGGCTCAACTCAAAGCGTAGCGGCGTGAGAGAGAGAGAGAGAGGTGTTTAAAAACAAGTTCGCAGAGAGGATATCGCCCAACTGTGTTCCTTTTATCGAAAAACCGTCGTGCGGTGATTGATGTTGGCTAGGAGAAGAGGCTCAAGCTCTGGCCATCTGGCGGTGATGCTTTCACCTGCAGATGGAGCTCCTTGTTGCGCAGTCGCTCCGTTGCGGCGGTGAGAAGAGGGCGAGAGAGCGCTTCTGCTTCGTGTTTTCGCTATGTCCGGCGTCTGCGAGGAGAAACAGAAATGAAATGACGGCGGCCAAGAGCAAGAGCAGTGTGCCGTTCGCCCGGAGCAAAAGATGCCAAACTGTTGCTGCAGAGAAGCCAAAGAACGGCAAAAGTTGAGAGGAGGGAAAGGAGGTTGGCGGCTAGACGTGGGGTTGAAGATGGGCAATGGAATCAATGCCTTGTAACTCGCTTCAGGTCTGTTTCCAGTGGGCGGTGCACCAGCTGCGAAGCTTTTTAGTGCCTTCGGTAGCCGTTGTAGGTGGTGGGGGCCCTTCCATTGGCTCGTGGTGGGCGTCACAACGCATTCGGCGTTTTCTGAAACTCTTCCGTGAAACAGTTGAGCATTGCATTGACGTGGATATACTATTATTTACCTCGTACCGATGCATCCTACAAGTATACACTTTGTATATAAATCTAACAAACAAATCCTCATCCATATAGAAACGACCAAAGACCCCCCTTTTATTAACTGTATCCCGACGCCGTATGCCATGAAGCCCATCGCTGGGACTAATAAGCTGATACAAACTCGAAAACCCAACCCACCCATTTTACACAACTCGTGCAATGACGTGCTCCTGTCGCTCTCCGTTTGCCATGTTGCTGAATTATAAGTAAAACTCCTCCACTGCATGCCGGAATCCGCTTTACCAAGCCAAGTCGTTGGTCAATGCCACCTTCTCCTTCTCCTGCTGCTTGGGTCGCTTGCTCTTCACCTTGGTGACCTTGCCACGCTTGCGCTTGCTGCCGGCCTTTTCCGCCTCGGACTCGTCGCTGTCCTCCTCCTCCTCCTCCTCCTCCTCGCTCTCGAGCCAGTCCTCAAGGTCTTCGAGCTCGTCTTCGCTCTCGTCGAGGTCGGAGACGTATTCAATGGCGGCCTCGGCGTCCTCATCTTCGCTGGCAGCCTCTCCATCAAGCTCCTCCTCATCATCAGACGCGATGCCCTTGTCCATATCCTTGTCTCGTTCACCCTCGCCACCCTTCTCCATGGCATTCAGCACCTTCTTCCAGATGTCTTCGCTGACGTTGAGGGGTTGGTCGCCGTAAGCGCCCTGCCTCAGACGCTCAAGCAACTCTCTCTCGATGGTCCTCTCCAGCTTGGCGGCTGCCTCAGCCTTGCGCTCTCTCGTGGCCTCGCGGTGTCTGACTTTGGGGGCCAGCTTGGGAACCAGCTTCTCGCCCAGACGTTCGTCTTCGGCGGCAATCCTGCGCATGCGGATCTGCACCTGCGTCAGGCGGGTCAGACGCTGCTTGCACTTGTGGATCAAGAACTTGGGCCAGTAGATGAGCCTCTCGTCGATCTGCTCCAGGGCCTTGGTGTAGTTATTTGACAACTTGATGCGCTCCCACATCTTGGACGGCAGATGCGCTCGCTCGACAGTCTTCATGTAGAGGTATAGCGTATCCTTGGTTGGGTGTTGCCGAATGGTGGCATACCGCGAGTTGGCGAGAGGACATGACTGGCGATTGCACAGTCCAGTGACGTTGTACTCATTGCGACAGAAGTTTTGCTGCTTCTCCGTTCTGGGTAATCGGGTTAGTATCCATCTATACAATGCCCAATTGCACCCAAAGCGACAGAAATCCCAAGGATGTGACGGTGATTGTTTGCTGGCCAAAACTTACTTTAACTTGAAGGCGCAAAACTGCTGGTTGATGATTTGCCACACAATCTCGTCAGACGCCATCTTGTCTGAGTTTCTCGCAAGAGAACCCCTTTGCCCAAGTTGATGAGAAGGAACAAGAGGAAGAAAGAAAAAGAGAAATCCAGCTTTTGATATGAAAAGACTTCCAATATGCCAATGCAGAAAAAAAAAGTTCCTGGCGGGGCGGATCTTTCTCCAGATTCCCATAATTTTTTTCAAGCCGTCGCAGCAAAAGCTCCTGACCGCCTTCCTAGTTGACATCCCTGCATCGCGGCTCCGGAACAACACTCGCCCCGGCGATCCGTGGCTGGTGCTACCGCTGACCTGCGTCACTCGCTGCATCAGCCGCCTTTCTCCATCATTATCGCCTCAACACCAACCAACGACTTCGACGACAGCCCGCGCCTCAGCTCTCCTTGATTGTTCCTCCTCTCACCATCTTCAGCGCTTCTTCGCAGACTCTTCGCATCTTCATTAGCTCTTCAACTCCCCCCTCTGCGGGGCTGCCGTCCACCTGTTCCGAGCCCAATCTCACCTCATTACGACGACTTCCCGCCCACAGCACACGATCCTCAAAGCATACTCCTTTCATCATGCCTACCGCCGGCCTTAAAACTATCATCGCCCTCTCCTTTGTCCTCGCCGTAGGATTCCTCCTCGTCATCCTCTCCTGCGCCCTGTACAAGGTGTACTACCCGCTCCTCGTCGTCGCCACCTACGTCCTCGCGCCGCTGCCGAACTGGATCTGCGGCCGATGCGCGAATCCGGATGACTTTGTCGAGAGCGGCGGTGCGGCGGTTCTCGACCTGGGAAGATTCTTCACCGGCTTCTTTGTTGTCATGGGCATTGGTATGTGCTAATATTCCCATGCCCCCCGTCTCTTTTGAAACCTCGTCAAGCGACAAAGGGGGAAATGCAAAGAAATGGATACATGACTAACCGCTATATGTGCTTCACAGCCCTCCCTGTTGTCCTCGCACACTCCGATCTGATCCGAGTCGAAGCCATGATCATGTCCATTACCGGCGGCCTTCTGATCTACGGGACCATCATCAGCTTCGGCATGTTCTTCCAGGAGGAGCAGGAGTTTTGAAGAAAGAAACGGGAATTTTATGACCTCATGTATGAAAAGCCAGGAGAGGGGTCCGCAAGAGGAAGGACTTCTTTTTTTTTATGCCTGTGCGAGAAAACGAAGAATGATCCAGCCTACTTTGCTTGAGACGGTGCTTATCGACCTGGATGAGATCCGGGTCCTGTTGTACCATTAATTTTCTTTTGGGGGAAATTTGATACGAAGCATAAGCGGTCTTGAGGGTTAACTGTCTGCGAATTCTGTTTTATCACGTCGTGTCTTGGATGGTTAGATGCGCGCGCTTGAAATTGAAACAAGAAAAAAATACCAATGTTTCTGTTATTTATAATAAGCTGTGTTTTTTCCGTATATCCATGTAAGTGAGTTAAGCGTCGCTCGAGCGCCATCAGATCTACTAATCTATTGTAATGTTGAACCATGTCCCCAAGAGAATCCAAATCCAAATGTAAAAACACCCGCTATGCATACGTTGAAGTATCATTGGCCTCCTGTTCCAGAAGCCAAAACCATCTCCCCCAAAAGCCGTCAGTACACCGTAAAGTCAAAAATAAAACAAAGAGAAAACAAAAAGACACCGTTATGCCACGTCTTTGAAAACGCCCAACGGCCCACACAGCTTGGTAAACATCTCCTCCGTCTCTCCTTCAGGCGTGCTGAGGATCGTCACAGCGCCACCAGCCCCGATGCGCCATACCTCGCTGGGCTGCGTCTCGCCCGGGCCCTCGGGCGGTGCCTTTTCGTCGTCCCAGCGGAACATTGTCCTGATGGTGACGCTCCAGTCGCCGTGACCGCGGGCGTCGAGGAACCCGACGACGCCAGAGTAGATGCTGCGCTCGGAGGGCTCGATGGTGCGCAAGATCTCGCAGCTGCGCTTCTTGGGCGCGCCGGTCATGCTGCCGGGGGGAAGGGCGGCGGCGAGGACGTCCAGGCCGTTGGGCCCGTGAGGGGGGAGCTGTCCGTTGACGACGGTGATCATCTGGAAGACGCTCGAGTACTCCTCCACCTTGAGGAGGTCCGGGACTGTGACGCTGCGGGCTCCGCAGACGCCGTACAGGTCATGCCGGACCAGGTCCACAATCATGAGGTTCTCGGCCTCTTCCTTGGGGATGTGGAGTAGCTTTTCGGCCTGTGCTAGTGTCGAGACGGCCTCGGATTTGCGGACCGTGCCTTTCATGGGACGCATGGAGCAGAGACCCTTTGCGTCGTGGGCCAGGAACCGCTCCGGCGAGCTGCTGAGGATGGTTGCCCCGGCGAGGCGGATAAAGGAGCCAAAGGGAGCTGGCTGACGGGCTCGAAGAGTTCGGTAGATTTGCCAGGGAGTGCCGTGTCTGGACGCTTCATCGCTCGGCCACGAGGAGGTTGCTCCGTTGGTCGTTCCATTGGTCAATAATGGCTGTATATGATGCGGCACATCGTTTCCAGGAGGTCGAGTCATGGTCGTTTGCGCCGTAAGGCATAGTTCGTAAGACTGACCTTCGGCAATGGCCTCTTGACACTGGCGGACGTCGTCGTCATACTTGGCAGGCTTCGGCGTCTTGAAACGTAGTCTACCGGCCGGCTCTTGGATGCTCTTCAGCAACAGTTCATTAGGCTGTTTCTTCGCCGCGACGAGTTTGTACTCTTCAGTTCCGTAGCCCGGCTGTTGCCATGCCCGAGAATTCTGCAGCTTTGCCACGATCTCGTCAATCCACGGTTGAACATTCGAGTCTGGCGCCGTCAGAGCTTGGACATACGCCACTCCGGCTTGATGATCGAGAATCAGACTCTTGGAGATCCAGGCATAACAAAGATCTGGCCTGCGGTGCCCCCTATTTTTGGATACAGACTCCGGGCTCAAGGTGCTTAGTCCCATTTCATAAGTGACAAAACCCATGAAGCCACCCTTGAATGCTGGCTCCTGACCTCCTTCTTCAGCCACCTTTCTCTGCTCCCAATATTCGGCGATGACGTTCCAAACATCGTACGCGCCATGCTCAGCGCTGCTGTCGATTTCTATCTGCTGAGACACCTCTTCTTGGTCTCCAGATCCAGGCTGGCGTAAAGTCACCCAGTCGTCTCCAACATGATATTCGAAGCGCAGAGCCCGATCGACCTCAAGGGCAATAATTGAGCTGCGTGCCAGGGGATCGCCATTGATGGTGCTTGACGAGTCCAGCATGATAGAATCGACACCTCCCACGCCCAGAAGCTCCGCAACGTCGGCGGCATCCACGCCGTCGGGGAGCTTGATCCGACTGCAAGAATAGATGGGTGCTGCACTCGAGGCTGCCAGGCCAGACTGCATATCCCTCCACCATTTCCTGCTTGCGAGCTGGCTCTCAACCGCGACACTCCGCTCAACAATCATAGATGGCGCCAGGCTGTCGGCAATGTTTTCCAAGCCCATCGGCCTAATCTGTCGTCCCGTCGATTCGTTCCACTTCAGGGCCTGGCCGAACCAGTTCTTCAGCACCCCATGCGCCCCAGGATCCGTACACACGGACTCGGGATGGTACTGAACCCCCCAGAAGGGCAATCTGGAATGCCTCACTCCCATCAAGATCCTCTCGGGCTCGCCTCCATCCTCGCTCCCCTCCATCGTCCACGCCAACGGAACAAGCTCAGGCGCCACCTTTGGTGGCAACCACATGTCAGTCTCCCACGATTCCCGCGAGACCTGGTCTTGTCCCACATCGGCGCACAGGCTGTGGTATAGAGTTGCCTTGAACTCCGGCACGCCCGCAAAGATGTCTCCCGACCGATGCTCGATCGACCTCACCATGCCGTGCAATCCCCTCCTCAGCCTCCGAATCCCGCCACCAAAGTGCGCAACCAGGCTCTGAAAGCCCAGACAGATGCCCAGCACCGGAACGGCGTCACGCAGCTCCCACAGCAGACGAAAGGCCCCGACGTCGGCCTCGCACAACGGCGACCCGGGCCCGGGCCCGCAAACCACGGCATCGAAGCTCGGCAGCCGGTCCAGGAACTGCTCCGGCGTCCAGTCGGGACTCGGGTCCGCATGCAGCGTCTTCAGGTCCATGTGCAGCACGTGCACCAACACATCGTCGCCGAGCGCCTCCTTGAGCAGCGACACGATGTTGTTGGTGAAGGAGTCGTAAGCGTCGAGAAACAGAATTCGGCGACATTGGCGGTCCTGAGGCGCCGGGTTTGCCGCCGGCACTGGCGACGACTGCAGCTCAAGAAGAGGCATGTTTGCAACAGGGGGGAGATTTGCCGGTCTCGAGCTTTGGCCCGTCAAATCGTCTCACGTACAATTCATGAGCCTTTATGACAGGATCAATGCAAAACAAGACAGAATAAAAACAGAGAAATGTCGAGGCGATAAAGAAAAATCGAAAGCGCCGCCTCCGAGAAAGGAATCGGAAATGCCGCGAAAAGCCGGGTCTTTTTTTTTTTTCCCAAGTCCCAATCTTATCCTTTTTTTTTTCGGATACTAACCGAACTAATAACTAGCAGCTGAAATTGCGCCGAATGACAGTTGAGATGGCATGTGCAATTGGCCATTTTGCAGCGAGTGCCGGGATATGACTAACATGTGCAGCCCCGGCGGTTTTGTAGCGATGACCGGAGTTGGGCGAGGGAGACCCTGGAAGTTGAAGAAGAGAAGAATGAAGGGACATTCCGTCTGCAGGTTTTTAGGTGGCTTGCAGTACTTTAGCCTGTGTGCCTAACAATGCCGTGGCTGTTGTATTCTCGGTGCCTGTGGCGCTTTTGAGAGGACAAAGGACGATTGACGTTTCGTCTTGGCGTCAAATTACAGACGAAAAAGAGCTCGGCTTAAGAGTTTACAACTCTCGAGCTTCAATTCCTCTGCAGAGGCCAAGTGATGATGGAATGATGGACGATGGACAACCCTTGGTATCGGTCATCATGATTGGCATAATGCAAGAAACAAATAGCTAAACCATTATGCATTGGTATACACAAAAGCTGCAACACCTGCGTCACCTTCGGCATCGTTCCAAGCCACCATCGTCGAATATCAAGTCTCATGTCATTTCTAGTATTGCTAGTACTACCTATACTATGCGAGGATACCAAAATCGTCTACATGCGTATATGCAGCGGCTCTATTCATCGCCATCGTCATCGCTATCAATCGCTGTCTTTCACCGTCAGTATACATGGTCGTCGTGAATGCCACATCCTCCGCTCCTTCATGCCAATCGCCGCATCCCCTCTCGGTTGCGTGTTGTCCGACTGCGGCCGTTCCTGGGGCTGCTCGCCGCCATCTTCCCACACCTGAACTTCCTCGACCGACGCCGTGAGCTCAAACTCTCCTCTGCAGAGCGCCGACACTCCAATGACAAAGTCTGTGCTGGCGCCGCCCTGGAGCTCCGGTAAAAGTTGCTGCAGCGTGCCGTTCCACACAAACTTGCGCGTATAGTCAAGCGCGATATTGACTGAGCGATGGCATAGAGCTGGTAGGAGTCTGACCAGCGAGCTCACCGGGCGGCTTGTCCTGTTCGTGACCCGCACCCGCACTTGTACAAACTCATCCACAAATGCTGTCTTGATGCTGCTCTCGCTTTCGCCGGGGCGCTCCACCGAAATATCTATGCCAACCTCGCCCACCTTGACAATGTCAATCATGCGGGTAGTGAGGCGGATGTTGCGGAGCTCAACGCTGCCGTTTCGTTTCGGCACGGCCGTTGTCCTCCAAGTCGCCTTCAAGCACTCGAGGATCCTCTCTCTATACCAAAACGCCTCTCGATTGGCTCGCTCCATCTCGGGCGAGATCTTACTGGTACTCACGACAAACTGCTTGTTTTTGGATGGGTTAAGACTTGGAATCGAGGCGTGCGGGTCTTCTAGGTAGACCCGCTTCACAGGTATGATGATTCGGCTTGTCTTGCCCGGTAGAATGCCCTCTTCGACAGCCATGCCGTCTTCGTTTTGAAGGTGGACCGCCATTTGGCTAGGCCAGGCATTTCGCAGGTCCACGGATAACAGGCAGTATTCGTCGGGTTTTATTGGTTTGGTGCCCCCCAGACGCTCCCACAAGGGCTGCGGGATCAAGCCATGCATAGGAAGCACATCTATCCTTGCCAGCTCGACGCTTGCGTTGACCGTAACCGTCAAGGGCACAGACATCTGCCGCGTGTAAAAGTCCTCTTTGATTTGATCACGGGGAACTCCGAGGTATGTGTAGTCGATTTGAATCGTTGCATGTGTCAGTCCGGGCTTGCCAAGGATCTCAAACTCAAACGTCGCTTCACCTCCGGGGGCGATGTTGCGGCTCTGCTGGTTGTGTGGTAGTCGAAGAGCTTGTTTCTTTATCAATATCAGCTCATACTCATATAATTCCGCCGGTGTAGCATCTCTGTTTGCAAGAGCTGTCTGCAGAGGCTCCTGGGTAGAGTCCTTGAAAGAGAAGAGCATAAAGTCAACAGGGGTAGTTGACTGGTTTTGTAACGTAACGGAAAAGATTTGCCTCTCGCCCTCCAAGATCATAACTGAAGACTGCGGAAGTGTCGTCGACTTGACAATCACGAGTGGCTGGGGCTGGGTAACGTTCAGGTCGAGGCTAAACGGCTCCAGAGGCTGATCGTGATACTTGCCCGACATCGTAGGGGCAGACACTGATGCAATACCCTTGACCTTGATTTTATCTTCCTGGTAAGGCTTCCAATGCTTGGGAAAGACGGCAAACCTCCTTTCCCTGCAACCTTTCACCTTGATGATTGCCCCTGTCACTGTGATGGACCCGGACTCTTTGGCTATGCCTTGTAGTCGGACGGCTTGCGTTCGGTAGGGACCAATGATGGCGCTCTCCTTCATGGCTTCGAAGTCGACACCGTCGGTTTCTAAACGTATACTTTCGATATCCAACTCAACGTCATAGGTGTTTTGGATTGTTACTCTGAATTTGGCCGGTTCGCCAGCAACCAGGTTTGCAGCTGTCTCATCCGGTTCTTTCAAGAATGGGTTATAGATGAATGGGTTGACATCCTGCGACGTACGGATTGTCGCTGCTCCTGGCAAAACGCTACGAGCGTGGGGGATTGGGACCAGGGTACTTGGGAGCGGCTCCAGTTTGATCTCCCGAACAAGAAACTCGTCCCAGAATTCAGCCGTCAAGTGGGACATGCCCAACCTCTTGACCAGATTCGAGGTGCGGGAGATGTTGCTGACCAGGCGGATCTGCTCATCTCTGTGAATCTTTGGAAATGCATCTTCGCGGCGAGGCCCCGGGGCGACGCCAGATCCAGCTGTGCGCATCAAATCACTAGAAAACTTGAGAACCCCGTTGAAGTCTGGCAAGGCTTCTGAAAAGTTGATGCACGCTCGTAAAATATTGAGCTTGATATCGGGAAAGCCGAAAAATCTCGTCTTCATCTGACCACGGATGCGAGCAATCACGGCATCGTCCGAGTCGTCGAATCCTTCTCGGAGAGACTGCCGCCGGGGCTTCGCCCGATCGAACCCAACAACCCCGTATGACTTGCAGAGGAGTTCGAGGAAAGCCTCTATGCCCTGCTCAATGTCTCCCTCGGCCAAGTCCAGTGCCATCGCTCCGGTCGCACCCTGCGAGTTGCCACCTGGCGTCAGCGCCACGAGACCTGCAGCGGGATGAACCCCAGCGTCCGCGGCTCCGCGTGTTCTTGCTTCGACGAGTCCTCCGATGAGGACCGAAACCAGTTCACGAGTGACCATGGCCTTCTTCCGATGATAGCCTAGGGGGCCCAGCACGGCTGCAATGCCGCTCAGAATGGATATCCGATCAACGGTAGTCAGCAATTCCGTGGCCGTGGAAGGGAATGCCTTGAATAAAAGAGTTAAAATATGTTGCCTCGAGGGTGTTATTAGTAGCCGGGGCGACGTTGTGAGATCCTTGTCCAATCCTTTCCCATTCACAATCATATCAAACGCCTTTTGGTTGAGTTTGCCGTCGCAGAAATGCATGGCCGATAGGATCTTGCTGAATCGAATAACGGTCTCCGCCAATGGCAAATGGGGGACATTTTCGGCTGATATCCTAGAATAGAGGCCTACAATCCGTTCCAAAAGCTCGGGGAGAAGAGCCTGGAGATACCGAAGGTGCCTGGGTTGATCTTGGTCCGCATTTTCTGGTTCCGGCTTCATCGACGAGTGTTTATCTTGCGTGGGCAGACAAACCATCGGAATTTGAAAGGTCAATCCTGACCAACCGAGAAGCAACAGGTTCATAAGAATCAACTCCAATGCTTTTCCGTGCCAGATATGGTCGTTCAAAGATTTAGCCGCGGTGGCTCCCTCGCTCAGCTCCTTCAGCGAGTCGCCCCAACGACCAGCCTGAAGGTACATGGATCCTATGACAATGGCCGACCTGCCTTTTCCTTTGAGTCGCCACCGATCGTTTGCCCCTCCAGGCCCGAATCCTTGTACAGAAACGCGGTTTGCATCTTCAGCCAAATCGGGCTTTGGGTGAGTTTCGGGCGACTCCGGTCTCTGGCTCGAAGCACTAGAAAAATCGTCCGCGCTCAGGGGAGGGCTGGATAGGTTGCTCTTCAGGGGCGTGGACGGGCGGCCTGGCGTCGAGACGCTGGAGCTCCCTCCTGTGGGAGCCGGGGGCAGCGAGAGGCGCCCGCCAGATCGATCCAAGCCCGTAGCGGAACTTGAGCGCTGGAGGTGCTGCGGTATGGCAAACTGGGAATTCCGCCTAGTAAAGCTGGTCGGCGAGGTAGCATCGGGGCCCCACGAGGTGGTGCTCAGCTGTCTGGCCAGCGAATACCCCCCCGGAGACTCAATCGCCGTCATCGCCTCGTACGATTTCCCCAGTGTCGTCATCTCAGCCAGCAACAGCGATGATATGTCGCACATGACCGTCTTCATCGTGGTTCGTTTTGACTCCTCGGGAGGAGGGATCGCCGCCATGCCCTCGGGTATAGGCACTTCATGAGGTGGTGAGACATAATCGAAGATGAGCACCCGGTGGATGAGAGCTTTGGGGTAATTGTCTCGTAGCTCTTCCAGCTCCTGGTACAGAGCCCTGATATTCTTCTCCACCGGTGTCGGCCCCTTTCCATTCATAGAGTTTCTCTTGCTATATGTCACGTCGCCTAGCTCGGTGCCGTCGGCGATTGCGATGACGGCCATTGGTTCTCGGAAGAGGTCGAAGGGCGAGAGGGCGAGGTGCGAGGGGGGAGGGACGTGGGCGATGAGGTCGTAGAGCATTGCGCCGTCGGGATACGCCAATGGCGAGAACATGTCTGGGGAAGCTTCACATCAGTTTTGTCTAGTCCCGCGCACATGTATCCAATAGTATAATGCAGTTCTACACGGCATGGCCTTGTAACATGCCCCCCTCCATCTTCCCCCATACCATATCCCGCCTCCCTCCCTCCCTCTGCGGCCAGCCGTGTACATGCATGTACTTACTCCTGTTGGGTCGCCCATCGGCGCTGATATCCCTGAGCTGGACGACATGCTCGGCTTGCAGCCTTTCGGCAAAGCTCGCGAATCTAGCCGCCTTGATCTTCCCGAGGGGCAGCAGCAGCGCCTTCACCCTCGCGGGAGCAATGGGAAGCAAAGGGTCCAAGCTCATTCTAGCACCTGGAGCAGCTCAGCATCGTCCGGCGTTGTTTCGCGGTCAGGGATACCATAGGCGGGTCGCAATGGAGAGGAATCGGTCAGGCTGATGCGCATATTCTTGGGGGAAGCGCAGCAAGTCGTCGGTTCGCAAAGATGTCGAGTCGAGTCGAGTCGAGTCGTCAGCCTTGTGTGCTCTGCCGTGTCCTGTCGGCGGTGTTGCTTTGATCGCTTTCGTGTCCCCAAACCCAAAGCCAAAGCCAAAGCCAAACAGCTTGTCGCACACAGTCCCACCCGTGACCTCCCCTTCCTTTGTCCAGTCCCAGCCCGACGCGGTGGAGCTTTTTAGAGGGGTCCAAGCCCACGGACTGACATTTTTACGCCCCGAGCGAATCAGTTCGGGCCAATCTGGGGATCTGCGAGCCTGCGTGGCGGGGAACTGCTGAGATTGTAGGGCTGCTGAAACTGAAACTTAGCGCGCCATCCATGTCGCTGCCAGTACTCCGAGGTCCCTAGAAGTCAATGCCACATGGAGAGACTGGTGACAGTGAGACGCCAGACGCATAGGATGAGGAGAATTCCGAAGACTTCATTTTTTTGAAAAGCATGACACGGGTGGTGAAGACGCGAGTCATATAAAGCACATTCTAGCTTTGTGTCTTAGTAATGCGCGTTATACTCGAGGCATACGACTCATAACCTCAGCCCTTCCCCTGACTCGGTGCCGTTGGCTGTCATGCTTTCTTCCTCTGGTCCAGCAATATTGATTGCCGAGGAGTTTCCAATGATGGGACTATATAAACGACCTACATGCCGTACTCTCACAATTATAACAATTCAATACATACAAAGTGCATCGAGGAGAACCTCCTTGGTGTTTGTATCCGATGACTTCCATGCCATCATGGAACGTGTTCGACCCGATCATCACTCCTTAACTCAGCCACCTCCTCTTAAATCATTACATCTACCCTCTCTTCATCTTCCCACACCTCCTCTATTCGTTCTCTTGTCCGTGGATGCCTAGTTTCTCGGCCCAAACTTCATCACCTGCATGAGGCATACATCCTACCAGCCAACCATCCGAGAGAATATGATAAAGCCTCGCAGTAGACCGAGTTCATGTTGATCCTCCGTCCTCGCTTACGTTGTGTTGCTTATCCTGAGCTTGCCACATCATCATCATCGCCATCAGGAAGACGCAAAAGTTCTGCAGCTAAAATAGGCCCATGTCCGAGGTGGCCGCCTCCCTACCTCTCTAAATCCCTCTGTTACGGAGCAACACGGAGCCCGGTAGGCATGGGCAGTTGAGAAAGTCTTGTGACAGTTGAAAGATGAAGGAAATAATCAAACTCCCGCCGTTATCACCGCTGGCTGATCAGTGTGATCGAATAGTGCTTAGACAAACGCCTCCCATGCATGACCAGCATATCTCGCGCACCCACGAGTGACCGCCGCTACCCCGTTCGGTTTCCGTCTTTCTTGTTCTTCCAACACAATCGAAAGAAAACAAAGAAAAGAGAAGATGGTTTCGTAAAGAAAGCAAACAGAATGGGTTCCCATCAACACTGCTATATTCATCTACAAAATTCTAGCATCTCCAACCTTCACGCGACGCCCCCTTGTTTGCTTGCCAGACTGACACGGCCCTTCGGAGTGCATATTACGAGTACTCGTACATAGACAGACCACGACTATCGTTCTTTAGTAGACTTTCTGGAGGGACAGGGTTTCAACACGGCCTGTCCTGCTGCAACTAGGCAGTCTAACCAAGCACAGAATTTCGCTCAAGCATCACTGTTGAGCAGCTACAAGTACATTCATGCGATGCTTTCTACAGTAGGACAGCTATTTCAAAATGTAGATATTCACAGGCAAGCATAAATCAAACACTCGCACTATTGCCTGTGTACGCTGTGCCGAGGCGGATACGGTCAGAAAGGGGGGAGACGAAAAGAGAAGAGGTGATTTGTAATGACCTCGAGTGACTAGTAGGAACTTCCCAAGCGGCAGCTCGTGATATCATTGATGGACAGGCCTAAAGTAGCCTCCACTTAATCATACAAGGAGGGCGGGTGATTTACAGGCCACGGATTGAAGCCCATCCGAATCCGGATCTGCCAGTACGTGTATTCATGCATCCCTAACAAGACGCGACTTCCAACCTCCAGCGGGCATCTCAGTGAACTTTTTGTGGGAAATCAATGGCCCGTATATTTGATTCCCAGCTATTGTTTTTAATCAAAAAAGTGGTGTAAAGAAAGGTGTTCGCTACTGTTTCGTGTACAGTAGCGAAAGCCGATGCCAAGAATAGGAAAGGGTAAGAGTTTTTTCCAGAAACAGCGCCAAATTTCCTCCTAAACTTGAATCCGCAGAAAGAAGAAGAAAAAATTCACCCTTGCTTTGGCTTTCGTCCTGCACCAGGTATTACTTTTCAAAGAAAAAAATTCACCATCTCCTTCTCGTCATATATTTTCCCCATCATGTGTTGGTGGACGCAATCGTAGATGGTCCCGTGGCCGGAGTCTGGCTCGCAGCCGGCGTTTGGCTAGCACCACGATTCCTGTCGTCCCTGGCCTCCTCAGTTAGCTCGCTCTCAAAGATGTCCACGGCCAGGCTCGCTTCGACAAAGTCCTCCATTTCTTCCGTAACAGTCTTTAGCTTCTCCTTGACTGCCAGCGCCCCTTCGGTTCCCACAATGTGTCGCGAGGGCGGGTTCTCGTGCCCGCCAATGGCCGTCAGGGCGTAAATTGTCTCGTTTACTAGCTTGTCGATTGACGATGGCGGCAGTTTGGGATAGCGGTAAAAAATCTCACCCACAGCTTCGCCCGGCTCCAGTGAGATGCTGTCCGGTGACGTAGCGGCATTGTCGGATTCCGGATTTACCGGGACCGCCGTGTCGGGGTGCGAGTTGAGAACGGTGGTCAACATCTCCCGAACGCTGGGCGCCTCGGCGAAGCTGCTGGCGTAAGCGGGAATCTGCGGAGCAAATGCAATGCGATTTGTGAGAGACTGAATCTCCTTGTTGGGCTGGACAATGGTGACCTTGATGTTGAAGGGGGCGACCTCGTAGGCGAGGGAGTCGCAGAAGCCCTCAAGCGCCCACGTCGCCGCCGTGTACATGGACATGTGCGGCGTGCCAATGTGGCCACCGGTGCTGGTGAGGACCATGATGTGGCCGGTGTGCTGGGCCCGGAGCTGTGGCAAAGCGGCCTTGATGAAATTGACCTGGGAAAAGAACAAGGTCTCGAACTGGTCCCTTGCCAGGCTCTGGGTGGCGAGGTTCGTAGAGAGCTCCTCCACGGTCCCAACAACAGCTAGCGACAAGGCCGGTGGTTAGCAAGCAACATGATGGCTCGACGTCTCGTTCGACCATGCACGTAATCGAAAGATTGATCGGTTGATGTAGGAATTGGGATGAAGATATTTTGTCATACCTTCCGACCGACAGCACAAGAGAATATCAATCCTCCCAAAGACGTCGACGGCTTCGGCAACAGCGGCGCCGCACCCGCTCATGGTCCTCCCATCGCATCGAATACCGCGGATCCTATCCTTCCATCCCTCCCGGTCTTTCCGCCCACTAGTGCACTCATTGATGAGCTCACGAAACTCGGCACTTCGCTCCTCGTGCTCAATCTCCAAAGGAGGAAAACAGGCCGCGACACAGTCGCCGTGAGAAAGCAACTGCCGGATCAGACGCACGGCCAATGGTGATAGCGATGCAGTGAGGAGCCACGTGCGAGGCGAGTTATGGGTCGCTGTCGGGCTCTCTTGGTCAGCCATTATGGATGCTTATAGAATGTCCCTTCGAAACCATTTTACGAAAGGAGCGAAGGTGATCGACAGGTGGGAATCGCATTCATTTGAGGGCAAGGTATTTAAAGTGTTAGGGGGGAGAAATGGAGAGAAGGAGAGGATTTGAGACAAGGAAGTGTGTGTCTTTGAAATAAGTGACTGAGTCCGGGTAAGGCAGTCTTAGACTAGCGAGGGTGGTGAATGAAGAATTGAGAAAAATTAATTTCTTAGGCGTTTAGGGGGAAAAAGAGAAAGTGACATCAGTTGAAGGAAATGAGTGCGCATTAGAATCGATGAGGAAAAGAAATAACAAATTCCCGGGGGCTGCCCCCGAGTTGTTTTGGCAAACAAACGCCAGTTACGGCATCGCCACGGAAAGAGGGCGTCGTTTTGTATACTGCTCGGGCGTTCGCCACAAAAAAAAAAAAAAAAAAGCATGGAATGCGTGAGGTCTGGGCAGGGGATTGCAATGTGGTCGGAATACGTGTATAGAGCAAAAGTACGTACGGAACACGGGATTTTGGCGCACAGGCGCAGTAGTGACGTCGGTTTGGCGGTTTGGGTTCAGCAGGCTGTAGCGCTGCGACGCAGGCTTAGGCGGAGGTACAGGCCTGTTGCCACTGGACATGGTGCTGAGTTATAGGCGTCGTGTCCCTACTCGTACCATCTGCGGTGTCAGAAGCTCCAGTCTCCGAACAGCAAATAGGATCGGAGCCGTGCCACCCAAGACGGGAAAGACGAGACGGGGAGAGATAACGTGAACGAAAGAAGACGAAGAAAAAAGGGATGGTGTAAAAGAAAGTGTTAAAGAGAGTAAGAAAGAAAGAAGCACACACACAGACACATAAAAAAAAGAGAGTGAGGCACTTTGCAAGGACAGAGCCAAGGGGGGGGAGCGCAGAAGCATATTAGTTATGTAGTGTCTGGTCCCAGCTGTGCTGTCTGGTCTGGTCTGGTCCGGTCCTTTCTGGTCTGGTACGAGTACTTCGTACATGGGATATTTGCTCTCCTGCAACTGAATCGTCAAGCAGGCTGCATCCTGCCCGGGCTGGTAGGAAAATGGGGAGCGGCGATAGTACATTCATAGGTACTCTGGGCAATAACTCGAATGGATCAGCCATGACGGCCCCCAGGGCTCGCTTAGACATGACACCGGGCCCCCGAGCGGAAGAGTAGCCTGAATCCATCGCCGTAGATAGCTTCTAGTGTTGGGCAGTGTTCCACGGTGACGCCCCCACAGGACCCGAAGTTGGTGATAGAGCCGACACTTGACACCTCCTGTGGCCGATGCATAGGGCTGGCTCTGGCGCAGGTAAGCTTCTTTTTCGCCTTACGAGACTCCCAAGTCATGACACAACGGCACCGCTAGTGGTGGGGAGGGGGGGGGGGGTGTTTGATAGAACAATGACGGCGGCTGCTGTCGTCTGAGAACTGACTCGGAGGCAGCTGATGGTGGTGATTGTGGACGACTGCTAGAAGACAAAATGCAACTGCCGAGTTTTGGTGTTGAGTTGTCATTGCAGGGGGGCCAAAGTCAAAGACGAAACACCGCTCAAACGAAACGTCTAAGCCACTAGCCTGGGTCAGCTCTTGCTAGGGGAGCGGACCGGGTTGGCTGGATTTTTGTCAGCCTTGCATCAACCGTCCGGATGTGGTAATTATCATGGTGGAATCACGCGGTGCCTCCCGGGATGGGTTTTGCCACTCACGATAATACCTGTTGCTCTATACTCGGACAGTGCCCAAGGCTTCCGGTCCGGATACGGTGCTGTAAAAGTTTGATTGATCGAATTGAATCGAATTGAATCAGGTTCTTTGAAGCTAATGACCGATCTGCTCCCCCTGCTCCAGGTCCAGGGCCAGGTCCAGCTCCCAGCTACGGCAACTCGTACAGCACTGGTGCGGTGCAGGTGCAATGCAATGCAGGAAGCGCACATATTGATAGCTGCAGGTGCATCGAGTCTCACCCGGCCTACTAAGGTACCTACTATACATGTATACATGTCCGTACTTTTGTGTACATACTCGTACTCTCTCACCACATCAACCTATCACACGCCTGGTCTCTCCGGCCTCCGCCTGCAGTCCGATTTGCCCAGCCCTGCAGCGCTCTATTTTCACTCGTCCAAATGCCGTCTGCAGCCCGTGATTGGGCCAATATTGCTGGCCCCCGGGGGGATCAGGTTGCGCCATGGAGCCCTACGCTGGGGACCCCCGCCCTCGATTCCAGTACCATGCTGCTGGGGAGCCCGCTAACGCGTTGCAGGCGTCACTAAAAATGTTCAGCTGACTGACTCGCACTCACTTCGGAGGCAAGATGCGCTGCTTTTGCTTCGCCTTGGACAGGCAATCCCTCGAGTCAAGAAGCTGACGATTCGTTATCACTTCTGCGGTTTGCAGCGAATGAGGCAGGGCTGCTAAGGCCTCAAGTGCGGCTTTTAGCGCATCGTGGCGACAAATCTCGTGGCATCGTGCCCTTAGCCAACCATTAGTTGATCATGACGAGAGCCGTTCGCTCACAGATGTTAGGCCCGGATCCGCGCGTTTCGCTTCCTTCGGCACGCCGCCAGACTCGCACTAAACTCGGAACGCATACGAAGAATCAATGTGCATGGATGATTGGCTCCCCCCGGACCCTCCCCAAGCAAGCCACGCCTCACATCAAATCATCGAAACGGGACAGAGAGCAACAGATTAAGAAAATAAGCGTCTGATGACAAGGCACTAATTGGGAAACCAAGACAACACAAGAATCATTCAAATGCGCTACCTACATCCACCCGGCGTTCCATCTGTCCGTACAACCGAGCATCAAGCGCGCCACATTAAAACTGAGCATGAGAATTCTTCACGACTTGATCTCGACTTCCTCCCGAATGCTGTCCGCGTGGCCGGCCTCGGGCTCAGAGTCGATCTTCTTCACCAGATCCGTGACGCCAAACAGCTCGTCCATTCTCTCCAGGCTGAGACCCTTGGTCTCGGGCACGAAGAACCACACGAAGATGCCCATGATGAAGCAGAAGCTGCCAAACATGAAGAACATGCCCTAGGAGCGAGTCAGTACGCCAATGTTAGAGTTTTTAAGATAGGGATTCCGCTTACATAGCCGGCCTTGCCCATAGTGGTCTGCATGGTTAGAACGGCTGTCGAGGGAGTCAGTAAATGCTGAATACTAATCCTGATCCTGGTCCTGATCCTGATCCTGATCCTAATACTCCAGTCTTGTGCGCATATCCCTGGGATAATGGCGCGCCAATCGGGGAGCAGGAACAAGGGGACGGGAGACGGGAAGGCTACTTACATCGAGCGCAAACGAAATTGAAGAGCCATTGAGTGGCTGCGCCAATGGCCACGTTCATGGCACGCAGCCGGGCAGTGGGGATCTCGCTGACCAGAATCCAACAGACGGGACCCCAGCCAAACTGGAACGACGCAGCCCAGAGATAGATGCAAGCAATGGCAACGTATCCAAAAGCCGTGACCTAGAAAGGGGGCGAGGGCACGATTATCAGCCAAGAATTCCGCAGACTGGCGTCGGAATCGGAAGGCTGGACGCCTCCGGGTTCAGGATTGGGACTTACAGGCTGTCCGGCAACAGGGGGTTGGACCCTTCCGTAGATGCCAACAATGTAGAGGAAGATGCCTTGAGCGCCGGCTGTCCACAGCAGACTCCAGCGTCGGCCAAGCGAATCTGCCACAAAGAGGAGGAAGACTCCGCAGGCAGCCGTCTTGACAACGCCGTATATTCCAGTGGCGAATAACGACGAGTCATTGCCAGTCATTCCGAGGTTAGCGAAGATTTGGGGAGCATAATAGTTCTGTGTCGTTCGCGATCAGCACGTTCCCTGCAAATGCAACATCCCGCTCCATCGGTTCCCCAATAGGAACTACAGGGTTTCAAGGATCAAGTCTTACGATGGCGTTGACACCAGTCATTTGCTGGAAGATCATGAGGAACACGGAAATGATGGCACGCTTTCGGTTGCCAGGAATCGTCCACATTTCCCTGAGGAGTGTCTTGAAGGTAGCGTCTCCGGTCAGTCGTCTCTCATGTTCGAGTTGATCGGCCATCTCCTGAATCTCGTTTTGGACATACTCCGAGTCGGCGGGCAGACTACATGCATACACCCCCCCAAAGTCAGACAGATGTTCCTTGCAACACACGGCTTAGAGTCTCAGTTTGCCTTACCCACGGAGCCTGATGAGAATCTTATTGGCTCGGTCCCAATCGTCTCTTCTGGCGCACCATCGGGGACTGAATCAGGAGTTAGCTTTCGCTGCAGTTGCTATTGATGTTGACACGAGCCACAACAGGCCGACGGGGAGATTACGTACCTCTCAGGAGAAAGAAACATGCCGCCCATCAAGAAGCTTCTCGGCAGTTAGAATACGGCTTGTGTACGACTCATGTGGCTTGACTTACATGGCAGGCAGAGCTTGCAAGGTCAAAGGGACAACGTAGATTGCAGGGGCTGGGACGTGCAAGAGGCATCCGTAGTTAACCCTAAGAGTGGATGTTGTGTAAGATGATTATGGTCTAAAGCCAAGAAAGGGACTGGACTGGGTATGTTTACGTACCAGAAAGCAAGCATGATGCCGAAGACGTTGAACAATTGGTAAAAGGCTATGCAGCAAGGCCAATATCAGTATGGTTCTCCTATTGTTTACTGCCATAAGGCGGTGGTATAGGGGAGGGGGCTTGATGCCTGAGGCTGGGGCGGGGAGCAGAGCTCAAGCTTCTTGCTACTTGCTACTTGCTTCTTGTATATTCATATTCTTACCTGTCAAACCACCTCGGATGGCACGAGGAGCGCACTCGGAGACATACAACGGAGTCAATGCAGACGCAGCTCCGATTCCCAGGCCAGCAATGAATCTACCGACATACATGACAGCAATCGTGCCTTTGGCGGCAGACGCAGCCTGGAAGATGATGCCGATGATGGTCAGGAAGCCAGAGCCCATCAGGGCAGCTCGGCGGCCATATCGATCGGTGATCCAGCTGGTGAAGAAGCACGCAGCGAAACATCCTGCCTGCAGCGTCGAGACAATGTTCTGGTTCATGTCGGACTTTGCCTTGGGCGAGCTGTGAGCGTAGTTGAACCTCTCCTGAAAGTCGGGCATGGTCAGGATGCCACCGATGGAGCCCGTGTCCCAGCCGAACAGCATGCCGCCGAAGCAGGCGGAGAAGACGAGGGTGAAGACGCGCCATCCATAGATTTCGTCGGGATCGCTGCGCATAGCATCGTTGCGCACGACGGCGCGCAGGAACTTGGCGGTTACGCCCATTGTGGCTGCGTGTTATAGTCGACCTGGCTTATGCTGGCGTATGGATCCGCCCCCGGCAGTCGTCGGCAATGTTGAGCGTGGAGTGACAGGCAACAAGCACTTGGTGATGAAGAGAAGTGCTCTACCCTATGCAAGACTCGAGGATCCGGTCTCGCTTTTGGGGCAACGAATTGAATGGACGGCTCCTGGGTCAAGTCTGAGAGGCTTAATCGAGGAGACGGACAGAGCGACAAGGGAAGAGAGACGGAGGTGGACGAGGTGATGCGACGCTGATATGTACTATTTTCCTCAGACGATGACCCGCTTCTTGGGCTGTCGAGCAGGACCCTTGTCGCACCCAAGAAGAACATGCTCAAAGTGCAAATGCAAGCGAAAGGAGCGAGCTAGAGCGGCCCCCCCCAGATGCGCGGAACAATCAGACGAGTGAAACCGCCGGGCTAAAATTCCCCAGACTTTGAAGCCAGCTGGCCGGGGGGGAGTGGACACCTCGAAGCTCTTGGCTACCAAGCACCAGGTGGAGAGGAACGATGATCTGATGGTTGGTTCTACATCATACAGTACTGTTCTTTACGTATATGGGATGCAATACGGCTTCCTGTGACAGGCGACGCTGAGGTGCATGATATTAGCCGTAGAGAGTGGCTCAACTCCTTGTACAGGCTGCATGCGGCTTCGCAGCAGGCATAAGACGACAACATCAATCGCCAGCAAATCGCCCTCTTGCACATGGACATCACAAAGAACCATTCGTCATTATTCGTGGCCGAGCCAGAGCTCTCATGTTTGCAACGAGCCAACTATCGTTCAAAGCCTCTCCGCGGAAGCATGAGGAGACAGCCTGCCACCTCTTTGGTTGGTGCGCCCTTTTGTCGGCCCTTTTTGCCTTTGCCCATGTTCCTTGCTCGGCTACCGCTACCCAGTGTACTGATCAACCGGTTCCAGCGATCCGTTGGCAATGGGCGTGTCCTTTTTTCCTCCGTTGACAGGACGGGATGCCACCAGACTTGCAAATTTTGCTAGTCTACGGAGAACGGCAAGCTGCGCGTCGCAACACCATCGACGACGCATCGTCTCTACCAACAAAGGAGCCCCGGATCTCGTACATGGGCGACCAATCATTAGCACATGTCCAGAACTTTGAGGCCAGGTTTTGCCTTTCAGCTAAGGCGCTGCTTCACCCGCCGTGGACCGCCGATTATCTTAGTGCACAGACACGGGCCGGGGTTATGGCTTCGGCTCTGCATTGAGGAAAATCTCCCCTGCGGAAGAATCGAGTCCCACCAATGGACGAGTGTCTGGCCGCCAAGAAGGATGGATTTACATCTCGTGATGACGGGCAAAGGGCATCGCTGGCCCAACATGGCCACAATTACTCGTACAATTCAAATTTCAGTCTCGAGCGGAGCGGTCTTGCAAGACATGGGGAAGTGGCATCCCCTCCCCCGGATTATCCCCCCCCAGCCCACCGACATCGAGACGCGGGATTTCGGCAGATGGTACTGAGAATCACACAAGTCACAGCCATGTTTACCCGTTTCGTCCTCAGGCACTTAAGCATACTCGTACAGGGGCCCCTTTCTTTTAACCGTGTGGGGCCGAGGAGGTGGGGGGCGGATCATTGAATCCATCTTTTGGGCTTCTGTCTCTTCTCCCTCTGCTTTGCTCCGCATCGACATGTTATTGCTTCCCCTTCTCCAGATCTCTCCGCATTTCTGAGTTGTGGCGCCAAGCCATCGAGATGCGCTATTGTTAGTACCAGCTGGGTTTGGGGCTCTTTGTTTCGAGGAAATTTTTCTTGCTGCTGCTAGCTGGCCGCCACAGCCCTCTGGACAGGAGAGTCTCGGCCACGAGATGGCCGTCCAACGAATCCTAGCTCTCAAGGCTCGTACAGGTTTAGGTATGTCAGACACAGAGCATCCATCTTTTGGAGTTGCAACCATGTGCCAGCCAACCAGGCACCCTGGTCAGCTACATGCAACGACTACTCGTGGGGAAGGTTGACGGCAGCACCCCTTGGCACGAATGCCTAATAGAGGCATGCCGTCAAGCGGGCTGCTCCCAGGTGGAGCATACTTGAACTGCTGGGATTCATGGAAATTCATTCATCAATCGCTCCGTGCTCGACTCTGATCTGCGCAGAAGCGCTATTACCTATACTCGCGTGCGGCAGGTTACATGCACATTCATACCGTACACACGCGTACCTTACCTCACCTCTCCGTTGGTGGCTTGCGTTTACATGCTACGGTTTGTGGGATAAGGCTGCGGTACGAAATAGTACATGTAAGTTTATTTCTACATCTATTTGCTATGTTCTCTTTAGGCAAAATCCCTTAGCCTCGTCGAATTGTGGCCGACGTCGTCTCCCCGCCACTAAAGAGTGGGAAGGACGTTGGGTCAAAAGAGATGATCGCAAACACATGCGGCAAGCTCGGTCACCTACGCTGTTACATCCCGCCCTCTGCTGCCATCTCCAAGACTAGCCAGTTGGGGATTGCGGGAGGACTCTTCCACCCATCTAGATAGCTCTCTTTGGGGACGCCAGCGCCAGCTGGTTTGGCATAGACTGCAGAAACGTACCACACCCCTTGGCCCTGGGGGATCTTGTGCTGCAAGGTCGGTATTGTTGTCCGACTCTCCATGAGATTTGTGTTGGGATCAGCATTCACAAGCATGGCCTGTCGTTGGCCGTGTGGTTCTAGAGCCTTGATGCCAACAGCTCCTCTGTCCAGGGCCGCCGCAAAGGCACCGTTAAGCCCCGTGTCCCAGCCAGCCGGTGTGTTGGTGTCATAGTTGCCAACGATCTTGGGGCTTGTTCCCTCGCCTTTTGTTTCGTCGTATAGATCCAAGTATCTTCCGTTCTCGGAATTGACGTTGCGGATGGCAAAGGCACCATCTGCGGTCATGACCTCTCGACCAGCTTGGATGTGATGCACCCGCAGATGCCAGTTTGGCGTGCTTTCAACAGGGGGCACCAACAATGTCTTGATCTTGACATCGGCAAAAGGCTTCCAGACTGAAACGAGAATGGGCTGGCCGTCTCGCTCTTCAATAGCGGCATACTCGGACAGCCTCCTCGTCTTCCAATATTCGCCACCATCATCCGAAAGCCCCAGCTGCGATGCCAAGGCATATTGCTCCAAGGAGAAGAGCCCGGAGGGCACGGAGTATCCAAAGGCGCTGCTGTATGCGAACGCTCCATATTTGGCGTGGGTGGCCTTCATTGGATAACCGCATGCTTGGCCCGAAGAGAGGAGCATACAATGTCCACCAAGGTAACTTTAACATCGTTGAGAATGGCACGGTCAGCAGAGCGTTTCTAGCCCTCTCATTGGTGGGTAAATGAGGCTGCTCTCACCTGGTAATGTGACCTGGATGCCGGATTGCCTTGATTTTGGGAATCTGGGGGCTGATTGGCTCTTCCTCTGATGTCCAGAACGGATGTTGCTCCGGAACTGCCAGACAGATGAAGGCCAAACATGACCAATACTGAGACCATTGTCCCGTACAATTAGCACGATGCCTCTCTGGATGATGCCGAGATAGGGGGTTGCATCAATGCTACTCACAGGACTTCCAGGGCTGTTGTAATTCTCGGTAATCTGCAAGTGTTTCACGTGAAATAAGGGTCAGCGATCTAGCATCGGAAACAATATGGAACCTGCATGAGTAGCCATCATGATCATCGCACGTACATACATGCTCGGGTACGAAAACCCGAGAGACAGCGTCCCACTCGACGTCCAGATGTCACCCTGCGTCTGCCACCACCTGAGATTGCGGAGGACAATTCCCTTGACCATGCCCCACGTTAGGGGAGCCGGCAGGTCGACGTCTGCGTAGGCCAGGGCGCCCCAAAACGAGACCATGGCGAAGCGGTAGACTAAACTACGGCCAAACGGGATGGCTCGGCCGAGCGTGTCATGATAGTGGACGAGGTCGAGGGCGGCGATCTCAGCACGGTGCTTGAACTCCTTTGCGCGGGACGGATCAGCCTTGGCGGCGAGTTTGGCGTAGAGCAGCTGAAGGAAGTGGATGGCGAAGCTGGAGGAATAATAATCCATTTCTGCGGAATAACAAGATGCGTGAGTATTACGGGGAGATTGAGTTGAAGAGAAAGCAACAGTGGGAGAGGAGTAGACTAACGATGGATGCCCTCAGGACCGTCGTTGGACCAGCCATCTCCTCGGTAGAAGGTATCGAGGTGCTTGATGTCGCTCTCGAGCCGTTCCTCCGAGTACTTCGCTCCATTTTGCTTGAGTCCTAGGTTGGCGAAGACGCGGAACCAGAGCCAGTTGGTGTTGGGCATGCTGTGGGACTTTGTCAGTGAGTGAAGGGGCATTTACGGCATGATTTCTTGCAAGGGCTGATCAGACTTTTTCTCGTTGATAGAGTTTCCAAGCCAGTTCTCGACGTTGGCTTGCTCCTTTGCCGAAAGACCGTTCCATAACTCTGGTGCGACGGCCAGCGCGAATCCTATACAAGATGATGATGCGATCAGCTTCCGTCACTTTTAGCAATCAAGTTCCAACATGGACAATCGCATGAATTACCAAAAGGGCACATCTCAACCATCCGCTGGTCATTATCACGAGGATATCCCCAATACTCGGGGCTTTCTGGGTCGGTGCCAGCCTTGATCCCCTGAACCCACCAGTCGGTGCCGCGGTACTGGCCACCCCCGGCCAGAAGGCACGCCAGACCCCAGATAGGACGGAAGAAGCCTTCTACCTCGGACGCAGTCTGGTCAAATCTGACGGCCGTGGCTCCAGGGCACTTGACGCGGGCCTTTTGGGGTGAGAAGAAAGGCTCGAGAGGGTCAAGAAGCGTCCGGAGAAGCTCCTGGACCGAGGCGCGATCTGTAATGGGGACTTGGGCAAAGGGATGCTTGTCATTGTAGCCGAGCGTGAGGTGAGCCATTTTGAGATTTGGTGAGCGAGTCTGCTACTGGATGAGGGACGTCCGCTCAATGTTTGGATGTGGTTCAAACTGTCTTGACGCTTGCGTATACGGAGGTTTGGGCAAGCTTTATTTTATTTTCACGCTACAAAGGTAAGCATCATGAGCTTTTTCCGGCAGACAAAACGGCACTAAAAAGCTAATGCTTGGGCAAAGTGGTGTGGAAGCCATGCAAGCTCTAATGATTATTTTTCGGATTTGATTGAGCCGAGCTGCTTCTGGGTGATATCAGAGCTGCGGCATCGCGAGTGAGGGGCAAGATGGGGTTTGTGTGGAGAATGGACAAGAGGAAGAGGAGAAGAGCCCACGCGAGAGTTACAGTACAGGTATTGATTGTCTCGTACGATGAATCTCTTTTTTTAATTGTTTCAACCTCTGATGCTTGATTAAATGGACAGTGGGATATTTCGGCGGGTGTATACTGTGCTTAGTCGTTCTTCCTTTTTCTTTCTCTCTATTTTGGGGGAACTTTGTGTGTATTAGATGGGTTGAAGAGGCCATGGCAGAACGCCTGTAAAGATGTGCATGCTCAACTCGGCACACGTTCTAAGGAGGGTCTACAAGGCAGCTAGCAGCAGTTCCTTGAGCCCTGCATGATGGTCGATCATTGTTGATGGGGTCTGGAGTTTGCCGGCTAAATTCAAAGGATAATGTCTGCATGTATCGTATGTACGGGATGTATTTTGCAGCGTCACTTTGTATCGATCGATGTTGGGGAAAAGGAATGCGGCAGATAGGATGTGGTCCGAAGATGGGATTTGGTCCAGAAATGACTCGAGTGAGTGGGTGTTAAAATGGGTGAGTACTACCTAGGTAAATGCCTTTATGTGTTACTAAGAGCTTGAAAAAGTTGATGGCTTTGGAACCACCGAGATGGGATGGCGTGCGGCACCTAATAAGAGGTGTTTGTTGTAAGATAAGAGACTATTGTTGCTTTACTGTTGCTTGAGTTGCGGACTTGGGAATGCGGCAGTGATTAAAGCAAATGCGCGGTAATGATTACAATGGATGGGCTTTATCCAGCACGTTGCTGTGAGGGTGTTGGCAGTAAACCATAGAGATACATACTTAGGTATGCGGTTAAACAAGCAGTCAGAAAAAAGACTCCAGATTAGTATATATTATCAATATTGTCTATTTGTTAGGAAATCAAACCTCAATCAACCTCCCAAGACACGCACATGCATGCAACCATAATATGCTACCCTAGAGCCATGTTTCACTGTCATGGGCTAACAAAGTATCTGCTTGGACATCTTCTAGAATGATTTAACATTAAGTTTTTAAACTCAATTGTGTCCTGTTAAATAGTTTGAAGTAGGACCGAGTTACTTTGGATCAAATAAAATATGTAAATTTAACGCCATGTTGACATCTTTAATCTCTGCAACTCATCTCGACATCGCTTGGGTGACAACTCAATTTAGCAGCATCACAACCTCATCTCGGTCCAAACCACACAATGTCGACAGCAGATTCAGCGTCGGCTGATCCCGACACAAAACCAGAGCCTATGAAGACAGAAATTCCGTCTTCATCAACACTTTCGTCGCTTGGATCTGAGATCGAGTCGCCATTCACCCCGGTGCGACCGCGGCGCAACGTCACCGCTCCCAGGCTATTCGGATCACCATCCAAGAGCGACTCCAAACCAATCCCGCAACGGCCAAAGAGGGGCACTCTAGCGGAAAAGAGAGCAAAGGCGCCCAAGAAGCCAGAATGGGATGCTGAAAGTATCCTAAAAGACCCAGCGTCGCCTCTAGCCTCGGCGAATCTAAGAGTTTGTCCAACCTCCCCCGTTCCTGTCTGGATGCAGCTTCTCCGCCACCACCGGGGCTTTCATGCTGTCGGAAAATTGCAAATGACATGGTATCTAACTGAACGGGCAGAGCATTCTATGTAACCCCATGGCATGGACGGCTCTGGACCAAGATGACAAGGCGGAAATCCTGGCTCTCTTTCCCGACAAGGGCCATATCCTAGACTCTGGAACGGAAGACGCGCGACCCAACTTTGCGTCGTTGATGAACGACGACAGCTTCCGCTACGACTGCGCTGCGTACACGGAAAACATTGCGGAGGGCCGCCACGATCCGGAGTGGCTTGCGTCGGCGTGGAGCGCGCATGAGAGAAGGAAGGCGGGTGATTTCGACAAGTATCTGATGGACAAGCTGGAGCAGGATTGGGGTGTTGAGATTCCTGAGGAAATGAGGATTCGGAGAGATTTGCCTGAGGCGGAGAAGAAGATTAATGGGGATGCACAGCGAATGAAGATTGTGTCTAGGAACAGGGAGATACGCGATAGTATGGAGATTGATGAACTTGCGCTCTAAAGGTTTGAGGGTGTTCATGGAGGGGATGACTGAGCGTTTACGATACGATACCAAAGGAATGCAGAATGCATAGTTGAACAAATACTAAGCCTTTGATCGAGTTGGTCAGGTGTTCGTATCAGGGTCTTATTACTGTACCCAGAGATGGTTATAGACATGTCTGTGTTTTATTGCTGGGAATCTTCTTATAGCTTGATGCCTACGATTGACACGCCTGTGTTTTACCTGAACTTTTCCAATCTTGCCCAAATACCCAATATCCACATCGTTGGACATGTTGAAGTTCCACAATCATATGTCCCAGTTGATCCAAATCCATACCTCCATACATGCACACATATACACAAGCATACAGTGCATGTTATAAAAACGCCCGTCGCCTAACCCAGCTCATCACGGCCCAAGTCGCAAATAAATGGCGCCCACGAAGCCTTTGCAAAATTAACAAGAAACTGGGCCAGTTTCTGCGCTCCCTCTAAAGCAATCGAGTTAGTTTGAGGCGCGGATTCCGCCCACGCTACGATGTCCCCTGAGGCCGGTGAGGCCCAGGGCAGTAGATTGCTTCAAGAAGTCCTTTTCAGCAGCATCAATGTCGCCGTGCTTGGTCACTCTGAAGCAAATGTTCATTCTGGAACGCACCGACTTGTCAAGCACGACGCGGTATACGTCGGGGTGGGAGTCCAGAGCCCTCTTCAGGACTTGACCGGCGATGTAGACACTTAGAGAGGAGATAAGAGTTAGCATGTGTAGATGACTTGTTTTGACAGAGAGATGGTTTGCGCAAAAATGCTGAGCGTGTTGTACAGGCTGTTGTTCTGAGCAACAGTGTCGTAGTGCAAGATGATGGGAGGAATAGTGAGTCCCAGGTGTCTCATCATGGGCGCCGAGGGCTCTCCGTTGATGGGAGCAACGAGGTTCTTCTTGATGACGACGACGGGGATGCTGGCAGATTCCAGGTTCTTTTGGGCGCCGAAGAAGATGAGGGAATAGTTCTTGACGTCCAACTTGAGATGATTATTGACTGCGTCGTTCAAAAGCTGCATCTGCAACGGCAGCTCCGAATTCAACTCTCTCGAACTCGCCCGTACCGCCCCCCATCATGAAGAGAATCTGATAGTCATCGGGGATGTCGAGAAACGTGGCCAAATCAGCCCTGGCCTCGTTGATGATGGTGTTGGCAATCTCGGAGCGATGCGAGGTGCTCAGCCAGGCTGAGCCCAGTCCTGTTAAAATTAACCAATGCTTGGGCGGCCCTCTCCAGTGTTTCTGTGGGAAGCAGAGCCGGACAGGCACCAAAGTATGTGATGTCCTCTCTGGTAGGAAATTTTGCTTTTCGGGATTGAGTTGTGATGAGCAGAGAAGGATAGTAATTCATTGAGTCTCCTACATACCTACCTAGGTAGGTAGTACTAACACTACCTACATTGATGCTACGGTATAACAGTCCAATAGTAGTACTGATGGATTGGCCTTGTTTTTTTGTGTCAATTGGAATGAGTCTCGCTCTTTATACTTGAATTAACTGTAATAACTCGACGATGCCTAGGTATATAATTTCACTTTGACACATTGACTGCAAGCTTCAATGACAGCTACTTTTGAGATCCAGGAACAGACGCTGATGCTGTTCGATTTTCTTCTCGGTGGAGCGGACTAGGTACGTACTTTGGGTCTCAAGCGCTGCTGACTCATCCACCGACCGCGGCTTTGGTTGGCTGTGGCTGAACAGTGCTCGCAGTGGCAGGCAGTGGGTGGCGTCCGACTCTCCAGCCACAGCAAGGCGACGAAGCTTGGGTTGCCTGGATCCGATGCGTTTCCCTCATCAGCCATATCGCAGCACCAAACGGCATCTTTCCTTCGTCGCCGCGCCGTTACAACACAAAACTCGCTTCTCCCCCTCCTCCGCGACTTTTCCCCGACCGCAGTGAATCACCATGTTCAGGAACAACTACGACAACGATTCCGTCACCTTGTATGTGCCCTGTCCGACTGGCTGGAGCCCCTCCAGCTGCCGTCGCCTCGTAGCTCCAAGCTCGCCATAGCTGACATGACATGGTCTCTAGCTCGCCGCAAGGCCGCATCTTCCAGATCGAATATGCGGGCGAGGCCGTGAAGCAGGGATCAGTGGTGGTCGGGATTGCCAGCAAAACACACGTCGGCCTGTTTGCCGTCAAGGCAAGTTTGCATCTCTACCCCTCAGCAGCACATATATACCCGGCCCAAGGCTGACCTTGGCCCGCGTGGCACAAACAGCGAAACGCAGAGGAGCTGTCGTCGTACCAGAAGAAGCTTTTCGAGATTGACGAACACACCGCCATTGCCATCGCCGGCCTCACATCAGATGCCCGCGTCCTATCCAACTTCATGAAGCAGCAGTCCCTGGGCCACCGCCTCACCTACGGCCGCCCGATCCCCATACACACGCTGGTCGGCATGATTGGCGAAAAGGCACAGATCAACACCCAGGTCTACGGCAAGAGGCCGTACGGCATTGGGCTGCTGGTAGCTGGCGTCGACGAAAACGGCCCCCACCTGTTCGAGTTCCAGCCATCGGGTATGACGGAGGAGATGGTGGCGTTTGCTATTGGCGCACGAAGCCAGATGGCCCGGACATATCTCGAGCGGAACATTGAGTCGTTTGCCGACTGCTCAAAGGAAGAACTGGTCAAGCACGGCTTGAGGGCGCTCAAGGAGAGCTTGGTACAGGACAAGGAGCTGACGGTCGAGAATACATCAGTGGGATTGGTGGGCCTGAAAGAGGGCCCCAACGGCCGATCAAGCATCGAGCCCTTTAAACTATACGACGGCTTCGAGGTCAAGTCGTGGATCGAGAGTGCCAACGAGAGCCAAGGAGGCGAGGGAGAGGGAGAGGGAGATGCCGCGGGCGAGGGAATGGAGGTTGACAGCTAGACGACCCGGGAGGCACTGATGAATGAACCAGAGGGGCTGCGGGAGAAGAGTTTAGATCACGTATCACTAGAGGCTGCCTGGAACAGCACAAATGGTCAAACTTGGCACGAATGAAGGAATAATAACAACAAAAAGAAGAAAGATAGCTAATCATGACGATACTCCCGTTCCATGACGTAATTGTAAACCTGTCTATGGATGGATATATAACATATATATTGTTTTTGCTGAAAACCAAACCACTCTATACCGTACATCACATACCCTACATGCAGTGATGATTTTTTCCTGAAAGCTGTCAAAGAAGCAACAAAACAAACAAGATAATAATTAAGCAAATACGGGGCTTGCTTGCTCGCAGCCCTGAAAACGTCCAAACATTTCCCTTTTACGGTTTATCCTCTATATCCCTAACCTAACCCCTGACGCGAAATCTATTGCGTTCCCCATTCCAGCTTGAAAGTACCCTCGGAACCCTGGTAGTTCATCAGGGCCAGGATGGCGTCCTCGGCGGTGGTCGCGGTGACGAGGATGTCCTTGTTGGGCAGCTTGACGAAGCCCTGCTCGACGGCCTTGTCGACCCACTGGACGATGCCGTCCCAGTAGCCGTTGATGTTGAGCATGCAGATGCCGCGCTTGTGGATGCCCAGCTGGTTCCAGGTGACGACCTCGAAGAGCTCCTCGACGGTGCCGTAGCCGCCGCTGAGGGCGATGAAGCCGCTGCCGGGCCCGCCGTTGAAGACCTCCTCGGCCATGAGCTTCTTGCGCGTGTGCATGTCCTTGACGACGGTGGTGCGGCCGTAGGTGGACTCGGTGGGCACGTATTGGTTGTCGGTGTTGATGGTCTGGTAGGTGCCGTCGCGCTCGTACTTGACGAGGGCCTCGGGGATGATGCCGTGGATGGCGTCGGGGCCCTTGAGTTCGCACAGCGTCTTTGCGACTTCGCCCATGAGGCCGACGGTGCCGCCTCCGTAGACTAGATGTTTGATATTAGCAGGGGGTTGTGTCTCTCAAGGTCTGTTCCATATACTCACCAAGGTCAATGTCGTTCTCGGCCATTACTCTGGCGAGCTCTCGCGCGGTCTCGACATGTTCAGGGTCGTTTCCTGCGCTTGAACCACAGAACACGCAAATCTTGGTGCGAGGAGTGCCGTTGGAAGCGCCGTTGGAGGCGCCATTCTGGCCGGTAACGGTGCTATCAGCAGTCATGGTGGGGGATCTAAATCTGTCGATTCTTGCGTGGCGGGGTCGAAATCGAGAGGCGCGAAAAGCTGCGACAAAGCAGGAGAAGAAGTAGAAGAAAGAAGAATGACGTCCCGATTTATAAAAAAAAAAAAGATTTATATATGTCTTGAGCAGACGGGGATTTGGGCAGATGCCTAAAGAGTGGTGGGTATAGCTTTGGGCGTTAAGAGCCAGACGGTCGAGTAAAAGAGCGAGGCTAAGATGCTTCAATCCTGTTGGTTGTAAGAGCAGCGAACCAGAGTTCAATCTTCGTCGAAGGAAGAGAGAGAGAGAGAAGTTCGAAAACAAACGGTGGCGAACCCGGGCTAGATATAATTCTGGCGAGTGACAACTGCGCAGTCCGCCAAAAGTTGACGTTCCAGATCTGACGGCGCAAACGCTGCACTAGTTCGAAAGCCAACCCCGGCAGTCATCGGCCACCGCCGGCCCCCATAATCGAGGGGAACTAGTAGCCGTTTGGATATCCATCTTCCCAAACTTCGAGGCGTGGGAGTCATGCAGTTGCCGGGGCCAATGCGAATGTGGTAATTTTTCAAAATTGCCAGATCCGCTCGCCGCAGCCCGAGATGGCCCAATTGGCGTTTGTTTCGGGTGGTGGGACAGCCGGGCTATGACACTCGCCCCCTTGGGAACTTCGGTTTGGTGTTTTCGTGGTCTCACACTTTGTACGACGGCAATTGAGGACTTCATTTGCTGGGCTCACAGGGAGCTGGCCGAAGGAGGTCAGCAGGACAGGGCCGGTCGGCAATGGGAAGGGCAGCATATGAGCTGGCGAGGGAAGAGTGGGTTTGTGCTTCAGTTTGGACGCTGTTGGTCTGCATTTTGAGGCTCGATATCCGCATATCGCCGCTACGGGTACTGCCTACTGGGTATGCTACCAGGTATACATCACTGATCTGATTGCCGTGTACAAGTGTTCTAATCCTGCTCTATTGCATATAGACAACTAGATGGGATCTACCATCTGGGCAGCGCTGAATCAACGCCGCATTCGCATGTCCGATTCTCGCTAATCACCGGACATCTCTGCTCAGGGCTTCTAGATGCGTCACCTGGCCGTTTTGCTTGGTGACGGCCGAGTGGATCAGGGGCAGCGTGTCACTGAAAAACACGGCTCACAGTTTGTCGTCTCGATCGGGCTTCAGTATAATCCCCGCTCCAACCATGAGGCTCTGTTTGATAACAATTCTTCTGTTGCCCGCCTCTCTTTCCAGAAGCTGTTCTACTGTACTCGTGCCACGGAGCCTGCCGCTGATTCGCCGACCCGGGTGGATGGGGCCCACGGCGCCGATTTACTCCGGCCGCCGCCGCCTGCCGCTGCTCAAGTATCTTTTTGCGCTGCGCAGTGCGTCATGGGTACAACGAGCTCGACCCTAGGCCCAAGACGGAACTGGACCTCTCAAGGCTGCGTGCTTGCGAAAGGCCACATGCGTCTTGCACAATTTTGAAGCTTCTCGCAACGACACTTGCCTCTCTGCTCCCAGGGCGACCAGCTGCTCTCCGGACTCACCACCACAAGGCGAACAGGCGTCTGACGGGTCTGTGTCCCACGCGACGCCCGACAGTCTGCGCAATGCCCGAAACAGCGGCGCAACGGCCTGCGGGCCAGGCGGCACGGCGCCAGCAGGACCAAGGCAGTGTAAGTCGAGATTGCCGGCCGTTTTGTGTCTTGGATGCGAGCTGACGGGCTGCGTGCAGGGCATCAGCATGAACAAAATTATCATGGGTGTCGTCTTCTACCTCGGCGTCAACGTCTTCCTCAGCTTCTACCTGGCCAAGGACCAGACCGGCGTGGCCACCACCAATCCCGAGACCGGCGAATCCATCATCGTCCCCGGCAACCTGGGGACCATCCCGCCGTACCAGCTTCGGCCGCGACACCTTGATGAGGGCGCTACTTACAGGCACATCCCCAAGACCATTGCCCCCATCTGGCCGCAGGACAGCTACCTAGATATCGTCGTCGCCATCTCGCCCTCGTTCAACCCGATCCCGCTGGCCAATGTTCAGTCGGAGTATGTCGTGCTCGACGAGAAGAGGTTTCACATGAACAACAAGACGGACAAGCGCTCAATCGATACCACCTTTACTGTGCCAGAAGCCGTGCAGAACAATGGCACGCTTTGGGGTCACTTCTACATTGGCCTTGCCGGTAGCGTTCTGGATCCGTATCTGCCCAGCTATGACCCCGGCCGGGCATACCATGTAGTCCACCCCCTCACTCAGTATCTGCCTAAGAAAAAGGTAGTCAAGACAAGAAACCTGCTTGATGACCTTCCTTCTCGCGTAGAGGAGCCGGAAGAAGTGGACACGTCGGGCCCCCTCATTTCAAACTACTACCACCAGAATGCCAGTTTGTCCCTGGTGCCTGGCCTGGGAGTCAAGGACTTGGACACTATTCACCCTGCCCTCAAGACGTTCCTCCGCCTTGAGGCAACCGGCGCCCGCGATGGCTCGGGCCAAAACGGCTGGTATTGTAAGTCATGCTATCATGCTATCATGGCGCATTTGCAATGCGAACTGACGAGCTAATCCATCATTTCTCTTAGATCCGACCCTCTTTGTCAACACCTTCTGGCAGCTGAAGACCCACATGACTCTCCTTAATGATACAGTCAAGGAGCTGCCGCTTCACATTGACCTCAACAACATGCCCAGCTGGCAATTCTATGCCATGGCTGCTATCGAGCAAAACTCGAAGGAGAACGCTCGCCAGGCTGCGCTCGGGAACCCAATTCCTGGCGGCGGCGATGGATCGGAGATTGAAATGATCAAAGAAATCTTCATTGACACCAACCCTATTCTGCTCGGCATCACCGCTGTTGTCAGCGTTGCCCACATGATTTTGGAGACGCTCGCCTTTGGATCCGACATTGCCCACTACCGCAAGAAGAAGGACAATGTTGGCATTTCGGTCCGCTCCATCTTGGCCAATGTGTTTATGCAGACAGTCATCTTCCTGTACCTGCTAGACAACTCGCAAAACACGAGCTGGATGATTCTCGGCACCCAGGTTATCGGCATCGTCATTGAGTTCTGGAAAATCACCACCGTCGTCAACGTTCGCTTCCGGGAGACGGCCCCAGGCTCGCTTTTGCCGTACTGGTTCGTCTTCGAGGACAAGCACAAGCTTACCGAGACGGAGGAGAAGACCAAGGAGTATGACGAAATTGCTTTCAAGTACATGTACATTCTGGCGGTGCCCCTGCTGATTGCCTACGGCATCTACTCTCTCTTCTACGATACGCACAAGTCGTGGTACTCGTTTGTCATCACTACTCTTGTCGGATCCGTCTACACTTACGGCTTCCTTATGATGGTTCCCTCCCTATACATCAACTACCGACTCAAGAGCGTGGCGCACATGCCCGGCAAGGCTATGATGTACAAGTTCCTCAACACTTTTATCGACGACCTGTTCGCCTTCACCATCAAGATGCCCTTCTTGCATCGACTGGCGACGTTCCGGGATGACGTCATCTTCTTTATTTACCTTTACCAGCGATGGGCCTACAAGGTCGATTATACCCGTGTCAACGAGTTTGGTCAGGGAGGTGATGACGATGAGCCTGTTGAGAAGAAGGATGGGAAGGACAAGGCTGCCATCAAGGATGCGGCTGAGGAGCAGAGCGAGGCCAAGACCACCGGCGCCGATGCCGGAAAGGCGACTAAGAGAAAGTAAGCCGTGCTCTATTGCAATGATACCTACCTGTATGCTATATCGATTGGGTACTAAGGTTGGGATTCGGGATCATAGCAAGTAAATAGACTACGTGAGCTAGTTGATAATCATGTACAACAAAGAGATATAAATAGCACCCATAGTTCCCTGATCGTCAGGTACGAACACTAACAAAGCAAGCGCCGAGCTGTCAAAGTAACATTGGAACTCCTCAATGAGGCCTCGCGTCTGGGACGACCTCGTGTGTCAGTGGCCCCCTTGGCTATTGTTTCAGGCTGGATGACAAAAAAGGTGGGAGGGGTTGAAAGGCTTCAGGTTGGCCAGTCTTGTGTGTCCTCGCTAACCCGGGCTGACGCACCACCACTGAGCTCCCGTGATGAATCCCTCAGCCCTATGGACAGCAAACGGGCGGATTTCTGATGGGCCACGAGGCCCCTAATTTCGCCTTTTGGTGGTGGTGGTGTCATTAGATGTGCATAAGTGCAATGTAGGCCATTTCGATGCCGAAGCGAGAAAGTGGAAGGGAAAAAAGGGACCAGACCTCCGGGGCTGCTACATGTAATAATGCGCACCATGGGGGAGGCGTCACAGCGAGTTCGACCCCTGTAATCCTGGCGTCTTCCCAAGTAGCCGGCGCCCCTTCCAGCGCATTTCCTCCCCACCGACGGCCTCCAACCAGAGGCCGCGATAGCGCCCGGCAACAAGCCACATAGCGGGCAGCTTTTGGATCTCTCTGTAAAGCGCTCAGGTTAAGGTTGGCCATCTCCCAACTCCATCCGTCATCTTCCATTCGCCTTTTGTCTTTCGTCACTCTCGTTGCTCATCTTGCTTCAACTCCTTTTTCTCTTCTTTCTTCTACTGCTTCTCTTGGCAGCGTGCGTCGTTCGTCCCGATTCGTTATCCCTATCTATCCCTTTCTGCCACAGCCTCCAGCGGCCCACCGTTTTGCAGCACAGCCTCGCCTTTCTGCTTGCTTGTGTCTAAACCGTCTGGGGTTCACGACCGAATGCCGGCCACAGCCACAACGTTCTGCTGAAGATTCCCACGGCGGCCCGTTACCCATAACCTTACTTTGATAGTAATAAACGGCTTTCTTCGACCAAGCGCGCTACGTCATTTGTTGGAGAGCTTCACCCAAGCCGTGGAGCTTCCCCCCCCATGCGACGCGCCCGTCGACGGGTGCTCTTCGAGGCCCCTTGACGAGTGCCGTTGATCCATCTTGGCTGATCCATCCCATCCATTCGTTTTCTCAATACATAAGCAGTGTCACCCCGTGATTGTTACGCCGTCCTCTGGTTATCAGATATATCACCACGCCCCTAGCCCACCTGCTCAAGTTGCAAGGCGGGGTTCGCATGCCAAGAGAGACTCATCATCCTCCCATCTCCTCCTCACCAGAGCAATGGGCGCCCTCGATTCGGTCGGGACACTGCTGGCAGAAATTGCGAATCTCATTGCCGACGGGCAGCGCATCCTGAGCCTCTCCGACAAACGGCATTGGGGGCAGGACGAGCGCGAGCAGGAGCGTGCGCTGGACTCGGTGCTGGACGAGGCCAGGAAGGACTTTCAAGAGCTCGGGCCGCTGGTCAACGGGCGCTCGCAATACGAGCATGACCGCAGACGTGAGAGAGAGCCTCGATGGGACAGAATGTCTGCTCCGTTACTGACATGATTTGCTGTCGTTAGATGAATCAATGGAAGAGTTGCGGGCGATTCGGGCCAAGTTCCAGGCATTGACGGATAAGCTAAAAGACTGGAGTCGATCCGGCGGTCCCATCGATCCGACCTGGGTGCGCGAGACATGTTCACTAAAACGGGAGCTACATCGAGCTCAATGTCGGGCGGCAATGCGAGTATTCACGTCGGCACGGGAGGCTTCACAGCGGTGTCTGGGCGCCTTCATCGTGCAGCGGAAGCAGCGCGCCCCTACTCGTGACGCCAAGGCCGGAATCAAGCCCGACGAAAACACATATCGGAGATATTTTGCGGACGAACTTTTGGCATGCAAGAACGTGGGAGCCTTTCAGCGGTTTGGGGATCAAGATATTGCATTTGTCTGCGACTTTTGCGATGGTCATTTGGTTTGGGAGGACATGGAGCGCATGCCAACAGTGCGGTCATCTACTCAGGCAGTGCCACCTGGCTCATCAGATGTGCCCGTGTCATTGTTGGCTAACGACTCGAATTGGCAAGCATTGGCCTTGTCCAATTGTGGCCAGCATCAGAAGCAAATCATCTTCGCCCCGGTGGCCATTGCGAACCACATTATACCGACACATGGAGATTGGGAAGCCAAGCTACTATGTCCACTCTGTGAGGCGATTGGAGAACAGCCGCAGGACGAAGACGACGACGAGGAGCCGTATCGTCCTGACGAAGAGTTTGACGACGTAAAGTCCTTACAGGAGCACCTCGAGTGGCAGCATGGGTCAGGCACGGTACCGACTACAACGACAGCCGACAATAATTGCTGTGTCATGTGAGCTATGGGAATTTCAAGCCCTTTTTTTATGCGAACTGAAGGAGAAGAGAGAAGTGAGAGAGGGGGGGAGAGAGAGAGAGGCAATACCACGTCCTTGATGGGGGTTCAGCGAAGCATCTGAATTCGGAGTTTTGTGGCGAATAAGGGTTACGGAGTGATTTTCATTTTTTTAATAACGACAGCTGAACCAAGCCTGAAGAGCAGCGTTTGCCTTGGATGCAGAAACAAGTTCAAGGGAGGATAAGAAAAGTCTTGGGACACTGGTGGTGCGTGCATAGAAGCATTAAGTCACATAACTGTATATAGATTACAATGGATATCCATCAACGCCACGCTCCGCTCTTTGTGCATTGACAACTCGATGTTTTCCCTCCCACCACCCCTTTGTTTGCCCAAGGTTTCTTTCCTACTCCCTGTGTTTTCCTTTTTCTTTCCTCTCCTCTCTCCCACTCTCTCTTGATAGAGTGAGAATCCAGTTTCGCTCACGTTGCTTCTAGAGGAAGCGCCAGTAGATGAAGACCAGGATGAAGAAGCCCAGGCCGGCAAAGGGGCCATACTGCTTGAGCATAAGCTCCCAGTTGATGCGCACGGCAGCGCGGCGGTACTTTTTGCTGTCGTCGCGCAGCCGACTACTCATCTCGCCCATGCGCTCGAGGTTGTCGCCGCGGTAGAGCAGGTCCTCGATGTTCTTGGTCATGATCTTTGTGACGTCGCGCAGCTCGTCGTTGAGCTTGTCGAGGTTCTGGGCGGCGCGGGCGTCGGCGTAGGTGGTGCGGGTCTTTGCGATGAAGTTGTCAAACTCCATGAAGGCGTAGGGCCGGAGGGCCGGGTTGTGGATGGCCTGCGGGGTGTAGGTGGTTGTGAACTCGCGGGCGAGGTCGGCGAGGTAGGTGAAGGCGAGCTTGCGCGGGTAGGAGCGCTCGCAGATGCAGAGGAAGACGACGTCGGAGTCGATGAGGTAGTGGATGGTGAAGAGGGTGGAGGACTCGATGCTGGCTTGGGACTCGGAGTTGCGGGTGAGCTTGCGCTGGATCTGGCGGAGCTGTTGTTTGACTTCGTTGAGGGCGGCGGCGTCGGACTGGGACTCATCGTCGACGGAGGCGCAGAGCATGAGGCCTGTTGGTGGTGGGTTAGTTGAACTGATGCCTTGGTGGGTTTTTTTGGATGCGGTTTGACGTACCATCCAGCCTTGAGATCTGTGTTGAGCGAATCATTTTGATGTGATTATTATGTGTATGTGTATATGTTAAAAGGAGGGGGAAATGAAGAAGAAGCAAAGTCTCGCAACTCTTCTTCGCGGACAATGTGGTTCGTATGGGCGCTGCCGAGGAACTACGTGTCAAGTAGAACGCACACACGACCCTCAGAGGGGGGGCAATTGGCCACCAAAAGAGCCACGCGGACGACTTGACACTTTAGCCGAAAAAGACGAGATGCCTAATGGCAGAGAATATCGAATTGGTGTATGGGCCTCGGGGGGGGGGGAAGCGCAAGCTCGAGTTTGACGTCTTATATATCAAAGAGGATGTTTGCGTTGTCGATAAGTGCTCGATTCTGTCTGGACGTTGAAGTTGTTAGGTGTGGCTGACGCCGAGTGGCGCAACTCTTCATGTGCGCCTCAGGTACTCTAGGAGTGCATGTCAATGGAATTCAATGTGGCCGTGCATCATGGACATCTTCTCAAATAATGGAGCCATATTATCTTTTTCTATTCTTGCCAATATTTTTTTTTTTTTTTTTGCTTTATTATTCAATTTTTTTTTCCAAGTGACTTTTATATCTCGTCTTCTTCATCGTCAAAGTCATCCTCCCTGCCCATCTCGTACAGAATTCTGCCTCCCTCGCCCGCTCCAATATCCGTCTGCGCATCAAAGTACGGCAACACGATCCCCTCTCTATCCTTTCGCTGCTTCTCCGTAAGCCCCAAGTTAAAGGTGCTCTCAGGCTGTTCGTCTCCTCCGTCTCCTTGTTCGGCTTCGGGCTTCTTAAACATAGGGTGATCCGTAAGCAGACAAAGCTTGCCCACCCTAGACTTTGTCGCTGCAGAGCCGGGCATGAGGATAAACTTTTCGTCGACGGCCCGTCCGCTTCTCCTTCGTAGTTCCATGTTAATGACGACGCCTACCTGGTCCTCTGATTTGCCCTTTTCTGCGAGGCCAATGAGGATACCCTCGCGATGTTCTTCAAGGCCCCATTCTGGCTCTACGACGCTTCTGTTGCGCGCCTTTTGACGTTCGGTTTCTTGTCGCAGGTTTGATAGCGTCAATACAGCTGTGGCTAGGTGGCATAGCAGCGTAAACGGGTGAGGTTCATATTCGTTGAATGATTTTGGTAGAATGACTGGTACATCGGTGTGATATACGCCCACGATGGACACTACCGGGGTGATGATGCTTGAAAGGAAGACGGCCAGGGACTGAGTGGCTGCCGAAGAAAGAGAATTCAATGAGTCAATGAAGACGACGGCTCCTACATCAAATCTTAATTATGCATCTTACATAGAGTATTCGGGGTCACTCACTTTGCGCAGTTTTATCCTTGAGAGCTGACGGCTGGAATGAGGGATACTGTGCCAAAAGCTCTCGGGCCACCGTATTTGAATCTTTCCCAGTAGCTTTAATGAGGACATCTGCATCTTGCGGCTTGCGGATTGTGGAGAAGGACAAGAAGATGATTTTCGTCTTTGCCAGCTGGTCATGGGGGTCAGTCGTCTCCTGCATATATGGGGTAGAGAATGTTGTATGCAATAAGTACCTTTGCTCTGGTCATGAGCTCTGAGATGACTGGGTGGGCGGGCTGTTCAAGGTTATCGAGGAGGAGAGTGAGAGGGCTGGCGGCATCTCGAAAATTCAGAAGCCTTTGAAGCAGAAGCAAGCTGTGAGAGCGGCCATGGGAGTTTGCCACGGGAGCCATGGCTTGTGAGTGTTTGGTAACCAGTCGAAGGATAATCTATAAAGGCGTCTGTCTATATGTGAAATTCGTTGGCCGGCTGCGGTATCCAAGTTGCCTACGTGAATGAAGCTTGAAATAGTTATGTATAAAGATGTTCATTCGACATCAACGGCTGGATCCGCTAGGACGCTTTGATTTAGTGCAGAGTTGATGCCTGAGAGACCGCCACGGGCACTAACCGTAGTGAAAGCCTCCACTAAATTTTCGGCGCTCTCTCTCTCAACGTTCTATTCGGTCTCCATAGGTATTGCTCGATATCTGTCTAGTATGGATGTCTGTAGCTCTCATCTCAACCCTGAAATTTTCCTTTCGCCCGCACATCACCAGCCTCGTCTCAGTCGTATATATTGATTTGATGCAATACGCTTTTGCCACTTTGGATTTCACAGCCACAGCCTTGCTCTTCACCAGCGGCCTCGAAACCCATGCGCCGCCACAGCCTGCTGCTACAGCCCTTGACTCGCGCCGGCAGACGAGGTCCAGGTGTTGCTTTATCAATTCGAGCGCTCAAAAGGGCGCCGTCAAAGTCATGCTCATGCTCATGTAACCATGGCCTGAGATCCTTTTCAACCAAGGCTGCCAGAGCCAATGAGCTCGAACAGCTCAGCACTAGGTTTGGTGCAGGTACCGGCGATACGATCTATGCGCTTTCGACGGCCCAAGGCAAGGCGGGCATCGCCGTGATTCGCATCTCTGGTCCGGCGTGTTTAGACGTAAGTGGGCAGAATTCCAAATTACAGGATGCCGTCAAGTAACCAATCACGACGTTTCGTTTTCATTTTTAGATATACAGAGCCCTGTGCCCATCAAAGGCAGTGCCAAAGCCTAGATACGCCTCTGTGCGATCGTTACTCGACCCAAAGCTGGCAGGACTCCAACGAGGTGTGCTGGATTCGGAGGCAGTAGTCCTCTTCTTCCCTTCGCCCAAAACTGTAACCGGAGAAGATGTACTAGAGCTGCACATTCACGGTGGCGCGGCTACGATCAAGGCAGTTCTAGCAGCTATCCCGCAGTGTCCGTCTGAGCATCGGATCCGCTACGCCGAGCCTGGGGAGTTCACCAAGAGAGCGTTCCTGAATGATCGCTTAGATCTCGCTCGCGTCGAATCCCTGGGTGACATTCTCTCTGCAGAGACAGAGCAGCAGCGGCGCGCAGCCGTCAGGGGAAACTCGGGAGTGTTGGCTCGCACCTATGAGAGCTGGAGGGAGGAGCTTCTCCTGGCCCGGGGAGAGATTGAGGCCTTGATTGACTTTTCAGAGGACCAGCATTTTGATGAGTCACCGGCGGATTTGTTAGACAACGTAGCGAGGCTAGTGGACAACATCCTCCGAGGCATTCACCTGCACGAACAGGGCGGCCAGAGGAGCGAGTTGCTGAGGAGCGGTATCCGAATCGCACTGCTCGGGCCGCCAAACGTGGGTAAGAGCTCGTTGATGAACTTGATTGTCGGTCGTGAGGCTTCGATTGTATCTGGCGAGGCTGGCACCACCCGGGACATTGTAGAGGCCAGCCTCGACATTCGAGGATATCTGTGCTCCTTTGCGGACACGGCCGGATTCAGGTCGACCGATGATCTAGGAGCGTCGGGGCCCGTTGGGGCAGTAGAACTGGAAGGAATCCGTAGGGCAAGGCAAAAGGCACAACAGTCGGATATCGTCGTCGTTCTGGCATCTCTTGAAGGCGGGCCATCTGGTCCATTCATCTTCTACGACCAGGAAACGCTGGACATTGCCGCGTCGGCCGAAGCTCGCCTCATCGTGGTCAACAAGAGAGATATGGTCGAGCCCGCACGACTCCAAAGGATGCTGGATGAATTTCGCCAAAGATTAGGCGAAACAGTCCCCAGGCTGGGATCGGCCCAAATAGCCGCCATCTCGTGCAAGGAGGCCAGCCTGAGCTCTGAGCTGGGCAAGGATCCAGGAGGAATCCACGCTCTGACAGAGGCCTTGGTAGGCACCTTCTCGCAAATGACAGAGATGCCTGTCGACCTGCAGGATCTGTTGGGGGTGACGGCACGCCAGGCACAGCTCCTGGCCAGATGCAGGGGCCATCTGGAGGAGTTTCTGGCGGAAGCGCGCCCTGAGGATGCCAGCGTCGAGGCGGACACGGTGCTTGCGGCGGAGTATTTGCGGTATGCGGCGGATTGCCTGGCGCGCATCACTGGCAAGGGGGAGGCTGGCGATGTGGAAGATGTGCTGGGCGTGGTTTTTGAAAAGTGAGTTGATGCATTACATTGCCATGGATGCTGATGATTTGCGTTTACTTTGCATTGCTAACATGGGTTGCAGGTTTTGCGTGGGAAAGTAGAGACTTCAAGGTCGAGAGAAAACTCTTTGTACTATATTATTCTACACTCTAGATAAAAAGGTTGAGGGCAAAAAGCAAGGAAGAAGTGAAGAGAAAGAAAAGTACATCTATGCCGTAAAGCTTCAGAGATCTACCCAGAAAAACAGAAGAACAAATCGACCGAACCCATCCATGTAGGGCTGGCTGCCATTCGCAGCATGATGTCTTGATCCCATATCCAACGCCGCGTGAATATCATGAAACCAAAAAAAGGGGGTGAGGAAAGAAGAAGAAGTGAAGAAGAAAGAGATCCCGGGGCCCCCAAAAACATCCTATGCCGATACAAATACAGAGGGGTAAAAAAAAAAGAGAGTAGGTGTTGGAATTTTTTTTGTCTTGTTTTTTGTTTTTCCAGTGAGGTTGTATTGCCGTGTGGTGGCTTTTTTTGTCTATCCGTCTTTCTCCATGCGCCTCTGCTGTGGCGAAACGAAAATGCCTGCGAAGGCACTGGATGCTTCCAAAAAAAGAAAAGAAAAGAAAAGAAGAATATTGTAAAATAACAGGCGAGAGAAGCCATTTAGTATTCTCGGCGGCCGCTTGAGGAAGAGCTGGAGCCGGAGCTGGAACCAGAGCCCGGGCCGGTGTTGGGGCGGGAGACGATGTTGTAGCCGCTTCGAGCAGAGTCGACCATGGAGACGGAGACGTCGATGGAGGAAGTGAAGGCGGCCATTGTGATGAGTTTTGGGTTGTTGTTTTGAGAGTGTATAGGATTTATCTTGGGTGGTTGTAGATGTGGTTGGTTTGAGTAGATGAGATGTAGATGGATATAGATGGATGGTCTTGTGAAAGAGTTGTGGTGAGAGTGAAAAGACTGATGAGATATCCCAAGGATATATATATAAGTGTATGTATGATGGAAGAGATGTAGTTGCTTAGTGTCAAGTGTCTGTTCTGTTTTGAGTGTTTGGCTGCTGTCTGTCTGAGGAATAGTGGCATCTGGTCTCGGGATGAAGCAGCCACCTTATATATGCAAAGCCGCAACATCGAAACAACCAAAAACCAAGTTGCCCAAAACGAAACGACGTCTCTTTGGTTCCCTGCATCGAGACCGGTTCCCAGGATTCCTTGGAACCGGGTCCCTCCCACACTCCCCCCCCCCTGACACTTTTTTTTTTTCGAAAAAAAAAGGTGAGATGACGGCTGCCCTGCCCTGTCGTTTATTTCTCTCGCTCACTATTACACTGGCACGCACTTGGGGGAAGAGGTACAGCCCATTTCCCCGGCGCGTGCTCACATCCAGAAGCTTGCAAACCACACACCCCCCCAGTCCCCATTTCCTCTCTCTCTCTCTCTCTTTGTCTTCCCTCTCATCCCATAGGGGGGGAGTTTGGGGTGGCAGGGTGGCTGACGGCCCTTTTTTTTGGGGGCGTGGGCTTTGCCCGCTTGGATCAAGCCGTAGGGCTGAGGGTGCGCGTGAGTCAGCCCAATCGTAGAGGCTACCGATGTGCAACTAAAGCACCGCATTTATCCTGTCCTGCACTGCATGCGGGTTCGGTTGTATGTATGTATGTATGCACATGTATAGTGTCTACATCGTGTATGATGTATAGTGTGTAACGACTCGCTCGGATCACCGTCCAACGGCTTCTGTTTGTGTGTGGGATGCAGCCTTTCCTGGGCCTCGTGGCAATTCCTATGGGAGGGTTCCTGTCGGCGTCTCCATCCAATCTCATCGACGGACCGGGAGCCGGCTGCAGCAGAAGGTGGGAGCAAAAAGAGATGGAGGCGTGCATGCAGATTTCTGGATCCAGGGCAGAAGGATTCATGTTGAATCATTTCACGGTTCCAGTCCCCTAGGCATACATCATCATACTGGGTACCTATTACTATTGCCCATTGGAGAGGCATCAATACGATACGATACAATGTACGGAGTGTCCAGCGATAGCCGGTACGAATCGCCCAATCGAGAGGCCCGTCATTCAACATCAAACTGTATTTTGTCCTGTCAGGGCTCGAACCCACCACCCACCGTCTCCCCGGTCACTTTCTCGTCTGATACTGTGTCTTTTTTCTTCTTCCTACTCCTCCTCTCCTTTGCCTTTTTGTCACAGCGAGGAAGGGGAGGCAAATGGCCTCGAGTGGGTGGAGAAACCACCTTGGCCGTGCCTAAAACTCGTGCCAGGTTGTGCGCACTGATGCTCTAGACGTTCCGTCGGTAAAGGATCCCAGGCCATCATCTCATCCAATCTCAAAAAGACCAGACCACGGGCAGATTACAGGTGGTACTAGCCCAGGCTGATGCCGACCAAAAGGTCATGGACCTCTGTCCCATGTAGGTGCACAGATTGGGGAGTTACTTTTCTATCGCAGCCCCCACGTGGCGCGTACCTTTTTTCGCCTTGAAAGGATGCCGTATTCGTCCAACTGGGCAGTGCCGGGGGGAAGAGGTCCCTTGCTGATGGAGCCAGCCACTACGCGCAACCCTGGAGGTTTTTTTTTTGGTGTGGTGGTGGGTGGGCAGTAGTTGGCGAGAGGGAAGACGAGGCCATGTCATCTCATCGTCGCTTCTTGGGAGGCTCGACGAGGGCATCACTGCCCAGTAGAGTTACATGATGCGCCCTTCTCCACGCATGCGAGCGAGCAATGTCACGTACTGGTCCCAGAAGATGCAA